TAGTTTTCACTTTTTTTAAATTAATTGAATTAGGAATTCTGGTTAATTATGAACTATCTTCTATAAACTTTGAAGAAGAAAGTAAAATTATTTTTTAATTATTTTAAGGTATTTTTATAGGTATCACTTAACATATGTGGATAGAATTAGATTAATTCAAATAAATTGTAGATGAACATGTGGATGATGAATGATATTAATTAAAATTTATAATGGAATTCGAAAAACAATTATACAGAATTCATGAAAGAATACTATCTGGATTAGTATTAAGAAAGATTTTTAAGGCTGGCTCTTATCTGTTTCCAATATTAACAATTTTGGGACTGTTTTTAATTTTGTTATTATAATTTAGGGAATAGTATATTGGCTTCTTGGACTAAGAAAAATAGGGTATTTAATTACATCAGATTATAGAATAATTCAATAATCAAACAATATACATTTTCAATATAACAAATGCCGAATTATAAGAAAAAAATGAATCCTTTCTCTCAATGAAATTTACAATTAACAAAAGTTTTCTTTATATGAAAAATGAATTTCAACAGAAATACAATTTTTCAGTTGAAACACATTTTATTGATGTGAATTTTTACATGAAAGGATTTAATTCTATTTTGTGTTTAGCAACAAATTTAGAAACAATGTTTATAATAGATTTTATTGATTTCTTTTAAGAGAATGATATTCAACTATTGAATCAACATACGAATGAAACTTGGAGTTGGAATGTAGAGCAATTGAAAAGTTGAATATATTGATTTATATTTAGAAAGTAATGTTGTTGCTTATGATTAAAGAATTTATGCAACAGTATTAACATTTATAAAATGTATTTCTGGAATATTTCTTTAGTCAATTTTGGCTTCAATTTATATGAAAATGTCGATAATTTGTACACCTATTTTAATTATTTATGTGGGTATTTGTTTTATAATAATGATCATAGTGAGTTGCATGTATATCTGTTAGAATGAAGATATATAGGTATAAGCATTAATTGGGGCATTTCCTTGGGTAGGATAATATTTAGATATTTTGAATAGAAATAATAAATTCAAATAAGAGTTGCTTAATTCTTTTATTTAAATGTTAATTTTATTTTACTTGCTTTATTTTTTTTAATTTAGTGGTTATAGTGGTTCAATATAATTATTTGCTAAAAGTTACCCAAGAGGATTGAGTGAAAATTTTTTTTCGTAACAATGATAAATTAATTAGATCATTCCTTTTAAATGAATTTGTGAATATCATATTTTTAAGAACAAGATCATCCCTATATTTTGTTCCAAAATATATAGGACTTACTTATATAATATTCATATATTACTTTGAAACCACTACTTATGGATATTACAATTTAGCATTTTAAATTTGTATTTGTTTATAGTTTTCTATAATTTCTTATTTTTTACTTTATTTTGAAATAGCGGCTCTAGACTGGTCAACAATGTCTCCATATACACCTTCATTTGATCGTCCTAGGGTATTCTATAGCCCAATATTTAACATGAACTGGATTAATGACATCCCAAGTTTATGGACTATGTTTTACCCTCTTTGTGGAAGAAGGTTTTTATTTATTTTTATAGTTTAGGTTTTTCTAAATATAGAATTTAGCACTTGTAGATAACAATCTTATATTATTAAATAATTTGTTATAATAACAAGATATTGACAATGTTCCTGCTTAAGTTCCTATTTTATTAGTTTAAGATCATTTACCTTAATAATAATAAATTAATCAACCAGAAATTTAAATTTAAGATGTTTAAATTAATTAGTAGTTTGTAATCAATGTTGATAATATACTTGGAAATGATTAACCATTATAATAAAATTAACTTTTGTGATATTACCTAACTATGTTATTAAAATATTTTATATATTCATAACCTATATTCATTTCAATTATCTTTTAAATTCATTTTTTTCCCTTTTTTTTTAGTTCACAATTTATTAATCATTCAAAAGTATTTACATAAAATAATATCATAATTATTTAAAAAATTAGAATCATTAATTATAGAAACTACTAAATTTAATCTTAAATTGCTTTGAAATTTATTTATTTTCTGAATAAAATTAATATTAAATTGAATAGGATTTTCAATGAAAAAATTATCAATTTTAAAATTAATTGATCATATTATTTAAAGGAATTTTTGATTATGAACTATTTCATAAAATAATCATTTAATGCTCACATATGTGAATGAAAATCCTAAATTTGCTGAAACCTTAAAATAATTAGTTGAATGCGGAAAAGATAGGGTCATAAGATGGCCTGAAATAGCAAAAGTTTTAGAAAATATGTTTAATATCACTATCTCTAAACCTTGTCTACTTAAGCCTGCCTATTAATCAATAATAAGTCCGAATGTTGATTTAGATAAGTAATAACATAGATTATTGGTTACAACTGTAATCAAACATTCAGCTATAATTAAGTAGGCTTTACCTGAATTTTAAAAAACTTCTGGAATATAGTAAAAAGTGTTTTGATATCTTTTTAGAATTTAATCTAAAAAGTTCTAAAGTAGAATGTATCGTTCATTTAAAACAGCTATAGAAACAGGAATCTAAGTATTTATATAGAAGAAATCAGAATATCGTAAAAGATTAGTTAGAGTTCCAGGTTCAGCTATTTCTCGTGTATTATAATGCAAAATTTTACCTTCAGATGATGTTTTTACAAATAAATTAAAATTTATGTCAGATCAACTATCTATTTTATTAATGATTAGTATTGATTATGATGGTGAAGACATTACTTCACTCTATTCAACTGTAACTTAAAAAATAACTAAAAAGAATTTCCTTTTATTATTAAATTGTATTTCATTCATGTTTGATTTAAAATGTATTAGTCAAGGTTAAATAACAAGAGATGATTAATTAACTCCTGATTATTGGTTATAACCAACAATCAAAGAAAATCAAAAATTATACGTTTATAATTATTTTTTTGAAGATGATAATTGTTAAAAATATAAAATGTATTCTGATGCTGTCGATGTTTAACAAGAGATGGAATATAAAGTCTTTTTAAATATAAATCCTATATCATAACCTAAATAGTAGTCATTCTTAAAAAAAAATACCAAATTAAAAACAGTAAGAGGAAGAATTACAGTAAATGATAAAAAGTATCCAAGTGAAAGAACTATTATCTTTGCAGAACCTGAAGAAGAAAGTGAATAAGAATTTTATGATATTAAATTTGGTAGGAAGTAAAATTGCCGATGAAATAATATATAATTTAATTAAATAGATTTTTTTAGATTTTCTATAATATTCTACAGATATAGATTTAATTATTAGATGATAATAAACTTAGATTAAATTATTTATTAATTTAAATAGATTAGAAATTAAAAATTCAATCTAATTCAATAATTTAATTACTATTTTGATGATTATCAATTTTCTATTAAAAGTTCTAGTTATCAAATTTTACATCCTTTACAATCTATCTTAATATTTCATCATCTTCATTATCTTAAGGAAGACTTGATAATTCATATTCCTAAACTGCTAATAATAAAATACTAGCCATAAATACAACATCATATTATTAGTTTTCTTTATCAACTTTATTTGCAAAATTCATTAATGCTTCTTTTACTTCTAATCCTAAACTCTATTACCAAAATTTTGTATTACATTTAATTCCATTAGGTTTAATATGTTCTTTTGATTCCATCATCTAAAATAATTAACTATCATAGAATAATATTTTTTCAGGTTCTTTAAGTCCTTATAATTTATTTTCATAAACTCTTAATCTTTATTAAAATTCCTTTAAGTCTTTTTAATCATATTAATTTCCATTTTACATTTTTTATTAATCTATTATCAAGACTTAAGCAGTTTCAAATTATTCAATTAAAATCTTCATAAAATCAACCATATCTAAAGGATTTTCAAGGGTTTTTATAGTATTTTAGAATTTCTCTCTTATTTTAAATGATTCCCATCTTAATTTTCTTACCATTAAAATATCAGTATATTTTTAAACAACTTCTAATAATATTTTAACTATTAATTATTTTGGACTTCTATTACCAGCCTATAATTATGTTTATTCAACATTCTTAATAGTAATTAGTTCTTTTGTATCTTAATCATTAAATAACTCACATGCCATTAATTTCTAAATATTTGTTTATAATTCTCTTTCTTTAACACCACAAACATTTAATGTTTTAAATAATTATTAAACTTAATTTTCATCTAATACTCTCCATTCAGAACCATTATTTTAATATATATGATCAATATCATTTGAAAATATATGATAATCAAATCCATGAATATCAGATCCTAAATATAAACATCCATTAATAAAAAGTCTACTAAATTCAACTAATTAAAGATATTGTTTATATATTTTTCGGTATTGTTATTGTTATTATTATGTAAATTGACTATCTTTCTTTAATAATGATTGATTAATATTGTTCAATTCATCTTAAACATTTTCTAATACTAATCCAACTGCTTCAGTTACTTCTTATCTATATTCAATTATTATTTTAAAACTATCAGTTTCACGTACTCCCTCTATCATATTACTTGTTATATCAGCTCTCTATTTTGCCTTCAATCCAAAATAACCTAATTCATTTTAACCAATACTCTTTATATTTCTCAATTCTTAATCAGTAAATAAGGATTAGACATATGGTAACTTAATTGATTATAATAACATTGATGGCCAATTCTATATCAAAAATTTAAATAGATTATTGAACCTTATCATTTCTAAATCAGTATATTTATCCTTTATCTTAAATGATTTAATCTAAGAGTATTGTTTTGTTATTTTACTTTTCTTCTTATTCTAATCCTTCAATTTACTAAGTTATTAATATTTATTAATTATTTATTATCTTCTCATTTCAATATTATCTTAATTTAATGTTCCTTTATTTGTATTCACATTCTAAGTTGCTTCTGGTTATTCATCTGAATCCTATTCAAGATCCATATCCTATAATTTTGTTCTCTATGATTTTTTTATTATCTTATTAAATGATTCATAAGCTATCTTCCAAAAAAACTAACAAGTAGGATCCAAATAATTCTCAAATTCATATTTCTAACTCTATATTGTTAAATCTTAATTTAAATCTTTCTCTTCTTCTTACTATTATTTTTCTACCATAGATAATAAACTTATTTTTTGACTCTTACTTCCCTTCTTTTTTATCTCATCTTCAACTTATCTTTATTTTGCTATATCTATTGGTTTTAATAAACCCATTTTATATTTGAAGATATCCTCTATTATAAATGCAGTCAATTTGAAATTAATACGATCTGATTGCTCCTATGTATCAAATGTTGAATATTAATAACTATTTGAAAATGTAGCATTTGTATGATAATCTTTTATTAAATGACCTGTTAACTTCAGCAATGGAGAAAGTAGTAATTAAAACTAATTTTAGCTATCAGACATTGCTGCAAATTATTAATTATACGGAAAAGCATTTATAAATGTTGTTATTTCTATTTATTGATTTAACGCAATAGGTGAAAAAGTCTTTATTACATTCCCTTCTCTCATCTTACCAAATTGATTACTCTATGGAAATATCTATGAAAATTGAACTATTATCTCATCCATTATTGGAAATATCACTTTCTTACCATTCATATAGTTTGGAAATCTCCTTTAAAATTCCTTTAATTTAGCTTACTTCTCATTCTCTTTATTATCCATTTTTATTAATACCTTACAATATTCAACTTTTACATATTTTAATTAAAAAAAATCATTATTTTTTTTTGATCACTATAATGCCAAATTTAAAATATTTATATAAGCTAATCAATATCCTTTAAGTTCCTCCTCTAACTTAAAATAATGTAAATATCACAAATTTCTACAATTAATATGCCTTTATATACTGTATAATAATTAATTCTATTCTAATTTATACACAGTTTCTTAAAATGACTTATAATTGTAAAAACTATATAAACTTTTATAACTTATTTTGGATGAAAAATGTTAAAAACAAATAAAATAAACCTAAAATATTCATTTGTAAAACTAATTAAAATTAACCTTCAAAATACATTCAATAACTAAAATAAAAAAATTATTTTTACTTTCAGGAGCATGGGTAAATCTTTAGGTGTAATGATCAAATAGTAAAATTAAAGCTGAGATTTGTTAATTAAAGGAATCTTTCATTTTTGTAAATTCATTTTCTATTCTCATGGTCTCTATCTTTTTTGTAATTTAATCAACTAAATCTAATGAAGTAACTCGGTCAATTAACATAGGATAATTTTAGACAATATCAATAACTTTGTATATAGCATCTAAAATAGATTCGGACTAAAAATTTAAATAAAATTTACTTTCTAATTGAGAAACATCTTATCAGATATTGTTTTTAGATATAAGTTATGATTATCAATAATCTCTTAGAAACTTTAACTTTTGTTAACTTTATCCAAAAATAAATCAGTTTGAACTTAAAGAATTGATATAAATAGGAAATATTCATAATTAGTAATAAAATGTGTCAACTAATTTCCAAAATGAAGAAACTTTGACAAAAAATTTTTGAATCTTTTTTTAAGATTCACTAATGATTATTGCAGATGTAATTTTGAATTTTTGAAAAATAAGAGAAACTACATAATTTTATTGTATAATATTAATGCATTTTCATTAATGATTAAATCAATAGGATGAGGTAGGAATATTTTAAAGTTGACACTTTTATGAGACAATAAAAATTAGGAATTCTATTAACAAATTAATTATGGTTGTAATTCATAGGCATTTTAAAAATTAAAATTCTTACCTAATAAATCTTAAATTGTATTTTAGATAGCTCTTAATCTAGCTAGAGATTAAGATTCAGCAATTTATTATATAAATTGTTACATAAGATCAACTCTTTCAAAAAAAAATAAGCATCTTAAATATTTATGTAATTTAACAAAATGTAAATGATTATTAAGATAATCTAATAGAATATTTTATATATTTTAATCTTCTTTTTTAATGAGTTTGACAATTTCTTTTTAAAATACTTTAATTAAATTAGTATTATTAATGTCTTTAATAGANTAATAATTAATTCTATTCTAATTTATACACAGTTTCTTAAAATGACTTATAATTGTAAAAACTATATAAACTTTTATAACTTATTTTGGATGAAAAATGTTAAAAACAAATAAAATAAACCTAAAATATTCATTTGTAAAACTAATTAAAATTAACCTTCAAAATACATTCAATAACTAAAATAAAAAAATTATTTTTACTTTCAGGAGCATGGGTAAATCTTTAGGTGTAATGATCAAATAGTAAAATTAAAGCTGAGATTTGTTAATTAAAGGAATCTTTCATTTTTGTAAATTCATTTTCTATTCTCATGGTCTCTATCTTTTTTGTAATTTAATCAACTAAATCTAATGAAGTAACTCGGTCAATTAACATAGGATAATTTTAGACAATATCAATAACTTTGTATATAGCATCTAAAATAGATTCGGACTAAAAATTTAAATAAAATTTACTTTCTAATTGAGAAACATCTTATCAGATATTGTTTTTAGATATAAGTTATGATTATCAATAATCTCTTAGAAACTTTAACTTTTGTTAACTTTATCCAAAAATAAATCAGTTTGAACTTAAAGAATTGATATAAATAGGAAATATTCATAATTAGTAATAAAATGTGTCAACTAATTTCCAAAATGAAGAAACTTTGACAAAAAATTTTTGAATCTTTTTTTAAGATTCACTAATGATTATTGCAGATGTAATTTTGAATTTTTGAAAAATAAGAGAAACTACATAATTTTATTGTATAATATTAATGCATTTTCATTAATGATTAAATCAATAGGATGAGGTAGGAATATTTTAAAGTTGACACTTTTATGAGACAATAAAAATTAGGAATTCTATTAACAAATTAATTATGGTTGTAATTCATAGGCATTTTAAAAATTAAAATTCTTACCTAATAAATCTTAAATTGTATTTTAGATAGCTCTTAATCTAGCTAGAGATTAAGATTCAGCAATTTATTATATAAATTGTTACATAAGATCAACTCTTTCAAAAAAAAATAAGCATCTTAAATATTTATGTAATTTAACAAAATGTAAATGATTATTAAGATAATCTAATAGAATATTTTATATATTTTAATCTTCTTTTTTAATGAGTTTGACAATTTCTTTTTAAAATACTTTAATTAAATTAGTATTATTAATGTCTTTAATAGAATAGGATTCTTTTTCTTAAATTTAAGTTTCTCTCTATTTTAATTTAGTTAATGTAAAAGGTTCATGGAATTTATATCCTCCTGATAGCGTACAATATTATAAAGTAGTTTCGATTGACTTTTAAGGAGAAGTTTCGGATACTTCACATAATCTCATAATGAGATTTTTTCTAAATTAGATTTATTTTAAAGCTGGTAATCCAACTTTTTGAAAAATTTAAAATGCTTAACCTATATTCTTTAATTGTATAGAACAATTTTATAAAAATATGGGAAGATTTTCAAAGGAATCAGTAATTGTTGAATTATAATCTAAATATTTATCTAATAATTTAATGTATGGTTCCAAAGCATATAAAAATAATTTCTAAAGATAGACTTATGTATGTTGAGGTTATAGTGAATTTTGAATGCATAAATTATATAAAATAGTTAATGTTGGTGAATTAAATGTTCCAATATTTCCTTCAATTGTTGATATCTTTTGGGCAACAATATTAATTTATTTTATGATTATAAACCAATCTTATAAACTTTAGTTTAAATATAAAAGAGTGATAGAACGATCTATTTGTTGTGAACATAATTTTTCATCATAAATAGATTATTCTAATAAAGTTGTCACAACTTAATCAAATTCACTTAAGATAGATCTTACACCTAACCAAAACTATTCTTATATTAAAATCTCTATATTTAGTAGACATGGTTTTTATATCATTTGTAATGGTCTTTTTAAATGACATACTATAGTTGCATATTCCAAAAACTTTTAAGTACTACTAAGAAGACTTTCATGACTCATATGACGAACATCAAAATCAGTTAATTAATATTAACCTGAAGAAAATGTTAATAATTCACTTTGTAATCCTAAAAAACTATATAAAACAGCAATTACAACATCTCTTTCATTTATTATCATACTAATCTAAATAAATATTGTTACTTTATAATTCTTGGCTTTTTGAGAATTTCTTATGATTTATTTTAATTTTCTGATAAAAATAATTAAGAAGATTTTATTTAAATAGAAGTTTCAGAAGAACTTAAAAATTCATTAAATGACTTTTTAGTATTAAAACTCATATGCCATAATACATTAGGTAATTAATCTTTTGAGGATGTAAGTGTTTACTTTTATTATTCAATTTCTTTAACATCTCTTTTAATTTCACTTTATTTTTAATTAATTTAAATTTATTCTTTCCTATTATCTTATTCTTCATCATCTTCTTCTTCTGAAGATGTCTCGAATTTCCAATCCTTTAGTGACTGTAAAACTTAAATATAATAATTACTTCTATGCTAGAAATAGATATATTATCTTATTATCTTCCTTTTAAAATATTTTTATTTGGCTCTCGATTCAAATTGTGTTCAATCAAATTAGAACTTAGAAGTAATAATAATCCTAATATTCGTTGTGGCATATCATTATAGTCTTATTTTAATTTTCGTTTCTTCAATTCTTCAAATAAGGTATTTAAGTAATCTGCAGTATCTGGTTTACTCATGACTTACAATTTTATCAAAATGCTTATCAATAATGAATATTTAAATTATACTCTTTAAATTTACTTTATATTTGATGAGCATCAGGATCTAGGAATGTATGATATTTCAAATTTGAACTTGCATATTTATGAGCTATTTCAAAATTTTTTTAAGATGGCTTAATATTTATAACTATCTTACCACAAATCCAGTAAAATAAATTATAAACTTTTCTAAGTCCTCTTCAAATTATTATTCTCTTTATTTTTGAAAATTGGACATTTAATTTTGAGGGAAAATTAAAATTTTTAATATAAAATAACATATTTACCAAAAAATTCTTCTGAGTAAATTTTTATTAATAGGATATTTAATATAAAAAGAAGACGAATAAAAAGAAAATTAAATCATAACATTTATATTGTGTTCTAAGTAGATAAATTAAAATTGCTATTTATGAAAGGGTTTTAATACTGTATTTAATTAATATTAATTAAAAATAATGAATCAATATGTTTATTTTAATGATTTAAAAGAAATGCAGCACTATGCATTTAAAAATCAACTTTCATTATATGCTTACAAGAAAACTGTATATAATTTAACGAGTTATATCGAAAATCATCCAGGTAGTGAGGCTTACATGTTAGATTATGAAAATCAGGATGTCACACATGTTCTATTCAATAAGAAGATTCTCAAAATTCACAGAGAAATAATATAAGCACTACAAGAATATATTTTTGGATATATTTAGAAGCATGACAATTAAATCATCTCATTTAAATCCTCTAAATCCATTATCGAATAGACCAAAAAAAGATTAAGAGAAAGCACTGTACCCTTTAATGAAGATATACCAGAGGATTGTTCTATAACTAAAATACCTATACTAACTATTCATAAATAATTTCACTCCCAAAAATCAATTAGAATACCTATATGAATCTTTATATTTATATAGTCATTATTAATATACATAATGAATAATTAATATAATAAAATTATAATATAATTATATACGAATTTGTCCTATTATTATCTATTTGAAATTAGTACAGAAGTACTAAGAATTATTCAGTTTTAATTTCAAAGCAAAGGATAGATTATGCTTTGAAAAATTAAGGAATTATTTAAGAACTGTTTATATTTTTCAAAATTCATCACGATCAACTGAAAAGCCTTCAAACTAACCCTCAGTTTATCCAATTAAAGATTGGGGAGTTTCGAATATTTTTTTTGGAATCAATTTATTCTCTGATTGTTATTATTCTAAGATTTTAGTAACACCATCTAAAATTGGAGATTTTATCCTTAAATTATAAATATCATCCCAATTGATCTAAGAAAAAAATAAATGGTTCTTTATTTAATCTATGGATCTGCTACCTAATTGTGTTACAATTAAATTACCTAAGCGTTAATTGGGATCCTTATTTAATAATTGCGAAATAATATCCTTGGCTTCAGTGGATATGAAATCAGGAAATATTAATCCGTTTTAAATGATTTTATTCTCTATTACCCTTAAATTATTTTATCTATCTCTAAATGGAGTATATCCTACTAGCATTTCATATAATAATATTCCTAGACTCCACCAATCTACCATTGAATTGTGACCAGATTTCAACAAAATTTCAGGAGCTATGTACTCAGGTGTTCCAACAAACTAGCCTTATAAATAAATCTAGTATTTACAGTAAAGAATTTTGTCTCCTAAACATCATATTACTTTGATAATCCGAAATCGGTTAATTTCAAGTGACCATCAGAAGTAACTAAAATATTATCTGGTTTCAAATCTCTGTATATGACCTTCAAAGTTTCATGTATGTATTATAATCCAAGAACTATTTCTGCTGCACAAAACTAAGCTTAAATTTATGTGAATCGTTTATCACGCTATTTGCCCAAAAGTTTTGTGAGCTAGCCTCCATTGACTAATCTAAAATTTCAATTTTTTATAAATACTCCATAACAAGATATAACTTCTAATCTGTTTAGAATGAATATTTTAGTTTAACAACAAATGGGTTATTGCTTCGAATCAAAACGTTCTTTTCAAGCATAGTATATTCAACCAATCCATATTAAATGATATCTGATTTTTTAATAACTTTCATAGCATATTCTTAGTTATTGTTCTTCATTTTAACTTTTAAGACCTTTCCAAATTAACCCTAAATAAATTTATATATTCTAACCTTTCCTATCTAACCTAAACCTAAAAAGTCTTTTAAAGTGANTATACGAATTTGTCCTATTATTATCTATTTGAAATTAGTACAGAAGTACTAAGAATTATTCAGTTTTAATTTCAAAGCAAAGGATAGATTATGCTTTGAAAAATTAAGGAATTATTTAAGAACTGTTTATATTTTTCAAAATTCATCACGATCAACTGAAAAGCCTTCAAACTAACCCTCAGTTTATCCAATTAAAGATTGGGGAGTTTCGAATATTTTTTTTGGAATCAATTTATTCTCTGATTGTTATTATTCTAAGATTTTAGTAACACCATCTAAAATTGGAGATTTTATCCTTAAATTATAAATATCATCCCAATTGATCTAAGAAAAAAATAAATGGTTCTTTATTTAATCTATGGATCTGCTACCTAATTGTGTTACAATTAAATTACCTAAGCGTTAATTGGGATCCTTATTTAATAATTGCGAAATAATATCCTTGGCTTCAGTGGATATGAAATCAGGAAATATTAATCCGTTTTAAATGATTTTATTCTCTATTACCCTTAAATTATTTTATCTATCTCTAAATGGAGTATATCCTACTAGCATTTCATATAATAATATTCCTAGACTCCACCAATCTACCATTGAATTGTGACCAGATTTCAACAAAATTTCAGGAGCTATGTACTCAGGTGTTCCAACAAACTAGCCTTATAAATAAATCTAGTATTTACAGTAAAGAATTTTGTCTCCTAAACATCATATTACTTTGATAATCCGAAATCGGTTAATTTCAAGTGACCATCAGAAGTAACTAAAATATTATCTGGTTTCAAATCTCTGTATATGACCTTCAAAGTTTCATGTATGTATTATAATCCAAGAACTATTTCTGCTGCACAAAACTAAGCTTAAATTTATGTGAATCGTTTATCACGCTATTTGCCCAAAAGTTTTGTGAGCTAGCCTCCATTGACTAATCTAAAATTTCAATTTTTTATAAATACTCCATAACAAGATATAACTTCTAATCTGTTTAGAATGAATATTTTAGTTTAACAACAAATGGGTTATTGCTTCGAATCAAAACGTTCTTTTCAAGCATAGTATATTCAACCAATCCATATTAAATGATATCTGATTTTTTAATAACTTTCATAGCATATTCTTAGTTATTGTTCTTCATTTTAACTTTTAAGACCTTTCCAAATTAACCCTAAATAAATTTATATATTCTAACCTTTCCTATCTAACCTAAACCTAAAAAGTCTTTTAAAGTGACTTTCTTAGTATCTAAGTCTTATATGGAGTGAGACTACATCTAATCTACTTTCTTTAATGATTTAATTGATGTTTTGGCATTCTCGTCTTAATTGAAGCAATTACCCATATTTGATAAAAATTAAATCCTTTTTTTAAAATATGTCTTCTTAAAAGTTTAAGGTTAAAAAGTTGAGAGAATAAAAGCCTGAAGATCTTCTAAAAGATTTAGAGAAACTCAAAGGAGAACTCATTTAATTAAGAACAGTTAAAGTTTCAGCTGGTAATGCTCAAAAACTTGGCAGAATTGGTGTAAGCAATAAAATTAAGAAATAAGCTTGTTAGAAAGCGAATCGCTAAATATTTAACAGTAATTAATGAACAAAGGAGAAATTCTGTGAAAAAAGCAACCAAATAAAGTTCTAATCTTCCAGTTGATCTTAGAGGTAAAAAAACAAGAGCAATTAGATAAAGACTTACAAGAAGTGAAAGAGGTAATAATAATTGATAAATTATTCAAGCATAAAAAACCTAAAGACAATGGAAAAGATTGAACAATTTTCCATTAAGAAAGTTTGCTTTGAAAGAATGATCATTTATATAAAAAAGTACAATATTGATATGGTAATTGTAAATATCAATCATCATCTGATAGATCTTCAAATTCTCTGATTGGTGGAGTATATTATTATTTATACATTCTACCCCAATCAACACCACTAAAAAAATTATCTTATTTTATTTCATTTAATGTAATTCTTTTGGTTTCATCAATTTCAAGCATTTTCTAAAATAAATTTTAAATTTACTTGAATTAAGTTTTTAGCTTGCTAAGAAATATTATTTGGATAAATAAGTTTAGCATCTTTAATATTTTTTTTGACATTTTCTTAACTCTTATCAAAATATGGTGATTTTCCTGTTAATAACTCATAGAAAATAGCACCTAATCCATAAATATCAGAAGCTTTTGTTGCTCCTTTTTGATCAATCATTTCTGGAGACATATAATATGGTGAACCACAAAAACTATGACTTCTTTCACCATCTTTTATTTCTGTTTTACAAAGTCCAAAATCAATCAATTTAATATGCCCTCTTCTATCCAATAAAATATTCTCTGGTTTTAAATCTCTATATAAGATATTCTTCTTATGTAAATATTCTATGGCAATTATCAATTCAGCCATATAAAATCTCACTTAATTTTCATTAAATATTCCATGAACTATAAGATTATGTATTAAATCTCTCCCTGGACAATATTCCATTATAATATAATAAAATTTTTCATTCTTAAAAAATTATAAAAAACTAAAATTACTTCTAAAAATGCATAACTTTTTATTATAAATGGACAATCCATACTTTTTAATATTTCCATTTCAGTAATTGCATACCTTTAGTAATTGTTCTTTTTTAAAAAACTCTTCTAAATTTGTTTTAAAGCATAAATATTATTGTTTTTATATTTAGCTAAAAATACTTTACCAAATAATCCCTCTCCTAATTATTTTAAGATTTCAAACTATTTTATATCTAAAGAAGAAATGTCGTCAAATCCTTCTTTCAAATACTAATAATTTTAATTTTCTATAAGATTATCCTCAATAAAAATTTTCTCAATATTAATTTATTCAGATATATCTTATATAGATATTGATGAATTCTTTTATTCAATCAACCATTAATTATACAATAGAGCTGAATTCAATTAATCAACCCATTTTGTTGCCGCACGTTCTGTTTTTGACATATATTATATATTTTTGCCATTAAGAAAATTGATTTCAACTAAATTTTATTTTTTTGAATTTTTTTGATGAAAAACAGAATTAATACTAATAAGATTAATTATTTCACTATTTAGTCTATTATTATTACATAGGTTAAGTATTGAAAGACCAAGATTGATATAAATAAAGCATTGAACTTTAAGGTTGCAATTACAAAAATATTTCGTTATCTCCACTTTTTAATTTTCCTACTTTTGTCAAATATCCTTCAGTTATTGGAGTTTGAGGACAACATGTTTAATTTAAAACTAAGGAATTCTTTTTATATAAATATCAATACCTTGATAATCTAAGTTAATTTTCTTTCAACTTAAGGAAAGTTGTTAAAATAATTTTGATGCCATTAGGCAATTCTAAATATAAAAATATTTATATTACTTTATATGATTATTATGATCATCATGCTTTATTTTCATTTCAAACCATTATCCTTATTTATTACCAAATTCATCATAATATCCATGACTTAGAATCTAATTAGCTATTAAATCTATAGTATTCCATTCTCCAGTTCTATTACCATGAAGATATTATCCTTATTCATAAATTAATTCCAAAGGAACAGATCTTGCCCAAATAATTTCCTTCCATAATCCCTCTTTAATTCCATATTTGAATTCACCTCCCTATCATAAAATATTCTTAAAATTACTTTGAATTGTAGTTCTTAAAATTTATAAAAATGACATCCATGTTTTAAACCAAAATTTTAATTGCCTATTAATTATACTTGATTATTGAATAATTTTTCAGTCTTTTATATCTCAAATTTTAATTAATGAAATGATTTAGAATATTAAACTAAAATATTTAACATTTAAAGTATCTCATTAAATTTTTCTTACTATTATTTTTATTTAATTGGATGATCAATCAAAGATTATTTTATTTTTTCTTATGAGTTTTGGGTTAATTTATATTAGAATTCAATAGTCTTCAAAGAATTAACTATCATCTTAATTTCTTTTTTTGTTTCTTTAAAATAACTCAATACAATAGTTTTTGCATTATTAAGTGTTTGTGATAATTTTTTATTGAATTGTTTAAATAAATTTTCTTCTTTTTTGATTGCATCAGATAATTGTTATTATAATTCTTGATTGTTTTCAAAATTTTCATGAGTTGTAAGTAAACTCTCATTTTATTTATGGATTTGTAAATTTAATGCTTATTCCTCCAAAGGTTATCTATACTATTGAGCTTATTGCATATTGATCTAGTTATCATCATAATTATTAAGTTAAATCTCTTACTATTGCATATTAAATATAATGCTAATATAATTTAGAAGTGATGATATTTATCTAGACACAATGTAAATTTAAATATAAAACATACATTATTTTAATATATTTTCAACCAAGAGAATGTAATTTATGTTGTACAGCAAATATTCCTTTATAAAAAAAATGCATCAAGTACGTCAACGGAAATAGTAATACTAATAATAATCTCGATCTATAAATAATTATTAATTTATGGATTACTTTTTGATTTTAAATTATTAATAATGGAATTTAACAGTGATAATAAAACAAAAAAATGGATATATTAAAAGCAAGATACAAAATATTAGTAGGAATGCCATAATTTTTGGTAAAACCATTAAGGTTCGTATTATATTTGGATTTTCAAAAGGTTCGATGTTTCTCATCATTGATCCAGGAACTTGAATTAATACATAAATTACATGGGCATCCTGATAAGTTCCATAATCTATAATGATATTTACTATATTTTCCTTTGCAAATCCAACAAAATTCATATTTGCATTTACAAATCATATGATTGCATCCACTAATCTTTTCTATTGGTATCAAACAGTTTGGACATCTTTAGCTACATTATGCACTATGAATTTCTCCACATTTTTTACATACTTTGGTACCACATTTATGGGTTTATAGATTCTCTTTGCATACCTAAAATGATATTAAATTTCATACAGAACAAGTTATTATAGCTTTTTATTTAAGCTCTAAATATTTAGGATATAAATCTTCACAATATTGTTTTATTATTAAAGCACTATATTCTATATTGCATGAAGGACAAGTTATCTTAAATACACTTCCACTCTTAATTGTTTCTTTTAAATACATTACGATGCATTCTCTTTTTGATTTTAATATACTTACTTGCAAAATTGATGAGAACAATCTCCAGGCTTGATCATCTATTTTTCAATGAAGCAAATTAAACAATTCATATTTTTATTTCATATAACAATTGATATAATTTTCAGCAATAATTATAATAAATGTAACAATAGCATTAAACATTTTTCATAAATCATTTAATTTTACAATCTTTCTTTTTAATAAACAAACTAATTAAGAGGGCTCTTAAATATAATTACTATTGAAAATCTAAAGATTATATTCTTAAATTTATTATTATAATTATTATTCCTTTGTTTCTTCATTTTTTATAGGAAATTTACATTTTACTTATTTTTCAAGCTATTAAATGATAGAATTGACTAAGATTTTATTCTTTTCATCCTTTGTTACTCTGCCTAGTTTAATTTTATTTTCTTCCTATTTTAGTAAATTATAATATCTATTTTTAATTGTATTTTCTGTTCTTTTTTGTTAAAACACTTTTAGTGAGATTTCTGCCCATCTTTTTCCTCTTTTCGTTATTTCTTAAAAAAGTTTCAACTCTTCTTCCTTTGTCCATGGAAGGCTATAAATATTTCATATTTTTAAATAATTACTTCACTATATTTGGGTCTAATTTATTAACCCATCTATCTCTACATTATTTTCCTTATCGAATATAAGTTGTCTTACAAATTCTCATCATTTGAATTGCAATCTCACACCATTTATTTGGATATAATTGCTATAATTAAATTAAAGCCTAATCTTCAGAAGGTGTCCAACCTACTTTTTGATGACATTCTTCAAACCATCTATTTCGACAAGCTTTCCAATTATGATATCTAAACATTCTTGAAACCTATTCCCATTAATATGAACTCTATAAAGAATAATTCTAAATTTTTACTAATTCGATAGGAATTTATTTGCTTTTCAAACAAGTACCTAATACTAATACATTTAAGAATTTATCTTAGCATGCAGTCCACATTCCTCTTTTACTATTTTAAGCTCTCTCTACAGAATTTAGTATAGAATTGATTTCCTCAACAGTAGGAAATGGTGAGAATGAGAACTAATGATTTTTAAGAAGTGATTATGCAAATTCATGATCAATTTATTGAAACATCTCCAAAACTTATTGTCTGTCCAATGGCGTTTTTTTTTGCATTTGCAAAATGATGTTTATTATATTAAATGCAATAATTTTTTGTACATAAAAAACTGATATAATCAAGATAATTTGATGTAAAACTTTGATTTCTTTTCAATATTTTTCTTATTCTGAATCAATTAGATAAAATTATTACCAGTTTAAAAATTTTATCAGATTGTTCTGTCATTCTGAAGTTTTAGTTTGTTTTTTAAAACAGTACTTTCCGAATTTAAATTTATTCTTACCTATTTTTCCCATGACTTTATTATAAACTCTAATTGAAACTTTTTATATTTACAAAAATAAGGTTGAAAGGAGGTCATTTTTTATAGAAGAATATAATTGCAGAAGATTAGTTTTTTCATATTTAAATACATACTCATAATAAATTTATAATAAACCAAAAGTATTATAATTTAAGAAACTTCTTAAATCGAATCATGATAAATTAAGAAACAGTAATCTTTTTGCCTAAATTAGAATGTATAAAATGACGAAATATTAATTTAAAAAAAAATTTTTCAAATAATATTAACAAGTTTAGACTGAAGATTATAATGATAAAAATTTTAATTTCAAACATTTGGAATAAATTTGAAGATCAAAATTTTAATCAAGATATTATAAGTAATACAAGAATAGTGATTGCATCAGAAATATGAGCAAACATTATTATATTTTATTTAAAAGTATTCAAAATAAGTTAATTGTAATATTTTAGTGTAATTTGCATATGTTTAATATGTTAAGCAATTTTAAAATTCCTTTAATTTTATTTATTTTATGAATTATATTGATAATAATATTAATAAAGTTTATATTTCAATAAATAATTATTTTTTTGGTTTTGATAAAAAGATTAAGAATTGAAAAAAAGTTTTGCTATTTGATTTTAGATGATGATTATTGAAGAATATAGATTTTATTATAAGAAAGAGATAAAAATTATTAGTTTTAGGATTAAAGAATGATGTAGAAAATAAAGTAGTATATATAAAAAGGTTTAATATAATAGTTTGAAAAGTTGGTTTGTATTAGATGGGACACATTTTGAAAAGTGAAAATTTGGAAGCGAGGAATAAAACACAGAATAGTCCATAAAATGATGATATTTTGTGGAATCATGTATGTAGCGTTTATTAATTTATTCAATGTTTATAAATCCTGTGAATGGTATGTTCTTTTGCTTCCCTTATTTGTATTAATTACCAATTCCTCATTTCTTGGTAAAAGAGGAAGTTTCTGAAAGCGAGAAAGAATAAACAGTTTCAAATATTGAAGAACAAACGAATGCAAGTGGAATAGTGAGAGGGAAAGGATAGTTATGGTCTAAAGATGAGGTGGATAACTTAATTAAATACTATAAATAATATAATGGTGATTGGAAGAAGATAATAAAACACTTGAAAGGAAGAAATATTTCTTAGTGTTCATAGAAATATAGGAAATTATAGGATTAAGAAAAGAGAACAAAGAGGAAGTGGTCGATAGAGGAAGATAAGATATTGTTAAAATGTTATGAATAATATGGAAGACAATGGATTAAGATAGCTGAAAGTAAAAAGTTTAGTTACTAAATATAGAACTACCTGGAAGAACATCAAAATAAGTAAGAGATCGATATGTGAATTAAATAAATCCAACATTAAACCATGATTAGTGGGATGAAAAAGAAGATGAGACAATAATAAAAGAATTTGAAATAAATGGACCACATTGGGCATAGATAGCTAAGATGTTAAATAATAGATCTGTAATACTGATATTCATAATTATTAGGAAAATTAAGTTAAAAATAGATTTTATTACACTATACTTAAAAAGTATAATGGAGAGCTTCATCCTTATTTGAAAATTTAACATTGATTCTCTATATTTTTACCCTATTTTAATATAAATTGAATTATTTGTAAAAATATATATTAAGTATGAATTAATTACTAAAGGAAGAAGAGATTTCATAGGAAAAGGAATAGATTGAGAATGAATAACCAGAATAAGTAGAACAAGAGAATGATTTTCAATAAGATACAGAATAATAAGATAATAAAGTTGATGATGAATAATAAAAATAAGATAGTTTAGAGTCTCCAGAGAAAGAGTTGAAAGATTAACCAGAAAAGAAATAATAGATTGTTAAATAGAATTCTAAGAGAGTGGATTCATAGGAAGAAATAAAGACTACTACATAAAGAAAGGAATTAAATAAAAGAATGGAAACTGAAAAGTAATAAGGATAGAAAACAACATCTGAAAGAACATTTAAAACATTAGAATAAATATATAGCAAAAGAAATACTCAATCTTAGTTACATCTTAGAACATCAGAATAATTTGATACTAAAATAGTTCATGATTAAATTAATCGATCTCATTCAAAATAATAATATACATTTTCGAAAGCAGAAAGATTCTCGAGAACTAGAGAAAGTTATTGTTCTATTTAATTTTATGATTCATAGTAATAGTTAATTAAATTATAGAATCTAAACCTAATTAAGTAAAAGATCTGCAGCACTTGGATATGGAAATAAATCAGATTTTACTAAAAAAGATAAATATATACCAGGTCCTACTGATTATTTGATTAAGTTAACTCCAAATCCTGGAGTTAAATTTGGATATGGCAGAGAAGAAACAATAATAAAAGGAATACATGGTAGACCAAATAAGAACCCAGCTCCTAATTTGTATTAAGTTAAAGATATAATAACAACTTATAAATATTCAATGGGTGAAAGAACTTCAGCAAAACGTACTAATTTTGACAATGATTAGATATTTATCTTGAATCAACAACTCCAGCTCCTGGAAGATATGATCTAGGAGGACTCACAGCTAAAGGTAATTATTTTATTGGAAGATTCAAAAGTAGTGGAGCACCTGTTATATCTCCATCAACTACTATTATAAAAAGATTGAAAAGAATTCCAGGTCCTGGCACTTATGATCCTCCTGGAGATATTGGAGATCTTAGAACTTATCTCCCATCTCAATATTCTATTAGAAGTGGCTTTAGATTTGGATTTTAAGAAAGACATACTCAAAATATTAAAAATAAATTATGTAAATTATTATTATTATTAAATAATATAAGATCCTGGTCCTGGAACTTATTAATTACCATCAGAATTTGGTGACTATGAATACCCACCTCTTATTTGATATAAATAATTAAAATCAGAATCTTATATTACACAAGGCTGCTACTATTATATCAACAAAATGAGCTAGTTGTTTAGTTAACGGCTCTTCCATTCCCAAAACACCTTCACTAGGTGATAATAATTGATCTTTCTCTACCTATACTTTTAGTTTACATTTTAAACAAGTCTTAAAAATAATGATTTATTATTACTTCAATAACAGCTACTGTATTATTGTTTTTATCTAATAATGGTTAAGCAAATATTGGTAATATAGACTTTATGTCTACAGCTTGATTGAAATGAATTGAGTTTTTTACATCATTTATTATCAATTTCTATTTTGTATGTGCCACCATTCCTGCTAATCCATATTAAACATCATATTTTTTAATATCCTATGTACTATAATCTATAAGTTTATTGTCTTCAAAAAAGTAAAACAAAACTTATGAGAATCCAAATATTTAACTAAGACTTTATTGAACTCTAGCAGAGAATTCTTATTTGCTTTAACTCTTCATTAAATTTGTAAATCCATCCATCATCATTCCTCTATACTTTTAAGTAATTAACCATGATTAACTTAAATAATCAAAATTCTATACTTATCAATTAACCTTTATAATAAATGTCCAAGTTGATGAGAAGCTAAAATACCAAAATATTCTTCATCAAATGAAAAGAATTCATTCTCAGTATTAGTTACTTCCAAAACACCTCGAATAGCATCATTACTTTCACAAAACAAAGGCAATAATAATGCATTTCTAGCATAATCAGCTTATTCAGAATCATTAATTCTATATAATAATGGTTTTTATGAAGCTTATGAAATATTTTAGGCTGCTCTTAATTTAAAAACATCAGCAACTTGGCCTTTATGTTATAAAGCTCTAATCTAATTCCCAGTTTCTAAATAAGTAAATATTGTCCCATTCATTCCATCAATTAACCACAATCTAACTTATTCACATCCAAATACTTAAGGTAATACTCTATTAACTTAGTGTATTATCTATTGAATCAATATACTAATTTTACATCTTCAAAAAGAATGCATTTACTGAATTACTCCATATAAAAGAAAAATTGATTCATCTTTTCTGCAAACTCTTTATAAGATAATAATTATTAAGCTATAATTTAAAATTATTCCTTTTGAGATTCTACTGGAAGAGTAAAATTATGCTGACAAGTTGCTAAAACTCCTTTGTCAGTAAGATCATTTAACAAATGTTAATTATTTAATCTTTAACTAACCACTCTAAAATCTAAAGTCTATGGTATTCTAAAATTAACTAATAAATCAATATCATCTTTTCTAAATACAGATTTTTCATCTTTCCCGATATCATCTTAGTTTTTCTTCCTCATATTATCTATTGTCTTCTGTAATCTATTTACTAATTATGTATATTAATTTAGTTTTCCTTGAACTCTTTCAAGTTCTTATTTCTTGTGTTCAAATTCTCTTTTTATTAATTCATTCTCTTTTAATAACTCATTAAGACTGCTTCTTAATTTATCATTTGGATTCAGTGCTGAATTTACATCATTCTCTAATAGAAACTCTATTCTTTTTTCTAAAGCCGTGATTTTTTTAGAATTAGAAGCATTCAATTTCCTTTCTTATTTTAGTTGTTTCTACAATTTAGAATTCTCATCTAATAATTTATTAGTCTTTTAACTATGTACATCAATCACACTTTGAAGAGATTGATTTTTATCTGATAATTTCAGTTACTTCATTTATAATGATGAATACTTAACTACCATAAGTTAATTAAAATACTATTCTTCCTCTCTATTTCTCTCATCTTGAAGCCTAATTCAATTTCAGTTTTTGCTGATTGTTATAAGGTTTAAGAAATGCTTTTTAACAATTCTTAAATTTTCTACAATGTAGTTTGATTTTTGATATTGTGGACAAACTCTTTACCACCTATGACTGAGATCAATAAATCTAAAGTGCTGCATCTAGATTTAAGAATTTCATGCATTTCACGAATTCGCTGCATTTTAATAAATAATTACTAAAAGTTCTTCATCCAATTAATCAGACTATTTGTAGCCATATGAATCTTGTTCTTCTGCTATAGTAATGGTGGGTCTTTCGGCACTTATTAATTTCCTAGTGTTTGAGTTTGTAGTACTCACAGAATTAAATTGAGTACTCATCTTTGGTAAGGCTTGCATATAAGATCGAGGAGTTCCTAATTATTATGGTCTTTAAAAGTCCTCTGAAAAATTCTAACGATGATGTTGATTAAGAAGCAATCCCAATCCTTTACGTGATGCTTTTGCATTATCTGATGTTTACATTATTAATTTAAATACATTATAATACAATTATAAACTCTTTATATATTTATTTATATCATCAATCAATTATTTACTAAATTAATTTATAATTTATTTATTTCTAGAATTTCATAAAAATTATAAAAGAACTCATAGAATTCTTGATTTTAGAAAATTCTAGAGATTTTATACTTTAAATCATTGACTTTACTACTAGAACCATCAATTAATTTAAGAAATGTAAACAACTCATAATAAAGAAGAACAATTTCATTTTAATGCAGATATTCAACAATTAATGGGACTCATTATTAATACATTCTATTCAAATAAAGAAATTTTCATTAGAGAACTCATATCTAATGCTTCTGATGCTCTAGATAAAATCAGATATAAATCAATTACAGATCCAGATAGTGCAGGATTAAATGTTGAACCAAATTTCAAAATTAAAATTATTCCAGATAAAAATAATAATACATTAACTATCTAAGATACTGGTATTGGTATGACAAGAGATGAATTAATTAATAATCTTGGTACTATTGCTAAATCTGGAACTAAAGCATTCATGGAAGCACTTAATTCTGGAGCTGATATTTCTATGATTGGATAATTTGGAGTTGGATTTTATTCAGCCTATCTGGTTGCTGATAAAGTAGTTGTACTTTCAAAAGCAGTTGGATAATAATAATATAGATGGGAATCATAAGCTGGTGGAACATTCTTTATTTATGATGATAGTGAAAACCCTACTTAATTGACTAGAGGTTCAGCTGTTATTCTTCATCTCAAATAAGATGATTTAGAATTTTTAGAAGAAAAGAGAATTAAAGATTTAATTAAAAAACATTCAGAATTTATTGGTTTCCCAATTGAATTATAAGTTGAAAAAACTCATGAAAAAGAAGTTAGTGATGATGAAGAAGATAATAAAGAAAAGAAAGCTGAAGAAGGTGAAGTTTAAGAAGAAAAAACAAAAGATGATAAGAAGAAGAAAAAGAAGATTAAAGAAGTTACGACTGAGTTTGAATAGGTTAATAAAAACAAACCTTTGTGGATGAAGAAACCAGAAGAAATTACTAAAGAAGAATATGCTAATTTCTATAAATCATTAACAAATGATTGGGAAGATCATTTGAGTGTCAAATAGTTTTCAGTTGAAGGTGGCTTAGAATTCAAAGCTGTTCTTTTCATTCCTAAAAGAGCTCCATTTGATTTATTTGAAACCAAGAAGAAGAAAAATAATATTAAATTATATGTTAGAAGAGTATTTATTATGGATGACTGTGAAGAATTAATCCCAGAGTATTTAGGATTTATTAAAGGTGTTGTGGATTCAGAAGATTTACCATTAAACATTTCTAGAGAATTCCTATAACATAATAAGATTTTGAAAGTAATTAAAAAGAACATTACTAAGAAATGTATTGAAATGTTTTAAGAGTTGTCAGAAAATGCTGAAGATTATAAGAAATTTTATGAATAGTTTTCAAAAAATATAAAATTAGGTATTCATGAAGATTCAGCTAATAGAACAAAATTAGCTGAATTTTTAAGATTCCACACATCAAAGAGTGGAGATGATTAAATTTCATTAAAAGATTATATAGGAAAGATGAAGGAAGGACAAAAAGATATCTATTTTATAACTGGTGAATCAAAAGCTTCAGTAGCAGCTTCACCATTTGTTGAAAGTTTAAAGAAAAAAGATTATGAAGTAATTTATATGGTAGATCCAATAGATGAATATGTTATTTAATAATTGAAAGAATTTGAAGGAAAGAAACTTAAGAATTGCAGTAAGGAAGGATTAGAATTAGATCAAACAGAAGATGAGAAAAAGAAATTTGAAGAACTTAAATCATAATTTGAAGGTTTATGCAAATAAATAAAAGATATACTAGGTGATAAGATAGAGAAAGTATAATTAGGATAAAGACTAGATCAATCACCATGTGTTTTAGTAACAGGTGAATATGGATGGTCAGCTAATATGGAGAGAATAATGAAAGCTTAAGCATTAAGAGATCCATCCATGAGTAGTTATATGATGTCTAAAAAGACATTAGAAATAAATGCATCTCATCCAATAATGAGTGAATTAAAAAAGAAAGCAGATAAAGATAAGAGTGATAAAACTGTTAAAGATTTAATTTGGTTGCTATATGAAACAGCTTTATTGACATCTGGGTTTAATTTAGATGATCCTACTCATTTTGCTAGTAGAATTCATAAAATGATTAAATTGGGATTATCAATAGATGATGGTGCTATTGAAGAAGAAGATGAGAAATTACCAAGTTTAGAAAAGAAAGGTGATAATATCAATACAGAGGCTACAAAATCAAAAATGGAAGAAGTTGATTGATTTTTATATATATAATTTAATAATATATATATATATATATATATATACAAATTTATTAATCAATTCATCCAAATGATTTAAGATAGATACTCAGCAATTAATTCTCTATATTAATGCAGTGCTTATTAATTACATTTAGTTTTCTTTAAAGTTTGATGTATTTAACAGCAAAAGTTAAGTTTAATCATTATAAGCAACTGCTCTCTAATTGAGATTTAAGAGAATGATTTATCAAAGCTCCATGGATCAATTATTTAAATGTAATACTACTGTTGATTAATAGTCAAATTAAGTGCAATACAAGGGATTTTCATTTATGGAAAAATTAGTCGTTTTATCAAAGTTTATTATTGTTACTATTTTTTTGTATTGATTAATTTTTAAGATTCATCAATCTCAGATTCTTCATCTAAACTTTCATGTTATTTTGTCTGTTCTTATTATATTTATTAAAGCTGTTATTAGATTTACATTTATTTAGCCAAAAGCCTTTATTCATGATGAACCATAATCAATCTTGTAATATCTTAAACTAAATCAAAAAGCATAATTAGTGTTCTTATTATTCTTATTGCATAGATTAGACAATATCTCTAATATGATTCTGTTGTATTTATGTAATCCGTCAATGATAACAAATCAATTATTAGTAGCATTAACTGATACAAATTGAAAGATGATGAGAGCTTTGTTACTTTACGATATAGAGTTGATAATAAAAATGGAATCAGGCAAAATCTGAAAACCTATTGTAAACTCATTACCTACTTTTGTATATCTTCCGAATTCATAATTATACAACAGGTTCTTTTCTACTCTATAGGCAAACTTAAGAACTCTTCCACTCATTTTTGTCTCCTCTCTTCCCACCTTTATAAACATACATAATCCAACAGACAATCCAAACTCAATTATTTAGAACACTAACCCAAACATTTATTTATTTATTATTATTTCTATTATTATATTTTTTATTTAATAAATCCTCCTTCAGTTTATTTATCAGCATAAACATATTCCTATATTTCACTCAATAATTTTTTAATATCAAGATAACTCCTCCTCTACTTGCTTCACATAATATATCCAATTATAATTGTGAAATTTCTTAAAATTCCTACTATGCTATAAATTTAAATATTTTTTTTTGATTTCTATATAGATTGACCTTTTTAATTTATTAATTTTGAAAAATTTTCATTAAAAAAAAATATTATTCAATTTATAACTTAAAATTTAATGGATTCTATCAAATTATTTGTTATATTAAGGCTATCTAATATATGTTTATTTATTTTTTCTCAAAATATTATACAATATTTCAATCTTCTAAATCCTAAATATTTATAACTATTATAATTATTTAATAAAATAAATTAGCTCGGAACTAAATCTCTGAAAAAGATTAAATACTAAAAAATATTTTCATAATCTATTTATATTCTTAAATTAGGATTATAATGTAATTAGTAAAAATGATCAAAAATCAATCATCAAAATTTTAATAAAGCAAAGTTTATCATAAAATTTACAAATAATAATTTCTATCTATTTAAAGTTAGTTTTTTTAATATGATTAAATCAATGATGAAGTTCTATTTTCTGATAATAAAAATACCTGTGAGGGCTCTAAAATTAAATAAGTTGATTGAGGTATGAAAAGAATTAGTTAAGATTAGTACATAAAATTATTAATAAAAAGATTTAAATAAAAAATCAAATTTTATTGAAGGAAATGGCAGCAAATAAATTTTGGAAGAAGAAAGAAGTAACAATATAATTGTAAGTGAAAGTTATCAAGCTTGGAATAACAAGTTGGATCAGCTTTGACATAAATTGAAACAACAATAACAGAAGTCAAAAATCTAAAAGTATCATCTGTAGTGGACTACACCTCAAAAATAAATGCAAAGAAGTAGGTCTATTTGGTATTAATTCCTTATCCATGTTTGAGCATTTATAATAGAATCAGGTATAGATATATATTAATAATAGCTCAAAATTATTACCTGAATTAGAAAAGAGAGTCAAGGCCACAATATTAGTAGCTGCCAAAAGAACAATTGAAAGCAAATGGGTAAAGAGTCATAGATCTTAAACAAGACCCAACTCAAGAACTCTTACTTCTGTCTATGATGGCTTACTTGAAGATTTAATTAATCCTTCAGTCATTCTTGGAAGAAGAACAAGAGTCAGAGTTGATGGCTCTAAATTTTATAGAATGTAAAACATTAGTCAATTCAATCTTAAGATTCCTTGATGAAAGCGATCAAAAAGAATTAGAGCATAGACTTGATTCAATTAAAGATGTCTACAAAGTACTCACAACTAGAGATTTGGAATTCGAATTTAGAAGAGATGATACATTCTATCAAAAGAGAGGAGCAAAGAAAGTAGCCAAAAAATGAACATGATTATCATAAGTATAGTAAAATACACGTTGTATATCCAAGATAATGTATCAATTGCTCTTTTATAATCTATATATTTTGTCAATGTTATTATATTATTAATATCTCACTATTACTTTATATCAAATTTTTCTAATTCTCCAATAAATTAATTATAAAAATTAATTTATTGTGGAACAGCTCTTGCACTAACTATTGGCAATTCGTAGGTTATCAATAAATAGACTCTTTTACCATTATGCTTTTTACAAATTCCCTAAACAATAATTAACTTTTCCAAATTACTCTTGCTAATGAGATTCCTTCTCCAACATCTGCATCACCTCTTCTTCCATAAACCAGAGGTGGATGCCATCTATGAACTTCATAATGTTCTCCTAATAACACAAATCCTGCACCTATTGTGTTATCTCTTACGTCATATGCTTTTAAATAAGGTGCTAACTCCTCTTTTGAAGCTGCGCAATTTTTATGAGTTATCACATTCAAATCTTCATCAAATATTATTGCTTTAGCCCACTATTTATTTATTAAAACCTATTTACCTCATCTTACTTTTTCAATTCTGCCAACAATTATGCAGCATCTAATCCTTAATCCATAATTAATTTAAAATAAAAATTATATTCAAATTTATCATATTCCTATCTTTTCCAATTTATGTTTATAATCTATTATATTATATTATATTATAACATATTACTACTATCACGAATTTATACTTTACAACTCAATTTGATACATTTATAATTATTACAATCTTAATTAATATAGACTATCCTTGTATAAAAATAAGAATAATATTTTAATTCTGTTATCATAAAGTTATAAAGTTTTGTTTATTATTTTTCATCTTGATAATTAAAAAATTTTATTTGGAAAAAATTATAATTATATTTTATCTAAAAAGCAACTAATAAGAAAATATATGTAAGGATAATATTATTCGCTTAAAAGGAAAATAAATACATCAAGTTAGCTAGTGAGATCAAATTAATTACTGTCACTTGCAGAAACTAATGATTAAATATAAAAAAATAAAACTGACTCTTAATTATCAAACTCGCATAAAAAAATATCAAGATCAATTAATAATCTTCAAACTAAGAAAGATCAAAATTTAGACTTAGCATTCATGACTGTAACAAAACCAGATTCAAGGTATGATTTTAGTAAGTTTCCTAATTTGGAAAAAAAAACTGATGTTTAAAGAGTGAATTGGTTTACTAAATAAAATAAATAGATAGAATAATAACAAAATTTTTTAGAATTCTTAAATGCTACAAGAGCATAATCTACAAAAAATTAACCTAAGCCTAAACTTGTTCATTAAAGCAAAATTGATGATAAAAATGAATTAAATTACTGTGACAAATATTTTGTAGTTAAAACACCAATTAAACCTATTTAAATTAAATAAAAAACTTCCAGTAAATGTAATCATATTTATTTAGGAAAGAACTAATAAGTATGAGCTCAACTATGAGTAGGATTAAAAAAAAAACTATAAACAGAAATTTGAATTTAGAATGTACTATAAAATTTAAATTAAATAGAATTTATAGAAAAAAATAATGAATTACGTAGACATTGTTAAACTTAATAAGATCATCAATATACTTAAAATTCTATTTTGGAGTAATTACAAATTAAAAATATCTAACATATTAATTTGTATTCATCTGTCAAAAGAGGTATTAAGAATTAAATTTTACATAATCAATATAAGAGTGAAATTAAAGATTTAATAGAATTAGATGATGAATTGACTGAATAAGATTATGATACTATTAAAGAATTATAAAAAAAGTGCATTTTTCAAAATCCATTCACTAATACTCATTAAAACTAAAATAATATGGTTAATTAAGAGATTGTTAACATTAAATCTAAAGTTAATGATTAAAATGAAAATGAATAGTTTATGATTATTCAAAAAAGAAAAAATAAAATAAAAAGAGTTTTATTGTAAATAACTTTATTTCTACATTGGATGATTGAACATAAACTTAAATATGAAGACATTATTAGTGGAAATGTTTTTTAAGCTAAACCATATTAAAGTGAAAAGTCTAAATAATGTTTTTAAAAAGTAAAAGCAAATGATATTGAAGTTGTGAATTAATTTATAGGTCATAATAAATTTCTGGTTTATGATTATGATAATTTTAAATTAACTATGCTTCATCATGCAGTTATTAGAGATTATCCTGAAATGGTAATATTAATTTTACAAAATTATGCTGAAGTTAATAGTAAAGATATTGTAATATATTTAATCTATTAAAGTAAGGTAGAACACCTTTATTTTATGCAATCAAAGGAAAATGCAATTAATGTGTTTGCATTTTATTATTTTACAAAGCCTCTCCATGGGGTAATACCAAGAATAATTATGATAAATATCTAGAACTTTTAGATCCTAGAGTAAGAGACTTATATAAAAAAGCAAAAACAGTAAATAAATATGAAAATAATTTTAGATTCATCTTCGTATGTAAATACTTAAAGCTTCCAAAAGAGAACATTATTGGTCATAATAAAAATTAATATTTACATATAAATGATTATTGTAATTTTATTTTTGATTTCATTCTCATATGCTCATGAATGGGATGAAAATACGAAAGTTAAATTATTGAATGAAGAATAATATGATTAATTATGTAAAAATCATAAAGAGATCTAGAAAATGATGAAGGAATATTTATTATGTTTTATGCTCCATGGTGTCCTCATTGCATTAAATTAATTCCTACTTGGGAAATTCAAGCTTAATAAAGAAATACAGCAGCTGTTAATTGTGAATAACATTCGCGACTTTGTTCCAGATTCAAAATTAAAGGTTTTCCATCTTTGATTTATATTCCACCATAATCTAAATTTGGATATAAATTTTTTGGTTTTTATTAGGATTATTTTAAGGTAATAGAACTAATGATGAATTTGATCTTTTTATTAAAGAAGGTTGGTAAAAGGAGACCATTTTAAAAATTGAAATATTATAAGAATTTACTATTATAGATTAAGTCATTGAATATCTTAAAGATCCTATGTTTATTGTATATTTTAATATTAATATTTAAGGGAGTTATATTAGTGATGTTATTTTTCATTTTTATGATTTTTTGTATGAATAGATTAGATTTAGAAAAAGAGTAAATGCAAAAAAATAAGGAATAAAATGCTCAAAAAAAATTAGATTGATTGATTTATTATTTTCATTTTATTTATGAATTTCAATTATTTTCTAATTTATTATTATTATTTTCTTGTTTACATTTTTATAATAAATCGCTAACTGTAACATCCAAAGAAGCTATAAGTTTCTAATTAATTTCATTCTGTTAATCCTATAAAATTTATAAGATTGCATCCTAAGTAATTCCTTATTATTTTATTTGTTGATCATTATGTAATGTTATTTCTCCTTAGATTTCTCTTTATTTTTGGAAATTATTAAATTTTTCAAATAATATTCGTTAATTTTCATTAAAAATTATATACTTCAATTTTTCAACATCTTAAAGTCGTTTTAATATATTAATAATATTTAATTAATAGCTAATTTCTTTGTGAGCCCGCCTAAATTAAAGAATATTTTCATCATCCTAAAAATTATTAAAATTTTACTTTGGAAATAATGCATCTTAAAGCTTAAAATGCGTTTAAGTATCCAAATTTAGAATTGGTATTTTTTTTAAATATCATTTTTTATATATATTAAACATATGTTTAAAGAATTGTTTTATATGATTTATCCTTCTTTCCCTATTTTTTACAAATATTATCCTTTATAGACAAAGTTTTATTTGTTATAATTTAATCTTAACAAATTTAAACTTATTATTCTAATTATCTTTACAAAGGGGAACCTAATTTTTCATTTTTAATAAAAGAGGAATCCTTTTGTTAATTTTCCTCATTTTATTATTTGTCTTGAAATTCATATAAAGAGTTTATAAGGTTTAGAAGTAGACTAACTTTATTAATTGGTTTAGAAATAATGTAAAAGAGACTAAACAACACTTACCATAGACCTCCTAATTCTGCTAAAATTTCTTGTAATTTTGGATATGTCCTATAATCAACTAATTCAGTAGAATCAAGTCTGATTACTACATTCATAATTAAATCACTTTGGTTTAAATCAAGCATTTCTGTATGTTTGCCATATCTCAAAGTTTTTTCATATATTAAGTCAGTTTAAATTAAACCTATATCTGTAATAGTAGTCAGAGGCTGTAAATATATTGATATTTCCTTATAGATGTTATTTGAGATAGTAGTATATAGATCTTATCCCTTTGGATCATAAGGTGAATTAGGATTTTTTAAATTCGTAGTCTAAGATGAAATTTAAAATGAAAAATAATTCTGCATTAATTGTTATTCAATATCTTTTTATTTTTTGCAAGATATATTTTTTTTAGTTTTTTCATTACAAGTATTGAATTGTATAATTATATATTCAAATTTAGGAGCATCAAAAGTGCCTTCAATTTAAATACTAGAAATTGAATTCCAATCTATACAATAATTAGTTGGTAAATCTAAATGTGAAAAATATTCTTATAGTTCCTTCTGTTTAATTAATTCTTAATTGCATTTGACTAAAGGTAACTCTTACTTCTCATAAGTCTCTATTCTTTATCCATTTTAGTTTTGTACTTATTTTTTGACAATATAAGCATTTACAACATAAATTGATTCATCAATATAAGTATTGAAAGTAGAATTTTAAAATGCAAAGGTCATAGTGAAATTAAAAGGAGTCAAACTATATTATTCAGGTTAAGAATGATAAATTTCTGAAGTTAGCGAGGAAGGATTGCTTCTATCAGAAAGTGTAACTAGTTTTTAATAAAGTAGGTTTGAGAATAATGCTATCAATAAGACTGTTAGAATAGACCCAAATAAAGTTTAGTGATATTCTTTTTTATCAACTTGTAATTATAAAGGTTAGGCAAACAAATCAAACTTTTTAATTCCTTTTAAGATAATCTAATTCCTTTGCATTTATTTAGAATTATATTAAGAATATATTAAATAATTCTCAAGAAGAACTTATTTCATAATATCATTTTAATTATCATAAAAATAATTATAATGTCATAAGTGTGTTATTTATAATATAAATATTATTTAAATAAATATAAATTATGTAATCATTATTAATATATTGAACTCAAAAATATAATGATAATTTCTCTTTTTTTCAGCTCTACCCTTAACATATTGTTTATGAATGTTTTTATTAAATTATAGTGAAAATATTTGTTAGTTTTAAATTTTCAAGTCAAAAAGGTTTGGGCATATTAAATAAATTTGATGTTTATAAATTGACTGATGTAAATGGTTTTATTATTTTAAATAATTATTAACCTTATATTATAACTATATGGAGAGAAAAATAATAGAGTTTATTTAAGAATGTCAAACAAATATTGGAAATTACTAAGATTTATCTTAAATGGAGGAAATAGTTCATTAACTTATTTCAATTGTTTGTATAAGTTATTATTATATTTTGAAGATTTTCTTATAGAATAAGGCTAACAAACCTTTGAAGAAGAAAAATAAAAATTTTAAGCCCTGAATTAAGACTTTTCTAATTTATCAATTTAATATAGTCAAGCCTTATTAGAAATTTAAACACTCAAAGCACACCATAAATAAGATGTAGAAGAATTTTCTGAGTTTGAGGATCGAATGATTAAAAAGGAATTATTTATAGAGAAAGAAAAAGAAGAATAACTTTATAATATGAAATCGAGCACAAATGAAATGATGAAATCAATGAAATTTCAATAATAATAATTAGAAAATATAAAGAAATAAAATGAGGATCAGTAAATAGAAATTAAAGAATTGCAAAAATTATTACAATAAAAATAACTTAACACTGGACTGGCTGATGATCATTAAGAATCTTAAATCTAAACCATCATAAGTATTTAAGAACCAAAAGAAAGTTCTCCTTCATGTAAAAGTGTTTAATTAAAACAATAAGAAAGTAGTTCAAGTATTGAATTAAATACACATACTATTTAAAGAGAGCTTTGTTCTTAAACCATATTAACTACAAATATTTTAAGGGAATCTGGTCTTCATTTAAAATATAATCCTTGTCATTCTAAAAATCAGAGTATAAATTGGGTCAAGTTAGCTACAATTGCTTAAACTGAGTTATCTTCATCATCAAAAAGTGATGATGAAGAATCTGTTTTTAGAAAATCTTAAAGGAGATTATCAAAAGATTTGAGTACTGAATGTGAACCAATATTTTTTAGTAGCAGAAATCCATATAAAGATTTCTTTACATTGGTATGGATAATGAATATTATTTAGATTAGTCAATCAGTTAAATTAAATTTAAATTAAACAAAGTATTATGTTGTAAATGTTGATATGATGTATAATTAATTTCAGGTAGAAGGCATACCATTTCATAAATGGTACAAAAAAATAGAAAATTATATTTTATAATAAGTTTAATGATTGAGTTAAAGATTATATGTTATTAATTATTATTATTATTAAAAAATTCAATTGTTTATTATTCATTTTGATTTAGAATTTTTATTTTCTTCTATAACTTCTTCATCAAAAATAGATGAAAATAATTAATTTTCATATAATTTGAAATACCCTAAATTCTCTTTTACTGAAACAGCCTAAATAATATAAATTTTAATTACTAAGTCTTGGGATTACAATACATTGAATAAGAAATTTTTAACATAAATTTTTAAATTAAACTCTTAATCTATAAAATTATCATCAAACCAAAATTAATACTAAAAAAATAAAAATAATTAAAATTACTTCTATCCAATAATCTCTCTAATCATCAGGTTCTACAGATTAAATATCGTTGACTAATTATTAAATTTCTTCTTAGGTTGGTATTCTACATTCATATAAAATGATAGTAATAAGTAAAGTTTGATAACTAAATCGTACATTTGGATAACAACCCAAATGAGCAATCCTATTGATATTTAATTTATATTATGATAAAAATTTAGTTCTTCTTCTTTAAAAGGATTCATAAATATCCAGAGGAATCCATGCTGAATCACTAAGAGATTTAACTTCTTCATAAAATTAGATTGCCTATCTCCATTTCTCAGATTCAGGAATTAAATGTTATTACATATAAACCATTTTAAAGGCTTCTGAAATAGGATTAGGTTCTGGAATTGTAAGGATAGCATTTTATCTATTTTCAATTTATTATTTTAAATAATTAATTGATTCAAAACAAAAGTCATTTTCACTACATAATTTATAATTATATATTACTTTTTAATTCCACAAATAATCCAATCATCAATTCTTGAATAAAGAATATCTTCCATCAATAACATTTCTGTCATTTTGCTATAAGCCACGCTTCTGATAATTTAACCTCTTTTATATGCTATTTCTTTTTAAATTTTAATTATTAATGATTCTTCTCCTTATGTAATTTTATCGAGACAATCATTATAATAAGAAATAAGAACATCCAATTAAGGAAACTTATAACCTTCAATTAATTATGATTAAGGTGGTTCAAGAATAAAATGTTCACTCCAAGGTTTTCCTAATAATTAGATTTCTGTTAATAGATTTGTTTCAGTTTATAAAAGCATAAGTACATGTTACATAAATTATTATATTTAGATAGCAACAAATCTTTCCTTCTTCAATTTTTTAACAAAATCTAAAGCTTAATTCTTTTTATGATTTAGTATATCCCACAATTATTCATAAGTTTTTTATAGATGATCTTTTAACTATTATTTTGCATTTTTTTATTTGGATAAATCATCATTTTCTAATAAGAATTTATTATAGTTTTATTAAAATTCATGCATTATTTTTAATTTATTATCAGGACTCTCAAAGAATTCAATAAATGTTTTTTGAGTTTATAAAAATATTTATTAACATTTTTTTCTTTAATGACTCATTCTTCTAATATAAATGGTACTTTCTCTAATGTAAGTATTAGAAATTTCATCCCATTATTTTAAAATTCCTTTTAATTAATCTTAATTTAAGAATTCATTTTATGCATCTTTTTGTCTTGATGCTAATTGAGATCTACCTCTTTCAGTTGATTATTTAGCATCAAGTAGACTTTATTTTTCTTATAGTTATTATGCTTATTATTCTGTATTTTATTCTTCTACTTTTTCCAAATCTTGATTTTCTTATCCTTATATTTATTAAGATTATTATTCTTATAATAATTCTGAAGCTAATATTTCTTCAGTAATTTGATTCAAATACTCAAAATTATGAGTAAGTATTTTATTAATTAAATTATCTATCGATTTTGCAACTTCATATCCTTTACCAGTAACTTTAATGTGATGTAATAACTTAAAATCCTCTTCAAACCCAAATTATTCGCACCATTCTTAGAGTTTATCCAAATTATCATTAAATTATTGAAATTCCTTTTATAATTTCCTAATATTAAATGTAAACTTACTCTTCACTTTCATTTTCAATCTTTACAAGTTTATCTGGTTTAATCTCTGGTGGAGGTGGATTTTCCTCTAAATTATATATAATTTCAGTAAGGGGATCAATTCTTCTATTTTACATTCTTTAAATTCTTTATTCATATGGAGTATCTAAATTAACAATTAAATCTATTCCTGACTATTAAATTTTGTTAGATTCTTCTTAAGTTGGAATATCCAACAATTCTTAAAACTTTTTCTTTTTTTCCTCTGCAATCTAATTCAATCTTTCATCATAAGGAATAAAACCAGTTAATTGTTCTTCAAGCATTTTAGCTTAATTATAATTTTCTGGAAAACCAATTAAAACCCAACCTTTAGTATAATAAAACTATTTGGAATTTATATATTCTTTAATTAAATCTTCTTAAGTTGGTCCAGTACTTTAAGGAATATCTTTTTTCCCTGGTTTTTTTGAAGTCTTTTTAACTTCTTCTACAATAGGTTATTGATCTTTTTTTAATTAAATTTCTTTGGCTTCTTTCATTTCTTAGGCAACTTAAAGAGGAGTTCTCTAACCAAAAGTTTAATTTATTTTAATTAAGATTCCTTTTAAGAGTAATTCATCTGGAATGATAGTATCTTTATATTCATTAATTTATAAGCCATATTCTTTTAATTCTGGATTATCAACAACAGGTACTTCAATAACTTTTTTTGTATCTTTCTTTTTCTTAGGATCTTCAATTGGAGGAAAAGCAAGTTTTAATGATTCTTTTATAATAGATTCTATATCAATAATTTCTAATCCATATTTTTAATTTAAATATTTTGCAGTAGTTTTACGACCACTAAATTTACCTCCAATTAATGATATTTTTAAAGGTAAATAATAGTTAATACCCTCTTTTAATGGTTACATAGGATATAATTCATCAGTAATTTCAAATAGAAATTCAGCTAATGAAATATTTGCCATTAATTAACTCTCATTTTAAGTAGATTTCCAATCTTTAACTGCATGATAATATTCAACAAAATCTTAAGTAATTGCAGCAGCTATATTATCATGAAGTGGTTTTATCTGTGATTATTCATTTTACCATTCTTCGATAAATTTATTCCATATCTTTTTATCTAATGTTAAAGGTTTTACTTTTTCTTCAACATTTTCATTCATTTTTAAATAACATTTATCAGCCAAATCTAAGATTGTCAATATTAATGGTTGCATTTATTATATATGTTTCAATCTTTTTTAAACCTTTCTATTATAGTTTTATTCCATATATTAAACTTAAAGTATTCTCCATTCTTTTTATCTTTACAATCTAACTTCTTATTCTCTTGCTTTAGCTTCTTTTCTTAATTATTCAAAAAACATTTCTTTTTATTCTTCCAATACTTCACACATCAATATTCTTTCATTAAATTATAATTTCCCTCTTAATTTTTCTTTCTATCTTAAAGCAGCGTCTTGATTTGCAATTTTTCCATATTCTGAAAATTTATCAACTAATTCATCTAATCTTTTTTTAGCTTCTACTAATTCTTATTATTTCAATTATTCCACTAACATTTTATTTCTTCTTTTTTATCTTGCCTTTCTAGCTTCTTCAGTTTTATGAGTTCTCTCTCTTATTTTCATCATTGTTGCTACTGCAGAAAACTTAGCCTTTTCAGGCACTGGTTTTTTAGAAGGATCTTTTTCTATTTCTATTCCTTATCTGATACAAGTTTACAAAAATAAATATATATTGTTATCCATTGCTTTTTAATCATCTTTTTTCTTTTAATTAATTTCTGCAACCATTCTTCCTGTCATCATATCATTTAATTTTCTTTCTTTATCAATTCTATTATGTTTAACTGTTTCTGTATATTTCCAAAATTCATATATCTTTTTATCTTGTTCTTTAATAAATTCATGATTTGCTCTTATCTTTTCTAGTTCATTATCTCTAAGTGACATTAACCATTATTTCTCTTTCTCTTCATCTTTTTACTTCATTCTTACTGCTTCAATCTCATGGATAAGTTTCTCATCTCGAAATCTATGTAAACTCTCTTCAATAGACTTTAATTTCTTTGGTAATGAATTTATAAACTTCTCTTCATAACTAAAAATTGATATAACAGTTTCATTATTTACTTATTCACCAATGAATGTACTTATTTTTTATCTGTTACTTTCAATGTTTTTGTCAATTCATTTAAAACATCTTTTGTTTCTTTACGAGCAATTGTTAGTAATGAATTAACAGCTATTGGTTTACAATGTTATTTTATTGCTTTCAAATATTCTTCTATTTAAGATTAACCTTTTTCAACTTTAGGTTCAATCCCTACCAATTTTATTATGTGCTTTTTAACTATCTTTATATTCTTTTGAGTGGAATATTCATCAAATTTATTTGTTAAGATTTTTTTAAGAGGATTACCTGTTTTATAAAGTACTTCTTAAAAATAAAACCAATTCTAAAATTGCTTCTCAATGTCAAGAATTGCAGGTTAAAGTTTAATCTCCTTATTTAACCATCTTATTAATTCAGGATCTCCATAGATGGATTTCATTAATTGTTTAATAAATAAATAAAATAAATTGTATATATGTTATTATTTACTTATTTAAATTTATTATATTAATACAGAATTATTAGTATAATTAATAATATGTAATTATTATGATAACTCATCAAAAATCATCATCTTTTTAAGTATCATTATATCCAACCTCTAATATAACACCCTAATCACATTAAGTATTAAAATTTTCTGTGAAATTTTATTCCTATTCAACATATTCATCATCACTTTTTTATTGTGGTCTCTAATTTTAAAGCAGTGGTTCATCAACATTTTAATTTTCTTAATTATTAAACAAAGCATTTAACTATATAATAATTTTAAATACTTAATCAATTGCTCTTGTTATTTTTTGAATTGGGAAGGTTAAATAAAACGAATATTCCTTATATCTTTTCAATTTCCCAAGAATATCTTCAATAAGAGATTTATTAGAAGAAAAGTAATTTTAAGCTACTTAAAAATTATGAGTAATTTCTGCAATCCAAGATGCCAAACAATAAGAAAAGTTTTTATCACTCAAAAATTAATTGTTTATTGCATCTAAAATAGATTTGCCTTTAGAAAATGCAGCTAATTTTGCTTATGTCTCCATTAATGCCTAAAATAATATAAAGAATATATACTTAAAATCTCATTTCACCATAAGCATCTTATATTTTAAGAATACTTTCTATTATATGAAATATAGGATCTATTTAATGCCAAGCCATATTCCAATCTAATAAAATTTAAATTAATTATTCAATAATAATTTCACTTGTTTGAATATCATCAAAACAAAGATGTTTAGTCATATCTACAACAATTGGATTCAATTAAACAATAGGAGCAAAAATAGTTCTATAATCACCTAAATCTCTTATATCTGTAAGCATCTGATTATCAAGTCTTACATGTTTATTATAATTTTAGAATAAATATGTAGGTGTTTTTTCATTAGTTAATTTCATTCCATCAGTAAGTGAACCTAGAATACTTTTACAAATAAATTCACACATTGCTGAACATGTACTTTCCAATCCTTTATCATTAAGTTTACTAATATTCATACAATTTCCATGAAATTAATTATCTTAAATAGTTTCCTTATAAAGTTTATATATCTTTTGTAAATATCCCCTTTTCTATAAATGATCAATTATAAACCATGAAGTTGAAACTGAAAACTTAAGAATTAAAAAAAATTCTGAAGCTCTTCTCATTGATTTCTTACAGGTTGGTAATAAATTATCAATGAAAAATGATAAAAATTAAGTAATTGTTGAATTTTATTAATAGAATGAATGATTCCATTATTCTTCTTCTTAATTAACAACACATTTAATTGCTTGAATCAATAATTTACTGAATGCATGTTTAACATCTTATTATGTTGATTCCACAATAGTATTAATAAGTAAATTTAGATTGTTTTAAAGATGATTTAAGAACCAAAATGATGCTGAAGCAACCTTTTCATATAAAGCACATAAAACATTTACAGAATTAACAAATTCTAATTAATCTTTATTCTTTATTAAGGATTCCAAAGAAAAGAGAGTGAATAATTTTACTACTTTTAATGATGGAGATTCCTAGTTTTATAGTAAAGTATCTGATTACTATTGAATATTATAATTTTCTACTTATTCTTAATGATCTTGAAAATTGAATTAACAAACGAATTCTCTTACGAATGCTTAATAATCAGATGAATAAAATAATTGATTCTTTAAATATACAATATTATCTTAAATTATTTTATTTTATAAACATTTTTCGTTGGTTCCTTTTATTTGAATATCTTATTTATCAATCTTTTCATAAAATAGTAAATAAGCATTTTTTTATTTATTTTAATCCCAATCAAAATTATTATAATATTCATTTTATTAATTATTCCCACCAAAGCACTCTTATTTTAAATTCTCAAATTTAAATGGACTCACAAGTCTATCATCAAATTAAAACCATTTATTCTCTTAAGATTTAATGAATGAATAATAATGTCCACTATCTGCACTCCCAGTATGTATTAAAACACCAACTAATTTATATATGTAATCTGTATAATCATCTAATTATAGATTATTAATTAAATGATCTTTAGTCCATTTAAACATATTTATTTCTGATGGAAATTCAAAATAATCATTTACTTTTAATTTTAACATTCTATTATAATCAAATTCAAATCTTTTTAGTGTAAATATAAATGTATTAGGTAAATTCTTAAAATAACACCTTTTTTCTACATCTATTCTTCTATTAATTGCTTCACAAAAATATTTATTTTCTCCATCCAAAACATCTGCTTTAATAAATAAATCTAACGCTTCTTCTAAATTTTTTTTATTTTTTATTTCAATAGTAACAGTGAGAAAAACCTCATCAGTTTCCCTTTAAAATTCAATATCTTATTCTAATGATCTTATTTCATGTCCTAATGTACCACCTACTATTTGATGAATTAAATCTTATTGCAAAGTTCCTTTTTAATCTTTTTCTAATTTATCAGTTAATAAATTAAAAAATTCATTAACATCCTATTAAACTTAACAATTTATAGGTAAACCATCATAACCTTATAAAGTTCTAATAAATTATATAGGATTAATAAATGATTTAACACTATCCTATAATTGGATAAATACTAATTGCAATTAATATAAAGTATGATCTTATAATTTATTTTTACTAGATTCAGATTTTATTTAATCTACATCATCATAAATAACTTTTTCATTATTTTCTAAAATAGATATCTAACTATTTAATATTCCATGTCTAAATGCTTTATTCATAAAGAATTATTATAATAAAGAATTTATATAACATGTAGCACCTAAATTTTTAAGTCCAACAAATCCATAATGTCCTTTTACACCTGTATCAAAATCTTAATCAGGTTATTCGATTCTTCCATGAGTATTTGATATTGGATCAAGTAAAAGTAAGAAATTTTTTTCACAGTTTCTACTTGATTCAATTAATAAATGAAATGCTCTCTTTCTTGTAAGTTTTCTTTTAAATTTAGGATATTTTGCATAATCATCATTTAAATGGAATAAAAATTCATAAACTTATCTTATTAATTCTTTTGATAATGCTTCCTTTGTCTATGGACATATTTCAATTATAGCAGTTAATAAAATTAAATAACCTTAAATAACTTTATCTTCATTATCTTCAAATCTCTCTTCAATTATTGGTCTATCAATTATTTTTTAAATTATTTGTTATGACAATTCTTAAAAGTCAAAATTTTAAGTCAAAATATCATAATTTGTTCGCTTTAAAACTACTGCTGTTAATATAAATATATCTTCAAATTATGTTTATGGATTTACAATCTAAGGAATTAATTCCATTAATAAAAAGAATCCAAAATCTTATTAAACATTATTTTAAGGAATTTTACAAATTTAAATTAAGGAATAAGTTAAAATTCTTCTACATTCTTGAATTTATGATGAAGAGAGTACTGAAATGACTGATGAAGTGAAATTCTCAATTTCATAAATTGTTTAAACAAGTGATGGATTCTAGTACAAAATCAATAAAATTGTTTAGAAAATTTATTCAAAACCTAAATCTATTTTATTAATCAAAGATCTTAAGAGATCATCATATGAAAAATTCAAAAAGTCTTAAAATAATTGATTTTCTTTAAATTCAAGAATTAACAAATGTCTTTCATCAAAATTATCCTAAGTTTATTATAATGGTTTTGATATTGGTATTTAATGTTCTTCAACTGGAGGAGTTAATGGAGGAGTAATTGAAACAGCATTATTAAATTTAGGTGTTGATACTCCACTAGATTATTAATTTGATTAGGTTTCATATTTTAATTTTTATTTATCAAAGTCATTATTTTCATTAAAAAAAAATGTTGATGACAATCTATCTTCAAATTATTTGTACTAATTTCTCACTGTCTCTTTTAAATTTATTATTCTACTACAAAAGTCATCATTTCTTTCTACTTTTGATAATACAAATGCAGTAAAATATATTAAAAATATTTCTAAAGCTAATTATATTGTATTTGGATCAACATTAGGCATAAAAAATAATTATTATATTTAAATTAATCCACCTTACATTAAAAAATTTTCTCTACATTATTTACGTTTTCTAAGTTCATCTTAATCATCAATAAAATCACAATCCAATAATTCCTTTAATATCTATAAATTATAATATAATTTATATTTATTTTATAAATCTAATAAATTTTCCCATTCAGATGTTTATTAACATTTGTCAATTAATTCATATATTTCTCTATTTCTAGGAATCATAGATAAAATCTACCAAACCTTAGTATTCAAATTCTCATCATTTAAATTCAAAATATCAAATAATTTTTAAATATAATTATTATTTTCTGAAATGAAGGTAGCAACACTAAATTTTTAAACTAATTAAAAATTATTATTTTCATTCGAAACAACCTTTTAAAATTAAAATTAAGGTATTTATGGATTAGATATCGAAGTTTCACAAATTTATGTTTATATATATTTATTTGATTTTTCTTATAAGGGGTTGACTTATCTAATTTATTTATCTTAGAATTTTTAAAAGTTAAAATCTCTATTATCAATTAATTCCATAATTGTTACATCTAAATTCCAATTATTTTCATTTAATAAATACTCTACAAAATCTTTATTAAATTCATTTGTAATTTCAATAACATATTATATTTTTTCTTATTAATCGCTATTGAATTATTTTTGGATTGGAATTCCAAGAGGAATAGGTTCATTTAAAGAAAGTGGTATAACTTTATTTAATTTAGGTGGATAAACTTCTAGTAAATCATCTATATCCCCTTAACATATGGCTAAAGGTTTAGGATCTTCAACTTTCTAATTTTCATCCTATTAAGCTCTCATCAAAACTTAAAAAGTTGGTTTTTTATCAAATTTATAATCTTTCAAACTTTTTGAATTATCTAACCAAGTTCCTCTATAAACTATATCTATCTCATTCCTTTTTACTTGAGGATTAATCTTTTATCCAATTATTTACTTTACAAGTATTATTTTCATGTTTTCAGATACAGATATTTCTTATCTCTTTGGATGTTATGCATTTTTACATCTATTATCAATAATAATCATAATATTTTAATCATTTGATTCTCCCCTTTCAAAACTATCTTATTTTAAATATTTCATTCCTTCTACTTCTTCTAACAATTTTATACATAAATCTAAACATTTTTCAGTTGTATTATTTTCTATATTACCAAATATATTTTCAATATAATTTTATTTTAATTTATTCGATATAGATTAATTTATTGATTTAAAACCTGTTATTTATAATAAAAATTGCTAAACTTTTTAAACTATTTCTTTATTATTGCATCCAAAAAATAATTTCCATAAAATTTCCAAACCTACTATGTCTGCATCTTAAATTATATAAGAATCCATTATATCAGTTTTTAAAATTTTGTATTAAATATTAAAATACATGATTAAGTTTTATAAACATTAAAAGATTGGAACTGTATATGTATTATAGTCTATTTTAATTAGATAATCAAAAAAGAACATTTATAAAGCATCCAATGATATAATATTTTTATTTGAATTAAAAATCCATTTAAAAAATAAATCCTATTCTTTAGTAGTAAAAGCATTCTATACTAAAATCTACCAAATTATTTTTAAATGATGAGCTTCAATTTTATGATCAGTTAATAAATATAAAGATTAGTAAAATTTTAAAAATTAATCTATTACTTCAGTATAACGATCTTTATTTTAATCATATGCTCTCTTTTTAGCTTTAGCAATCACTGCCAATAATGACATTTTAAAATAATATTTTTATTCTAAATATTTTATTAATTCTGATTAAGAATTATAATTATCAATAGGATATTATGAAAAAGCAATTTTTGATATCATTTATATATGATTTTCAGTTTAAGGATCATTTTCAAATAATTTTTAAAATGCTTAATTTAAATATTTCATTCTTAAAAATCTGAATTACATGCAAATTAAATCTAATGCTATTTTAAATGCTTATTATGCTAAATCAATATTAGAATTTTAATTATTTATAGTCAATAAATATTCTACTATTCTACCTCTTATGCCCTCTCCTTCTTCATAATTTGTATCAATGCTGTCATCATTTTATATATTTCTTTTCTTTATTTCAAATTATTATTATTATTATTACAATTTTCGATCTTAATTTCGATTTATCAAATATTAATTCTCTGATTATTGTTATTCTTCACTGTATACTTTTATTGTTAATTTTTCTGGATTTTTAGTTGAATTTTAAATAGATTCTTATTCGATTTCTAATTCTGTCAGAATATTATCTTTAGTTTCTTTTTTTTGTTGAAAATATTTCTTATCAAAATTTTGATTTCTACCCAAACATTTAATAAAATTTAAAATATTAGAATCTACTTTTTACTCTTATATTTCTTGTAAAATTGCCTCCATGTCAGATTCAGACATTATTTCAGCAATATCATTCAAAATTTTAAATAGAAAATTACTCCAACTTTCATGTTTTCCTTTTCCCATTTTAAAAATTTGAATTATATCACTTGTTTAAAGTTAATTATTTCTATATAAAAAACGAATTATTGGACTTGAACGTTTAATCAATTCAAAATGAGATTTCTCTCCTAATAATTCTTAAAATAATTTATTCTTTACTAAGAAATTTATTAAAATATCTTTTAATATGTTATCATCATTCATTTAAGCAACTTCATAATTAACATAAAAGTCCATAAAGTTTAATGAAATGATCTTTTCACTAATTTATTGTAATCCTATAATATATATAATTTTATTTATACCAAATATACGTTTTTCAAATGTAGGACATTTAAAATAATGTAAATAAATATTCAATTCTGATTATATAATTATTTCTTTAATTTCACTCATTGTGTAAAATGGAAATAATGCTTTTTCAAGTGTTTCATTCAACCTCTTAACTTATTCTTTTGTAGATAATTTTATATCATCTTCATTAATTTTCTAATATAAAAATTTTAATTATTCTTTAAGCCCTTAAAAATAATTAATAAATTTTTATTTATCCACAAAATTACTAAAATAATTGAAAATATCTAAAATATCTAAATGACCTATTTAAAAATTATTTATTCCATCAATTAATAAAGCAAAACCACCATTTTAATAAAAATAATGCATTTAAATTCTCAATAAAGGTGATAAGTGAATACTTGATTTATTTTTATGAAAATCTTCTAAGATTTCTCCTTTTAAAGGATAATAAAAGTTAAAACTATTATCATCTTTTCCTTCAGTGACTTTATGCTCACTTTGTATTTTTGCAGAATCCCGTTCAAAATAAAAGTTTGCCAAATCTTATTTAAATTAGCTTTCATTAAAATGTGAATCAAAAAATTTGACCTCAGGATAAACAAATATTCTCTTAAATAAAGCAAGACTTATTGTTTGATATTATTTCCATATATTCATAGCTAATCTTTATAGCATTAATAAAATTTCATTAAAGTAGCATTACACTCTTAATTGTCTTTAATCTGTAAATAATTTATTTAAAAAGTAATCCATAATCGGAAAGACTCTTTTATTAAAATATGTATTCAAATCAGGTTAAACATTAGCTTTATTGAGAAGTAATGCTTTTATTTCTATTTCTAACTCTAGTAGAATAGGCATCCATCTTGGTGTTATACCTATTAATAATAAATATAAATACTGCTTTATAACTCATTGATATCTGATTAATGATCTTTATCATTAATATTAAGATTTACATTAGTTTATTCTAATTCTACTATCCTTTCTAAATTATAATTAATTTCATAATCATTCACAGAATGAAAAGAGTGAGGATTGGGATCATATTGTTGATGAATTGATGTCGTTATAATTTACATTTCACGAGACTTCATTTTATTGTTATCATCACTTTAATTTATTTAAACCATTTCGATGTTCTTTATTATAAAAATATTATTAGTATATTAAAATTATTAAAAAAAAAAAAAAGAATTTTTATAAATAAATATGATAAGCAAAAACAATTTAAAAAGTTTAAAAACATTCTTTGGGGTAATAGCTAAGTATATTTATAATAATAAAGTATATTATTTCTAGGGAAATGATTAAAAATTGATTTTAGAGAAATACAAATAACTAAGTAAAATCACAAATTAAACCAAGGATGTGCAATAATATCTTCTAAATTAGGTCGTTTATATGGATTCTATTGCATCATTTAAGCTGCAATTTCTTAAGTTTCGTTGTTATTTATTAATTCCAATAAAATAACACCTAAACTATATACTTCAGTAGGGTATGGTAAATAAGATTATCCATCAACAATCTCTGGAGCTACATAAGGTTTAGTTCCATAAAATTCAGCGAATTTCTATTTACCATTTGTAACTGCACCAAAGGCAAAGTCAATAAGTATTGGTTCATTATTTTAAACTAGTACATTATTGAGATTTAGATCTCTATGAACTACACCTAATTCATGAACCTTTTAAACAGCTACAATATATTGATATATAATACTTTGTAAAAGTTTGTAGTAGAATTATTTAGTAATTCTTTCACTATTTTTATCCAATGGTTATGCATCAATGTATTCTAAAATTAGGAAATAATTATTTAAAGTTCTAGCTCTTCTAGGATTATTATCAATTGTAGTGTAGAATCCAAAACCAATTAGTTCAACTACATTTTAACAACCCTTCAATTTTGTTAGAATAGTTATTTCAGTGTCATAAGTTTTTCTACATTCGGATTAAGATAAATTTTTAATTGATAATTTTTTGATGGCTACTTTTTTATTGCTTTATATGTGTCTATATAGATCAACACTATTATAATAGAATTAACGAATTACCTTGAAGAATATCCTGATCCAAGATTATTAATAAATTCGAAATCATCTAATGATTAGAGTTCTGGAAATAGCATGATGAAGGTTATTTTTGTAAGTATTTATTATAATTATTTAAATGTTTAATATATATTTCTATTTTTACTCGAATTTAGTGCGTACTAACATAAAATATCAGCAATAATTCGTAATTAATAAGGTTTATCATTTTAATTCTGATTAAATTATTAAAAACTTATTTTAAATATTAAAATAATCATACAACATATGTTAATAAAAATGAATATGAATTTAAAATAGATTAAAAAGAATAATTCTTTTATTATTGTTATAAAATAATGGTTTTTAATGAATACTTTTAAATAATTCATAATTGAATTTAAATTATTTTAAAAAGCAATAATTTTTGTATAATCTAACGATATAAAATTTATATATTAATAAAATTACTATAGAATATTGAAATGGATTCATAATAAGATGTTGAATGTGATTAATGTTAGACAGTACCAGAGACTTATGTAAAATTAGAATGTGATCATAAATTTTGTTTGATATGTTTGGCCTATAATTACTTATAAATTTAACAAGAGAAGTAAAATTTAGAAGAACTTGAAAGAGTGGCAGTATGTTTTAAATGCAATCAACTTACTAAACTGGATTAAGATACTGTTGAAGCTCTTCATATGGTCATAAAGGAAATCATAGTTCCGTTAATTGAATAAAATTAAATTAATCAAAAATCTAATAACGACAGTGAAGTAGTTGAAGTAATAGATGATTTACATGATTTGGGTGTATAAAATGTTGGATCTTAACATTAATCAAATTAAAAAAATTCATTAGTAAACGAAAGACTATAAATGTATTTAGAGCGATTAGAAAAAAGCTTTAAATCTAAGTTTGAAGCTATTAAAGATATTTAAGATCAAAAACACTAATTTCAATAAAAATGTAAATAAACAAAGGATGAAATTAACAGCTAATATTAATAAGTACTTTTTTGTAAAGTTATCATTAGTTTATTTTGAGTTTAGAATAAAAGAAAAACTAAACGTTTAATGATATAAATAGTTTAGAAATGATTCAATTATTGGATATTCAAAAGTAAGAAAAGGATTTAGAATAGTAAATATAATAAATGGCATAATTTTAAGAAGAAATCAACTCATTGATCTATTAGAATTTAAATAAATCTTAAGAAGATATAAGCAAATTATTAATTGATATAGAAAAATCTTTAAATGTTCCATCTTCATCTCTCTAAATAGTAATTATAATTATTATTTTAAAAGAAATCTTCAATATTAGCTACATAAAGATAATTACTTAAATTATCAACCAATGCTTAATCTTAATTATGTGCAACTGTTCCTAATTTATTATCAGACTTCCCTTAATCTTTAAAATAAAAAGATTTATTTATAAAGAATTCTAATTCAGAGGAAAAACCTTTAGATTCTAAACTTAATGTTCACTTTGAAAGATAAGATAGACTTAGCAAATTTAGCCCTATTAAATCAGAAAAGTTAAATGAATTATGGCCTAAAAATGATAAACCTCATTAATCATTAGAAAAAATTAATTTTAAAGAGAGTAAAGATCTTCATGAATTTAAAGATTACAGAGATAAGGAAAAAGATAAAAAAAATTAAAAGATTTTAACTTAAGAAAGTGTGAATGCAAATGCTAAATCAAAATTTAGATATGAAGATAGTGATGAAAAGAGTAAGAATAATAATTCTAAAAAAATAATTGATAGTTAAATATCTTAAAAGAATAATCTAGTGAGTAAATGGAAAGATTAATTATTTGATGTTTTTGATAAAAAAACTATTAAGTAACCTGAATCTCCAAAAATACCTGAAAAATAAAATTATCCTATTCGTGATATTCCTTATCATAGAGAATCATCAACTCATTATCCAAGAGAAAATAAAAACTCTCAAGAAAAATTGACTGCTAAACAATAATTGATAAATCGCGCTTGTACAATACATGATGTTTTAAATATGCAATATTAAAATTTCATGACTTAGAAAGAAAACCTAATAAGAAGATGATCAATCGAATTATTCAATATATGTTTAAATAGAATCAAATATTTCCGTTTCTAAATTTAATGTTTTTAGTCGATCTTTAAATTATTAATTTCTATTGAAGTGAAATTCAGTATAAAAAATAAACAATATTTCTCCAGCCAAAAGGAAAATATCTTTTTAATTCTCCAAAGATATGAATATATTTTACAACATAAGCTCAATTTCAGATGAAAGTATCTATTATTTAGTACTTGCATAAGAAATTTCCTCCTATTATAGAGCTGATTTTACGCACATCAATATCTAAAATAAATCAGAAATCTACTTCTTCTAAATTATTTATATCTAATCTATCTAAACAATATTATATTCCATAAGAAAGGTGTTAATATATTCTAAAATCATAGAAATATAATCTAATTGAATAACTAGACAAAAGTAGATTTCGAATTAGAATATATAATCCTCCTTATATTTTATTATCCTTATTTAATTCAAAAATTATGGGTGATAAGAATTAGTATGATATTATCTACAACAATTATTCTGAATCCAAAAAAGATAGATTAATAAAAAAGTCAAGAACATAGACTTTGTTTTCTTTAAAATCTTCTATAGCATCTTGAATGTATTGATTCTTAATAAGATATCCGAATAAACATTCATTGTCTTAAATTTCTTCTGTAATTTTAATAAGAAACTTATAAAAGTTTAAATAATCATATTGTTTAATAGCTTAGATAGATTATAGCAATTATAGTTAATCTTAGTCAGTATTCATTTTAATAAATTGATAAGGCCATGATGATATGCACTCTAATAAATTAGGAATGATATCAAATTCTTAAAAATTTTCAAGAATTTTTGAAACTTAAAACATTAATTTCAATGAAATATATTGTGCAAATATTTCTAAATTTTATATTGATAAAATATTAGTGATAGAAACAATAAGCTAAATATTAGTAAGTTGTTTACATAAAATTATAATCTATTAATTTTAGTGTTATTTAACTATTTAATTAGTGTATCAGATAACTAAAAAGATTGATTTGAGAAATCAAATTTCTCAATATACCTAAGAATGATGACGATAAGATCTTCATCATTTGTACTATCTAGAAGAAGGATAGATTCATTAAAAAAATCAGAATCAATTACATTAGCTTGTATTAATTATTCATACTTTTGTATTAATTAACAGTTGCCATTATTCTTATGGGCTTTTTCTCGAGCCAATTTAAAGTGATTTTCTAAAGCTTCTCTTCTAATACTAAATCTAAACTTTTCTCTTTTTTATAAAATCATTTGAGCAAATTAAATTACACTATTTATTTTTGCAATAATAAAAATTTGAGGAAATATTTTATATTTAATTATATAGTCTCCTTTTGTAAAAAATGGGAGTGTGTACATCTACCAATCAAAGTGGTCTTCCGATAAATAATACTTATTTAAAAAACAATAATGAATAATATTACGATAGTTTAGAACCTCCATGTTTTGAGGATAAGAAAATTAATGGCGATAGCCCTAATTCAGAGATATGTTTATTAGACACAGATGAGCTACATTAAAATTCTGAAAAAGCTACACAAGAATAAAGTTAAAGGGAGTTTGTAAATAGAATTGTTAGTGTTCATGACTCACCTAATTCAAAAAGATACTATTTTGTTTATGATCAATTGTACAATATAAAACGTAAGGTACCAAAACTTAAAAGTATTCATCAAAGTACTTTGATTCAAAAACGTAAGTAATACATACTTTGATTTATATTATAATTATGTTTAATGAAACATTTTATGAAATTGCCTAAACCAGTAACTTTTTTTATTTATTTGTAGTCCATATAAATATATCAAATAAAAAAGTTGATAAAACTATTTTCTAATTTAATTGATCGAAGCATATTCATGAATTAAAAAAATAATTTTTTGATTTTAAACATTTATCTCAATAATAAGATAATTTTTTGTGTTAAAAAGAGAGATATATATAAGGGAAAGATTTAACCTATGATTGAAACTTCTATTTTAATCTTTAAAATAATTGTTAATAGAGAATTAATATTTTTTTTTAATATTAATCCTCTATCTATCAATAATTAATATAAGGATTGAATTAAATATTAATATTTAAAAAAGAATATGATTTCAAATGATAAAACTCAATAAAATGTAAAAGAAATATAAGAATATATAAAAAGATTAAAATAATTAATATGAGATTATTGGTTCATAATTTGTTAATGTGTAATAAATGTGATAAGAACAATTATCCACTAAAAATAGAGGTGAATAAGAGTGTTATAATGGAATTAGAGTTTAAAAAAGATGCAATTTTAAAGTTAATTCCAAAACTTGATTTTGAAGTATTATCAAATACAGTCAGAGAAGTAAAAGAATGAATTATAAAAATAGCTTGGTTTCAAATAATTTCCAAAATAAATTCCTCCAAATGTTGAATAAGATTTAGCCTTTTTAAAAGACTTACATAGAGTTTTATTTGAGGTAATAATTTAAAGAAAGAATTAAAAATAGACTCATATAATGGATGGCTAATTAACTTGTCCAAATCCATCTTGTAAAAGAAATTATCCAATCACAAATGGAATTCCAAATATGATCCTAACAGAAGATGAACAATGATATAAATTGATAATTTGTCAATAATAATAATTCTCATTTTTTTGAATATATTTCTATTCCTCATAGATTATGACGAGCTTAATATTATTTACAAATCAATAAATTTGTGCTTTTCTTGTCATTAATTAATATTAATGAGCAGCTAGCTAAGCAAACAATCAGCTCCTTAAAAATTTTAAAGATAACCACCTCTTTCAAAATTAAAACCAACAGAAGTATAAGATCCATTTTAAAAATAAACTAATGGTTTTGATCCTATAAAATATGTTAAACCTGGATTGAGTAAAGAAGATGTCATTAAAATAAAAGAATGTTTTGATATTTTTGATGATGATAAAAGTGGTGCTATTTCGTAAGAAATGATATATAATCTCTTCATAGACCTAATGAATTAAAAAATGCTATAGTAGCTTTAGGTATGGAATAAAGTATAGAAGATATTGTGAATATGATTCAAGATCTTGATTAAGATGGATCAAGGTAAGTTGATTTTGAAGAGTTTTTATAAATATTTGGATTTTAAGGGTATTTTTTATTTTATTTTAAGTTCTTTAGAAGATGAAGAAGTATTATCAGATTTATATAAATAATTTGATTCCTCTAAAGAAGGTAAAATTACTTATGAGGATTTCAAAAGAATTAATGAATTAGTAGCTGAAAGATATACTGATCAAGAATTAAGAGATATGGTACAATTTGCTGATTAAAATAAAGATGGAGTTTTAAGTTGGGATGAATTCAAAATAGTTATTCAAAAAGAAAATTAGAATAATAACAAATGAATAACAAATAAAATATAAATAGTCAAATCTTATTTGTCATTTCATTTTCATTTCTTGAAATACATTCTTTTTATCTTTAAAACTTGATTTCTAAATTTTTGGCTTTTATATCATTCCACAAAATTAATTGTTTCAATCTAAAAAAATAACATAAATAAGAGATTTCTAATCTTAATAAGAATAATTCAATTACTTTTATAAATTAATCTAATTCTTATATATCCAATTCATTTATGTTTATTGTATTTAAACTACTTGAGTAATTGTAAAAAATATATTAAACTTCTTTAATTGAGGGTCAATAAGGGTTAACTTTGTTTATAAAAAGATGTGGAGATACAAGCAAAAACACTCATATTATGTAGCTATAAATAGTGGAAAAATAATTTTGTAAGTTGATATCTTTTTATTTACACAAAATTATTATTTGTGATATGATATATTTTAATTTTACAATACATAATCATAAAAGAGAAAGTTAGCAATGCCAAACTTATTACTGAACTTTCATTTAATTCTTATCTACATTTTTAATAAATAATGAATAAAAACATTGTATATATAGATAATTAAGTGCCATGAATAATTAGTACCTTAAAATACTATTATAGTTTAATATTACTTAAATAGTACAAGTAGTAATGATCATTAAATAACATCATTTTTATGTTTTTTAATGCCAACTTATGTTACTATTAAGAATTTTAGTTTTCAAATTTAGGTTTAGATTTTGAATAAGTAGCAAGTAAGTAATGATAAGTAGAACCTATTGAACAAATTGAATGAAACTAAAAACTGTGATTGAAATAAGTACAATATAAAATAGTCCCATTTTAAAATAAAATTAATATGCAATAATAATAGGTGGCTCTAAATTTTGAATATCTAAAACCAGCTCAATACCTAGTAGACGCAATAGTGCATGATCGTAAAATTGTGAAAGATTGATTTAGCATAATACATTAAGAGAAAAGAGAGATCTAAGAGTTAGAGAAGAATTTGGGAGAATGTACCTTATGATGCTTATGAAAAAGAGAAGATGGCAGATTTTATGAAGATAGTAGCAAAGAATAAAATATAATTGCCAGCAGAGTAAAATAAATTGTAATTTTCATTATAGTTGGTCAGAGTGTGATACATTGAAAATGGTTTATTGTGGCAAATTTAAAGATAAGAATTACTTAAAAGTTTTACAAAATCATTTAGCATGGAGAGCAGTACCAAACAATTTCTAACCAACTGATATCAATATAGCATTTTTATAAAAAGGCATAGTGTATACTTTTGGAAGAGATAAATAGTAAAGACCCATTATTATTATGAATCTTGAATTAGTGAATTTGAAATAGGTTAATAAAATAGATTATTTTTAGTTTAGTGAAGAAGTATATATCAATGCATTAAGCTACTATTTTGGTATAATTAAGAAAAACTGTTTTGTTCCTGGAAAGATTGAAAATTGGGTATTTATAATGGATACAAAAAAATTAGGACTTTCTAAATTTCCTTTTAAAGTATTATATGAAAATAATAATATAGGCAATTTAAATAGCAACAAAAACAATGCAAGTGAATTTTTGTGGTTGTTTAGACAAATTATATTTATTAAATCCTTCAAGTTCATTAAGTTTTTCATGGAAGATGGTTTCTGGTATTAATAATAAAATAATAAAAAGCTGTTGCTGATGCTGATACAATGGAAAAGATTCAAATGTTGAAACCAAATGAATATTAAAAAATTTAGGAAAGAATTCCTGCAAATTAATTAGAAGAATAATATGGAGGAAAAGTAGCAAATTTAACAAAATTCTGGTAAGAATGATTAATAATATTATAGGCCACCTATTAATATAGAAATTCCTGGAGGATATACAGAAGAAATATTGAAAGCAGTATAATCTATGAAAACAGCTGAAATAGTGATTTAATAAGATGTACCTGCTTCAGAAGAAGATGAATTAAAATTATAAGAATAAATGGCCAAAATGCAAATAAAGAAAGAAGATGATGATGATGATTGATAAAATGTTTAATACATTCAAATAAATATAATATTATATGAGTTTTTTGAGATCTAAAAAAATGAAATATTGTAATTTAGTAATCCCTATAGAAAGTGCTTATGTAGTGATGAATGAATTAGCAAGATTAGGATAGTTTCATTTTTTAGATTATGATCCATAATTATCAATGATCAACAGACCATTTGCTAATTATGTAAAAAGGTATTAATAAAATGAACTAATATAAGATATGATTCAATTTAAAAATTGAATTTTTTTGAACTACTTCTTGAAGAATTCAAAAAAAATCTTCATTATTGTGAAAATGTTCAAACGTTGTTAGATTATTTATAATAAGTTCAATATAGAAGAATGAACCAAGGACATGCTTAATTTGCTGAATTTTAACAAGAAATAGAATTTTAAAAATATAAATTCAAGAGTAATTTACTAATTTGTAAAATCTACGGAAAAGTAAATATAATAACAGAATAATAATTGGTTTTGTAAAAAGCATAAGACATTCTAGGTTAATCAGCATTCTCATAGTATTTTTATGATTTTAATTCTATATAGTTGTAATAGATAAAGAAGAAGAAGTTCGATTCACTTTGTTATTTATTACTTCAATTTTAAAAATCTGCTAATTTTATGTAAAGTTTAAATTATGAAGAAACATTTAAGTTTAGATAAAAAATTATTAATTTTTAATTATTTATAAAAAGTAAATAATATTTATTTATAACTTAATAAAACATAATTCAACGAGAAAAAAACTTTTCATTTGAATTAAGTTTAATATTATTATATTATAGGATGTAAAATCTTCGCCTAGATATATTAGGAGGAATTAGTAATACTGCTTCCTATCTTCGTTTTTGGGCATTATCTTTAGCACATGGATAATTAGCAGAAGTATTCTATAATATGTGTTTGCCTGGAAATTAGAAACAGGAGGAATCTTAGGTGGGTTGTTAAGAGGATACTTTTATCTTTTCTTACTTTTGGAGTTTTGATGACTTTGGATGAAATGGAATACTTTTTGCATGCTCTACGTTTACACTGGTATGATACACTTTAATCAAAGGGTTGAATTTCAGAATAAGTTTTAGGATATTTGTTTATTGGCTATTCTTACAAAAAAATTTTGAATGAAAATCTTAAATAATCAAATTCAAAATGATTGATACAATTATTAATTCAAGTGAAATCTAAATATTTATTTTTCAACTACAAATTTTATTTATATTATTATTAATTATATTTCTGATAAATATTAAAGAAAATTAGTTAGTTTATTTTTTTAATAGATAAAAAACAAAATATTTTTATTTAATACTTTAAATAATTTATTTATTAAGATAATATTTATGATTTAATTTTGAATATTATTATTTCTTTATTAAATAATTTATAAATATAAATAATATTATGTATAATTATAAATATAATAAAAATCAATTAAATTTAAAAGAAGAATCTTTTTTTTAAGATTTATATCTGGGTTGAACTTCTGGATTTCTTAAGTAATAAGGAACAAACTTTTTTGGCTATTATTACTATTATTATTATTATTATTATTCTTGCCTTCTTCTTGTATATCTTGATTCTGCTGGACTTACTTATTATTATTAAACAATATCAGAAATATTAATCATATCTTTTTTCTTTTTTTCAATATAAACTGTATATTTATTCTACCTTTATTATGACATTTAACTTCCATGTTGTCTTTAATCTACAAAAGCATTAAATGATACTGGTGCCTCAACAATTACTTAATCATCTTAATCAAATTTAAATAAAGGTACTTCCGATTTTTCTTCTACTACCCTTGATGTTTAATTTTAAGAAGATGGTTAAGCATCACTCAAATTAGATCTCATTGATGTCATCATTTTTGGTAGTTTTTTTCTTTTTGGTGGCAATTTTTAATCTAATTATAATCTAGAGTTTAATTCTGAATAATCTGATAAATGTGATAATTATCTTTCATCTTAATTATTTGTATTTTCTCTTGCTAAAGTATTATCAGATTTTTTTTATTATATTTTATTTTATGTGACTTCTAAATCTTATTTAATTTAAGCTACTCTTTAAAGCATTTTTTATGTACTTAAACTAGGAGGTGGTTGAGATGCAATTTAAGGTCCTCCAAAAATATCATTTACTTTTTTATAATTCTAAACTTCCAAATCTAAGTATCTAATTATATCTCCTGCTTCTTTTACTTTATCATAAGCATTTACAACTAAATGATAAAGTTCTTAATGATCTTTAAGTAATCGTTAAATAGTTTCTGTATCATCTGGTCTTGCCATTCTTTCTTAATATTATCTTCTTAATTATTCAAATTAAACATATTTCTCTTCATATTTCTTTCTGTACTCTTCTATTTCTTAATTACATGTTTCTGTTAATGTATTTAATTATACATCACTTTATTCTTTCATTTACTGTATTTATAATTGATATTTTAATTCTTATTCAATAATATCTTATTTTAACATATTATTATCTTTTTTCAATTAAGCAATTTAATTTTTTAAAAGTTAAATCTATTCATTCATATCTTCTACTTCTTTCTCATTCTCTTTTAAAATATTCTAAAATTTAAGAGTTAATTAATTAACATATGCCTAACTCTCTTATCTTTCTGTTTAAGCCTTTTCTTTTTCTTCTTCCAACTCTCTTTAACATTATTTTACTATTACATCTAATCCTTAAATTGGACCCTCTTTTTTTGGTGCTTCTTTATAAACTATTTTTTCAACTATTTATATTATGGGTTTTCTCTATTCCTAATGTTGATCACTTCCATCTTATTAAGTTAATTATTCAATTATTTATTCATATCTTATTATCATTTCAGCCTTCTCTTTCTAATATTTTTGTTCTAATTCTATTAATTCTTCTTAATATTCTGGATCATTATCTTTATTAAATTAAACTAATAATTTGTTATCTTAACCTTATTAAACATTTTTAGATTAATATTCTGTTTATTATTCTTAATCAATCTTTTCTATTTTTATTTAAGTTTCTTCCAAAATCTTTAATTTTTATTCAAAATTAGTTTATGAAGTTTATAATCTCTATTCTAATATTTACTACTATTATAATGCATTTTATTTTGTTAATATTATTTCTTCTTAACTTTCTATTATTTCTTTTTATTTTTTCTCAATCTCTTGAATAAGATTTGTTTTTTCTTGTTAATATTGTTAATTAAGATTCTAAATCTTATTATTTAATTCTTATGTAATTCCAAGTGATTCTATATATTAATTCTTAGATTTTGTTAATTCTTATTCTTAATTACCAATATAAATTTGTAATTCTTTCACTACTTTTTAATGTTTATGATTCTCCTATTATCTTGTAAGCTCTTTATTTTTCATTTCACATTTTAAAGATATAATTTCATTATTCCTTGTTTATATTTGTTCACTCAATACAGAATAGTGTTATTAAATTTATGTTGTTTATTCCATCATCTTTTATAGTTTTTATGTTAAATTATCATTCATTTTATTAAAAACATTTATAGACATATTCATTTCATCTTATAATTAAGTAATTCTTTCATGACTCTTCTATTCAGAATCAATATACTTAGATTGTAATTAATTTAATTAGTTTTATAGATTAGCTAATTAATATTACTTTTATTCACAAGATGCTGTTAAATTTAAAATCTTATCTTCTAATGGTTTTTTAGCTGATTTAATTAATATTTCAACTCCATCCCTTAATAATATTATTTCTTCTTGAAATTTAGTTTCTATTTATTTAACTTAAATTTTAAAATCATTAACTTAAGCTTAAACTTAAACTTATAATTATTATATTTCTATATCCTTATTTTTTATTGTAAGTTCTTTAACTTATTATTCTTCTTTTAATTTGTTTAATTTCTCATTAAATTCCATCTATTTAGATTATGCTTATAAATCTAACTTAGCTATGTGATCTTTATGTATTAATTCATATTATTCAAATTTACTAATAGAAGAATCCAATTAAACTTTCAATTTACCAATTTCTGCATTTTTCTATCTATTTAAGAATTCAAATTATTCTTATGCATTTTTTTACAATTAATTCATTCTATTATCTGATTGCATCTCCATTTCTTCCTTTATTTTCTAAATTTATTTATTATGATCAACTTTCATTTATTCTTATAATCTCTAAAATCTTTCTACTTTTTCTTTCATTCTATTTTCTAAATTTTAAACATTTAATTATAGAGATTTAATTTCTTTTTATTAGCTCTAAATTTCGTTTGCTTATCTAATAATTTCATCTTTAGAACTTTTAAGTTATGCTTTAGTTATTTCATGATCTTCTTTTAATTTTGAGTATTATTCTGTTAGTTGTATAATTTAATTTTTTGATATTTCAATTTAATTTTCTAAATCCTAAACAACAAGAGTATATTTTTCTTTACTCTCTTTATATAATTAAATTAAAGCATCATATTCACTTGATAATTTCAAAAATTCATTTGTTTTTTATTCTAATTAGACTTAATATACTTCAGCATTTTTTTATAATATTTAAAACTTGTCTTCATAGTTATTTTGTAATTGTTTTTAATTATTTGCATATTATATTTTTTATTCTTTCATTTCATTTCTATATTTTTTTTATAATTCTTTCATAGCAAAATCATGTTTAATATCAATATCTGTTTATTTGCATTAAAACTCTTATTCTAATTTTTAATAATATTATATTTTTAAATCCTTTCTAGTAATTTCAGATTCATAACTTTATATATTCTACTAATGAAGTTCTATTTCTTAATTTAACTATAATATTTTTTCTTCTAATAGTCTTATTTATTAAATATTATCTTAACCATCTTAGACTTATTACCTAAATCTATTTTTCCATTTATTTTTTTGATTCTGATATTATTATTCAATATCCTTAATTTCTAAAAGATGTAGTTCTTTAAGTTTTAAAAATTCCTCTTCCTTTAATTTCATAGCATTTAACATTTTTTCTTTTTCAACATAAAAATATCTTTAATCTTCAACCAAATATTTTACCAACAATTCAATAGATGCCATATCTTTTGAAAATTTTCTATCTTCATTAGTTGTTTAATTAACATCAAATGTTATCTTTTAAAGCTCTTCTCTGTAAACTTATTTAATATTCTACATTACCTGAAATTTATCTTAAATGCTCAATGATCTAATCTTTCAATTTATAATTTTCTCTAAGTAAATCAGCAAAAAGATTAGCAAAATATTTACAATCATTTTGTAATTTCTGATTACCATCTTTTGTAAATAAATCCTATTTCAAAAGTTCTGAAAACTCATTCATTCTAAATTCGAATTCATCAATGCTATTTTACATTTAATTATATAATAAAATGAATAAATATAAAGAAGTAGGAGATTATCAAATATTTTTATATAAAAAATTGGGTGTTGGAGCTTTGGCTGAAGTATTTGTTGGAGAAAGGAAAAAAGATAAACAAAAAGTAGCAGTAAAAGTTATATCAAAATAATATATAAAATCAAGGGACAAATAAAATAAGTATAAAAAATACTAATGAAGGGAATTATTTAAAAAAAGATTAAAGAGAGAAATTGCTATATAAAAAAGTCTTAAACATCCAAATATTATTTAATTATTTGATGTTTAAGAAACTGATAATTCAATATATTTATTTATGGAATTAGGAGATTGTACTTTAGATTAATACTGTTAAAATTGTAAATTTGATTCATAATTCTATTCTAGAAATAATAAAATAAGAAGAACTTAAAAATATAATTAAATAAGTAGTCAGTGCTTTTTATTATATGTCTTAATAAGAAGTGATTAATCATCTTTAGAATGATAAACTTTATAAAGGAATATGTCATTTAGATTTAAAACCATAAAATATTCTATTGATTGGAAATAGTATTAAAATTTCAGATTTTGGTTTATCAACAGCTTTAAATTTAGATGAAAATTAAGAAATCATTCAATCTTCAGAATATATAGATAATGTACCTTCATCTATTGATTATTTAGGTTAAGGAAGGTAAATTTAATTATTATTAATTAGTCTTTTATATATGTCAATAGAATAAATAAATTGTGAGAAAACAAAAAATTTAGAGGTTTTAGATGTTTGGAGTGCAGGAATTATATTTTATGAGATTGCATTTGGTAAACATCCATATTATAAATTTGGTTAAAATTTGACAAATCCTATATAGTTATAAGAACTATTAAATACAATTGAAATTTAATATCCTGAATCCCAATATGATAATCAATTTTATGACTTATTAAAAGGAATGCTTAAGAAAAATCAAAATGAAAGACTTACTTGGCAGTAATGTAAAGAACATCCCTTTTTAATATGAACATAATATTAATTAGTATGATAAATTAATTTATAATCATAATGCAAATTGTTCTAAAAGGGATTCAACTTTTTAACCAAGGGTTGCTTAATTTTCTAATAAACTTAAATCATTATCTCTTAAATCAGAAAATTGATAAAATTGACTAGAATCAATTACAGATGTGTCTAATTCATCTAAAATAGTAATTTATTCATCTAATTCTTTATCTAAATTTTTAGTTTTTAATGATTAAGTTATCTAATTTTAGAAATGTGGTTATTATGATAAGTTTTATTAAATCTGTTTAAGTCTTTTTAAAGCTTCTCTATAAACTTATTATTCAGTATTTCTTTTATTGATTCCTATTTTTGTAATAGACAAAATATTGTTCAATTCTAATTATACTTAATAAACATTAATAGGATTTCCATTTTAAGTAGGATCCTTTTTCCATTCAACAGAAACTTTTGGCTTCAAATTAGTACAACCATTAACGAATTCTAAAAATGCTGATTTTGGATTTTATTTCAGTTCTAATAAAGGAACAGTTTAACCTCTATTTTGTAATATTTAAAATGTATACCTATCCAATACTTATTTTAATATTGGTTATACAATCTCTCTTAAATGTTCTAAATCAAAACCAGAATCAAAATATTATGCTGCAATTATAGATTTCAAAGTTTCACAAAGTATTTTAGGGTTTTTCCTAATAATCCTTATATTTATTACTTTAAGTTGATTTAGTTACCTACTTAAATCAAGTTATCTAATTTATAACTTAAAGCTATATCAGCTAGATTTCTTTCACTTAATAGTCTTTATCTTAATAACACCAAATCACTTGACTTTTTTATTTAAGTTTCTTTATTTGGATAACTATATTGTGTAATTTCAATAATACTACCCTCTTTAAATCAAATAATCCGAGAAAAAAAACTCTAAAATCATTTAACCAATCCCTACAAAGTCTTCATTATTCCCAAATGGGTATTTGGTACCTTTTTTTGATTGATACTCTAATTCATGTATTTTATTTGTCAATGCTTGTGCTAATGTATTTGTGTTTTAAAATATGAAGATTTTGTTATTCATTTTGATGAATAATAATATTGTCTTTAGAATATATTTGATGAACATAACCTCTATTTTACTCTGACTGATTTCAGTTCCTTTCTATCATTTAATTTCAATTTGCACATTATTTCGGAAAATCTTTTCATTTTCACTTTTACTTCATTCACTTACATCTATTTTTTACTTAATCTTCTCTTCTTCTAATTATACCCATCATTTTATCTATTTATTCTACCTACAATAATTATGATCATAATCCAAAATTTTCTTATTCAAAAAGAATTCTCATAAAAGATGATAATTCCTTCTGATGTTCATGAAGGACATCTCTTTATTTATTAAATCAAGTCAATGGCTAACAAATATTATATTTTAATATTGAGCATATTCCTTAAAGATGGAAATAATTAACTCATTAATTTGCTGAAAAAATGTAGTAAATTTAAATATATATGAATTACATAATTTCAACAATAATCAATTTAATTTTATATTAATACTATAATGTTAATAATAGTATGCATTAAAATGTTAATGATTGATTATTTTCTTTAAAAAAATATTATTAAAACTTTATTTTCAAATGAAGAAATTACACAAAATTTTTACAATTTAAAATTTTGAACAATTTCAATAAATAATTGATTATCATATATTGAGTATATCCAAAAGAATGATGAATTTTATAATTTTCATTATAAAGTGTATTTATTAAAATCAACCATGTTAAAGAAAAGTAGATAAATAATATATATATAAATAGGATAATTTCTTTTTGATAAAAAATCAAGAATTATGATCTTATTTATAAATATAATAAATATTTTTACAAGAAATTATTAAATATTCTTAACATATTTATAATAATTGTTTTAGATTCTAATTAAATTAAAATAAATTTGTAAAATCTTGTAAAAATTTAATGATTTTTTAGAATTGCATAATAATTAATATATTAATCATAATAATTTAAGGTAAGTATTTCTCTAAAATATATATGTAATTTTGAATAGTTGTAATAATTTGAAATTCTACATGATTAAAGGTAATTAAAAAAATTATGAAGTCATAATAGTAAATTCTTAGGAAAATTAAAAAAGAAGTAATAATGTTTTTCCTTAATATTATTAAATAATAGAATATAATGGAGATTTCTGAATAAAAATAACTTTACATATTAAAAGAATAGGTTAGTTTTTTTAAGTCTGAGATTAATGAAACAAAATCAGAAAAATTCATTTTTGATGATAAGAGTTTGATCTTATTCTCTGATTATTTTGGGTAGTATCACTTTCATTATTAGAGCTCTTAAATCTAAACCTTTTTTAAGGGTAATGAAATTAAGATTAGGTAGTTGTTGGAGAACTTGATAGATTGCTCAATCTAACAATTGGATAGATATTTTCTTCAGTATCCAGATCTCTTGGAGAACCCTAATCAAACCAAATTGAAAATAAATACAATTCAAAATATCAAGTAAGGTTTCTTCTATTTAATCTTATCTTTCACAATGACGAATAGTTGAATATAAATTATTATCCTTTCGAATAAGAAGATCTTTTATATTGTTTAAGAATTACCTTTTATACATCCTTTTTATTCCATAGAAATTTGATTACGTTAATACATAGTCCAAATAGCTAATAATATTTAACTTTCCAAAGAAGTTGACATATGCAATATATTGATATTTTTATTAATTAAAACCCTTATGATATAATATATTATAAAGAATTAATCAAATGAAATATATAAGTATAAAAATAGTATTTATTTCCTTATTTTTAATATTTAATAAGTACAATGGATTAATTAAAAGGAATAGGAATGCAAGTGTTCTATACAATATTAAAATAACATAGAAGAAAGTTAAGACCTGAAATGAGAATTCTAGGAGATGCTTATGTAAAAGAGGAATTTAGATAAGCAAATCAAAAGGCTAATTAAGAATAATACATAGAATTTTTGAAGAGATGGTAAATATTAAAATAATAGTAAAGGGCTATATATATTGAAGAATTAGATAAAGCAAAATAGATTGGCAGAGATTTAACTTCAGAAGAAAAAGCATTATTAAATGATGAATAAATAGAAAATTTAGCTAAGTTAAAAGAATTCTCTAAATAATAAAAATCTGAATGAAATATATATATTGATTTACAAATGCAAAAATTATTATATAATTTCAGATGAGACAAAATCAAATAAGTTTTCTTGATAAATAAAACAAGAATTTTAAATGATTTTAATTAAAAAGTAAGAGAGTAAAATATATAAAAAAGAGATATAAGAATAATTTTTATCGAATGATCAGAATCTAAAACTAGAAATATGTATGTATTTTTATTAAGGGCTTTCATGATTATCTAATTATTCTAAACTAGAAGACTTTGAATTTAAACTTGATTTTTGTAAACTTAAGTTGTCACTCTAATCTAGTCCGGAGTCCTAATTAAAATATGTTTTTTTTACTGAACTTACGAATTCATAATCATAAGGATGTTGAGATGTTTAAAGATTAATTTTTCTTGCTCCTTCTTTATTATAAATATAACAATATACTAATATCAATTGATTCTGATTCAGAATCAGATGGTTAATCATAAAATGATTGAATTTTGACCATCTACGTGAATGTGCCATTAAAATTAAAAAGAACACTCTAAGAATAATATCTAATTTGAATAGCCCTATTATCACTTTATTCCCAAACAATCTCATTACACTCAAATATAACTGCTTTAAATTATATAAGAGTATCTAAAATTTTAGATTCAAATTTACTTTATTCTAGATCTTCTTTAATTTATCCTACCCAAAAAGGGTATATTTCATTATTGGTATGTAATATAAGACTATTAAATGGATTCCACATACCCAAAACTGGTATATCTCCTACTATTCTAAGTTCTTATTATTAATGTGTCTCACATCTAACTTTAAAGTATACTAATATTGACATGTAGTTAAGATAATTAATTTAATATAAAATGTAAAAAAGATTGAAACATAATTAAACTTATATTGTTATTTATTATCTGTTTAATAATATAGTCAATATGAATTGGATTTAGAACTTTCTATATCTATATTCCTGGAAATTTCTATAATTTAAACTTAATTTTTTTATTCATAATTAGTAAATTTATTAACATAATGAGAATATCAAAAATCAAAACTTCCAAATCCAGAGTTTGATAGGTAATTTTGTTCATTTGATTATTGTTTTGGACTAGAATAATATTATTCATTGGAGATAAATTAAGTTTCTTCATCATAAAATAATGAATTCTCATCACTTTCTAATTCTTGATCCTAATAAAAATTAATTCAATTATTACCGAGTCTTCATCTGAATCATATAACTTCTCTTGTAGCTATATTGAAATCTTTCTTGTATTGGCTAAATATAATTATTTAAAATACACTCAGTAATATTAGTTAAATCAGTATTTGACAATAATTTTTTATATTATTAATAATAAGTGATGACGAATTAAAAGTTAAGACCACTATCATCTTTTGGCTACAAATTTATATCAATCTGTTTGCTCCAATCTCCCATTAAGAATTTATATCATCAATTATAACTATTTTGAACTCAAGTATTTAATCTACTTATTTAAATAGAAGGTTACTTTATTCAATTTCCAAAGGCAATTCATTTATCCAGATAGGGTACATATCTGAATTTGTGATCAATTTTATTCCATTCTAGGGATTCCAATCACCTAATATTGGATTATTTCCTACGAGATAAACCCTTTAAGAAAATTTAGTTGGACATAAAACACGAAATAGAATCTGAGCATTCATTTGTCTTTTGTTTTTTATATTTTGAAATTAATTTATTTATAATGAAATATATAATAACAAGAATCAAATCGTTATCACTATAATTATTTCAAAATACCATCAAATTTTTTTTTAATTTTCTAATTACATTTTCAAAAAGCTTTAATTAATGTATCTATATTAATTAAGTACCTGTTAAATTATCATAATATTATTATCTAGATTTTTCAATAAAAATACTAATTAATTTTAATTATAAATTATAATAAATGTTAGCAGATGAAAAAGAAGCTTAATAAAGTAAGAATAGAGAACAAGTCATTCATGCAGAAACTTTGAATATGATGGCAAAATACTAATTAATATTTTTAAAGATGGAAATCTCTATGAGAAAAGTTGCACTTATACTAAAATTAAAGTAATACTAACTGTTAATAGTAGAGGAAACTAATAAAAATTTTATGCCTTTAGAAAACTTAAGAAAACATGTTCATATAGTGTTAATCATTTTAAAGTTTTATTTAGTTAAATAGCATTAAAATATTAATAAGTTGGAATAATTATTCAAAAAAGAAAAAAAAGCAATATACATTTTGCTTTTCTAAAAGTTCGATTCTTATTTCCAAAAAATAAAAATGATAAAATTAGAAGATCATTTTTATAAGTAATTGCTTCTAAAGATGCTGAAATAAAAAATCTATAAATCAAAGAATAAGAAATTACAGAAAATATTACAAATTAAAAGTTAAAAGAATAAGAGCTTTAATCCAAATTAAAACAAAAGGAGTTAATTTTAACTTAACTTGAAAACGAATTGAGAAAGAATTCAGCTAACAAGACTCTTGATTCAAAAGTATTTATTGATTATATTAAGTTACGAAATTTGGAAATAGAAAATTAAGAAATGTAAGATCGTATTATGGGCACTGAAGATTCAGTTAGTCTTTTTATAAGAGAAATGAATGATATGTTGGATAGTCATGAAATTAGTACAAATTTAGGTATTTTGTTTCAACAATTAAATAGGGATAGATTCAGATGAAAATTAGTCTTATGAATAACCCCCTTAAGTTATTGAATATTAAAGCCAAAGATTGAATCAAAATTCAAGACAATAAAAATCTAAGAACTTTTACTCTAATTAATTGACAAGGAGTACTAAAATTAATTGAATATATCAATTTCAAATTCAGAATAACTATTATTTAAATTTCTTATCTTATGGATAAATTTTATTGTACTGTTAATTTAATAAAATTGAATAATTGTTTACTTAAGTTTTTGATTTTTATTTATTACTATTTGTAGCATCTTATAGTTCTTTTTCTTAAATCTTATTTCTGCCCTAAACTGCTAATTTAATTGCTTGCTGATTTTATAATTTAAGCATCTCATTTTCTTATTCTAATTAAGATAATTTAAAATTTATTGAATTGTTTGGATTTAATGTTGCCATATGTTTTAATTCTTATATTTCATTTTCTAAAGCTAGAATAGTATTTTCATATTAATTTATTTTCATTTCATAACCTTATTTAATTGTTTTTATCTAAAATTAGTATTATAACTGTAGATACTTCTGCTTCCTTCAATTTTATTGTTTAAATGCTTTCTACAATGCATTCATCGATTGCTTTTATGATAATTTAACAATCTTCAATTGATAATTATTGTCCAGCAATTATTTTAGATAAAAATTTTTAAAGTTCATTCTATAAAGCCAATTCAAATTGTCTTTTTTGAATAGTGACATTTATTTAATTTGGAAATTATTCCTATTCTAGTTCATCTAAAATATTGCTCTATTAACTGTAACTTTATTATCTGCTCTTGTTACTTATTGATGTAGTATAGTTATTGGTATATGATACATCAAATGATTGATTATGTTCAGATCTTTATTTCAAACTAGTATCTCTTAAGAATTTAGGGCCTATTTTGAAATATTTTTTATCATTTACCTGATGATTAATTCGTGTTTTTTTTCATAGACATATTAACTAGAAAATTATGTTTAATATTTAAAATAGTTTAATTTTTTATATTATGTAAATATTAAATAAAATTACTTTAATTAATTGATTTATTTAAATAATTAGAAAAATAAATATCATTAAAGAAAATCAAATTAGCAATAAATTGCATTTTGTTTGTAAGATTGATTTTCATTGTCGTTTTATACATCTTCAAAGCAATAAATAAATATGATAATATTTTAAGGAAGAAATAGAGAATTATAAAAAATGAATTTATGGAGTTTTTGAGATTTATTAATATCAATACAAATAATTATAAATCATTTAAAATTGTTGTAAGTTAATATTTCTAAATAAAAAAGTTAATTAATTTTATCATCATTTATTAAAAAGATTTCTAAAACTACGATTTATTGCTTTATAAGCTTTTAATTAAACTAGTGATTTTTGAATTTATTGGTTAGCATCTTTTATAACTTTTTCCTTTTTTTTCTATCTTCTATCCATATTTAATAATCTCATTTATTCAAAATTTAATTCAACATGATTGTTTCTATTTTTAATTTCTGCATCTATCTCTAATTTATAACAGTAATATTAAGAATAGTTTTGAAATTCTTCAATACCAAAAAGTGTTTCAATTTCAATAATTTTAGGGAATCCTTTTTCTAAGGCTCTTTAATATTAATTAAGAACATTAGTAAAATTACCTTCTGGATAAAAATGAATATATTCTTAAATTTAATCAAAATTAGAGATTGAACTTAAATGAAGTTACTTAAATTTTTCTTCCATTTCTTTTTTTTTTGTATTAATTAAAAAATCACTTATTTTTTCTGTTAAACCTCCTAAATATTTTTCACTAATTGATGCATACGAAACATAACGAGTAAATTTTTTTGTCATTTTACCATTTAAATATTTGATGCTTTTAATTCTGCTTTTTTATTTAAGATTAGATATTTAATATTCAGGATATTAAGTATCCTACAAATCTTCATCAACTACATTATAACTATTAAGAAGATCTTCTAAATATGTTTTTCTTTTCAAATTTAGATTAATTAATTTAGAACTTTCAAATCTTTATTGTGCTTACTTGATTTATGTAATACATTTTCTTGCATTAAAATCAATTCTATCCCTTCGAAAATAGGCTGCTTAATGTAGTTTATCAAATTGTTTCAAGAATTTAATAAAATGTGTGGCTGATCTATTATAAAAATAAATTTTACACATTAAAATGTAACTTTTCACAATCTCTAGCAATATGATCATCCATTTAGCATATATAACAACGTACACCAATAGATCCATAATCTTTATGAAATACAATTTTATCTCTAATCATATAATATTATTCTAAATCAAATATTCGACTTTATGAATTTTATGTTTTATCTTAAAATGATTTTAAATTTGATTAAAATTGAATTTAACAAATTATAAAAATGCTAGAAAAATTAATACTTCTTGAACTTGCAGATCTTGGCATATTTGAATAAAAACTTATTTCACCAAAATAATCATTCCTGTTTTTTTAATCTATAACAATTCCTGTTTTTTTATAAAATATATCAACTTATCCAAATTTGATAATAAACATATCATAAATTTATTAGAAATCAAATTCATCAAAAATAATTTCTTCTGGATTGTAAATTCTCTCTGTCATACTAGGTAAGACAACTTCAATTAAAAATTATTATGAATTATTTTTCAACAAAATATCACAATACCCAAGTAATTTACCATTTACTTATTTTCTTAAATCATTAGCTAATTCAATTTAAACTTAATTAGTTAAATCTTATAATACTAAAGATTTAGAATCCATTACAAATTCCATATATCTTCTAATTCTATTTTATAATTAATTAGATATAGCAGCTTTTTTCATAAACCTGTTTATACCATTAATTTTCTCTTTTTTTAATTTATTTTATCCATCAATTTCTTAAAGTGCAAATCCGATTGAATTCATAGTAAATGCAAAACCACCACATGCAATTAATAATAATATTATTCCAATTAATCTTTCTTAAGGTGTTTATGGACTTATATCTCCATATCCTACAGTTGTCATTGTGGCTATTCCCCAATATAAAGAATTTACATATCTTATAGACCAATCAGCAAAATATATATCTCCTAACCAAGAATCCTCACTTGGTTCTTATTATGCAAGATAATGAAATATGCAACCAAGTACATGTGCAAAAAACAATACAAAAAAAAACAACTTACAAAAATTAACTATTGCTGCTACACCAGGCTTCATTAATAATATTTCATCAAATTTATCTATTATCTTCTTTAGTTTTGCTAACCTTACTAACTTTAATACTTTGATAAACCTTAAAAATTTAAGTAATCTTATCAATTTAGCACTTTAAACTAATGAAGATGATTCATCCATTATTATATCATAAGGAAATGTTGAAATGAAATCAATCCAAAACCAAAAGCTTATATATTCCTTTAATATTTCTCTTCTACCCATATTTAATTTACCTTCTAAATAAACACCTGTGTTAAAATTTAGAAATATATCAAATACAAATATTGCTGTACTTACTCTTGAAAATTCTTAACTTATTTCTATTTCAAAACTAATTAGAAAAGGAATTGTTATCATTTCATATATTACTAATAATAGACATAATAAGTCCCATAACATTTTCATTGAACCATCTGGACTAAATGTGTAAGGTTATTTTAGAGTTATTAATTATTTTGTCTTATTATAAAATCTACGAAACCGAATTGCGATGCGATCCCAATTAAAACTAAACTTGCTTTTTAATGTATGCTTCGCCGATAACAATCTTTTTTTATAGCGATTTTAAGGTAAGCGTCTTTTTTCTTTTATTTTATATCCTTCTAAAGGTTTAGCATCTAAATCATAATCAGATCCGCTAGTAATTGCTTCATCTGCTAAGAATTTATACTATCTTTTTGTTAAGACATCTTTTTTTTAACTTTGAATGAATTATACATATAATTCCATTATAAATAATAAATAATTTCATTTGAAATCTAAATATCAATCTTTTTTGATTTAAACTCTCATTAATCAAAAATTTTAACAAATCTACTATGATTATATAATTATTTCAGTATTTTTAAAATCTATGTATTCTAAAATTCCAAAATTATTAGTTAGTCAAGTTTGCATTTCTAATTTTAATATATTCTTTTTTTATTATTAAACATATTACGTATTTATTATTTCTTTTAATTCAATGCTATTCTTTTATTTATGACAACTTTTTTTATTTTTATTATTATTAATGAATATCGATCTAATTAAAGTTATTGAGAAAAATTAGTAAAAACTTGAATAGCATAACCAAAAGTTATCTCTTTAAGCCAAAGATATTTATGCATTAGTATTGGATTCTAAATTAATAGACTATAATGTACGGGAATAACAATTTTAAGAGCAGTAGTATTGAAAGGAGTTATGCAAGTACAAGAAAATCAACAAAATAGAATTCTTTAGTTCCAAATAAATCCGAATTTTCTCATCTTATCGATTCGGTAAGAATAAAAATATGACCTTCAAGTCTTCTCCAAAATCTGTTAAAAAATAGCATATTGATCAAATTGTTTCTGTTAGTCCTAATAGACATGAATTGATTAAAATTAAACTAGAAAATACAGCTTTGAAAGAGAAAATTAATTCAAAAGAGAAGTAGATTGATTAATTGGATAAAACAATCAATGCACTAAAAAAAGAAAAAGATATTCTTATTTAATAGTATTAAAATACGATTAATCACATCACTAAAGAATTAGAAATTGGAAAAAAAAATTCATTTAACATAGAATAAGCACTTTAAGAATAAATTAAATTTTTAGAACTAAGTTTAGAAAAAAAATAGAATAATGATTTTAGATTAAAAGAAATAGAAGCAACTATGTAGACTCTTATTTTAGAAAATGAATAATTAAAGTATTAAAAAAAAGAGGATACTAAATGCCTAAAAGAATTGTAAGAATAATTTGAAATTTTTTATACTAAAAGTTAGGAAACAAAAAGTAAAATAGAAGATGCTAAACTTTTCATTTTTCAGCTCTCAGAAATAACCTAATACTTAATTAATAAGTAAACACCCCCATTAGAATTTTTTGTTCATATAAATAAATTACAAAAATAATAAAAAGTAGAATCAACTCCACTTCTAAAAGGTAGTTCTATGAAATTAATCTTCGCTCAAGTATTTTCATTATAAATAGAAACTTTATTAATTTTAAATTAAATACTTAATGATACTAAAACTTAAGTAGAAAAGTTTTCTAATTAATATATTTCTTAAGTTGGCTTATAGCTGATTTCATTATGATTATATAATTAGTAAATAATAATTAATATATAATATAAACTTCTTTACTCTTTGATTTAATTAAAAGTAATATGTATTACAATTCTTTACAGATTAATTTCAAAAATATAAATAAATTTTCGTATAAATAATAATAAGTTTTATAATTTGATTATTAAAGAAATTTATTTCTAATTTTAAAGAAATTATTCATAATACTAAAAATTAAAACGAAAGTAGAAATAAGTTAGTAAATTAATTTATTATTAGATAGGTAAAATTTTTGAATTTGTTGAGATATTGAAATTTCATTATGATAATGAAAAATCAATTTTTAACAATACCTGAGAATTTCAATGTTTTCCACTTAAATAATAAAAAATAAAAGATCCTTTTAGGATTACTTTCATTTTTTGTATTTTGTAGTCGATCGCTAAATAAATTTTAAGAATTGTTTCAAGAAGATGCAAGACTTAATTTAAAATTTTTTGAACATATTTATGATTATTATTCATTAAAATAATTTATATAAAGACTTAGTATAAAAAATTAAAAATTATTGATAATAAAATTTATTCTTTTTTTATTATGTTAAAGAAGTATGTTCTTTAATTATTAAAAGTTAAACTATAATATTTAATAATTAATTATAGTTGGAACTAAATTTATATAAGATTTGATCCATTATTTTTGCTTGATTAAAAAATAAATATCTAGAAAAAATATTTTTTAATTTTACAATTTCTCTATTTTTTATAAATATTTTTAGAAAATATTCATTTAGATTTTTGTATTTTTTATTGTTTTTTAAGCAATGAAATTTAATACTATTAAAATAAAGAAAGAAAGTTTAAAATTTGTGATTCTTAATTATAATAAAAATCAATTTTTAAATTAAGGAAATCTAGTAGTTGGTCTTATTAACAATTTAACAAAGAATAAATTGATTAAAAAATATATTTTTATATTTTATAAATTAAAATTGTTTTTTATTTAAGAAGAAAAATATCAAGAAGCACTTAGAAAGCAAAAGAATGAGAAGAAAATTTCGAATTTATAAACTCTCACCAAATTTTTCTTATGATTAAGTTTTTTAATTTTTTTATAAGTAGTTCAATTTTATTGTGTTTTCAAATTTCTATAAAGCAATCAAGCAAAATGATTTTAAAAATAATGAATTAATTATGAAAATATATAATGATTAATAAAACAAAAATGTCTTATTGCTTTTGTCAAAATTTTAGCTTCAAACATAAAATCAAGTTTGGTAACATTAAAAAAACTATATAGAGTATTAATTATTAACTGTAATACTCATGTGAAGGTTTGGCTGATCTGTTAAATTCTAAAATTAATATTTAATCAGGATTGATCGATAATTTTAATTAGGATTTCATTAGTTCCAGAAGATTATATTATTATTATGAAGAATTTTTCAAGGAAATTAAATTAATAAAATTTATTTTTGTAGATCAACTTAGAAGTAACAAATTTATAATATCATAGTTTATTTATGAAACCATATTATATTTTTCTTTTACATTTTAGAATGAGATTGGGGATTTGATTGAATTCAAAGTTTAAATTCGTTGTTAGTTTAGTGTATTAATTTAGCCTTGGTAATTATTATGATTTAGATCAAGAAGAATCTGGTGGCCATATTCTAATTTTAGATTATATTGATGTTAAGACAATTGAATATTGACAGATATTTGGAATATCTTGATAAAGATATTTATAAATTAAACAAGCTAACAATAATATTTATAAGAAAAATTAGCAGAATCAAAAACAAATCAATTTCATAATTTCAATAAATATGATGTGCATTTAAATTCAAATTAAAAAAAATATTTAGTTATAAATGCAATATGCTTATCTATATAAATGAATAAAATAATATTTTTAATTTAAAAACTTCTTATGATGATGAAAATGGATCAATTACTTTTAATGTATATCTATATTTAATGAGGAATTGAAGAATTTTATAATTGATTTTTTTTAGTAAAAAATTTATAAAATTAATTTTCTCAATCTATTTAAATATTTATATACAATTAATTAGATAGCTAAATTGACTATTTTGTTAAAAGAGGTATATTTGGGTAAAAATTTAATAATTGAATTCATTCTAGTTTTAAATTTGTTATTGAAATTCATCCTTAATTCTCATTATCTTCTTCTGAATAATAAACCTCCATATTTACAGAGTTTTCTAAATTAAAAAATCGGAATACTTTAATATTTTGATGAATTTTCGGAGGAGAGGCTAGGAGGCATTTCAAAATCATCTAAATCTTCATTATCTTATATTTTATTATCTTCTAAGATTGATTTTGTTAAGTTTTTCGATAGAAAATAAAAATATTAGAGGTAATCTTAAAGAACCTAATTTGATTATAAAGTAATCTTACTCTAGGAATTTCTCTATCATTATTTAAAATTTCAATTTCTCTATTTTTTTAAATAACTTAAATTTAGCTTCTATCAAAACCCTTGGTATAATCAAGGAAAACTTAATAAAGTTTAGTAAATTCAAAATCATTTAATAAATATTATTTTGCTAATTTAATAATTTCTTCTGGAATTTCAGTCTATTCTGAATTTACTAAAATTATATAATATATATTTACATTTATTACTTGAGTATGCTCTATTATTTTTAGCCAGCTAATTGAATTCAAAAAGATCTTGAGATTAAAATTGGTCATCTTGATAATTTTCTATAATTTATTCAAGGTTCTTTTATGATAAAGCTACTCTTATCACCTCTAATAATGGTTCTTATTAAATTTAATTTTTTTTATTAATCAAAAGTTCTTCTAAATCAAAATTAGTATTTTCTAAAACAAAATTAAAAAACTTTTATGCATCATTCAATGTTGAATCACCTTAAGTATCTAAATATTCATTATTATATGATGATGCAATAGATGTTCTTTCTTATTTTGGACTTAAAGGTTTATATGTTTTATACACTGAAGCAATTTAATCCTTATGATTGTAAATAAATTTTTAAAGATAAGTATGCTCTAAATAATAATATAAATATGTGTAAATGTGTTCATGTTATAAGTATTCTATTTTAAATATTAAAGGCTCAGATAAAAATTGAGATAAAAATCTAAAATGTAAATTTAATTATACTTTTTATCAAACTTCATGAATTCTATATAAGAACCTACATTAGATCCAAATATTTATTTAGTTTCATCATAGTATAAACTTGTTTCCTATTAAATTCTTTCACTTAATTACTCATAAAATTCTTCATAACAAAAATCCTGATGTCCAATCCAATGAACAGATACCTTTTTTAAATTATATGAATACTTCATTGATTGATATATCTTATATAGATTTATTAAAATTTCTAAGCAAATCTAATACCTCAGTATAAAATTTATGAGTAGATTCAATTTAAAATTAATCTTTTATGCTATTTTTTTATTTAAGTAAGAAATTATCATAAATTTCATATGTAATTTCAAATGACGGAGCAAAATTTTAATTTTAGTTGACACCTTAGTCAAATTCTTTTAAAAAATTCGCTTATCTTTCTGTTTGCATAATCCTTATAAAACACTCCAAAAGAAGTTATTAAAATTATTCATTTCTAATTATCTTAAGTTAAATGTAATATTACTTGTTTGATCCACAATTAACACATAATCCTCCAAAATGAGAATTTAGGATATTGAGGGTAATTAGGAAAAAGTTTTTGATGTAATTCATTTACAATATTTTCTAATGGATATATTGTCCCATTCAACTCAACTATTGAATTGCTGTAAGCTTCCCAATACATAGTATATTCACTTAATAAATCAATACTATTAGTAGAATTTTGAGTAATAAATGTAGAAAAGTACATATATAATCCTTATAAATAACATTCAACAGAACTATACAATTATTCTAAGAGTTCAATTATGCATATTTAATCATTTTAATCTTAGTCTTATTGTTGCTCCATTTCAATAATTTAGGATTCTACTTTAAATAGAGGAGATTAAGATAATTCAGAAGATTCGTTTTACAAATTCCACCTTAATTTTAAAAATTTTGATTTAAGTAATTCATTATTGACTAATTTTTCGTACTCTTAATTTATTATCTATTGTTTATTCTATTTTAATAAGTTCATTAACTAAAATTTAAATCATATTTTTAAATACCTCATCTGATAATAATTAAAATTCAAACCATTTATCGAAACCCTTTTATTCTAGTTATAGACGTTAAGCAAGCATGATTTAGAATTCTGATTCACAATATAAACCTATGGTTTCTCTTCTTAAAATAGGTTTTGGAAAAATTGATTAACAAAGCAAAAATGGAATTTTTATTGTTTTTCTATCATAAAATATTAACTTAAATTACTTATTATGCATCATTTTTTTATTTTGAAGTCTCCAATCAAAAGATTAATTTTCAAAGTTTGTTTAACGAATTTGGTCTCTTTAAATAATATCAGGATAATAAATATCAAGTGTCATTTCAAGTTAATCTTTTAGAAATTATTTATAGTAATTCTCTGCAAAGAATTAATTATGTTTCTTTCTATATAGATATAATATGAAACTTCGACTAATTCATTTAAAATACGGCAAGTGGCTCCAAAAGTTAATATATCTTTTAAACATAAAAAGCTTGTGATTCTTTTAAATATTTTATAATTATTAAGAATGTTTGGAGAGATTTCTATATTAGTTTCAATTTCAATTTAGTAATCCTATTAATCCATCTATAAATATTATATGTTTATGTAATTATTCAACGATTATTTTTTTTAATAGACATTAATAAGATTAGAATTTGAGTCATCCAATTATTCATTTAAATTTAAGATTTAGGAATAGCTATAAATTAGAATCTAATAGTATTCAATAATAGAAATTAAGCAATATTTGAATAAAAATATAATTTATATTTGTCATTTTTTGTGTCAATAAGAAATTTTTTCTTTTAGTTAAGATGTAATTACATGAACAGTATCTTAATCTGAGATTCCTTTTTGCTACAAATAGTCTTTATCATCTAAAGAGAGGTTTCAAATCTGATGTATAGTCTATCAGATGTTAAGTTTATAATTTCAAATAATTAATTGTTTAATTATGATATAATTTTAGTTTCCTATTTAATATCTACTTCTACAGTCATTCCTGTAACAAATCGACAGTATAGTTTTTTAATATCATTCATTTTATATTATTATTATTAATAATATTTTTATATTCTATCACTTGTCCTTTTATGTCTTCTGTTAAGGCGATTTCAATTTCATCATTATAGTCTAAGAGTTTCTTTTTGCATTATTATAAACTCTCTTTAATGGATTACATTTATTATTGCATACTGAAATCATCTTTTTTAATCTCATCTTTATTATCTAAATGAGCCAAAGTAACAGTTTTAAAGAAGTTATGAATTCTTGATTTAGTTTGTTAAGTTTAAGGTCGATTTCGAAAAGATTAGACACTATAAATAAGTTAAGGTCTTTCTGAAAGACATTCTAATAAATAATCATCTTAATAATCGAAAGCTTTTCTAGATGCAGCTGAAGCAGATGTTGTACATCTTTGAATTTCAAATTCTTAAGATTATTTTTCAGCATCTTTCATTTATTTTTAAATAACTTAAAGTTATCTCTTATTCAAAGCAGGTGAATCTTTAATTCTGGCTACTTTCAAAGCTCTATTGCATAGTTTTTCAATTTCAAGTTCCCTCTTTGCTTAAATACTTAACAATCCTAATCTACGTAAAATCTCTTTGTTCATCATTTATTATTTATTGCTTCTTTTAATTGAAGCAGGTAATTCTTTTGGTCTTACATTTGATTCAAAATGAGTAGTAGTGACTTCCGTAAAAAATACTGGTTATTTTATAACTTTCATCTTCCTTATTGAAGGTCTTTAAGGAATTTCTTCAGTAATTATCATTGGTTCTACAAGTGTTCCTACTTTGCTTACTTTAAATCCTTAATTCTCTAAACAAAAGTCAATTAAATTTGTTTCTGCTTCATAATTAAAATGTTATTATTTTGGAAATTGAGAATGAGCATATCTAGGTTTAGCCAATTCTTATTCTTCTTTTTGATGTCCGAAATATTTGACAACTAAAACATTATCAGATCATAGATTACCTTTTTATTTTAGATCTTCTTTTATATTCCCCATAACAATACGAATATTACGTTGAGCCCTTGATTCTGGTTTATCTTATTTGCTCATTGTTATTATATACTTTAATTTGTAATCTTATGCTAAAAAATAATATTAAATAAAACTAATATATAAAAATTTATTCCAACAATTATTTGTATTAAAATAATGAATTTATAAAATATTAATAAAATTTATTAACTTTTTCCAATGAACTTCTCTTAAAGAGTGCAAATTAAAAAACCAATTGTAAGTATTACAATGAATAGTTTGATGATTACTACCCTTAGTCAAATAATTATATATCTTAGCTTTCCAAATCAGTGAGTCCAATAACCAACAATTAGACTAATTTTTATTCAAGTTCATTATAATAATCATCTTACAATTCATTGTATTTTCAATATCTAGTATCTAGAACATAAAGTAGATAAAAAGAGAGAATCTTTTAATAAAAAAAAATACCAATTAGTATTCAAAAAAACTCTTTGTTTGATCCAAAGTCATAAAAATTAAATAATTCTAATATATATTCAGATATTAGAGTATCAGAATTTGATAAACCTATTTAATTTTAAGCAGATTAATTAATATAAAGACCAATTATATAAGAGTAAAAACCAAAAATATAAGAATAAAAAATTGAAGAGTTTAGTCCAATTTTAGAAGAAAAGAATGATAGATTTATTAAAATAGGAGTAATAATCATAATAATACTATTATTATTAATAGGGATTCTCAAATTCAAGTGATTTTAAATGTATATATATATATATATAAATAATATAAATATCAATTAATCCGTTAAAATGGCTGATCTAGAGTAATCAATCGAAGTAAGAATAGATAAATTCGAATGTATTCTATTAAATGATAGTTTTATAGCTGATTTAAATAGAGTAAGTTTATAATAAGATGCACTTCTACCACTACTTTAAATGATTGAATATATTCCATCAATTTAACGAACAGAAGCAAATGTAAAATAAGTATAAAAAAAATAAGATGTGAATGAATAGAAATAAGGAAGGCTTGTATACAATATATTCATAAATAATTTAGGAAAGATGTGCAGAAAGAAAATTAAGAGAAATTGAATCTATGCCTTAGAAACCTTAATTAGAAGTTTAATAAGTTGATTAAAGAATTAAAGATCTTGAATCTTCAATTAATTGTTTATATAGGTAATAATAATTAATAACAATAGGTGGTATGAGGCAAAATTGAGAGAAGGTTCTCAATAAATTGTTCGTAGTATTGATGATAAATTAGGAACTGATCCAAATGCAGAATTTAATGACTAATTATTAATTGTCGTGAATTAAACTATTAAAAATGCACTTGATAAAATGAGCGAAGATTTTAGAGGCTAACTTTGTGAAATTAGATAAATGCTATGATTTTATATATATTAACTGTTAAATAATATTAATAATGCAAGAATTGAGCAATGCTATTATTGAATTTTTCGATTTAGTAATTGAGAAATATATTACAAATTTTGCTAATCCAAAGAGAGAATGGAATTATTTCAAATCTCTATTATCTTCATATAGCATTGATTTAAATAGAATACAAAGTTACCTCAAAGTATTAAAAAATAGTGCTGATTAATAAAAACCAACTTTAAGGATAGATCCAATTAAGATGGATAATTATATGACATATGTTTCACCATTAAGAGATCATAATAGACCTTTTGAATAATAATTTAATCATAAATTTGAAAATGTTACATTTAACTAATATTTGAGTCAGCCTAGATTAGAACACAATCCAATAGATTCTTGTGTTCTCTTTAAGAAAATAACTGCTAAAATTGTTAATTTGATGGATTCTAATAATATATAAATGGCATTAACAAAGGAATTACAAAGACCTATAGAACGTAAATTAACAGATATTGAAAGATACAAATATAACCAACAATAATCTTTTTGACTGAAAGATATTCATATTCATTTCAATTTAATACAAATCATACCCTTTTAATTATTTTCTATTCTTTTTCATCCTCTGCAGTTTAAATTATTTTCAAGTTAAATTACTTTTCATATAATGCATTATAAAGTTTTAGAAAGGCTTCAGTTTCCAATAAATGGAAAGTAATCATTAAAACTAATTAATCATCAACTATTTGTTAAAATTATACATCTAATAAATATCAACTAAGATTTTTAATTTACTCATTCATTACGGTTCTCAAAGTTTGAAATTTTTTCATAATCTAATCACTAGTAGAAAATTAATTTAAAATTTTAATTATTGAAATAGATCTTTAAAAATTTTCTTTCTTTTTTTATATTAATATTTTACTTATTTATTTATTTTCTACATTGAAATTGATTAAACTAGTTTTCCTTGCATATTATAGTTAGTTTTATTTATATTATATGAAAGATCTCTCTCAATTCTTTTTAAGATCTATTATTTGGAAAATTAACAGACAGCATTGAATTGATAAGATAATCTCTTATTTGTTAAGGAATTCTTTATGTAAATTAGACCATAAGATTCATTAAAACTAAATTTTATTACATGTAAATAATTGTCCTTATATATTGCAGATCAAAATAGTTAGAATCACTTAATCCATTATTCTTACAAAAATTAATAAAATTATCCTATTTTGCACTGATATATTTGGTTAAATTTAGAATATTCCTTGATCTATATCCAATTCTTAACTAAATTTATTTTTACTTACATTAAAATGTTTTTAATACATTTTAATATGTGTACTAGTAGCTATTGTGCAACCTACCATATGAATATTTTGTTTTTGGATCTCATTTAAAATAATCTTAAATATAACTAATATTTGCTAAGAACTACAGTAATATTTATTTTAAATATTGAAATATCTTCTTATAGAATTTTTAGACTATTTAAAAACTTAGACATGCTAAATTTGAACATAATAATATAAATAAAAAAAATGGATGACGAATCAAAAATTACTCCTTAGTTTCTTGTTACACCAGATGAACAATCTTAAGCTATCTTATCTTAATTGGAGAATAATGGCTTGAACCCAGATGTATATGAATAGATTAAAAATGACCCTCTTTATTTATAACTCAATAATGCTTTACAAGGATTTCCATCTACAGATTAAGAGATATAAAAGTTAAATGATGAAGAAAGATTGACTTTTGAGATGTATTTAAAGAAATCAGCTTTAAATCACAAAAGAGTTGAAGAGAAATAAAAATTAGTCTTCAAGAAAGGTTTCAAGAAGGTAGAGTAGAAGTTTTATTAAAATTAATTGAAAACCAGCAAAATAAAGAAATAAAATCAATTTTCAATTGATTTCTATGAAATTCATTTTAAAGAGCTCTCATTGAAAATGAAAAAGCATTTAACCTATTTTATTCATCCTTAAAAGTAAGTTTCAATTACTATTAGAGAAAAATGTAAATTGGAATCATCACTTATTAGTCTGGCTTTAAGTCATTCAACTAGCCTTACATTAGAACAATATTAAAATCATAATCTTTTAGATAAGAAATCAAAGATTACATTTTAAATCATTTCATCAAAGAAGTAAAAGAAGAAATGAGTTTTAAGTTATCAAAATTTATTAAATTTTGTTCTAGAATGTATGAAGAAGCTTTGAAAGAATATTATGTAAATTGTGCTAAAAATAATGATGAAGAATATTTTAGAAATTTTATTAGATTGAAAATGGAATAGTCAATTGTAAAAAATTCTAAATGTAAGATTCCATGGTCTTTTTAAGAAATAATAGATGCCTAGAAATTTGCATTAAATTTAATTGACTAAGAAATTGATATGGAAAATGAATGAAACATATAAAATATTTATAAATAAATTTCTTTTTCTGGTTTATTAGAAATACTAAATAAAAAGAAAAAATAGGATAAAAAGATTAATATATTTTTATAGAATGCAAGATTCTAGCATGAAAAGAATTTATTAATATGCTGATTAATCTATAGTTAAATAATATGAATAATCAAATTTCTAACATAGGTTCTAATTATCTTTAGTAATTAACTTCTTCTTCTTATTTTTGTTATTTCTATTATTATTGTAGTTATTTTGATTATTACTATTACAAATTTGTATTTTATACATTATTGTCAAATGATATTCCATTCAAATTTAAGGGGATAAACTAATTTTAAATATATTATGAAGTTGGTTAGATTTAAATTTAATTAAAATTAGGTTAAATTACAGGATCAGGTGATTAATGCAATTAGTTATTTTTGATTTGGTTTAAAATTTAATCTTTTGGTGCCATTTCACCTAAGAATGGATAGAGAATAATATTTTAAGTTTAAGTTTAAGTTTAATCTTAATTTTCATTATTCTATTAATTGATTAGTTTATAATCATCTTAAGACATGACATATCTTTGATTAGATTTCATTAATTTTGATTTTATACTTTCTGTAGATGGAAATAATTCAGATGCAGTATATTAAGATTAAAATTCTTATGAAATACGTCTTACCTCACAATCACAATCGTCTGGACTATTTGAAGAAGATGAAGAACTAGTATGAAGACCATTAAAAGTATTCAATCTAATAAATAAATAATGATACTTCATTGGTTTTTCAAAAGGAACAAAAACTTCGCAATTATTTTTATGTTTATCAATCCACTTTAATCTTTCAGCAAGAGGTCCTTCAAGAATTTCTTTTGGTACAACAAATACGACTGGTAAATCATCAATATCATCTTCAGGTGGTTGTTGTTCTTATTGTTAGTTTTATTGTGGTTGAGGTTATATTGATTCTGAAGATTTATGAAATGATGAAGTTAATTTATTAAATAATTCACATGCACCCCATTTAAAGAATTATGGCAGTGAAACAATTGCATTTTTTGTACCCTATTATAAGATTATTAAATATAACTTCAACTGCTTATTGACCAACTTATTATAGTGGCTCAACAATATATTTTTACATTAGATTAGGTCCTTCTACATTCATTTTTTGTACAACTAAGATGTTAAAATTCTTTTATTGAGGAACTGAATTTAATAAATGAAAATGTCCTAAAGGTCTGCTACTTATAATATCTAAGAATAATATTTATATTTAATTACCTTCATCGAAATTTTCAAATCCATCTTTATTCATTTAATTTTAATATATTTAATGGGAGCATAGTGTTGTAATAATTACTAGTATCCCGAAGATATGGAGCCATGTGAAGATTCAGAATTGAAACGTCTTGATCTTCGATAAATTAACATTAAATACAATTACAAAAAGAAGTAAAAAGTAATGAATTCAAGTTAAACAACTAAAACATAAGAAAGAACTAGGTAATTGGCAGTGACTTTAAAGAGTGGAGGAATATATTTAGGTGATTGGATTGGTAATAAGAGAGAAGGTTATGGAACTTTAAAATGGCCTGATGGTTCTGAATATTAGGGTGAATGGAAAAATAATAAAGCAAATGGATAGGGTAAATTTATTTATGCAGATGGAGATTTTTATGAGGGATAATGGGAGAATGACAAATAAAATGGATAAGGGATATTCTAATCTTAGAATGGAGGTAAATATTAGGGTTCATGGAAAGATGATCTATAATAAGGATTTGGAATTGAAACTTGGGAGGATGGGAGTAAATATGAAGGATATTTTTATGAAGGTATTAAATAAGGATAAGGTACATATACATGGAGTGATGGTTCATAATATACAGGTTTATGGATTAATAATAAGCGACATGGTTAAGGAGTATAAATTTGGAAAAATGGAAAGTAATATCAAGGTGAATGGTTTGAAGATTATATGTGTGGATAAGGATCTATGAAATGGTCCAATGGTTGCTAATATATAGGTTTATTTAATAAAGATGCTCCTAATGGTTATGGAATTTTCAAGTGGGGAAGTATTGTATTAAAGATATTTTAGATGGAAAGAGTTATGAAGGTAGTTTTAAATTATCTAAACCTAATGGTAAAGGAAAAGTTGTCTTGGAAAATGGATAGACAAGATTTGGAGAATGGCAAGATGGAAAACTCTTGAAATGGTATGATAATTAATAAGATGTTTAAAAAGACAACTTTGATGTACTTAATTTAGAAGATTTGTGAAATTCATATATATATACTAATAATCATTAGGATGAATTTAAATTATATAATGGAATCCTTACTTAAGTCACTTATATTAGTTATATTTTCAGAGTTATTAATTTGATTATTAGTATTATTTTTATATGTTGTTCCACATTTTAAGCATTTTTAATGAGCGGAATCCCATGTATAAGTATAAGCAGTAGCCTAAAAGCAATTGGCTTCTTTTAATGATGGAAATTCGATAGAAATACATTAAGTATTAATTAAGGCACACAATTCATAATTTTTTTAATCAAAATCTAAAATAGGTTAACAAAGACCAGTTTCTTTAAATTTAGAAGTACAAGTGTGTTAGGTACAAACAGATTTCGTTGCACTTTCAGTCCATTGACAATTCCATGATTTTTAAAGACAAGTATTTTTATTGGATGAACCGTCAGAACAAGAAGTCATTAATTTGCATGCTCCTTCTCCATTGTTTAAATACCATACACATAAACCATCAGTTCCAGTTTATTAGCATGCTATTTCAGTAAGATATTTATCACAAGTAGTTTTAATGACACAACCGATACCGCTATCAACACAATTAGATATTGAAGGGCAATTATGATTTAATTCTGTACATAATGCTTAACGACATTTGATAATATTAGGATCATATAAACATTTACCATCAGTTCCTAAAGAAGTATTGCAATATTCTTTAGCATACATCTCACATTTCGCCATATTTATACATTTTGTGTTATCTGAAGTGCAATTCGGCAATTAATCATAACATTCTTAATGAGTAGTAAATATTAAATGTTTACATTCTAATAAAGTGCATTTCTTCTCATTATCATCATAGTAACATTTATTTCTTTTCGTATCAATATAACAATTACTTTATTTTGTATATAAAGAACAATCTTATAAATCAATACAACTAGTTTCATCAGTTGTACAAGTAGGATCAACAGTTTAACATTAGAGATGTGAATTAAAGAATGCAGATTTACATCCACCATATACTTTACATTTACTTTCCCCATCCAAAGTTTCTGGTGTAAATACACATCTGCCATCAGTTCCGTAATAACAACTTTATACAGATAAATTACTACATTTGTCTAATGCCACACAAGATAATCCATCAGTAGTACATTCATTACTAAATGAATAACATTCTGTATGATCTAGGAATGAAAGTGATTGACATGACGTATAAGCATAACATTTATCCTGAATCCATAAACATGGTCCATCACTTCCATAAAAACATGCACTCTTAGTTTTCAAACTACAATTTTGTTAAACAACACATTTAATACCATCTGTTGTACATGTACTTTTCACTAATTAACATTCTTTATGAGTTTTAAATTCGTGATCACTACAAATCTTATCTCTACATCCAATTGCCGAAAATTCACATTCATTACCATCTTTATCACTTGTACATGCTGCCTGTATTTTTGCATCTTTACAACTTCCCTTCTCTATACAACCTCCTGATTAATTTACTGTACAACCTTATTTATAAAGTTAGCATTCCTTCTCTGTTGTGTATGAGCTTGGAGCACTACTACATCCAAAATATACACATCTATTATTAATCCATTCACATTTTTTATTTTATGAATCAGTTACACATGCCTCTTACAAATAAGCTTCAGTACAACTTGTTCGAACAACACAACCTCTTCCATTTGTCGTACATTCAATTTTGAACTTTCTGCATTCTTCATCAGTTGAATATGACTAAGGTGCATCAGAGCATTACAATACATTACAACTAGGCTAAAATGTACAATTTTGCTTGTTTTTATCTATTACACATCCAGATTTTAAACTATATGAAGTACATAGATCAACATCTATACATCCTTTACCATTAGTAGTGCATTTCTTGCTGTATTATTAGCAAGCTTCATGAGTTATAATTGTTTTATCAGCTTTATCACATGTTTTATCAATACATGCGTTATTATACCATAAACATTCTCCACCAGTTTTATTTCTAAAGCAATTGATTTAATTTATATACTAAGAACATTTATCAGATCTTTCTATGCATCCAGTTTTAGTATTATTAACTGTGCAAATTTCAAGATGATTATTACAAGCTGTATCACTTGTAGTTTAATCAGAATTAGAACAAGTTCTTGGTTAACATTCATTAGGAGATGCTTTTTAATTCCAAATACATTTACCATCTACATAACTTTCAATGCAATTCTATTCATACACATAATCGTTACAAAGATCAAAAATATATGTACACCCATCAAATTCTGTACCTGTGTAATTGACAGTACAATATTGTAAGAATGTTTAACAAGCCTTAAAAGTATTAAATTTAGCTTGAGTACATGACTTATTTTCACAATTTGTTCCGTTCCAAAAACACTATTAATCTGTATTTGTGAAAGTACATTAAAACTATAGCAAATCACTACAATCAGATTTTCTAGGGATACAACCAGCCCTATTATTATTAATCATGCATCCTTTTAAATAAAAATTACATTCATCATCAGTAGAAATTAATGAATTAGCAGTTAAACATGTTTTCTAAATACATTTATTATTAAGCCATAAACAGAAAATAGAATTATTATTGGCCATATAACATTATTATTACTTTAAGTAATTACTACAATTTAATTCTTAAGTTTAACAACCTGTTAGGTCTTTCTAAACTGTACAACTTTTTAACCAATTATAACATTCTTAATGAGTATTGTAGTCATCACCTGCATTCTAGCATGTTCTAAGAACACAAGATCCACTCCAAACACATTATTGATTTTGATAATCTATACTACATAATTTTTCTGTTGTAAATGTGTTGCAAGATCTAAATCCGCATTTGTCATTTACTAATGTACATGTTGGCATAAATTTATTGCATGTTTATTCAGAGTATGTAGATAAAACAAGATTCGTACAAATTTTATTTACACAACTTGTACCATTCCAATAGCATATCTGAGATTCATCCAAAGTTTTTATACATTAATTTTATGTTGTATAACTATTACATGTACTTGCCCTCTTAATACAACCACTATTTGTTGCATTCACAGTGCATTCACTTTTGAATTAAGAACATAATTAATCAGTATTAATTGTACTTAAAGCATTTTCACATATCCAAGTTTTACATCCTGAATTAGCTGTACAATTTTATTATCCTTCATTACATGTTATTGAAAACCAAAAACAGATTGTACCATTCACAGCCACACATTAATTTTCTTTAGTATAATTCTCACATGTCTAAGGGCTATCCATACAACCTTTCATATTCTCATTCACTGAGCATTAACTTAAATACACTTAACATTATGTTTAAGTACTATAACTTGTAGGAGCATTTATACATGTTTTTTCTTTGCATTATCCATTATCCCAAAAACAAGTATTCCCCAAAGTATTAATAACACAACCTTTTTCTGTCTACTTTGTACAATCACTCTCAATATTTATACAACCACCAGTTTCCTTGACTGTGCATTATATTGATTTAACTTTTCCCATTATATTGCATTTTTAATGAGAATCATAAGAAGTTGGAAATTAGTTGCATGCTGATATTTCTTAGCATTTTTTATTTTCACTCTCCCAAAAACAAGGATACTGTTAAGTATTAATTTCACAAGCAGTTTAAACAAGATAATCATCACAAATTGTACTTATATTTATACATTTTTCTCCATTACTAGTACATAAAGGTGAGATAGCTTGACAATCAATATGTGTAGCAGCTATATAAACTGTACAACCACTAAATGGTTTACACTTTTTATTATAGAATGCACAACCTGTAATAGGACAGATATTGCTTTAAGAACAATATGATTCGATCTCAGTTGATTTATGTGTTTCACATAAAGCTTATACACTGTTCCATTTACAATCAATTTGCGCAGAACAATCCATTAAACTCAAAATTTCTTTACAAACACATGCATCTGTTTTTGCTAGAGTTCCAGCAAACACTACTGAGATTAAAAATAAAAGTAGGGCTGTTCTAATTATCATTAATAAAATAATATAAATATTTTTGAAATTGTATGATAACATTTATATCTGAAAATTAAATGTCTATTTAGTATAAAAACGTCTTTTCTAATATGGTTTTTGCAATTAAGATCTAGAAATACCACTTTAAAATCTTAAGAGTAAACAATAGAGAATATTTGAAGGATATTTATTAATCTAATTTTTCGATATTATTCTAATGAAAAAAAGGAGATCAAAATAAAACATAAAATTTTTTTATATCACTAGATTTAAGAATAAGCATTATAAGGTTCATAAAGGCTATCAGGATATATCCAAAAGTTCTAAAGGAATCGTTTAGAAAACCTAGAAAAAATATTTTATATTTTTCACCAAAATGTTAAGTCATTTTTATTTCGCAAACTTCAGTATATTTGGTTGGATAATCAAATAATAAACTAATTATTAGAATTAATCAAAATTTTTATATTATTTTAAATAACTTAAATATAAAAATTGTAGTTTTTAACTTGAAGATATTTTATAAACTATAATTTAAAGAATTGCAACTACTTTTTCTTATTTATTTATTTTGATATTTTTTCTACTTTTAAATATTAGATTTATAAACAATTAACTTTCTATATATTCTTTTATCTCATTGTAGGTTTACAAAATCATTAACATTTTAAACAATTTTATAGAATAAGAATTTTTAATTCATTAATTATTTTGTAGAATTTTTTAGGATATCAGAAAAAATTTGTATAAATTGATTAATCTATAATAAAATAATGGGACTATGCAATAAAGAGTAAACCTCCAAATCTACTGTTCTAATGAAATTTATACCTAAATATGATTAAATTTTGTCTGAATTGATGAAATTAATCAAATTTTTTTATTAAACATGAAACAATTAATCTTTTGAGTTTTGGAAGGAGCTATAATGTACATCATTTATCATTTATTTTCTAAATTTGGAAATGATTTTAAATTCTTTTAAAAATAATTTAAATTCGTATTTCTAAGTGATGAAAATTCAAATTGATATCACATTGTTTGAAACATGGAAATAGAGAGAGATGAAAAGTTTATAAATATCTGTATATGCTGATATATTGTGAAACAAGAGTTTGAAATCCAATTATTATTATTTTTCCTAAGTACAACAAATAGTCTTATTTTCCTTTAATTAATTAACGAACATGAATAATCTACAATGCCTGAATTAAAACATTGTCAATCCACTTGATAATTATATCATAGGTGTATAAATTAATATATATAGAGTAGTCCATTGGTAAGGGAACCTTTGGTAAAGTTTATAGAGGTCTTCATAAACCTACTCAATAATTTGTGGCCATAAAAATTCTTGAGAAAAGCAGAATTGAATAACCTGCAGATTTCACAAGAATATAAAGAGAAATTCATATTCTTCGTAAACTTCGCCATCCAAATATTGTTCAATTATACGAAATTCTTGAATCAGAAACTAAAATTTATCTAATTATGGAGTTTGTAAGTGGAGGTGAACTATTTCAGCATATTGTCAAAAATAAGCGACTTTCAGAGAGTTAAGCTGCTGCACTCTTTTCATAAATCATTGAAGCCATAGAATATTTGCATTCTCTAAAAATTGCTCATAGAGATCTTAAACCTGAAAATCTACTCTTAGACAAAGACACTTTAAAAGTAGTTGACTTTGGTCTTAGTAATATCTATACTGATCTACTTTCTACTCCATGTGGCTCTCCTTGTTATGCTGCTCCAGAAATGGTTTCTGGCATCTCATATTCAGGTATAAAGACCGATATTTGGGCTAGTGGCATAATCTTATATGCCATGTTATGTGGATATGTACCTTTTGAAGACTCAAATACAAGAAAACTTTATGATAAGATCAAGCATTCCGATTTTCAAAGACCTTCTCATCTAAGCCCTTAAGTTATTGATTTATTATAAGGATTATTGAATAAGAATCCCTAAAATAGGTTAAACATTCCTAAAATTAAAATGCATCCCTTTATCAGGTAATACCATTTTAATATTTTAAAAGTCAATATTCATATTCCGTTTAAATTCATCGCACCTTAGCTATCAATCCAAACATAATAAAATAGTTATAAAACATTGGAATTGATAGTTAAAAATGTAAAGAAATGATCATCAATAACAAACACAATCCTATTACTACTACTTATCATCTTTTAAATAAATATTAAAAGCCAACTTTACAAACTTAAAGAGTCCGAACTCATTAGAGTATTAAATCAGTTATTGATAAACCAGGTAATTCAATTGAACGAAGACCTAATTCAAGCATTTATCATAATAAAACTAAATCATAGGAAAACAATTACACTACTACTATGCATATGAATCGAGAATACAACAATCGTATTTCAGAAAGACCTAAATCAACTGAAAGAAGACTGTGCACCGAAATTGATAGGTGGGAACGTATTAAGACTTAAAATGAGACAAAAGAAAATTCTCAAAGAAAAACTCATATGTCAAAACCTAGTAAATCACCAGTTTTGTATGCCGAATATAAGTTGAAAACAGCAAGAATTATGTGATTAATATATATATATAATAAATGAAGAATTAAATTTCTAGTTTTATACTCAAGACTTACAACATTTTAGAAGTATCCAAGATCACTAAATTAGAATAATATGTATGAAGACATTGTTAGTTGGAATCAAGATGGGCTATCTTTTACAGTCAAAAATATAAGTCAATTCTCATCGATTGTTCTACCCATTCACTTCAAGCATTAAAATTTCTCTTCCTTTATTAGATAGGTAGTTCTTGGTATTACATTAAGTTAAACATGTATGATTTTCATAAAACAAGAGGAGGAAGTGTCAATGAATTCAAAAATGAATATTTCCAAAAAGGCAGAAAGTATAAACCAAATTAATTAGGGATCTACTTCATTAAATTAAGCGGAAAGCACATAATGAACTTATACCACTTAGCTAGCCTGTGCAACATGATTCTTCTGATTAACTCAATTAAGTAACAACTATAAATTTATTATTAAATTCTAGATCTCCCAAAAATGTGATTATTGGCATAACCTTTGCTCCTCACTTCTTGAAAGAAATCATAGAGTTATCAAAGATAATAAAACTCTCTAAAAAGTACTAACTAGTCATAGTAAACTCTATCTTTAAGATGAAATTAAGCACCAAGAATAATTGTGTATTACAAATGAAGAACTAACTAATAATGTTTAATGAAAATATCTAAGTTTTTATAATTAAATTTGTATAAATACAAAATTTTTACTATTAATCTTTTTATGTTCTACAAACATTTTTTTCAAACTTATAAAGTTTTAAAGATATTTTTGATATTTATGAAATCAAGAAAATTTTCAGCCTATAAAACTTTTTACAACTCTGAATTATAATTTATATGTTGATTATTTAAAAAGATTTAAAATTAACTTCTATTTATCAAAAATAAACTCTATAATTTTAGTGATAGGATATCCAAATTATTTTTTAAATCTTTCAAAAATGTACATTAAGAAATTAACTTTCAAATTGCCTTAACTTTAAAAGGAAGAAAAAAAAGTAAAATTAATAAATTTATATACTCTTTTGATTCATATTATTTATTGGCTTAATTATGCTTGCTTTAATTTTTAAGACATATAGCTTTTTATATAAATCTGAGATATTTCTATATTTCATGTATGATTTTTATATTTAAGGATATCAGAAAAAAAAAAGTTTCTTTAAAAGCATATTTTTAGACTGAATTAACGAGAATCTTGAAAGAAAGTTATTCTATTAGTGTTTTATAATAATAATATTTGAAAAAGATTTAGGATAATGATTTTTCTAATTTCTAGAAAGTACATAAATTTATCATTTTGACAATTCCTTAGAGTATAAAATATTGTTTAGAAAAGTGAATGGAAATATATCCTTTCTAAAATATTTTTTCGAAATAAATGAAATCCATAATTTTTGAGAATTATAATAATTATTATTTTGATTTTAGAATATGCATTCAGAATCAGTAAGATAAAAGGCAATTAGATATATAAATGAACTATAAACAGAAGATGATGATAAATTTCTACCATACAAATAAGAAAGAGATCATATTGGATTATTATTGAATACGAAAAGAAAATCAAAATCTACGAATTAATTGAATACAAGAGCTCGAATCAACCATGTTTATAGTTTAGGTTCAATAACTAAATAACTAGCATCTTAATCAATTAAATAAAATACAATATTAAAACATAAAAAAGAAAACAGTACTCATAATTTAGACTTATCACTTCTTGTCAATTTATAACCTCCATCTCCTGAAGAATAAGTTAAAGCTAAATAATATAAAGATATGATGGAGAAGAAAGCCCTTTTAGAAATGTATGAGAGAAAAAAAGATACTAAAGTTATTAGTCCTGCTTTAGAATAGATAATTGAAAAACTCAATTCAAGTATTACATAAGATAAATTTGTATGGAAGATGAATAATATAGATAAAGGTAAAAATCTTGGCTATTTGTTTCATGAATCTAAATTAAGAAAACATAATCGTAAAATTTAGAAATTTCAGCCTTCTCTTCCTAATTATGAACCAAATTACTAAGCGATTTTACCAAAATCAATATCTATAATTATTAAACCAAGTGAAAAACCTAATTATTCTATACAAATCTAAGAGTTCATCAGAAAAAATTAATTAGATAAGGAGTTATCCAAATAGCCTTAAACTAATATATCTAAGAAAGATAATACTCTTGAAAAAATGTATAGCATACTTTAGAATCAAATTACAAGAGAAGTAAATTAATCACTTATATCAAATCCATAATCAATGAATCCTTTAGAAGAATTTAGTGCAAAACCTATTGAAGATACTTACATATAACAATTTCATTTATAAGTGAAATAAAAAATGAAAGAAACTAATAGGGCCAGAAAGAATATTTAAAATAAAATATAAGAGTTTGATTCATATTTATAAAAACATAATTGATTTCTATAAAACTCTTAAAAGTTCTGTCTTCTTGATAGAGTGGATTCATATACCTTTTATTTGTATTCTAAACTTTTTTAAATATTTATGTCTGAAATATCAATTTTATACATATAATTTATTAAGTAGAATGTCAGAGGAAGAATCTGATTAAGTATTTGAAGAAGGACCATCAAAGAAATGTAATTGTAAAAACTCTAAATGCATAAAACTTTATTGTGAATGTTATCAAAATAAAGTATTTTGTGATAATAATTGTCATTGCCATAATTGCTTTAATAATTCATCCAATGCTGTATCATTAAATTTATAAGATAGAAATAAAGATAAAAAGCGATGTAATACACATTAGAAAAAAACCCGAGTGCCTTTTAACCTAAGATTACGACTTCTGATTCAAAACCTGATCCATTAAATTTTGGAAAACACAACAAAGGTTGTCAATGTAAAAAGAGTGGTTGCATGAAAAAATATTGCGAATGCTTTTAAGCTAAAGTACCTTGTTCAGATTAATGCAAATGTATCGAATGTCGAAACTATGGATTTTTAACTAAAGAACATTTTATTAGAGCTACTAGAGGTGATGAAGATGATTTTTTATGTAATCAAATTTAATCTAATTAGATTAACTTTTATTGACAAAGGATTAAGATCATTTATAATCAGTACTTTCATATAAAAAACCTTTATTTGAGCAAAAAGAAATTGAAGATGTTAGTAATTAAATTAAAAAAATTATCTCATCTAATGAAACAGGTCCAATAGATCCAATACTTGATGTCTTTATTAAATTACTAAAAAATGCCTCTGATTGATAAAAATTAGTAAATCTATAAAGTTTTTATATTCTAACAAATATTTATTTATTTTAAATTATTAAATTTAATCAAAACAACATTCTTAATTTGTTTTAAGTTTATTCAATTAATTAAGACTACTTATAATAATATAAAAATTATTTAATAATTTATATATCATTCTTAAAATCTTAAGGATACTATTTCAGTTTAGCCAGGGTGTATTCTGGCCTAATCTTTTGAATTCTAAATAAATAAGATTTACATACACTTTCCTCTACTAGTTCTCTATATAATTTTAATTGAAGTAATGAATAGAATTTTTCTTATCTTGAATATCTTATTAATTATTCTAATTCTTCAAAATTTTAGTTTATATTTGAATTGAAACAAATTTACATTTGATTATTTATTATTGGATTATGTTTCGTATAAAGGTCATAGTACTTAAGTGTTTCTTAAAGCATTTTTTCATCATAAGTTCTTTAAATTCTTTTTTTTATAACACATTCTTTTTTTGTTATAAGAATATAACTAAGAAACATATATTAAATGGCATAGATATAGTTAGTAATACTTTTATAATCAAATTACCAAAATGCTATATGAAAAATCTAGTTTGAAAGTAATTAAAATATTAAAAATGCAAGCAAATTATATCTAGATATATGGAATTTGGTTGTAATTTTAGAACTTACTCCATTTTTAATCATATTATATTTTTCTATCCAATAGATAACAATAAGAGCTAAGAGAGTTATAAAATAACATATAGGATAAATATACCCATAGTAACAGCAAATTGAAACTAATTGTGTAATTGAAAGCCTTTTTTTATAAAAATCAAGTTAGCGTTCATATAATTGATTTGCCTCAATCTAAGTTAAATCAGAATTCTTTTTAATTTTTCTAAACCAAAATCTTTTTAATAATTATAATCCATATGTAACATCAATTATACTGAAAATTATAGGAAAGATTGCGTTTGATAATTAGATAAAAATTATATCTTCACTTAATCCTCCTGATCTCCAAAGTTTTTATTGACGAGTTCCACTACCAGAATACACTCCAACAAATATTGGAGGAATTAAATAAAAATATTAAATTACTATTGTTTCATTAAAAAGCATAAATATTCTCTTCTTTTAACGATTTGAATTAAAATCTTTCAAATTAAAAAATTAAGATATTGAATTTTCACAAAATTAGGTAAGCAGATATAAAAGAAGTGAAATTGCTAAACTTAATAAAGTACTTTAATAGGAAGTAGAACTATCAGGATTACCATTTTCTGACAGATAATTGTATTTTGCAACTTAAATACCAATAATAGGAAGCCAGCCAAAACAAATAAAGAATAATTTTAAATACTCTAGTTTTGAAAAAGATGAGTTATTATGCCAAATAACATCTGAAGGTCTAGGTGGTGATTCTAATTTAAAACTATTAGGTATTAAAACCCATCTAAAATATTTTACAAATTTTATTAAATCAGCCTTTTTAAATTATATAAATTACTTAATTTGTAAAAGTAATAATAGCTGTTCCATTGAACATTAATAAAGTCTCATCCTAAAGAACACTATAAATGTTAACAGTTTTACTTATCACTTCTTTCAAAGATCTATTTTATCTAAATATATTTACATGCTTTAATTTTAAATTATTGTTAACTATTATTTTATTTTTTATTTAAATTGATTTTCCAAGTATTCATGATCATATATCATACAAATATCAAGGATATTATAAATAATTTTTTTTTTCTCCCACATTCCTTAACTAAAAAACTCTTAAATCTTTTCCCTTTCCCAATTTCTTGGAATTTAAGATACTTTCACAGAACAATACTTTATTATCTTTTCGATATCTTAATCATTGTCTACATTTAGGCAAGCATTTTTATAATAAGTAATGTATCCAATAAAACAAATTTAAACTAATATTGCTATAAAATACAAGAGGTCTAAATAAATATCTTAAAACCTGGAAAATCTAATAAAATTTTATACTAGTCATTATCCATTCTATTTAGAAGGGAAGAATAATTATTTAAATTTTTTTTGCAATCTTTATGCTAGTTACATTAATTTCCTTTTAGATTCTCTTAAATATTATATATCCCAAAAATAAGACTATATAAACAATAATATTTTACAATCCTATTAATAACAACAGAAAGTTCAATTTAATATAGTTGAAATATTTGAAAGCATATCCATGTTAACTAAAAACTTTTAAATTGCATGAAATTGAATATGGAATAGTCTAAATTGGATTATTACAACATGAACATCTTTCTGATTGCTGTATAATGCTTTGATAAATAGTTTGAGATTTCTTTAATAATAATGATTATGGAATACCCCATGCTTTTCTGCTTTTTCAAAATCAGCAGGAGATCTTAGATTATAATCTTGGAATTGAGAGAATGCATCTTTTTGAACTTCCATAAGATTCCTTATAATAAATTGAATTTAAATGTATTTTAATTACTTGATTTGACAATAAATATTTTAATAAGTTTTAATCAAACAGTTTTAAAAATATTATAAGTTTTGAGTTTTATGTTATTTAAGTAAATAACAATATTATAAAATACAGTTTCATATTTTCTTTATATTTTAAATTCATCATTTAATTTTATGCTATAATTATAAATTAATTTATAATTCAGAGTTGCTTTATTTTTTAAATGAACTTTTTTGAATTACAAGTATTTCTACTTTTCCCTTTTTAATTAGTATAATATAAAATATGCAATTTAAAATTAACTGTTAAAAAAATTGTAAATTCTTTTACGACATAATTAATAAGATTATCTAAAAAATGCATTAAATTTTATTTAATTCTAAAAAGTGATATCTTAATTTAAAATTATTGAATCATATCAAAAATTCAATAGATAATTAAGACATTAATTAATTATAAATTCCAAACTTTAATTTTCATCAACAAAAAGAAAGGAAATTTGATATCAAAGTTCTTAAAGTGTATATAAATAAAATTAAATTATTTAGTTTACTGAGAAAATAAATATGATAGTTTAAATAAAGATGAACAGTAATTGTTATTATCATTATACTCTAATATCATTCATTCCAATTTCATATAATGCTTTCTATCCAAATGTTAAATCTGCATAAAAAACAGTTAAATATGAAATGTTAACATCTTTAAGTGCTCTTCTGGTAGCTTAAGTTGCCATTTCTATTTCTGAATAATCTGGATTTCAATGTCAACCAGTTTTCTAAACTTTGTCATTCCAACATAATTAAGGCCCTTTTAATTTGATTAATTTCTCTTAGTTTCTTATTAGGTAATATCTTTTTAAATTAAAACATAGATTTATAAATTTATATAATTATTAAATACTAGAACTATCTTATAAAGATTATTTAAATTTAAATATCATTAATTGTTTATTATTTAATAGATTCAATATACATTATTCTCACTATTTATAATCTCTTCTAATAAATTTACTAAAACTATATTATACTCTCTATTTTCTACATTTTATGCATTTAATCCCAATTTTAATAATTAAATTAACCATTTACCAACAATTTTTTATTGTAAATTTATCTTTAAAATTGGAAATACTTATTCCATAAATAGAATTTAAGACTTACTTATTATAATTTTAGATTCTGAAAGTCTGAGTTACTCTAAATAACCATTTAAAGTTTATAAATTATGTATAGGTTATGATAATCCATTATATGCATCAGTGAATCTCGAAATTAATTATTCAATAAATTCTAAGGGTTTTGATGTTAACAAAATAATGAGTTTTGCTGTAATAAATTCTTAATTAATAAAACTTAATTAACCATTTTTATTTTAATTATTTTGTAATTCATTGAATTCTTCTAGTCCATTTTTATTTTTGTCGTAGTCCATTGCCCATTATTCTAAATAATATCTCATATATAAATGTGTGTTAAACTTTTTACATTTTTAATATTATTCATTAAATATTATTAAAATTTATGCTTTATTTTATTATGATATTGTATTTTTAAATTTAATAATATACTCTTCAAGAATTTCTAAACATTTTTATTGAATAATCTGTTTTGAAGTGCATTCATGAGCATTAATTTTAAAACTAAACTTTTTTGGTCTTATATCTTCTTTTAAGAGTTATTCTAATGGTTTTTAGAAATCCTCATCTAAATTATAAGCCTCAAATAATTCATTTGGAGAACATTTTTACAATAAATGTTATATTTATTCAATCATAACAGTCCAATTTTCTTGTGTAAAGAATTAACCACCTTATTAAACAATGATTTTAAGAGAATCAAGACATAATGTTGAAAGAAACTTAATATAAATAAATAATAATTACATCTTAAGTTTATAACACTAGTTAAATATAGATTTCAAATAAATCATTTAAGCAAGGTTACATTTATTAAAAATATAAAATCATCAAATCTGTAAATAAATTAAAAGTCAATTAACAATTTGAAATAATCTATTATTTTGTTTAAGATTATTTAGTAAATTATAATTTAGAAAACTGAATTTCATCAAATAATGGTTTTATAACACCTCTTAAAATCATTTTCCAAAATTCAATTGATTATTATTCCCCATGTATTTTTAATAATTCAAATAAAGTATTAACACTTTTTTATTAAACTGATACTCTTTCATCACTATATAAGACAGAGAGAGATGATAAAACAGGAATCCATAATTAATCTAAATATTTATTATCATTTCTTTTAATCAATACTATGTGATCAACTAAAATTTTTAATTATTAAATTGAATTCAATACAATAGTTATTTCTTTATTCTTCGTTTATTTAATTAATGCTTAAATCAGCTCAATATAAATTTCTGAATAAATTTATTAGTTATTAATATCTTACATAATTTTATCTGTAATTTATACACAAAATCTTGCCAATTATTATTAATCATCCTAAAGTACTTAATTTACAATATTCAAAATAATCTTCCAACCACTTTTTATTGAGTTGAAACAAACATTTGTTATCATACACATACAAGATAATATATATTCTCTCAATTATACTTTTTATTATTATTAAGCTTAAGTATGACTAAATATCTATTCAAAAGGCAATAAAAATTCTTTTTAAAAATGATAATTTGCCAATTCTGGTTACTCTAAGAATTTACAACTCAATTACTTTAATTAATCAATAGCATAAATAGCAATATCTACATTTTTTTAGCATCCAACTTCTAGAAAATGTTCTCTCATTATTTCCCACATTCTAGACCATATAATTTTAATTCTATTCATATTAAAATCTGCTACTTCTAATACTCTACTCAATAAAAATATTCTATTATATTTAATTTCCTCTTTAGAAAGCTCACATAAAGCACTTATAAATTCTAAAATAGAATTTGAATCCAAGTTTATTGAACTATTAAATATTTTATCAATCTATTCATATTATATTTACTAAAATAATCTCTCAATATTAATTATATCTTCTTGATTATAACTTTCTTTATAAGGACTATCTACTTTTATTTTCTTTACTACTTAATGTAATAATTCTAATCTTGATATTAATTACAATACTACTTTCCAACTTTTACGTAAAAATTATCCAGATTATAAACTAACTTTTATCAAAGTTTGTACTCCCAATATTTATTTGTAAGTACTCGGTATATTTGTACAATAACGATATAAAAAACTTATAAATGTGTCTTTTTCTTCATCTAAATCAAATCTGCCCATTAATTAAATAAATGCTTAAATTGTTTCAAAGCATAATAATATTTATTATTAATCATCACTTTATTCTAAGAATACACTTATAGATGCAAATATTACACTCCATGTTTATTATAATAAAGATTTCATATGTTCAATAGTATTAACATAATAAAATGCATCTTAATTAGGATGTTCTTTAAACCATTTTTTTAATGAATCTTCTGCTTCTCTAGCTAATATAAAATGTTTCTTTCTTTAATCTACTTAATTTGCTTATTCTAATGCTCTTTTTGCTTATTCTTTTGCATGTAAAGCTAAAGGTGTTTTTTAAATTCTTGTATAAAATCCTTATAACATTTCTTAAGGTAGATTCTCTCCATCATTTATTCCTCTTGCTAAATTTATGAATTAACCTAATGTCATTTTATCTAAGTTTTTTTCATTATGTAGATCAGTCTATAACATCATTAATAAATAAGAAAGTGTATATGCAGCTTATGCTGATTAATAAATTCCAGGATTATCTTCACAATATTTTGAAGCAAACTTTTCCATAATTCTATCTATTTATTATGATTCTCCTGGTAAAGTAAAGAATTCCAACATATATCTTAAACCTTCATCTACTTATAACCCTTTAAAATTCATCAAATCCACATATAATGAAAATACTTTCTAATCAAATTCATTTGAACTACCAAATAATTCTCCTAATTTATCTTTATTTAAATCTCTATTATCCCAAAGAAATTAAGCAAATAATTTGCAATCTCTATTTTCCATGTATTAACAAGCAATCAAATGTTTTATACAATGTTCAGGTTTAAAATTAAATTTTTAAACAGCCTTATTCATTTCTAATTTCATTTATTTCTATTTTTCAATAGGATCTTATGATAATTATTACTATGAGATGATAGCTTCCTCATGTTCATCAAATGATTAAATTTAAACTACATTTTATGAATCTTCGTATTATTCACAATATTCTTTTAAACTTCTAACATATCCACAATAATTATCTAAACATAAAGATTTAAGATAAATTTCTTGATTGTTTGATATTGAAGCTTGAAATTCTAATTTACTAAATCTCCCTTAAATTATACGACATTGCATATCCAGAATTTTTTTAAGTAAATTATTCTATCCTACTGAACAATCATAATTTACAAATATTTCCATAACTGCCTTTGGACGAGTAAGTATTTTATTAAAAACTTTTAAAGTATATTATTTATGATCAAAAGAACTATTACTACTTTCCAAAAATTTGAAATAAACATTTTCTATTAAAGCTTCTAATTCTTTTTTCATATTACTCCTTACTTTCCAAATCAATTAAATGAAAATATTTAAAGTTATAACTAATAGTTGTTTTTCAGTTGATAGAGAATTCTTAAGCAATGATTCTAATAACTACTCTTTCAATATTGATATTAATTTAGGCTTATTTTATAATATTAAATCGCTTTAGGCCAAAGCTTCATATATTAATTCTAAAGATAAGACTTTACATTTAATGATCATTTAAGCTAATTATGGATTTTAAGGATCTCTTTAGCTTAATTAACAAAACATTTCTAAAATTTCATAAGCATCTTTTAAATATTATTCACTCTAAGTAGAATGTTAATATGATAAGGTAAAATTATGCATCTAGTTTAAATGTATAAATTTGCATTCTTTACTACAGATTGGTACTTTAGTATCTTTACAATATTAGAATGCTTATTTTCTACAAATTATACACCAACCAAACTTACCATTTTTAATACCAACTTCATTGATTGAATTTATTTATATTTAATTTTTATTAATGGTTACATTTCTTAGATTAGGTTCTTGTAAATTTAAATCAATAACTTTCATTTTATTTTATTCATCTAATTATTTCTCATAAATTGATCTTCTTTCACTATATATTATAACTTCATCAACTAAAGTTACCATCAAAGATTTCATATATTATTCAGCCTTTATTTGTGCTTTACATTTTCCATAAACTAATAATTTCTAATTACATTATTGTTAAATTGCTTATTAATATTCATCTTCTGAAAGAATACCATAATCTTCCAGTCTTATAAAATAAGTATCAACAATCTTTAAACAAGCTTCTTTACTTATATTTATAATTGCAACATTTTTAGAAACTTATATAATTCAATATTATATACCTGAATGTATATTTATTAATAGCGAAAATACTCTTGTTACAGCTTCTCCATAAATATGATGCTTTCTATTAGTCATTATAGCTTATATTGCTTTTATCATATATATTTAAATTGTCTCTTCTTTCTCTACTTGAGTTTACAATACTAACTCTAAAGTTATTTCTATTGCTCTTTTTTCTCCTATTATTATCTCTCCAGCCAAAAAACCTAAATCTATTATATTCTATAATATTTCTCATAGACTTTACTTTGATATCAAATAAAGCCAGTTCAATTAATTTAATCTATTTTGATTCAATGCACTATTAATAAATCTTTATTAAGTGATTTGCATCATTATAATCTTAAATCTCTTTTTTTATATTAAATATAATTACATTGAGTTTCTTCAATTAATTGTTATAATTGAAATTATTTTTTTGTAATTGCCTTTCTAATTTTATCTAATGATTGATTGATCAAATCACTTAATGTTAATGACATTTTATAAATAAAATTTATAATTCTATATTTAATTATTTATTATCAAAATTCTCATAATGATTTTGATTAAAATTTAACTAATGATATATAATGTAATGATTATCAAAAATTATTGAACTATGTATTTTACTTTTCACTAAAATTATCCATTTCATATCCAGAAAATTAAGCTAATTAAGATTATTATCTATATACATTATATCGAATTTCTTCTTAACATAATTGAATGTTATTAGATAAGTTCATTATTTTCATCATCTTCAATAGATATTTATCTAGCATCAAAATTATCCTCATTTTACTAAATATATAGATTTAATACATTAGGTATATAAGGAGATTTCAATTCTTTATTCATTAATTTTTACCATGGAAAATTTTTAAACCAAGAATGCTATCTTAGTTCATGAGGACCATTAAATCCTAATCTATTAGCAGGTTTTCTTTATATTAACTTATAATAATTTAATAATAAAAATTACTCTATTAATAAAATCTGCAGATTCTAAAGACCAATTATCTGGGATTTCAGATCTTTTAATTTATACTTATTTAGCTAGAATTTAATCTCTAATTTCTTTTCTAGTTCTACCAGTATATGGTCTCTAAATTTAAGATAATACAAATTATTACTTTTCCTAACATAAATTCATATCCAATAACTCCTAAAGCAAAATAATCAACAGCAAAAGAATGATTTTATCTACACATAACTTCAGGTGCTATTAATTTATAATTAAAAATAATACCCATATATCCAGGTGTTCCTGAAGTATCTTATGAATTATCAGGTCTTAAATTTCTAGCAATCCCAAGATCTGTTATTCTGACATAACCTAAAATATCTTGTATTTTAATACCATTTTTATCCAGCACTAAATTTTCTGGTTTTATATCTCTATGAAGACTATTTTTAGAATGCATATATTCTAATCCTAAAAAGATGCAAGCCATAAAAAACCCTTTAATTTCAATTTAAATTAAATACTTGTTTAATCCTCCGAAAATCTTCTCATTTTACCTATATGATATCTTAAATCTCCACCTTACATATAATCTAAGACTATAAATAAATTCTCTCTGTCTTAAAATGCATAATATATATTAACTAAAAATCTATATTTGATAATATATATATACGGATGCTTTAAATTACTCAGAATGTTTTTTTCATTCATAACTGAATTCACACTCTTTTTTGCTATTATTCTAAAATACAACCAATCAAATACAAAGCTTTTGACATTTCTTTCATTGCATATATCTAACCAGTTTTTTTATATTCCACTTTCCAAACTTTACCAAATCCACCAATTCCAATAACAAATTAAAAATTAAACATATTCTTTTATACTATTGGTTCATTTATATCTAAATATATTATATAAAGTTTAACTTTCTTTTTCTTCATCTTAAATTATCTATGATTTATCTTTAAGAATCAAGTAGTTAAGAAATGAAATTTATTTTGGCTATTATTATTTTGAAATCGAAGACTTCTTAGAATGATTCGCTGATGATTATTAACTAGATGGCACTACTAATTTTTATAAGCCATGCATTATTGGAGCAGGTGATCTTTCACAATTTTACTCATTTTAGCGGCTTTTGATTTACTTAAGTATTTTACTTATTTAACACATTAATCACTTATTAACCTTAAGGTAATTATGATCGAACTACATTCATTTATCCTGAGTCTTGTCTTGAATGAGGAAATCGGTAATTTAAACTTTTCATAACAGTAATTATATAATATAAATTTATTACAATTATCAGATCCAAATAACTTATCAAAACAAACATAAAATTAATTTTGAAATTTAATTGATATATTCATTTCTCTTTTATTCTAAAAATTATGTTATTTTATTTTTGAAAAGCGCTTTTTGATTTTTAATCAAATTCATTTTCCAGGATACCACATTATCAAATTTTCAATTTAATATCTGCAATTTATGTTATTAAAAATTAAAAAAATAATGTCATAATGTCAAAAATGAATCAGACTATAGAAAATTTAATTATTTAATAATCTTCAAATAAGAAATAGTTTATTTATGAATTATCTGCCTTTTGACAAAAATATCTTAAAAATTATAAACTTAACAACATCTCGAATTTATAAAAATAAAATAAAATCATTAAGATAACATTAATTAATGAATTAATATTCCCAAAAAATTGACATCTATAAAAAGAAAATAAAAATAGAGCTTAGAAAGTTTTAAATAGCTAATGAATAGTTTATTTCTTCTTATTTTTAAAATTTTGTTAATTACACTATTCAAATTCTTTGATATCATAACATAATATCAGATTTAAATTATAATTAAATAAAAATAAAATACATCTTACTAATTAAGAATTATTCTAATAATCCTTAATTATTTAATATGTAAATATTTTAAATTATAATTTGTATTATGTATTTATTTTTATTAATCAATGCATCTTCAACTATATTTGTCAAAATGTCCTCTGTAATTGAAGAAATCAAATTATAAGGCTTCTTTCTGTTTATCAGTTGATAACTAGTTTGATTGATTATTTTAATTACAGATAAGAAATCTTAATATTTTTCTTAATCCATTTAACAATCAACAAATTATTGTGCTTCCTTCTTACAATTAAAGATATTGCCATCAGATTTAAAAACACATTCTCTAACATCATTAAATGGTGCTAAACAAAGAGGATGCATTCTTTCTCTAATAAAATTATATCAATATTTACGCTTCTTTATAACATCCAACCAATTCTCTTGCTTTATCTCTGCATTACCTTGGATCTTTTGGAATAGGTTATGTAGTTTGTCTGCAATCTTCATAATTATGTACTTCTGATCTACACTTATGAAAAGCGTATTAAGAGTGAATCAATACTTCAAATGACTTTGTATTCATTTTATATTTTATTTTTTTAATTATAAGAATTATTAATAAATCAAAAAGATCTAGTAATCTAAAAATCCTCATCTCATCTCCTATGTCTATCAAAAAATAAATTTTTTATCTTAACTCTCAAAATATAAAGACTTATATATTATTTTTATAATAGGTTTTTATTTAATATACAAGCATACAAAAAAAGATTTTTAATATTTTGAACACTTTCTTTAATTTTATATGATAAAGAATAAATAGAGTTATTTTCAGAAATTAAGAAAAATAAATGGATTATACAATTGCTTAAAGGGAAAAATTCTATATTGTAAAAATAAATTAATAACTTTTAAAATATCCATCAATATGGCTATATCATAAAAATATTTATAATGGCTTTCAGTTAGATATAAGATGTTTTGATAAGTTACTTTGTTCTAAAGGATACAATAAATTTAATATTTTTTATTTTAGAAGACCCTAAAATTTATTCTTAGTTAATTATTCAAGACTCTCTAAACTAAAGAATTCTTTATAAAAATATTATATTTTTTTATAAAGAGTAAAAATAATTTTTCTAATTGAATTTATTGACTGATTAAAATTTTATCTTATTTTAATTTTATAGTCTCGGTGTGATTTGAAGGAATTTAAAGTCTTAATTTCTTATTTTTTTTTCATCTCATTTTTATCTTTTAATTTAATGTTATCTTTATAAATTACAATTATTTAAAATTCTTTAATGAAATTTATAAAAGAATGAAAATTAACAATAATTTATATTAAATTTAAAAAGTGCAAAAAAAATAAAAGCTTAATAAAGACAGAATAAAAAAAATATTCAATTAATTGTTTGGTTGCAATAAATATATCATTTTGTTAACATAAAATCCTTATTTTATTTTAATTGCAAAACTTTAAGTTCAAGCTAATCGATATATACTTACTATTTCTTTATTTATACAAACATTTCATCTTGATTATTTGATAATTAAGAAATTTATTCCAAATATTTCCTCTCTAATTTTTCTTTATAAACTTTATCTTAAGCTTCTTTTTATTAATACTTTTTTATTTCTTGTTGTAAATTTTTAATTTCAATTTTTTAATTGTCCAAATCTTTTTATAATTAAACCATTTTTGCTTTTTGAGTTGCTAAATATTCATTTGGATGCTGATCTTCGAGTAATTTAACTTACTCGCAAAGTTTTTAAATTGTATCATTTTAATTTTTAATTTTTTTTTCTAATTCTATTTTTTGTTTTAATAATTCCTCAACTTCTTTAATTTTTGTATTATCCTATTCTCTTTATTTTTAAAGAATATTAATTTTATCTTCATAATTGATTATTTTATTTTAAAGACTTGTCTAGGAAATTTTCAATTCTTAAATTTAATTTTGTAATTAACCATAATCATGAGTAATTTTTTGATTTTAAACCTGAAATTCTTTCAATTATTCTTTATATGAAGAAATTTATTCAATAAATTGTTAATTTTCTAATTTTAAAGTATCTATTTATTTTATTAATTGCTATTCTTTCTCTCGTTATTCAGATATGTGATTTTCTGAAACTTAAGAAAAATCTTCTAAATTTTGTACATGCTCTTTAAGTTCTTCAATTTACTACTTATTATTTTTTTCATTCATCTCATATTAATTAATTTTATTTTTTTATTAATTCAATTCTTCCTAAAAAGTTAATTAAGATGAATTTTTATTTAATTACATTTATTATAGTTATGCTTTAATATTCTCGATTTCTTATTACATTTATATTTCTTTTTCATTGAAATTCATATTTTGTTATTATATTTATTGATTCAATTTTTTTTTCTCTTCAATTTCTTGTAATATTTAAGCTTCTTTTTCTTTTAATTATTCTCTTTAAATAACATTTTACTATTCTAATAAATACTGTTATTTATTAAAATTTTCATTTCCTAACAATATTTCTTCCTTTTTTTTTTATAATTCATTTTTTAATAGAGTATTTTCTTTTTCTAAACTTTAAAAATTTAATTATAATTTTTCTAATTCTTATTTTAACATTTTTTCTGTTTACTAAGCCTCATCTATAGTTTTTGACAATTACATTTAATTTAAATAATTCTATTCTTTTAATTTTTCTATATCCTATAATTAAGATGTTTCCTTAAATTTGTATTAAATCAGCATTTATTCAGTTTATTATTAAATATCTATTAATTGCTACTACAATTTTTTTTCATTTATAGAGATATTTTCTATTTCCTTTTGTAATCGATTTATTTCATCCTTCAATTAAACTTTTTCTACTTATAATATAATTTTTTCACTTTCTATTTATTTATTTTTATCTTATTCTTTTTAAATATTAGAATTAAATTGAATTTCTTGAGCTTCTTTTTTTTTTTTTAATTCTTATATTTCCATTTCAAGATTTTAATTATTTTTCTTCAATATTTAAAGTTTTTCTTATAATTATTCATTATCTTTTTTATTATTTAATAAAATAATTTCCTATTTTTGTTCTTGAATAATTTTAATTTAATTTTGTTTATTTAAATCCTCAATTTATTATCTTAATTATTATATTTATTCTAAATTTTGTTCAGAAGGTGTATCTAATTTAAACTTTTCAGTTAAATTTTCATTATTAGATTTATGTTCATTTTCCTAATGAATCATTCCCTAATTATTTTATTAATTAATTCTTTCTTTATATTCTTCAAGTTGATTTTAATTTTCATTAATTAATGTTTATTAAATCCTATTTATTTTTTCTAGTTATTTTATTTATTCATCGCTGTCCAAAATTTATTACTGCAATTCTTTTAATTTTGTTTCATTTTGCTATTAATTTTATTCCTGAAGCTGTAACTTTAGATTAGTTTATTGTAATTAGTTTTTTAGGTTTTGAATAATATTTTCTAGATTATCATTATTCACCTTTTTAGTTGATTCAGACTCCTAACTAATAGTTTATATTTAGATAAGCTATTCAGATTCAACTTTTGGATTACTAATTACATTAAATTCTTACTTTGATTTCTAAAGTTATTCTATCTATTTTTTTTACTTTTAGATCATTATTTTTTATTTTTCGATTTAATCTTCCAATTATTTATATTTTTCTATATCATTATTCTCATTTTTATTCCCTTTTAAAAGTTTCAATTCTTCAACTAATTATATTTACTATTATAATTATTGATTAATCTAAAGATTTTCTTTGTTATAGGTCTCAATAATGTTAATGATTTCTATAAGTTAATTTGAATTTTATTCTTGAATTTAAAGGTCTTTTATTTCTATTTTTGCCTTAACTTTTTATAATTGACTTTCATATTTTCTTAACTTAATTTTACACTCTTTTAAAGTAGATTCTCCATCTAAATTTTCACTATTTGCCATTTTTTCTATTTGTATTTTCTAATTTTCTATTTCTTCTAGAGCTAAGGATAAATTCTTTTTTAATTCTATCACTTAGTTTTATAAATCTAAATTATTTTTTGCATAGATTTCTATTTAAATTTTTTACTATTTAATTTATTTTTCATATGTATCATGCATAATATCATTTTGTTGTCTAGTTGTTTGTAAATCTAAATTTATCTTAATAATTGCTTGAAATTACCTCTAAACAATTGATTATTTTTTTCTCTTAAATTTTAATCCTCTCCATTTATTAAACTAACTCCATAATCATTTTAATTTATTTTAACTGACTTCCTTTTCTATGAATAATGATAAATTTTACTAATTCTATATTTTCTTTTGATTTTTTTTCTATTTCTGTTCTTAATTCTTATTCAATAATTCCTTTTTCTTCTTATAATTTTATATTTTCTAATCATAAATTATACATATACATTCTTTTTCAAAAGCAATTGCTTTTTCTAGTTTTGATATTTGGAATTAAATTTTTTTATCCTTTGATTTCATTCCATTAAATTCACCTTCCAATTCAGTTATTCTCTATTCAAGTTCAATTTTAGTTTTTTCTAATAACATTATTTTTTGTTCTTTTTCCATAATTATCAAAGAATTATCATTTTATAAATTTTTTTCTTGTATTTATTTCTAATTTAGATTAGATTATTTTACCTATAATTGGATGATATCCTGTTTAAATTATTCTTAATGTATTATCAATTATTGATGCTATTTTTTTAAATCTCCATATTGTAGATTTTAATTCTAAAGATATTCTTTTATGTTTTAAAATATTTACTTATTATTGGTATAATTTGCTTATTTAAGTCTTCTTTTGTTCTAATAGCTTATTGTAAAAAAGCAATCTCTAAATTTATTTATTATAATATACAGTTTTATACAGAAGATTCTTTTTGATTCTTTATCATATCCAGGATTGAATTCTTGTTTTCTTCATAAAATTTTCCCACAAAAATGTGAATGTCATCATCATTAAAATCTTACATAATAATAAAATTAAAATCTAAATTACTAAAACAAAAATTAACTCATTTAATCAATAGAGTTTAACGTTGTTTTGCATACTAATAATATATATTTCAGTAAATTCAAAAAAATGTATATATGGATTTTGTATAATATTTCATAATAATAATAATTAAAAAATTCAAATAAAAATAATAATAGAAAAAGATAATAATAGAATATAAGGTTCCTAAATTTTAGTTGCTGGATAGCTAAAATTATTAATTTTTTAAAGAATCATGAAAACAAGAGAGAATAAAAAAATAAATAATTAAAAGTTAGTTGAAAAAAAAATAAAGAAAGAAGTTGGCAAACCGGTAGGGTTATATAAAATTAATTTAAATCCTCCTGATATATGGACTAGTAAGATAAAAGAAGTTCAATTAATATCCTATTTTGTTAATTTAGGAAGGCATGTTTGTCTACATCAAGCGATTTTTTTTAAGGATTTAAAAAAAGTTGAGTAAAACTCTCTTAAAAGATAAGAGATTCTTAATAATTTAATAAATCAAAAAAAATTATATGAAAAATTAGAACTTATAGCTAGACACTTATTTGAATGGATTTGTTAAAAAAGGAATGTTGTATATTTCTTTAGAAATTATCATGATGATAAACCAAAGTCAAAACATGCAAATTTTAATAATAAGGAATGGAATTATATTTTGAAAAATGTTAAATTTTTGTTTAATGATAAGTTTTATTAAGAACTGCTTTTGATTTTAGAATAATTTGAAAAAAATGCCACAGAAGAAGAAATTGGAAATTTATTGATTAGTAAGTCTAAAACAGGATAATTATCAGAAGTTCCATAATTTATCTAGAATTTTTTTCTAATACTGATAAAAGAAAATATAGTATCCTTTTAACTTTGCTAAATTACAGTATAATTTTTAGAATAATTAAAAATTTTATTCTACTAATCAATAGAATAATAAAAAACTTTACTCTATTAATTAATTGGAAACTTAAGATATATTATGTCACTGGTGGTTCAAGAAGAAATTTATTCTGATACTAGCTAATAAGACATAGATTGGAATAATGAAATCTTTTTTCATTCGACATCAAATTGAAGATTGTTAAAATTTGATTAACCTTTAATAGATATTTATATTTTATTATTTAAATATGTAATTGTCTTATATTTATTTTTTTCTAAGGGTAATAAGTTTTGAATAAGGTTATAACGTAGATTAGATTCTACAATTATATTAGCATACAATAATTTCTTTATTAATATAAAATTACGTAAAATGATTATTTATAATTAGTAAGAATTGTTTAAAATCTATAAAATATACTTATATTTGAAAATTTTGAGAAATTTTCAAAAAATACAAATTTGATGGATGAGAAATCAAAATTTTAGAATACATTAAAATTGGCTTAATTTTTGATGGAATCGCCATATTCACATATTTTATAATTATAATGTCTAAAGGATTGGTAATAAATTAATTTATTTTAAATTTAATATAAATAATTTGAATGGGTAACAGCGCATCCTAAAATAATTTTAATGCTTAACATTACTAACAGAATTCAGGTTTATCAATAAAAGAAGTAGAGGGAATAAAAAATGTTTTTGATTCTTTGGATCCAAAAGTAAATATAGAAAAAATTCAAAATGTTAGGATGGTTTAATACAGACAGGAACATTGCGAAAGCTTTATAGAGATTCATATGATGCTCCATAGTTAAATAATAAGATTGGAGATAGAGAAACATTAACTTTTGATCAATTTTTTGATTTGATGAAAACAGATATGCTTGAGAAAAAACGACAATTTCCTGGAGTAGATTTTGATGATGGTATAAATGAAAATGTTTAATGCTTCTTTTGCCATCCTTAAAGACAACATAGTTGAATTTATATATATACATAAAATTGAATTCTTTGTTAGAGCAATATAAATAAAACAGCAAATTTGTCATTATCTCAATATATTTGTAAAACTAAAACTTTGTATTATAAATTTGTTATTTTCAACAATTAAATATAGGATTTAAATTCTTAAATTTTAGGAGATTAGTTTAAAAAAGTAATAAATTTGACATTTATAATTAAATTAGAATAAGTATTAGAATATTTGAAATGTGATAAATTTCAATAAGCATAATATTATTTAACAAGTAATGAAATATATCATCATGCTAATTAATCCTTTTTTACCTTTTTTCAGCATTTCTTCAACTCTATTTGCATCTAATAGATAAACATCAAATTATAATTAAACAAAGCTTTAGCTGGAGTTCTTAAACTTATTACATATTATTGGAGATTATTTAAAGTTCAGAAGTACTAATAATATAGGATCTCTTTCCCAAGCCTTACAAAATGCATGAAAATTGTCAGATCCAGGATCATATTGATAAAGATTACTTTAAAATTTGTGAATTAATTTATTATGATTATCTAAAAATTATTAATTAATTAGCTAGAGCTCATCATAATTATGAGTTTTAAATTCAATAGATTTTGTAGGTAATCCTAAATTTAAAAATAAAAAAGTTTGTAGGCAGAATAATTTTATCAACAATTTTTAAGTAATTATTTTCATACTTAAATGTACCCATTATAATAATTATCAGTAGAAATCATATTTATCGATGTTTTGTTATTTGATATGTTTCAACATTAATTTATAATTTTCATCTCCTAATAATTATTATAACTAATATAATAATTAATATTCTCTATTATAAATAACTAAGGATGTCGAATCATCAGGATGTTCCATTTTTTAATTAAATTCTGGATCAGTGAAACCTTAAATTGTTGAGATTAATTGATTTCTATATGAAAATATTTCCATAATACCTTTATTTTAATCAAGTATTATCATTCAACATCACTCTTATCTCTGACAATAATATCAAGACTTGAAAAAGTAAACAAAGGATTTTCTCCATTTAACAAAATGAAATAGTTTGAAGAAATATAACTATATTATAATTTTCATTATAATATATGGATCAATATAATCACTTTTTTTTTTTTAGATGAAAAGATTATTAATCTTATTCTTTGGCATAGTGAATTTAAAAAAATGATATATCAATTAATACTTATTCAAAATGTCTAATTGATTTATTGTGGGTATCATTCTCTATCTTAATATTCATTTTAATATATGAATCTCTAGGTTATCATTTTAATAAGCATTATTAATTCTCAACTTTTTATTTTTGGTTAAAATTAAGTTAAAAGTTTTTTAAATTCAATTAAATAATAAATGAAAGATAGCTTATATTTATATTAAAAATGATATTCCAACAGAAATTTTAAATAATTTTTAATTTAGAATGAATTAAAGTTAATCAAACTATAATTGAAGTACAAATGTTGCTAATTTTAGTATTAATATTATACATCTAGATAATCTTAATATATTTTGATATTAAGATTAATGATTTGTAATATAATTAAGACTAAATGAATATATATTAAATCATTAATCAGAAATGATGAATAATAATAAATTTTATTATTATATGATAATATTTTTATCTTGTAAATATTTTTAATAATTTAATTAATATTTATATTGAATGAGAAAGTAGGTCTACACCTAAGCATATTTTTTGATCTAAAATAACCACAACTATAGCCATTCATTTGGAGTAAGAATGAAGTATGTTGGATTAAATACATTGATTGGAGTCTATGCAGCAGCTAGATATTATTTCAATGCTTTAAGATTGAAAGTATTTATTATTTTAATGCAATTAGTCAGCTAATGGCGAAACTACTTTCGATTGATTGGTTGATTTAATATGAAATATAATAATAATATATCAAAAGACATCATTACAAGATCTTAATTCTTTATCTGCAAAATAATTATTTTTTGGAATAATTGATAATACCATTTACATCTTTGAACATTGATATCAAACTCTAAAGAAAACATAATTTATTTAAGTTAATTACTCAAAATTAATAATTCAATTATTATTCATAATTATTATTGTACATTTAGAAATTAGGCAAATCTTTATTAGTAAGTGCTTTTCCTTAAAGTATTCTCGGTTCTTCAGGTCCAGTAAATTATATTCTTTTACAAACATCACTAAAATTGGGACTAAACTATTTATTTAATAATCCAATAGATGTGTCATCGTTTTCATCTATTTAAATTTCAGATTCGCTTTTCTCTAAGTTTTATTGATCAGTTCCAATAAAGCAAGAATTGTCTATTATTGAAATTTATTCTGTTTTTTAATTAGGATTTATGTAATTTCTATTTAGAGCATTTAAAAACTGATATCTTTTTTAACAATGTGAATTTTATTGTTAAATTTCCAGTTAATTTTAAATCTAATTATTTATTAAATCAAATACCCTTTCAAGATCAAAAGTCACTGGTAGTAGATTTTTTCTTATAATTTCATTACATACTCTATTCCATGAAGCAAGAATAGCTTCTTCTTCTTAATTTTTTTATCTGAAAGTCTTATAACCTTAGACCTAATTCAAGATTTAATCAATATCCTCAAAATTAACTAATGTTTAATTTATTAAAGTGCTATTAGGATGTTCATATGAATCTGATGATTATAATTCTTCTTTAATATCTTATGTATTTGGAGTTCTCATTTTTATTTTATTACCTTCACTAATTGTAAAATGTTTTCGATCAGATCTATAATCCATATTATGATGTTCACTCTCTCCAAAATTTGGTACTGATTATATTGTATCAAGACCTTCACTTGATTCCAATAATGATTTATCAGGAGTGTAATAATCATTTGATTGTTCCTCTATTATATCCAAAAAATATTTAATATTCTTTGGAATTCTAGATCTTTTTCTTCTTTTTACTTTCTTTTTCTAAACTTAATTGTTTTATTTTTTCTCACTCTCTTATGTTTTTTAACAAGGTTCACTAAATTCTTAATATGATTTTTTATCGCTTTATTACTCTATTGTAACACTATTATGTATGCTTAAATTATCTTTTTCTAATTTCTTACTAATATTCAAATTTGGAGTTTAATTTTCAATACATTATTCATCTTAATAATCATCATCAGAATTTTAAGAAAAGTTGAATTATTTCTATACAATATCATTAAAATTTTAAGTAATTTAGTTCTAATTTGGATTATGTTTAAAACTATCATAATCAACATGAAAATTCTCATCAAATTCATCTATTTCATGTTATTTACTTTTTTTACTAAAAACAGATTCTCTATTACTATAATTATTTGAATTTCTTTGACTAGATTGATCATCTTTATTACTTGAGAGTTTTTAATTTGAATTTTATTAACATTTGGAATTGATTTATTATTAACTAGTTCTTGTATTTAAAATTTACTTAGAAGATTTTGAATTACTAGTTTATTTAATATTTCCTTATGTTAGTTCTTCTGAGTTTCTCTCTGATTTTTATTAATTTTTTTAAACAGATGTATTTGTATTATAATTAGAATTGTAATTAGTATTATTTGAATTGTAATTGATTGTATTTTATTAAGAATTAGCTTAAGATATTTATTATTGATATATTTATGGTTATTTTTAACTAAAAGATTTAAAATTTGATTGATCTTATTGATTTTAAGATTATAGTTATTTTTAACTATTTTACTTTTAAAATAATTTGAATCCATCTTTAAGATTATTAGTTTTTGATTCTTTTGATTATTAATTAATTTTTTATTCGCTTAACGGTTGTTTTAATTTTTAATCGCTTGGAATAAATTAAGCACTTCCATTTGTATTTGAACTATTTTCAGTAAATTTAATGATATCATTTGCCATTTTCATAATATCATCAGCAACATTTGCTTATAAATCTTATAAAATTTCTTATATTTTGCTTGGACCTCTAGTATGAGTTTGTTTACGGTCATCAACTGTATTTTCAGTTTCATCAGTAAGAGTAAATAATCTTCCTCCAAAACCTTTATTTTAATTTTAAAAATGTTGAGTAAATGTTTATAATGGTGATCTTAAGTATTGTGATTACTATGATTTTTAAGTGCTCTATTAAGAAAGACAAGCTTCTTCACAAGAAACAGGAATATAATCAGATTCATAATCATTTTCTTCATCTTCAACTTCTTATAATTACATACTGGTTCTCAGAATTTCAAACACTGAATATTTATTAAAATTATTTACCTTTTTGTTTTCTCTCTATTTCTTATTCAGATTATTCTTCTACTATATTTTTATAAAATTATACCCTCTTCATTATTTATAAATGATAAAACTTTAACTAACAAATTGCTATTTTATGGAATCATTTAGATAGTTTTTTGGTTTAACATTTCTGCTTCCCAAGTATCCGTTAATAATAAATATATTTATATATTTAATAAATTTATAAGTAAGTTTTTAAAGTAAACTATCTATTGATCTTGTAGGATTAACAAAAATAATCAATTAATTATAATTTTATTATTTCTATAAATAAATATTATTCATGCATAATTTAAAACTAATAATCTTTAATGAAGCATTTGAATTACATTTACTTTTCCAAATATATTTTATAAAGAAATCAGTCAATTTTCTTAATTTTTTTGATAATTTTATCATATATATCTATTTAATATAATCTATTAAAGGAAAAAGTCAAGTAGTTGCTTAAATTTTTTCTCAAATTTAAATAATAAAAAGTATTTAGACTTAAAAATTATTATAGGTACTAATTAATTTATGAATTAAGTTCTTTTTTTTATAGATTTCAACTAAACCTCAAGTTACTGTTGGATATATTTCTATACAAACTTATTTAAATAATAGCTCTGCTAAATAAAATAAAATTTTAAATCAAATAAAATAAAATTTGTTCGAGATATTCTGAAATTTAATCATGGACATTAATATAAATAAAACTTACACCAAAGGAAAATATTTAATATGAAAAAGTAGAATGTGTTTTATGCAATTATAATTGTAAATTTGATATTTTGGATTTTAGAATTAAATAACAGACTGCAGGTTTTAAGTAAACAAAATCTTTTAGAAAGGAGATTAGTTTTATCGAGATGATAATTTTAATGGAAAATCTTCAAAAAAAGAATAAAATATGCATTTATGTTATTACATAAATTTTTTAAATCAAAATTATTTTGGAATTTGAAAAGAAATAAAATTACAAATTCCTAAAATATTTAGAGAAGTATAAAGTTAAGCTATTTTTATAACTTCAAACTTTTAAATTGGTAGTTCAAACAATATTTGCATCTAATATATTTTAATTTTATTCTTTATTTATATTAAGTTTAATTTTTTATTAATAATCATTTTTATTTAAATTTATTATTTCATTCTGTTAAATAACATGAAATATGATTTATAAATTGAAAATAAAATAATTTAGATCTTTTTTAAGTACTAAAAAAGCAAACTTTTAACATTGGATTACAAATATTTCAGAAATTTTGAACTTGCCACATATAGATCTTTATTTTATGATTTGGACGAAAAGTTTAAATTGAAACTAAAAATTAAATTAATTAAATTATGAAGGTTTATATTTATTTAATTGAAGATCTAAAAGATATTAACTAAAATAATTATTAAGCCTGTATCTAATTTAAAGAATAATTTGAAACTATTATCTATTGATTTTTTATAATTTATTTTATTTTAAATTAAGAAAGCTAATCTATATGAAATAATTTATTCATTTGCTTAGAAGTTATTCAATTTTCAATTTCAATTCAATGCTACCAACATTATAAAGATCTGGATTTTAAAGCCAATTTTATAAAAATTTATTTAAATATTAACTTTATGTTTGATTGCTTTTTTCATTTTTTTTGCATAACTTTTTGATTTTTTGAATAAGTTGATTGAAATCTTTATTTTAATAGATTTGTTCATAAAATCTGACTAATGATCTTAATTATGATTCAAATTTATTGCACTCTTGTATACATTAATAATTCATCCACATTTGTAAAGTTATAAATGGTCTATCTTAACAAAGGTCTTTTTTAATTTTTTCAAATCTATCAGCAGTAATTATTATTTCTTCTTAAGCATAAACTAAATATGTAATAAAATCAATAGATAAATTATTTGAATTTTCAAAATCATTAACAATATAGGCTAAATAATTAGAAATAACATGTATATATTAAGATAATTTGATAAAATTAACTTATTTTTACTTATCTGACTTTTATTTTAACATAATAGATATTAAATATTGTTAATGTTCTTTATTTATATCACAAGTATTCCAATTTTTTGTCAATTAATCAATATTAACATATTTTCTTGTTAATCCAATTGTAGAATTAAATAATTATAAATAAGATTACATTTATATTTCTTATTAACGAATAGCATTTTCATAAGTTTAAATTTTGAAAAATTACAGCAAAAATTATGAAATTTCAGAATTGCTTTTTACATAGTCAATAACTTCTATGAGCATTAAATTTTCATCAATATCTTTTCTCATTTATTAATACATTCTTTAAACAAATTTAAGTATTTATTCAAATAAAGGTATTGATAATAAATTGATCTTGCAAGTTGCTCTAATAAAAGTTTATGATAACCAAAAAAATTCCTCGAAACTTAATATTCCTGTTTAAGTAATTTAACAAAAAATTTACTCCAATTTATGTTCCAAAGTAATTTTTGTAAATAAAATCTTGTAATTAATTTAAAATTTTACAATAATAATACAAAACTCATATCTATCAACTTCTGATTCTTCATTATATTAAATTTATAACAATTTAAATAATTTGGTGATTTCTGCTTTAGTTTAAGGATTTAAATCTTGACCTTAAAAAATATCATTTAATTTAATTGTATTAGTTTCAAAATTCTATAATTGAAATTTAATGTGTAGATTGTAAAAGTTATTGATTTTTGGTTAAATAATGCCCATTATTCCAATAATTTGTTAATTTTATTAATAAATTAATAAACAATGTAGTACTATAATCCTTAAGGTAACTATTATCCTTAAAATAACTATGTACCTCCAATGTAAATCGATGTAATGGTAATTTTATATTAAGGCTGCCTTTAATTCAGGTTTGGAAGCATTATCTAAATGTCCAAGTGTATTTATAAAATAACGTCCTGATTATTTAGAAGCTTTTGGTTTATGTGAAAAAAAAAATGCTTATTTTGTATTTCAATCAGATTCGATGGGAAATAAACCTGATTTCAAACTACAGGCACCTATTTTTAAATGTAAGGAAGAAAGTAGTTGTTGGTAAAGAAATTGTCTTCCTGGATCATGCAGAGGATTTGATTTGAAAGTTAAATAATATAATCAAAGATAAGACACTTAGACAGTATTTAGAATGAGTAGAGAATTTAAATGTACATGTCTTTGTTTTGGAAGGTTAATAATTTTATTAATTTGATTTTTAGACCTTAAATGGAAGTATAACTTGAAAATGGAGGAAAGATAGGAACAATTTATTTTCCATTTTTATGTTGTGATAAAGGGGTAGATATATTAGATGAAAGAGATTAAATGGTATATTAAATAAGAGCAAGTTGCTGTTAATGGCCATTTTTAGTTAACTTACCTTGTGAAACATGTTAAAGAGCTAGATTTGATATTTATGATGCATAAGAATAAGTAAATAGAAATTAAAAATGATTTAGAAAATTTCAGAACTTTGGAAAGAATCTGCAGGGTTTTGTAATGCATTATGTGATATTGATGCAACTAATTTTAGACTAATATTTCCAATAAATTCAACAAATAAATAAAAAGCTTTGTTGTTGGCTGCTGCACTCTTTATTGATTTTAATTATTTTGAAGAATCTCCTTAAGATAAATAAAATAATTAATTTTGAATAAAATATTTGAGCATTTTTGATATAAGAATAAATAAAATATTATTATTATTTTATGGTTATCACAAGTTATTTAATTATTCAGATAAATCCTTAATTCTATCAACACTTTTCGTGATTTCAATTTCGAAGTGTAAGATTTTATATATGACATATATAATTTAAGGATTCTTTGTATTAAGTAATTTATTTTGTATCAAATCATCTATTTCTTCTTAATCTTTATCATTTAATTCTTCTTGAGACTATAATTATTTGATATTATTTACATTTAATTTAGCCCTTAAGAAATTGATAACTTCTTCAAATAATTTTTATCCTAAATCTTGAATGCATTCTTTTCTTTTAATTAATAAAAACTACTCCAATTCCATTTTTCTTTATTCAGCTTCTAACAATTATTTATTAAGATCCATTTTCTTATTATCAATGCATAATTCAATAAATTGATTTGCATTATTTGTATCTTCAAAGGTTTCTTCTTGAATGGTGTGTATATCTCTATTTTAAATTGGCTATTCATATCCATAATCAGTAGTATCATCTTTTTCTTATTCATCATCTTAATCTTCAAGATCTTCGGGATCTGTATAAGCCTAGAGATTTAAATAATAAAAATCTTACTCCTTTATCTGAATCTTATTAATTATCATCATTATTTTAACTATCTTATTTTTCTAGAGGATTAAGTTCAGATTTAAATTGTACTTAAACATAATGATTTGATTCCATATCATCCTAAGATTCAATTAAAGTTGTTGGAATTTCATCAATAAATGAAGCAATATCTATAATTTCTCTTTCAGGTTGAATTACTTTTTAATTATTATCTTCTTTAGAAACAAAATCAGGTAAATTTAATACCATATCAACCTCTTCTTATGAACATGTTTATTATTTTGTGCTTTTATTTTTATTTTACTATTTTGTAGTATCTTTTACTTAATCTATTTTTTCAGCCTTTCTTAATGGTTCTTTAACTTACCTAGCAGGTTCTTTAGGTGCTCCTTTTCTTACTCTTTTTTTATCAACTTCTTCAATATTAGGATTAGAAACTTTTGCTTTAACTTATACAATAGGTTTTTTTGTAGGTTGAACCTATTAACTAGCAAAAATGCTTGGTTGCTAATTAGATTTATTGTTTTATTAAGATGCTATTATGGGTGAGGCAATAGGTTGAAATTCAGCTTTTAATAGTTCAGGCTTAGAAACAATAATTCTATCATCCTATTTTTATTTTTGTAATTCAGAAACTTTATCTCTCCAATCTTTATAGAAGTCATCCATTTTTTAATTTTAAACTTATTATGGAGCGGATGGAGGAGGAACTTGAACCACTTTTTTTTATACAATAGGAGTATCTCTTACAGGTTCTTATTTGCCTTTTACTTCTAGTTACAAATTCTAATTAGATTAAGGAATCTTAGCTTTAAAAGGTTTACTCTAAGGAGTACTTTTAATTGAGACAGGGACAGGAGTTGCTAAAGAAGATTAGACTTCTTTAGGTTTTGGGATGATTGGAGTTTGGATTGGTGCAGTAGATAAAATTTATTTAGAATTAGGATGAGGTTAATTTAAATTTAATTGCATTCTCAAGTTTTAGGCTTATAACAAGAGACCTGTCTAATGTTATATTTATAATTACTTGATTGTTATAAAAGTTAGAATGCATCAGGTCTTTGATTGTAATTTTTTTACAAACATAAATCAATTAATTATGCTAATGCTTAAGAATACATTTATCCTATAGGTTCATATTTGCCTTTAATAATTTTGAATACAAGAGCTCCTTAACTATTAGCCTCAAAAGGATGTTTAAAAGTACAGAGTTCATAGATCACACATCCCAATGCCCAAATATCACTTTTTTCATTATAAGGTTTCTCTTCACACATTTCTGGTGATAAGTAATATGGAGTCCCTACCATAGTTTTAGCAAAGTTGTTTTAATCATTTAATAATTTAGCTACTCCTAAGTCTCCTATACGAACTTAATCTTTTGATAAAAATATATTCATTGACTTTATATCTCGATGCAAAACTTTATTTTTATGAAGATATGCTAACCCTAATGTTGTTTAAATCAAGAATTTCCAGACTTAATTTTCTGATAATGGTCTTCCCATTTACATTTTTAGCAGTTTATGTAAATCTCCACCTTCACAAAATTCCATTACTATACATAACAATTACTTATCTATAAATGATTCATAATATTTCACAATATAAGAACTGTCTAATTTTGCTAAAATACTTGCTTCATTTAAAGCTTCATTTTTCATTCTTTAATTCATTTTTGAAATGTTTATTTGTTTCATTACATATGTTTATTTATCAGCTTTACGTCTTACTTTATAAACTTATCCAAAACTACCCTCTCCTAATTTATTTAAAATTTCAAATTCATTAAGTTTCGATTCCATTAATTTATAATATAAAAAATAATACCTTGCTAATATCAATTTCAAAGAGGAAACCTTTGAATTAATTTCATTATATTTAATTATGCAAAATAAGGAAGTCTCAAACAAACTTTATATCATGTATCATGATCCTTGTTTAGATGGAATTTACTCTTTAACTGGACTTGTTTTACCTTTTTTAGTTAAAATCAGAAAAGATAATTGGACCATCTAATAATATGTTCAATTACTCAAATCACAACTAAATAAATATCTAAAGAAATACAAACAATCTAATAATATATATAAGATATCATTTATTAAGATGAATCTATTGAAAATTAAAATATGGGCTTCTTTTATCCTACTATTTAAGATTTATGTTATATGCCTATCAGATTAAGTGAAGATTCTAATGAAGTTTAGAAAATCATCAAATTTTTAAATTAAGATTCTAAATCTTCCATTTTGATTATTGTTGATTATTTTGGAAGAACCTGGGAAAATTTATTATTGCTAACTTAAAATTTTCAATATGTAATTGTTATTGATCATCATTAAACATGTGTTAATTCCATTCCAGATTATAAATTTGAAAAATATTAAGTCTTAAATAAAGTCTCAGGAATTGATAATTTATTTATTTTAGTAAGCATAGATAAAGCTGCATGTTTATTAGTTTAAGATTTACATGAATAAATATTTTAAACCAATTATACATCCTTATTACCACCAAATATTGGAAATAAATTTACAGTATTTACTAAATATATTGATCTATTTTTGTTATAATATCCTGAAACAGAGTCTTTATAGATGGCAATTATGAAAAGAAGAGTATAATTTGAAGTTCGTTAGAATCAAGCAATCTTTTATAAATTATTAGAATTTGATTTCGATTTTTTAATTAAAGAAGGAAAACAATTAGCAATATAAAGAAATAAGAAAGTAGAAAGCTTAGTTAAAAATCGTAAAACTGTTGTATTTAAAAAAGATGTTTTAGGTTATGCACTTTATTGTGATGATTTAAGCATAATGAATCCTTTGGTAATGCATTAGGAATTTTGGCCATGAGATCAGGAGATTAAAATTTAGGTGCTGTTTATCATGATGATAAAACAAATTCAACTTAATATAAAATTCATTTGAGATCAGCTCATCATGATGAAAATGGAATTTTACTGAATAGACTTAGATGTGATATTCTAGCAGAATCATTTGGCGGAGGAGGTCATGTTGGTGCTTCATCTCTTTATATGAAAAAAAAAGACTGGAAAAAATTAATGTTTGAATGATTATATTTATTTTTTATATCTAATTGTTGTTATTAATTATATTTATATTATTATTATTAGAGTTATTTCTTAATTACAAATTATAATTGTAGAAATTCTTTTGAATTATTTTTTAGTAATTAATTAAAAAAAACTTGTGCTAATCTCATTTTTATTTGAAATTGTTCCGTTCATTCATTTATCATCATGAAATAAAGCCAGATTACATAGAGAGAAGAATTTTAATATTGATTCATGAATCATAATTTTTTAAATCTTAATCATTGGAAGCTTAGATTGTCAAAAATATTCCCTGAAAAAATCTTTAGACCCGAACTATTGTATGATACTCTTGTGATTTAGGTAAGATAAATTATTATTTTTAGGAAGAGGAATTCATTTCCACTTGATTTTTTAAATAGAATGAAATTTTTAAAATTTTTGAATTAGAAAGTATCTAAAAAAAGATGAGAAATACTTTAAGATTGTACATTTGGAGAAACAACAAACTCATTTTATTTAAACATTATGATATGTAAATTTTAATTTGTCATTAGAATTGATATATTTGGTTTGATTTTTTTTTAAATTTTAATAGAAGAGGTCAAATTTCAATTAAAAAATTATGTATTGAATGCATAAATAAATAAAAAAATCATATCAATTCAAGGATTGTTTGGTGTTTTTGGTTTTAATATATAAATTGGGTATCCAATATATCGAGTTTAGTAATAATTCTAATACTAACTGCTAAAGAAGAATGGAACTGATTAAACAATAGGAACATGATGTTGAATATTAAGCTGACTGTTAGAAGTATTGGAATTATCATTAGGATGTTCAACTTTGATTGGACTTGAATTTCTGTTATCATTTTCTATCTGACTAGCCAATTCATCAGGATCATAAGTATTGTATTTTTATATATATTCTAAGATCTATTACTCTGTTTTAAGATCAATTTTCTCCTAAGATATATTTAAGATATACGTAATGTATTTTCTTAGCAATTTTTTTTACTATAGAATTATATTAGTTCTTAATTTTATTATCAGTGCGCCCAGGCATTTATTTTGAAATACCTGCCCAATTCTTCTTCATCTAGTAAGCCTTAAGCATGATTTATTATTTTTCTTCATGAGTGAATGGTCCCCTTTTAAAATAGAATAAGATTTACTTATTAATTAGGGGGTTAATCACGTTGTTAAATCTTTCTCGTATCTACTTCTAATACCTTACATTTTTTGTAATATAAACAAATTCCTCGGCTATTATGGTCCAATCGTTATTTGGATATTTTCTTTTTTATTAATATGAATTACTTTCTTAATTCAATCAATATTTCATCTTCTTCCTTGGTCCATCGAATTTCTCTTAAATTTTATTTTAATAAACTCATCCACTTTACTAAAAGAAATTATTTAGGAAGTTCTAATATACTTGCCAACTATTCAAAGACCTTTTATTCATGCTAAAGTACAAACTTAAACTTCATATATACCAATTCATTGAATTTTATATTTTTTAATTCTGCTAATTTAGCAACACACCAAATCAGCAAATATTTATCCTTTTAATGCCACTTGCTTCGATCTTTTTACTTTGTTCTAGTATTTTTCTTATATAAGATATTTACGCCTAAAATTCATTGTTAATGTAATTTTCTAACTAAGAAAATGACATTTTTTCTTTTGGTAACTTTACAATCTACTTTAGAAGATCCTCATTTAATTCTTTATGCTTGGATTCACCTAATTCTTAAAGAAATTCAGTCCAATTAATTGGTCTCATTAATTTAAATTAATTATCTTTTTATTTCTACTCTCCCTAATAAACTTAGGATATTTTGATTGTGAATTTTTGACTAGGGAAGTAAATTTTTGATTTTTGGATAAAAAATTCATGTTTTTTTAGACAAACAAAATCAATTTTTCTTAACTTATTATAATCAAAGAGTCTATTTTAAATTTTAATTAAATTGTTATTCAGATGATAGTTTAATTCTCAATATGATAGTTATTCCTTAAAATTAAAACAAAATGCTTATAAAAGGTAAAATATTGTAAAAAATTAATGAGTTGAGCACTTTTAATTATATTAGGTTTTATTGCACTCATTATCTCTAATTCTCTATTCATCTACTTTGAACCGTTATATGAAAATAATCTTTGAAATCTATGAATGAAAAGTCTTTAATATCCTTCAGAAGATAAACACTCTAATGAAAGTGCAGGATGTTTAAGATTTTGTATTGCAATATTTATTAAGATTTTATTAATTTAATATTTTTTTTAAGTTATTCTTAAAATAATCAAAATTTTGAAATAAAAAATAGATCACAACTTCATTTAAGCTACATAATAAAGATAAAATCGACTATCATTTTGATGAGATGATATAATACTGTAATTTATAATTATTTAAAATATTTTTGTAAATATATATTGATTTTATAAAATCTATCAAGGATTCTTATTTGGACCAATAAGTTATTATTTAACATTTTAAAATGCTTCATTTGCATCTTTGATTTCTCTATTGTCTACTCCTAATTACTAGAATAATTGATTTAAAAGATTTAAAAGGGTTTCAAATTAAGCTTCTGTTAGATTCAGTTTGCAATGTTCTGAAAAATTTAATTATGATGATGTTAGACTTTTTCCAAATAAATGTAGTACTACAGAACTGAAATGCTATTTAAGTTTCTAAGTATTTATATCATATAGGAATTACGCTCTTGTCAAAACTTTACAAAAGTGGCTTAAAATCTTTATCGTTAGAGATTCGATCAAATAACATTGATATATATATTTAAGCTGATTACTCTCCTCCTAATCTTTCAATTAAGGAAACTTATTAAATACTAGCATCCAAGATCTTGGCTTAAAAATACAAAAAATTAATACCACTCCCTCTATTTTCTGAATTTAAGACCTTTATTCCAACAATACCGATGGCAGCAGCAACAGCAGCTATAGCAACAACTGCTTTATTGTTTTCAATAAAGTTTTGAATTTTTTGCATAAATATAATTTTAATATAAATATATGATTGGATTTTACAAGTCATTAATAAAAACCATTCCTAGATTCAACATAGTCTATGGTTATGTACCAAAAAGGTCTCCTTTTGATAAAACTCATTACATTGATAATTACATACCAAGATAAATACCTTATCCAAAATCAAGAAGACCTAGATTATCATAATGGGATGATGAATAAACAGTTTGGCCAGTTATTCCACCATCACCTATTCTTCCAAGAAAAAAATTATTATAATAATTAGAATAAGAAGAATATGAAAGACTATAAATAATTAAAGTAAATGCATTTAATAATTAAAGCCTATGACATTCCCTGATTTCAGAGTTGGTGATGTAATTTAAGTTAAATGGATTCATAATATGAGTGAACCTACTATGAATACTTATTAAGGTTTATGTGTTGGAAAAAGAAGATCAAATTCATTAGATGCTTCATTCAAATTCATTTTTAGATATTGTGGTGTAGATGTTTTCATGAATGTCAAATAAAATTCACCTTATCTTAAAGAAGTGAGTATTCTAAAAAAGGGATCAGGTAATATAAGAAATAAAGTTGCTTTGTTTACTAAGAGAATAGCTAAACAATAATTTATTACTCCAATATTAAAAAAAGGAAAACCTGTCAGAAGAAAGGATGATCCAATCCGTAAGAGAAGTTCAAGGTCAAGAACTTCCTTGTCTATGCTTAAATCAATTGTTGATCCATTATTGGTAGAAAAACCAGTTGAAAAGAAAAAAGTACATAAAAAGAAATAATAATAATCAGAAACTATTGTAGAGCCAAATGAAAATAATAATAAATAATCATGAGTCTTTAAGTTTACGTATAAATATAATAAGCATCATAATTATTATTATTATTTCTACCCTCTTTTTGATTTCATAAAACTTTCAAATTACTTACTTAAATTTTTTGAATTGACATTCACTGCTTTTACTTTAGGAGATTTTGATTTTATATTGAATTATCCTGTATTATATTCATGAATTTTTATAATTTCAGGAGATTTTGATTTAATAGTTGGTAATATATTTTTGTTGTTCCCTTTAATATTGATAGAATAAACACTCGAACTTGGATCCAATTGTTTTTTTTATTTGTCCTACTCTGCAAATACTTAGAATTAAGAAAAGTCGATCTCTCCATAATGCCGATTTCCTTTCTCAGCTAATTTGTTTTTCCACATGAGAAATTAGTATTTTCAATATTTTTTTATTATTTTTTTATAATAAGATAATTAGTACTTTAATAGTATTTATAATCATCTCTTACGGAAAACATCTTCATAGTAGTCATATTCTTCTAATGCTAATGAATCTACACTTTCATCAACTCCCAATGATTATGTTGCTCTTTAATAATCATCATCAGATGTAAATAGTTAATTCTAATATAATGATTTAATTTACAGATTGTTTAGCTCTATCATCTCTTGATTATTAAAAATCATCTATATCCTCTTCGATCTCATCATTTTTATTTCCCTTTTAATTCTATCCTTTTTACTGATCACCAATAGCATAAGGATTATTAAATTTTTTTCCGATTGTTTAATGGAGATCATAATCATATTTTTTCGATTATTATTTTGGTTATTCATCCAAATCAAATGCATAAGGATCAGATGATGCTTATTTTGTTGTATTTCCTTTTTGGTTTGAAATCTTTTGATTTTTAGTTTGAGTATCAGCCCCAATATCATAAGCATTGTTACCTTTTTAATTATTCATCTTAATATTATTTTGTTAAGGTTTTGTTGATTATTATTATTATTTAGGTTTACTTGAAAATATATCATCTTCTTCAAACTAATTTTATTATCCTCCTAAATCAAGTCCAAACATTGAAGAAAGAGCATTTTATTTTGTTGGTCCTCCTCTTATTTTATTAACATTTGGAGCTGGTTATTCTGGTTTTATTGGAGCAGTTTAAGGTCTATCTTTACCCTCTTTTTTTGTTTATTTTTTAGAATCAGCTAATTCTTTTTCTTTTTTTTATTTATCTTCCTATTTTTTTTTCTCTTCCTATTCTTTCTTTTTTTGTTCTTCTTCCTTTTATCTTTTTTATTCTTCTTCTTATTATTTTTTATTTTATTAAGCTCTTTATTAGTTTATTTCAGTAGGAGCTGCATTATTAATTGGACTTTAGATATTAATTGCAGAACCTCCTTTTGAAAACTCAGAAACCAAAATCATTAAGAGAGGTCTCAAACTATCAATAGAAGAATTTAATCCCAATTTTCTAGCCAAGGATTCTTTAATAATAGGATCATTTAAGTTTGCTTCTTTTCTTAAAACCTATGCAGTATAATCAAATTTGAAAAATTCAAGATACTCCAAAATTAATTCAAGACTTTTCATTCCTTCTGTCATTCCTTTAATTTAATTTAATAAAGGATGCTCCCATTAAAAACCAACATTTTCTTTTAATCGTTAATCTTGAGATTCAATAATCTTTAAAAATTAAAATGAAAAGTATTACTTTATAAACTTCTACTTTTAACTAAGCTCTTAATGAGTTTAAAAACCCTCCAGCCTCAATATTTTTAGCAACTAAATTTTTAAGATTTTCAATATTTTAAGTATTATTCATTTATTAAATTAATATACTCAATCAATTTAATCTAGTGATTAATCTGATTTTTTGTCTACTTATTTAACTTCCTCTTATTTTGAAAGAGTGTTTGTATTACAATTTACTTTATGATTTGGCCAATCACCAACTTAACAATCTTTACTACAATACCACACTTATTTGCAACGTGAACATCTTTTAGTAGCTTCTAAAGTACATTTCTGACATTTAAATCCATCAATAATACCCTCAAATACTGTATTTGAATAGAGTTCTGCCATCCTCTTAATATCTATGAATATTGAATAAGTGTTATACCTTCTTTAATTGTTGGATCATCAATTTAGAAATACTCTTCTTTTTATTTTTAAGCAATAGAACTCCAATTTTTATCTTTGCATATTGCCAAACGTAATTCTGGCATTTACTGAACCACTATAGTGTTTTTACTCTAGGCCTGAACTTATATTAGAGATAATTCTTCTAAAGATCTTAACATATCAACTAGTTAAGGAATCTAATCTAATAATAATTCATTCATAAATTTTCTTAGTCTCAATAAGTTACTCTTTTTAAAATCATTCAGCTCATATTTCCTTCTACTTTCAGGATCCATAAATAAATTATATATTGTTATCCATAATTATGCTTCAATTTTTGGTAATTTGCTATAATCCTCCTTCTTCAATGTAACCCATTTTGATTATTCAAATACTTCTCTTTCATTATTATGGTTAACTCTCAACCAAGGTTTTTCTTCAATCAAAGGAACAAGCAAAAAGAAAAAGTCATTATCAACAATTATTTAATGTAGTATATTGATTGGTAAATGCTTAATATGATCAGTAATAAATCTTATGATGCTAAGACACATCATTTAAATTTAAAATTCAACATTTTGAAATTATTCATCTATTTCATCCTTTTTCGTTCTATTCTTATAATAATCTATGCTTTTTTTCTCTATCTTTTTTGCAGGTGGCCTAAATCTTTTTTACAATTCAGTACTTTTACAGCAAAGCTGTTAATTTCCGATAACAATAATCCACTACTTCAAGAATATAACCTTCTGATGCTTCAATTGAAGTTCTGTGGAATAAGCATATTTACAGTAAATTGCATACTATAGCTTCATGTTAAAGTACTGTGTAAGATCTAATTGATGACAATTCAGTAAAATGTGATTTTAAATAAGGAAAAACATATTGTTTCCACATTTCGGTCATAATTAAATCATAAATTAAAGGCTTGATTTTGTCAAAAGTACAGAAGGCTTCCATAATGAATTCATCAGATCTAGCTATGGCATTTATGTGTGCTTAAAAATTCAGTTTTTGTAAAATCTCATCTTATACAAACCATCTTTTTATTGAGGAATTTATACTTTTTGCATCCTAATTAAGTAATTTCAAATATTTGAAGACCTTCAATATAGTGCTCAGCTTCATATGCTGTTAATATATCACTCAATTAAATATTCATTTTATTTTATTAATAATTTAAACAAAACCAAATATCAAATGAACAAAGAAATTATAACTATCAGAGAAGTCTTAAAATACTTAATATAATATTTATTATTTGTTTTATATATCTAAAATGTCATTGTCCAAATTTTAGGAAAGAAGATGTTCTTCACCAAAACTGGAGAACAAAATAAGAAGTAAGACACTTTAAAACGAAATATCCGAAGACTTGAACAAAGAATAAATTTTACTAAAATCTATAAAAATAATTCAAAAACCTCTAATATATAGAAGCTAGAATGATAAATTACTGTTACATTGTATAACAAATTAAATTATAAGAATTACTTAGTACAATCAAATATTTTGCCTAATTATTTCAGTCAAAGCAACAACTAGTATTTGATATTGCCGATGCTCTTCAATATAAATTTGTTCAACAAAATGAAATAATTTTTAAGTAAGGTGAGTAGGGAGATTTATTTTATATAGTACTCAAAGGTATATAATCAATAAATTCTTTAGGAACTGTTTCGATTTAAATAAATATTCCATAAGATGATGTTTTTGTTCCAAAAGAAGTTGCAACAATAACAGAAGGAGGATCTTTTGGAGAATTGGCTTTATAGAGTAGTTAGCCTAGAGCTGCAACAAGTATATCTATTACTGATTGCCATTTTGCTACGATTGATAAAACAACATATAAACAGTTAATTGGAGATTATAATAAAAATCAGTTAGATTAACGAATAGCGTTTCTTTCAAAATATCCTTGGTTTTAGTAATGGTCTTTAAGGGAAATGAAGATGCTTGCTTATGAGCTTAATGAAAAGCTTTATGATTATGGAGATAAGATAAATTTAAAAAATTATATTGGAATGATTAATAGAGGATAGGTTGAATTAAAAAGAGTAATAGAAAAGAGAGGAATTCAAGATCATCCAATGAAGATTTCGAAATTGATGAAACATCATTTGTCTATTGAAATTTTGGATGAATCTAAAATTATAGGAGAGCTGAACTTTTTGGATGAAGATGGAAACTTAAAATTTATGATAAACAAATTTAATAAACCATATGTAAAAAGTGCAGCTGAACCAGAAACAAAAGAATTTATACAAACAAGTTAAAAAAATAAAGGAGTTTATGAAGCTATCTGCTATTCTAATCATGTTAGCATCTATTTATTAAAAGTTAGCACCATTGAAGATAGATTTTATGATTAATTAACTAGATAATTATTTTAAGTAATAAAATTATAAATATAGATTCTGTTTATAGATTGAAATAAAATAACTATTAAATGCACGAATAAAGAGAGCACATCATCTCTAATAAGAATACGATAAAGAATTTTAAGAAAGTTAAGAAGAACAATAAGTTAAAATGAGAATCTCAGGATTTTAAAGTAGAAAAGTTACACCAGTTAAGATAAGCACCATTATTAGAAGTTAGAACAATGAAGACTGGGTTTAAGATAGTCAATATCAGAAAAAGTTTGAAAAGAATCTTCCTCATGGAGTTTAGTATAGATATTCTAGAATATATGACTTAGAAGAGAAATCCTAATACATTAGAGTCTTGGAAAATAGATATAGCAAATTAAAGACTGAAGAAAATGAAGCTTAGGATAATTTAAAATAGACATTTACTTAAATGAATTGTAGTTATTATAGATTGAAAAGTCATTTTGAAAGATAAAAATTCAATAAGCTATTTTTTTAAGCATATTTAAGAAGAAAAAATGAATAACAATGAAATAAATACATTTATTAAATTTATTTTATATGGCAACTAAAAATGATGAAGCTATTCAATATAATGGTGAAGATTTGAAATCATTTTATTTCCCAACTAAATTTGATCATCGATAAAGTGCTGTTCCTGAAAATCCCTGTTATAATTTTTAGATCTAGAATTTTTATTTTTTTTACTTTATTGTTGTTACTCAATTGGGTGAAATTTTTGTGACTCCATGTGATAATATTTATGGTATATGGGATTTAGGATATTTATTGACTACTCCTCTAAATTAACTATATCAAAATTATAGATGGTATTGAAACTTTAACTTATTTTAGCTTCTCTGCTTTAATGTAGATTTCATCAGGATTTATTTTAGATTTGCATTTTTTTATATTTCTCGACATTGGGTTTTGTATGAAAGAAATTTTAGATTGTTTGCAGTTCTTATTTTATTCTACGCTATCAGAACATTTCACTTAAATATATTCAAATTAGAATATTCACCCAACTATTACTGGGAAGATCCTTTGGTAACAAGTTTTGTTGTAAAATTTGGAAAATATTCAGATTTCTTTTATTCAGTATATATATTCAAATAATCCTAGGGACATGACGGCTTTTTAACAATTTGTGCACTTGAAATGAGAAAAGTAGGTAAAAAATATATGGCATTTTTTTCTTAATATGTTCAATCTTCTAAGTCTTCATCGTGATTTCATTTGCAATTCATTATACTAATGATGCAATCTCTAATAGAAATTATAGGTACCAGGAGGATATTTTTTCTCATTACTTTTTCAATATGGTCTGCTACTGGGAAGCTAAAATTGATTTTATTCTTAAAAGAATAGCTAATTGTTTCTGTAAAACTTATAAAACGATTAAAATTAATAATGAAAATGAGGCTGATAAATAACAACCAAATGAAATTTGAACATTTATTTTTTATATATTTTTCTTTAATTTAATTATTTATCAGAGGATTAATAAACTATGATAATTTATAATAAATAAACATATTTTCGATATATTTAATTTAATAAAATTGCTTATATAATTTTAATTAAGCTTTTTATTTTGGTAGATGAAGATTAATATTCAGCACCATGAGTATTAAGGATGAATTACTAATTTTATAATGAAACCTGCTATTTAAGATAATACTTTAATTATATTGTACTTATAGCTTGAATAATAGATCATATTAAATCTGAATAGATAGTCCCTAATTTTGAAATTATAGAGTAAATTTTAGAATATAGACAAGAAAAAGAGAATTAATGAATTATTTGAAATTTTAATGAGCTTGATAATTCAATCTCTAATTAGTATTCATAATTTTTATATAATTTATATTTTTTATTTATTCATTCCCTATCTAGATTATATATTTTGATTAAACCATGTATTTTAATTGATTTAAATAATAGTTTTTAAATTATAAATAAAAAAAAATATATCGATACCGGGATTTGAACCCGGAATGACAGGGTGAAAACCTGTAGTTTTTCCTATTAGACTATATCGATCTTAATAAGAAATTAATATATGAAATATAAAACCAAAAATTATGTCATCGAAAATAAATAGACATTATCTTAATTATTTAAATACTTCTGAATCAAAATAAATGAGGTATAAATCAAGTCATAAAATATAATAATCATTTCTTCAAATAATTAAAATCTACTATTATAATTTGTTCATTAGTACTCAAAAAACAGTACTTCTCAAAATGATAGTTAGATATATTCGAAAAATCAAATTTGCAAATTTCTTTATTGGTTATTAGAGAAAATCTACTTTTATTAAATGCTATTAAAGGACTTAATTCAGTTTTAGAATATGTGAAAATCGTAGTAGCACTGAAACTAATATTAATAGTTTATTATATATTTTAATCCTTTAATATAATAATTGATTGTTGATTTGTTGAAGCTGCAATTATTAAATTTTTGTTAAATATTATTGGATAGCAATCATATATAAAAATTGGATTAGTTTTAGTTTAGTTTAGTTAATATCTATGCATAAATATTTTATTTTTTAAGATATCAATTATGCCATTATCTAAAACGATTATAATAAATTAATCTATTTCTTATCCAATAACTTTAATAGATGTACAAAAAATTTCAGATTAATAATCATAATATTCTGTTTGTAAGTTGATTAAATCTCTTGCTTCTAATTAATTTGAATTGATGAAATATAGAAATTCTTCATGTATGCATAATCTGCAGAAACTAAATATATTCAGATGAAAAGAATTTTATTTTGAAAAATCTTCTCTAACTATATGAATCCAGCCTTCTTTGGTTTAAACAATGATTTTATCTGAGTTTGTATATAAATATTATGTTTCTTCAACTTCTAATTTATTAATTAATTTTTATGCATTTTTGGACATTTTGTAAAGGTATTTTGTATCTGCTATAATCCAATTATCTTAGAAGATGACAAAAGCTTTAATAGAATCTAATCCAATAATAATTGCATTTACTAAAGGGAGTTGGCACAACAACTATTGCATCGCTTTTGCTTTTCATAAAAATATTAAAAATTATAAACAAAATATTTTAATTAATCTCAGTCATTATCTAACAAGTGATAAATTTCTTAAGTTTATTATCTTATATTTTATTATTCATAAACATCTTAACTAGATAAATGATTTGCTTCAGTTTTCTATTGAATATTTTCATTTTCTGAGATCTGATTGATTATTTTACCTTTCAATAATTTCTTTAATTCTATTTATCTTTAGAATTCTTTATTATCTAAATCTTCTAATTTTTAGTGATCTTCAAGGGCTGATTATTGAAAATTATTTATAGTTTCATTATAATTTTGGCAATTGATTAAGATTTCTTAAAATCTATCTTCTAATTGCCTAATGTGTTATTAAAATCTTAAAGTATTTTAGATATACTAAGAATTAAGAATATTTAATTCTTCTTATAAAGATTAACTTTTTTGAACTTACAATTTCAATAACTTTCTTAATTTCTCATTTTCCATTTGATATTCTCTAAGAAAGCCTTCAAATTCTGCTTAAATAAAGATTGGTTTTTATGAAGTAAGAGAATCAATTTATCGTTTTAAATCTATAACATAAGCTTTTAATTTTTTATTTTCAGCATTTAATTTTATGATTATAGGATCATTTAATTCGATAGATTATTTTAAAATTTTAGTAGTTTGTTCATTATTTTTTTGATCAATAAAAGGAATAGAAGAAACAGAGACTTTAGGAATTACTTCAGATTATTTTTGGATATTTGATGGGCTAAAATTGAGTTTCTATTCCTAATTATTTCTAGTAGAATAATTAGTGTAAATACCCTAAATCTATTTCATAGAGTTTTTGAAATTTCCAAAATATCTGTAATTGTGTATTGTCATTTATAAATAAAACATCATTAATCTCTATTTTAAATATTTGATTATACATCTTAATTTTGAGTTAAGGTATTTACTTAAATTAATTTTGTATTCCTTTTATATATCTTCATTTAATCTAAATGTAATTGTTGTATTCTTTTCTTCAAAATTCCTATTTTGATCTAAAATGAAATTTGATTGTGCACAAAATGGTTAATCAAAGGCATCATTTGTTAAAGGGATATTAATAACAGTATTATCTAAATAAGGATTTAAATAAACCTAATTTCCATTGGATTTGATAAAGTTATGAAACATGAGATTCAAACTGTTGTAGAAGCAAAACAATTTAGTATTGAATTAACTTTATATTCATTTTCAATATTTTATATGTTATTTTTATTATATAAGGAATGTTATATAAATTGTCGTATTGGCATTCTTAATGATCATATTACATGTGCAAAATTAAAAATTTATATTCATAATATATAAAGACAACCAACAAATGTGGTTAGGATAGAAAATTAAAAATGCTGCTGGAACAGTCAAAAATGTGACTTCAAATCTATTGTAAGAAAAACAAACAGATTCTGATAAAAAATAAGAATAGTCATTAGCTTAAAATTAAAAATAATAGGATGCAAATCTTTTAGAAATAGATGATTAAATAACATAAGAAATGACAATAGCTGAACTAATTTAAAGATTCTAATAAAATGATTGTTTGAGTTTGTAGTAACAATTTGATTCATGGAAAAATTATGAACATTAATTTTAATTATTGAAATCAAAATTCATTGGAATTAGAGGAGAATTTAACTAATAATTAGAGCAATACTCATAGGATTTGTGGGACAGTGCATAAATAGTTGAGAGATAAAAAATTGAATTCATCATAAAAGTATTAGATTAATTACCAATTTAATTCGAGTTTCAATCAATTATAAGTTGGAATTAATTTAATGAAAAATTAAACAAATTATCTGCTGATATCAAATAATTAAGTTAAATTAAATATGCTCCTTTGGTTAAAGAAAATAAATAATTAAAGACTAAATTGTCATAATCATCAAATTAGGATTAGAAAATTCTAGAATTGTAAAAAACAATAGAAACATTGAAAGAAGAGAAAGAATATTCAAAGAAGCAATTCTAAGTTGATTACAATCAACTTGAGATTCAATTCTAAGAGTAAATTTAAAGATTAAATAAAGACATGAACTCTTAAAGAGATTTATTTGATATAGAAAAGTAATAATTAAATAAAGATATAGATGACTATATTTAGTAGATTAACTCTATGTAAAAAAATTAATAAAAATTCTAAAAATTATTAAATATTTTGAAATAGATAAAACTATTAAGAACTAATTAAATTGATGTTCAGAATTTATAAAATGAATTCTAAAACATAAAAGGCTTATTAGAAACATAATTAATTAACTTTATTCAAAACTAAAAAATGTAAGATAATTAAAAAATCGAATAGTAAGAATATGAAGACGAATTAACAGATGAAGATATGAAGGCAGTTTAACAATTAATAAGAGTTTATAATAGAAAATAATCTGATTAAGGTGATAAAGATATAATCTAAAATAAGTAGGAATTGTTACCAAGACTACTTAAATACATTTAACATTTATAAAATGAATTAGAAGTTTTAAGAGAATAGCCAACTTGGTCTTATTAATAAAATCATAATTCTAGTGAATAAAATTAAGATATTATTACTCTTGAATTGTAATAATAATTAAATTAATAAAGCAATGAACTTTACAAAGTCTAAGCTGAATTGGAAGAGTTTAGAATATAAATTGAAACTCTAAATATGTAAATAGAAGATTTAACAAATAAGAATGAAGAGAAATAAACTAAGATTGATTAAATGCAGAATTAGATTAATAATGATAATTCAAATAAAGAAAATCAACAAGAAAAATAAATCGAAAATTAAGAAGCTTAAACTATTAAAATAAATAATGAAGAATCTTAAATTATTGCAAGCAATGAAATTATTTAATAAGAAAACTAAATTTAGTAATCATCTGAATAAAATAGTGAATAATTAATTGGATAAGAGGTTCAAATTAATCTATAAGAAACTAAATTAAACGATATTTAAGAAAATAGTGATGCAGAAGATGTCATTCAAGCAAAGAATAATTTTAATGAGAATAACTAAAGATTAGAAGTTGAAAAATAATTCAATTAAAATGATCAATCAATATAAACAGCAATAGAATAGTGTGATTAAACTACATAAATTTTATTAAAAACAGACAATCTATGTAATTAAATAACATAATCAATTGAAACAACCAGTTCATTTACATAACATTAAATTAATGTCGAAAATTAAATCACATAAATTAGTATAGATACTGGAAATAAATAAATATAAGCGATTGCTGAATAAGAAAATTAAGAAACTTAAGTATAAGTCAATACTGATCATTAAACTACTTAATATACAATTACTTAAGAAGATTAAAATACATAAACACAATCTGAAATTGAAAATGATTAATTAATTAATTCAACTGATCAATAATAATAAACTTACATCCAATAGAATGACTAAAATACGCAAATTTAAATAAAAACAGAAAATCAAGAGACCTAATTAAACTCTTTTACTGATACCAATAATTAATTTACTTAGCATGATCTGGATCATCAAAATTAAGTAACTTAAATAACTATTGAAACAGGCGATAAAAGAATTTAAGCTACTACTATATAGGATACTTAAGAAACTTAAGTTTAAATTGAAACAGAAAATTAAACAACTTAATATGTATCAGTTTAAGAAAATTAAAACACTTAAACTATTGATTAATAAAATATTGTCTAAACAGCTGATCAAAATACTTAAATATCATTTGAAGAAAAGGATGAACTACAGAAATAATAAATAATCTTAGAAGATTAACAAATCTAAATATTAGAACAATTTAATGATTCTAAAGATTAATACTAAAATAAAAATATAGAAATTAATGAAACATCATAATTAGATGAATTAAATTAAAAGGTTAAGAAATTAGAAGAATAAGTCGATTAATTTTAATAAAATCAATAAATTGGCCTTCAAAAATAATTAGATTAATATCATGAAATTGAAAAATTAACTAAATAAAATTAAATATTATCTGAATAAAAAGATCACCAATAATTTTTGATGAATAATTTATTAATGCAAATTGATAAATTATAAGGAGAGGATTTGACTTAAAGTAATCAAAGCAATATGTTAATTGAAGATTTGTAAGCATAATTATATGAATAAATAGTCAGAGTTGAAGAGTAAAAAAAGGAAATTATTGATTAGTAAAATAATTTATTGTAAAAAGATTCATATAATAAATAAATTGAATTAAAAATTTAATTATTATTGTCATAAGTAGAAGATTAAATGTAAAAGTTTCAAGAATAAATTATTATAAACTCGGAATTGAAGGAATAAAATAATTTATAAAATTAGACAATAGAAGAATTTAAAGAGAAAAATGAACTTCTTTCAAAAGATTTTGAAAATTTATAATAATAATTATCAGAAATATCAAAATAAAAATAGAATATGGAATCAATTATTTCTGAAAATTTAGAATTAAAACTTAAATATTCATAACTTTAAATTTAATTGTAAGATTTCGAAAATAAATTTAGTGATTAAGATAAATTATAATCAGATTACGAATATCTCGAATAAATATTTACATAATCTTAATCAAAAATTAATTTTTTATAAAATTTACTAACAGAAAATTAAGAATCATTAGAGTTACAGACTGAGTATAAACCCTAACTTTTAAATAAATCTACTTCAATGACTGAATAAGAAGGATTAGACGATATAATTGTTTAGCAAAAAGTTTTCGATTAAGAAGAAATGGATAAAGTTTAAAATAATAATGATGAGGCTTTAAATTAATTTTAAAGTTCAACTTAAGAGAATTTAAATGAAATTATTGAATAAATAGATTAGACTGATGATCGTGAAAAATAAATTGAAGAAAATACAGTATATTAGTTATAAGAAGTAAGAGAAAATTTCGATAACAAGTCTGGAAATTTAATAGAATTTTAAAATTCGTAAAAGGAAGGGGAAAAAGAAAATTTATAATTAAAATAAGAAAGCGACCAATAATAAAATATTATAGAAGATTAAAATTTATAATAATAAAATGGAATTAATGATAATGAAATAAATAATTTATAAATCACATTGAATTCTACACATTAAATAATCGAATAAAAATTAAGAGAAATTTAAGAATTATAAGATCTAATAAATAAAAATAAACAAAATGAATAAGAACTGCGAGAAATACTACAAGAAAAAGAAGTAAAAAATAAGGATTTAGAAATATAGCTAAATGATTTACGATAAAATTTGAATGAAAATTAATTAAAAGAAGAAGAATTGAACAGCTAAATCAATATATTACGATAATAAAATGATGATTAAGAACAAAAATTCAATGATTTTTAGAATTTGAAATAGTAAGAAATTAATGAATTAAATTAAAAAATATAAAGTTTGATTGAAGCCTTGAAAATTTCTGAATCTTAATTAATAAAGTAACAACAATTAGAATATTAATAATCAGAATATGAATATTAATTAAAATAATTAAAGGATCTTCTTTAGGAAAATGAAGAAAAAAATTATTAAAATTAAACTGCATTATAGGAAGCTTAACTCGAAATATAAACTACTAGCTTAGAACTTGAGAATAGCTATTAAAAAATATAATAACTAGAATCTATTATAGAAAATGATTAAGAAGAGATGAATTAATTAAAGAATAAAATACAAGATTTATCTGATAAGGATAAGATTCTAAAATAAATTTAAATTGAAAAATAAGATCTATACAATAAAATCTAAGTGCAATTGGATTAAATTGAATAATTTTAAGTTAATTTAGACTTGCTCTAAAAATAATTAGAATAATTAAATTCTGAGCTCAATGTGGAAAAATTGAAGAATCAAAAATAATTAGAAATTAACAATGAAAATGATATAAAAATTTATTAGTTTTAACATGAATATAAATAAATTTCATAGACTTTAGTTAAATTGGAATAGTAATCATCAGAAGAGATAGATGGATTAAATGAACAAATATAAGAGAAAGAGAAAGAGATCTTAATTCTGAAACATGAAATCTAAACATTATAAAAATATGTTGAAGAATTGAAATAACAAAATATTTAAATAGAGTAAAATTAAAAAATTCTTTAGGAATAAGAGAGTAAATTAAAACAAGAAATAAGTGAGTTGCAATCTTAATTGTAAAAAGAAGGATAAGAGAATTTAACTAATACTGATATGATTATTGAATTAGAAAGTAAATTTGAGAAAGCAATCTATTAAAAGGATGAAATGGAATAAGAATATTTATAGATAAAAGATAAAATTTCTCATTTGGAATAAAATTATATATAAAAAAATGAGTAATATATTTCTTTATATGAATAATCTAATAATTTAATTGATCAAATAAAAGGTAAATAACACCAAATTTAGATTCTATAAAAATAGAACGAAGAATAAGTAACTTTAATAAAATAAATTGAAATTGCATTTGGAGAGATCTCTTAAAACCTATATTAAGAAACAATTTAAAATTTGGATATCAATTCTTTAGATAAAATAAAAACAAATATTTTATCAAATATAAATTAGATTAGGGATTCTTTTAAAAAAGAAATTGAAAATATAACATAATAACTCAAATAGTCTTAAAAGGCAAGTTAAGAAGCTAAATAATAATTAAGTGACTACTAATAGAAATTAATTTTGTGCGGTACAGAGTATTCGAAAAAGGAACAATAAATTAATTAAGAAATTTAGCAGACATAATTGAAATTTAATGAGTAAGTAGAAAAGGCTAATCAAATATATAATTAATTGTAAAAAGTTGAATAAAAGAAAAAAGACTTAGAGAAATAAATGTAGGATTTAGAAAAAACAAAGAAAGATTAATTAGATGAAATAAAAACAAAATAAAATGAAATTGAAAATTTGAAAAACTAAATTAATAAGAAATAAAATGAAGTAATTTTTATTAGAATTATTATAGATTGTTACTTTATAGATTTAATTATCTAATTAATAATAAGAATTACAAAAAATGAATGAATAAAACAAAATAATTGTGAATAAAAATTGTGAGATTCAACAATTAACAAAAAAATTATAATCCTATGAAGAAACAATAGAGACATTGAATTAGAGTATAATAAACTTTCAATTTGTTAATGAAACAGCTTAGTAAAAGTATGATATTAAAGAAGAAGAATATGAAAATAAGATAAAAGAATACAAAGAAAATATAATCTAATTAAATAAATAATTAGAAGAAAGACATTTAGATGAAGGTGTTTAGATTTAAATATAAGAATTATAATAAAAAATTAGAAAGAAAGAAGAAATGATAGTCTAATTGTAGCATGAAAAGGAATAAATACTTGAAAATTGTAATAATAAATTTTAGATAATATCTTAAAGTTAATAAAATTTAATTGACAAGCGTATAATAAAGGAAGCTTTATTAAATTATTTTGATAACAGAGCCCCTTAGAAAATAAGATAATCAATCTTACAATAATTGTGTTGTATATTGTCAATGACTGAATAAGAGGCTGGTAAAATAGGTATAAATAGATAAAATATAATAAGGTATCTAAATATAAAAATTAAACCAATAAGAGATTCAATAAAAATAAGAGTAATAATAATAATCATTAAAGGACAATTTGTTGAGTTTTTTATTAAATGATTGAATTTATTTATTATATTATATGTTATATATATAATTGATGTATAATTATTAAATGATTGATAAATTTATTATATAGCTGTATAATATGTGAAAATAATCATCAATTTTTGTAAGCTTGGTTTGTGATTTTTGATTTAGTCATACCTAAAGGTGCTTTTTGGGTGAGTTCTATTTAAGTACTTGTGGGTAATAGGTTATTATTAGTTTACAAAGGCAAATAACTTGATTGGGGTTGATAATTAGTTTATGGTTAATAATTAGTTTATTGTTAATAATTAGTTTATGGTTAATAATTAGTTTATTGTTAATAAGTTGTAGTTTATGGTATTTATGTGAGTGTAGTATTCATATATTATGGTTATGGATGTTGGATAACAATATGTCCTTTAGATTTGCCAGTTTTTTTTTTTTTTTGTGATTCATATTGTTCTATGATTTTTTATCTTGGTTTAGGTGATTCTTAAACTTTTGATTTTCTCCTTTTTTCTTTTTCTTTTGGAACACTCTTCTTTGCTGAAAAGGCATTATTTTCATTATCACTATCGTTATCATATAAATATAATTATCTTTCTCTATTTCTTCTTTACCACTATGCATCAAAATCTTCTTCATCTTCTCTTATTAAGCTATCTCTAAATACAGGTTCTCTAATTACGATAGGATCTCTATAAACAACTTATTCCATAGGTGGATATGGTTCATAATATCTTGGTGGTGGAGGTGGAGGAGGTAAATCATAAACAGGAATTTGTTCAACTATTCTAGGAGGTGGAAGTATTTCTGGTTCTAAAGGAGGACGATTAAAGTAGGCATATCTTTCTAGAACCCATAAAAATCTTGGTAAAAAGGATGGATCAACAAATAATTAAGGTATATCTACTCCATATTATCTATATTATGGTGTTGCTGTTTCTAATAATTTTATCAATCTCTCTGCTTCATTTAAAACTGTATCATTCTTCTTTCTTATTTCTTCTTCACAGTATTCAATAACTTTCTCAATTGCTGCTACTGGATTATTTATAGACTCTAAATCCTTTATATTTTATTCCCATTTTAACTTTAAATCTTTTATAGCAGGCTTAACATTTAGATCAGGTAAAGGCTCTTCAATCTATGTTAAAAGATAAGTCTTCAAAGTATCAAAATAATTATTAACAATTGCTATAACCTAATCTCTAGCTGAATCTATCAATTTATTAGGATTCGTTTATAAAGATTGTTTTCCAACTAATTTATCAGTTGTTGTTCTTTCTGACAACTACTGTATTTTATTTATTTGATCGCACATTTCATTACAATCTGCTGCTAAATTTTAGTAGATTTCAGAAAGTATGGTTTCGAAAGGTACAATATTACCTAAAGAATATTTAATTAAAATTTACTTTAAGTTTAAGTATGGTATTGATTCAAATGATGTTAAATACACTTATCACATAATGGCATTAAACATTCAGGTTGTCTACAAAAGTATTTGATGTAATTATTTGGACTATCTTAATGATAATAACATTGAATTTTAGGCATATTATTAGAATCAAATCTATAATGTGGCTATATTTTCTAAACAGATATTGTTGGTTCATAAATTGATGCTTATGGAAGTTATGGTATTGAAGAGTTATTCATTTTCAATTTTTATTATTTCAGTTAATTTAAAGCAGTTAGAAATATAAATTCAATATTCTTATTCCTCTTCATTAGATTAATAAGGATATTAAATTTAATCTAATTATTATATGACATAATATTTTAAGATCCTACTTCAATCTCTTCCTATTGCATATTTTTACTCATACTTTCTATTTATTTCCCTAATATAATTCAGATTCTTTCTCTTTTTATTTTTCTTAATAATTTACGAATTATTTTAAGTGCTTTTATACTATATAAAACTATTTAATCAAGTCAAATCATTATAAATATCTATTAATAATCTACTCTACATCTTCTTAATAAAATAAAATATTTAAGTAGTAGAGTTACATTCTTAAGATATTCTAATTTTGACCTAATTTAATAATCAATCTTAAATTATACATATTTGTTTATTATAGTTTAGATTTAAAAAATATCTTATTAAATCTATTATTTGATTCTTGAAAATTTTATTAAAATTATCCAATTTTAAAGAAATCAACAAAATATGATCCTTTAAATATAATTGTGAAGTTATACTGAAAATTATTCTGTAATTGGTATAAAATAACATATTAACAATTGTAGGTCATCATAATTCTGTTTCTGGATTGTGTTTTTAAATGTATATCGATTAAATGAATTTATTATTAAAATTATTATTGCATCTATCGTATCATCATTTATCTTCTTGATTCAGTAATTTCGTCCCAGATTCTTTAAGGTATTAATTCTCATATTAAGAATTCGTTCTAGGAAAAATAAAAATAAAAAATAATGAAATAAACAGTTTCCATTTGGTTTTCTTTGATGAGTTATAACAAAATATAGAAATATTTTATTTGAATCATGCTTCAATTGAATAAATTAATTTCCTCTGAAATTGTAAATCTATGGTTAGAGTATTATCTTAATATCTCTCCTGAATAAAATTATTTATTTTATCCATCCATCAGCTTAATAAATTGCCTAAAATAATTGGTAATTTTGAATAAATAGAATTTTAATTGATTAATTTAGATCTTGTAGATTAAAGAAATGAAAAACTTTATCTATTTAATTTAAATGAAAATGTCTTTTATATTATTTATAGAGTATATTTATTATAAATTTTTAATAAATGTAATAATTTCACTATAATCAAATTTGTATTAATATTTATGAATAATTTTATCATATATTTTGTGTATTTACTTAATATACATAACTATCACTAAATAAAAATTGTCTTCCTTTGTTTAAAGGAATTTTTATGCATCTGAGTACAAATTAAAAAATTAATGTCTATTGAAAATTCTCAAAATCATTTTTAATAAGCTCTATTTTCGTATTTCTCTATTTGTTCATCTATCCAAATTAACTTTAATGTTCTTTCATAATTTAGTGTAATTAAAATAAAAGATCCCCATTTTTTTATTTACGACCTATTTAGTAGATAGTAAAAATTAACTCCAAATATATTTTATGAGTAATTATAGTCTTTTTATGCTAAGTACATGAAATATCTATGCTAGACTTATATTTTATCTAAATAAATAATGTGAAAATTTTTATCTCCTCTTTGAGTTAGTGTAAATGAGGACAAAACTTAATTTTAATCTAAGATCTATATATATCATTATGAACTATTAAAAATACTAATGGTGTCTGGACATCCCTATTTTTAATCTTATTTTATAAATACATGAGATTTATTTTAATATTCTCCTCAATATATAAATATCTTCATTTATATATTAATATTTGTAAGTCTAAACTTTTATGAATAACATTTATTAATCAAATTATTAGATTTTATTCCTTACCAAAAAAATTATTAATAAAATAAGAATCATATAATTGTGCTACTTTTTTACATTCCCTTAAATTTTCAATATGTTTTTAAAAAAAAGTCTATTTTATTAATCTCTAAATTAATTTAAAAAACAATTTCCATTTAATTACGTTGTAATAAAATTAATGTTGGCAATTAATGATCAATAAAAAAATGAATACTACCTTATAGATTACATTATTTACCAATATGCCTGAAATTCTTTATTGAATTAAGTTTGATTTATTATCCTAAATAATTAAAAACTACTAAAGTGTATATTGATAGTTATCTTCTTTTTATTTTTTATTCTAAATGTAACAATAAAGAATACAAATAATTAATTCATATATTATATTATAAAAGGTTTTTTTTAAAATTAACATCAAAAATTGGCATCAATCTGTCTTAACTTTTTACATGAATAAGCGAGAACACGTCATTGGTATCTGTTTATTTTTAAGATGAATTTTATAAGTTTTAACTATTGTTTTCTGTTGATGTAGATCCATGATAATTTCTTTTTTATTTAAAGAATTTATTTAAATTATTTCTAGTGTATTGAGAAATACTAGAAAAAAGTTAACTTTTGTCTCTTTATATTGATGTCTGTATAGCAGGCAAGGGAGTTATTAGTGTTTGAGATATACCTTCTGTTTCAGGTAATTTTTTAATTATAATTTTATGACCCTTTTCCACAATATTAATATTAAAGTGTTTATGTAAAATTGCGTTAGCCCAACTTGATCTATATGGATTCTCTATCTAAATTATATTATATAGTATTAACTTTTTTGGCCTTAATTAAATCTCCCAAGCTTCTCTTACTTTCTATATGTATCAATTTTAGATTGATCTAAATATGGTTCACTTGAAAACTCTAAAAATTTAATTGGTTCTGATTATTCAGGAATATACTGAGAGCTTTAAATAAAGATGTTTGTCTGTTGCATTTTTGTTTAATTTTATAAAAAATTATATATTGATTTTTGGATTTGAAATGACAAGCTTAAAATATCAATTGAGAATTATTTATGATATGATGATGATTTTACTAAATAATAATTATTGATATATTTCAATAAATTATATAATGTTAAAAAAATATCTTTAAGATTTAATGAATCTTTTTTGTCAACTAATATCCAAGAAAAAGTTAAATTGGAAGCTATTAATACTTTATACAATTAAAATAAAAAAATATCAGCTTCTTATTGATTAATTTTTTTTTAATTAATACAAAAAAATTCAATATTTTATCTAAATCCTAGTTGAACAATCTAAGAAGAATACAAAAAGTTTATAAAATCTGAGTAATTTTTTAATAATTTGATTAGAAAGTATGGGGGAATCTATAATGTAATGAAGAACTTCTATATATAGGAAAGCAAAACTCTCTAATTCATAATAATTCTTATTGGTTGAGGTGAGAATGATTTTAGATAATGAAAGGTAATTTTAATTGTTTATTTCTTCTTTTTTGAGAAGAAATAAAATAAATTATAAAATATTATATTTTTATGTCATTTTTCCAAGACTTTAACAAAGTGAAAGTATGAAATATATTAAATTCATAGAAATAATAAGATATTTTGGAGCTTTAAGATCTGCGTTAAAAAGATGGAGAGGCTTAAGTTACAAAGTTAACTTAGATGGCATAGGCAAGAATACGTAATTTTGAAAAGGTCTATCATTATTTGAACGAGGAAGTATTTATATGGTTTTAAAAAGATAATTAATAATAGATCTTAAAAAGGGATGGATGATATGTATTTGATTGAAAAAGATTTTTATTAGACCTGTATTAGTGAAAGAGGCAAAAAATGATTTAGATGAGATGGTAAAAATAATATCAGAGATGCAATCTATTTAATTATTTAGAAAGACAGAAAATGTAATTAGCATTTATATTTATTGATAATTAGTCATAAAGATAATAAACTGTATAAAAATTGATTCAAGTATTCTAAGATTCAAATGCAAAATTAAAATAATTAACAGATTAGTTATTAACAAGATAGCAAACAAGTTTATAATCTGCAAAAGAATCATTTAAAGAACATCATAGTGATAGTTAAATAAATGTATAATTATTGGATGAGATGCAATATGATGAAGAATTTATTTAAAGAAGGAATAAATAGATAACTGAAATGGGATAGTATTATTATTAAACATGCTTAGAGTAATATACTAACTAAATTAAATGATGACAGATGGAGCAAGGATGATATAAGACTAAGGATTAAAAATAGATATTATTAGTTCGAATGTGAGAAGTGCAAGAGAAAAAGTTGAAGGAGCTGTTACTGAAGTTAAAAAGGCATCTTAAGTATAATAAGGAAATAATGGAAGAATGTAAGATATTATAAGAATGTAAGGCTCTTTTTTTGCGGAATAATTACATTGATAGTTGTTATTATAGTATTGTTGTATAGTGCTAGTTCTAGACCTCATCCAGATCCTAATGCTTAATAACCATAATCATAAAATTGATATTAATATTCATTATATTATTCACCACAAATGAAATTAAAACAATGTTTCATAGTAGCTGTTAAACCTATCAAAATAAACAAGACTATAGAAAGAATAGGTAAATTGCCTTCTAAATATTTGATGTCTCCAATCTTAAAGGAATAATAAGATATAAATCCTTAAGAATTGAAAGATTAAACCAATCTAAATTTCTAATATTAATATCAACCTAATAAAGTTGGAAGAGATAGCGATTATTTTTTAACAAATTAAAAATATAAAGAATTTGCATATAAGAATCCACATGGTAAAGTTCATATATTCAAATACTAAGATGTAAATTTTACTTTGGCAGGATCATAATGGGAGCATATTCCAATAAGAAATCTATATAAATTATTATTATTTTCTAGACCTTCATTAATAATGTTATAAATGAAACCAGATTAAATACTTAAAGGTTTTGATTATAAATTTAAATCATCAAAGGATTATATAAATTAAATAGTAAGAGAGCCTGATGAGATTATGCCTGCTGGTTATCATGAAAAGATAGCAGAGGTATTGGAACATGAAAAGTTAGAATTTTTAGAATATGAACCTTACATAAATAAAGAAAGAATAGATTATGATAAAATAGCTACTATTTCTTATTATGCTAAAAAATTTAATGCTAAAATTATGTTAGCTGATATTCCAGCTCTCATTTTTAGAGAAACTCTATGCAATTAATTAACACTTCCTTAATTATAATAATATTTTAAAGTTGCATGTATAGCAACACCATAAAATCCAGATATTTATCCTAATACTCCTATGAATGTTGCATATTAAATATTACCTGATATATTTTTAAGAAGATCAGATGAATTTATGACTACTCTTGTAGAATATTTGGCAGCCAAGAAATCATATAAAAGAGTATTTGCTTTATTAGGTAACATGTAATCTGATGCAATTGTTGATTTATTAGATAATAAGTCTGCATCTCATTTAAAATATGAATTAGAGATTCCAAAAATAAAGAGAACTCTTTTTAAAGATTTAACATGTGAAGATTTAGTTGAAAGACATGCAATATTAGATGTAATGTATTATGGAGATATTGAACAAGAAGTTGATCCTGAATAATAAGATTATTATTTTCCAGAAACTATGACTATTATTGATAAATATGCAGATCCATAATTTATTGATAAGACTCGTCCTGCATAAATGAGATATTTACATTTGGAAATGCTTAAAAAATATTCAATATTTCAAAGCAAATATTATAAAATTGGTAAATAAAAATTAAAAGAAGAATATATGGAAAAAGCTAAGATTATTTGATATTATTTGTTTATTTTTAATCTTTATAATTATTCATAATGTTGTAAAGACCTCTTCAAATTTGTATTTCTTAAATAAATTTAAAATTGGTTTAAACTTTTCATCTTTGTATGATTACAATAATTCATATAAAACTGATTGTGAATTATCAATTACTACTCCTTATTATGCTAATCTTTAATAACATGTTGATCTATATAAAGGTTTATTACTTGATGTTCCATCTGTTAAGATATGAACCTAATACCCTAGTGTATATCTTTATTATACTACCATTTCTAACTAAATCCAAACAAGTTTGCTAAACACATACATGTGCTTCCCATCCATAAATAACTACTTGATTCTTTTCAGGATATTATTATAAAACTTTTTTCCCATCTTCATTATACATTGAAAATGTATGTTTTTCATAATAATGACTTAAAGGAGAAATAGTTGCTTTAACTTCAGGGATTGTTGATCCAAAAGCTTTAACATTCTATTCTGTATAAACAACTGGTATATTTAATATGCCTGCTGCCTATATTGTTATAATCATTATCATACTTCATTCATTAATTAAGCACATTAAATTGTTTATCCTGGATTATACATATGTTTTGGATTGTTAAAAACAGTTTATATATCACAGTTGAAAAAGAGTACTCTATTTCGTAATAATTAACAAATCTTCATTAATATGATATTAATTTTTATAATAAATTCATCATAAACTTGGAAATATATTTTAGAATTGATATTTTTTTATTAATTTTAAAACTTCTCTAAATTTTTCATCTTTCGATGTTTACATTAATGTATATATTACAGATTATGAAGTCTCTAAATACACATTACATTATTTTAATCTTTCATAAGCAGTTGATCTAAATATTGGTTTACTACTTGATGTACCATCAGTTAATATATAAACTTAATATCCTAACTTAATTAAATCTAAACAAGTTTATTAAACACATATATGAGTTTCTAATCCATAGATTACTACTTAATTCCTATTAGGATACTATTTTAATATTTCTAATCCTTTATCAGACAACATCGTAAAAGTAAATTTCTCATAAAAATGAGTATTCTATGTAAAAGTATTCTTTAATTATTGAACTGTATTTCCAAAAACCTTTGGATTTTATTCTGATACTATGATAGGTATTTCATATATTTTAGCAAATTCATTCATCAAACATCCACATTCTATAACTTACAAACAATTATAATTCTTTTAATTTGCTTCATTATTAAAAACATCTTAAATATCACAACAAAAGAATAAAACCTTCTCTTTATCTAAGTTATTCATAAATTTATATTAAAATTTAATTTTTAATATTTTTTGAAAATATATTTATCAAAGAAACCTATAAAAATTATTAATCAAGATTGTATAAAGTTCATTTATCTAATCTATGTATAGAGAGAGCATTATGCGTAACAAATATAGATCTGAATATATTATAATTTAAATTTATAAAATAGAGATTAAGTATGAAATAGGATATCTTTGATACTTTAAAATAATATAAAGTCATTGTTTAATTTAATTAACCTTTATAAATTCATATTATTCTTGTATATTTTCAATTTCTTCCCATTTTTTTTTTTCAAAAAGTAACATATGTTGTAGACATTCTTCTGTTTATTCAAGCATTCTTAGATTATTTATTTAATTGTTATAATGTTAAACTATTCTATAGATTTTTTCATCTCTTTGGTTATCTAATTCCAACAACGCATCTTCATATAATGAATCTTAATAATCTTCAGTGTCAGCTAATGACAAAGATGCACTTATAGGATTTGACATATAGATGCCACAACTAGATGATTTTGCAATTGCCTTTTTAAAATTTCTTTTTTGAATTCTTTCTTTAATTTTCTAACTTTATAAATCTAAGTCTTTTTTAAAAAGTTAAGCAAGCTTTTATTATTCCTCTTTTGAATTTTAGATGAATTATTAAACCTGTCTTCTTTTACGTTTAATCTCACTATCATCATCAGGATCTGTTTTACAACGATCAGAGAAATGAGACATTAATTAATTTAATTATTTAATACACATCATCCAAACATCTTTAGAACTATTTAACCAGATTATGATTATTATCTTTATTTGGCTTCTCTCTATTATTTTTCTTAACTATTACTTAAATATATTATAAATACATTTCCTTTTAAATATCATCTTAAATACTTTGTATTTTTATAGATAGATCTTCTGGTAATTATAATTAATTCATTTAAGTATTCATTATTATTATTTTAAGATTTTATTTTGAAGCTTCAACAATTGAAGAATCCAAAGTTTCATCTGTGAAAAGATCCATAATTCTGAAAATACTCTAAAATAAAAGTTATTTTTAATTGCTCAATAAATAACTAAGCAACAAAAACTTTCCTACTAATATATATGAATCACTTTCCTTATTCTAGATCTTACTATATATTGCCGGAAGTAAGCAATTTAAAATTCCTTAAACATTCTATTTAATTTATTTTAATATGGCTAAAGCAATCGATACTAGATTAGTAAAATGCTCTATTAAATAATAAAAATGTTCTTACTGTCAATTAATTAATAGTAGATTTAATTATCTTAATTATTATTAATTAAACCCTCTAAATTGAATAATAAATAATAATCTTCTTATCTAATTTTTTAAGAATTAGAGATTTATTATAAAATTATTTAAATATACCCACTAAATTTTACACAATGAATTTTCTCTTTATAAAATTGTATTAATTGAGTGCATCTCATAAAATCAAACTCTTATGTTTACAAAAAATCCCAAAATATTGTACTAATTTAATCTAAAGTCTAGTAATTTTGTTAAGATATTTTTAATAATGATGCTAAACAATTTAACTTTAAATTCTAATCGACTGTTAATTAATAAATTTAAATTAATGGTTCAGTAATTGATTAAAAATCAATTTAATGATGAATAATTGTTTAGTAAAAATGTTAGCAAACAACTAAAGAATATGGAGCTTCTGCTGATATTATTGGTAATAAACTTTAAACTCCACTTATTAATAATGGGTTTTGAGGATTTTTATTAATAACTTCAGTCAGTAATTATATTCCTTTTATTCTATAAGCTTTAGCTTGTAGTATTCTTTCTTTAGTCAGACTTTCAATGGTCTTTTTAAACATATTCTCATTTTACTCAAATGCTCCCTAATAATAATAAATTATTAATTTACATATTATGTAATAATATAACCAATTAATGTAAAATGGATTGGTTTATCAAGATTTGAAATTCTTAATAATTTTGGTAATGATTAATGAAGAAATGTTTAATCATAACTATATTTTTTACCATTATAAACAAAATTATATGATTAATATTCCCTTACATTAGATCTTGGTGTACATAAGATTATAAATAAATCTTCCAATAATTCTTCTACATAACATTTCAATTACTCTATAAGAGATTAATCAAAATAATTTGGTATTTTTCTATATATACTTCCCAAAGATACTATTCTTTAAATTAAAATATTTAGTTATGATTTTTCACTAAAAAATTAGCTAGGCACTAATTTCTTTCTACCTTCAGTTAACAATGGTTTTGATAAGAGTTGAATTAATTTTATTGCTAGAACTTCATCTTGTACAATCTTTGCAAATTTGCACATAAGTTTCATATTAGTTAAATTTACTGAAGGAGGGTTTTAGTTTTCTCTTCTAATAGTATCACATAATATTGAATCAATTTAAGCTGCAAAACTTAATAAGTCTTTCTCCTTGTAGAAAAAGTGTTAAAACATATCAAATGAAATTTCTTTTGCTTCTTCATATATCGAAGTTGTAATTTTGAAAAGAAAATCAAATACTTAATTAGATGTCTCACATTGTTTAAATAACTTTTACAATCTCTTTAAAAGAAATATTCTAGTTTTTATATGGATTGGTATTCTATCTTACGATTCAGGTATCACTTCATCTAAAATATAAGGTTATAATAGTTGAAGAAGCTCTGCAATAGGTTGGTTATAAACCTTAATGAAAATATTTTTCATTAAATTTCGAAGTTCCATTTCATCCTTTGTGGAATGAACTCTCTGATTAGAAAATAAATTATTTAAAACAAATAAGATTGGTTAAACTAAAGAAGGCATATTGTACTTATCAGTTAATTAATCTAAAAAGACAGCAATTTTCAAGGAAGGCTTCTTTAATAATAAATTAATTGCTTTTGTTACTGTTTATTCTGTATCTTATTCTAATGCAAAATCTAATTATAAAATTTAAAATTGTTTTGATTAAAGTCTACATCTACATTCTTGATATATTATATTAAAATAATTATCTTTTACTCCACCATTTCTTACATAATTTAAAATAATTCCAGATAAAATTTTAAATTAGCTTATTTATATAGGCTTTTCACTTTAACTTATTGAAAATACAAGAAATACCCAAACATTTTTGAGCAAACTTGGGTCAATCTATTAGAAAAGTTAAATAACTTTAGCTACATCAGTTGTCATTTATGACAATACTTTCATAAGTAGATTCTAAACTTATAATTAAACTCCAGTTAACTTTTTCTTAAGAATTTCTAAAACTAAATACGTGTAATTAGCTTAAGACTTTTAAGATAACAACTAGTTTAATTATTCAACTTGATCTACATCTTTGATTTATAACATAGCACAATAAAGATGGGCACATAATTATTAGATTTAATTATCCACACATTAACATAGATTAATAACCTAAAATATTTGTTCATTAAATTCTTAAGATACAAGTGTATTTGCTTAATAAATTTTAAGTGCAATTTAATAAAGACAAAATAAGTAACATTATTATTTTGATTATTTTTATTAAACTTCTTTAATGTTTACTACTTATGTTTATAGAGTACCATTTACATATCTAATAAAATTGATTTTATTTTTCAGAGTAAATGATTGTGAAGATATAATATGACCTAAAAATTTACTAGCTGCTAAAATTAATTGAAATTCAGATCTAGGTATACCTAATAGTTCATCAACATAATGATTATTTTTATGAACATTTACAGAATTCCAAATAGAGTTTCCATTTATTATATCTTCAAGACAAAACTAAACAAGTGAATTTAATTCATTCGAATAGTATTTTGGTAAGATTTGTCGAATTGATTAATAAAAGATATATTTAGATGATATCACAAATGGGGATTACTTATCAAATTTGCATTGTTATATTCTAGAAAACATTAAAATAGTTTATTAAGCTAAAAACTTTCTTGTAGTATCCTTAATTTATTTTGATAATGTAGTACTAGTGAGAATTGAAATAATAACCAAACCAACACTACAATAACTTATTAATTATTATTCATCTTTGATTTCTTCCTTAGAAGTTAAGTTTTTTTCAATTAATATTCCGATTTCCTTTACTTTATTAGTACTTCCAAAATATGGTACCATCAATAATTCAGCAATTATAATCCATCCAATTCTTCTTAGTTATGATGATTTATCTAAAAAAGATTTGGCAGTATCCCATAAATGATTTATTAATTCACTTGATATTGAATGTAATTATAAATCTAATAAAGAGAATAATTTAGAAAGCAAAGCACATTAAACTCTAAGTTAATTTATTAATTAATTAGTTTCTTTTACATTAAGTTCTGCCAATGTTATTTTGGCATAATTAAGTAAAGCAGATAAAATACTTTACTACCATTTTTTATTTTCTTAAAAAAGTGATTCAAAAGTATTGAATAAATTTCTACTAACACTAACACATATTGGTTTATCTATACTCATTGGATGCTATAAAATATCATTTATTTTAAAGATAGGTGTAAGAATATCTATGAATTCAGATGGTTTTGATCTTTTATCATCAAAAACATTTGAACCTAATGTATCAAATAAAAAATTCATTCCTTTTAAAAGCAATTTATAAATATACACATTCCACTTTTAGCTTTTAGTCTTTGATATCTTATCAAAAAAATATTCTAATAAATCTTTTCTTTCATTCAATGGAACTAATTAAACCATAAATAAACATAAATTAACTGATCTAATATTTAAGATAAAACTATACTTTTTATAAACTATATGAAGATATGGATCATCTAATGCCATACTTCCTAAATATGAACAAGATATTTCAAAAGATCCTCTGACAATTGAAAGTCCTAATTTTTTGAATTCATGTTATAAATATCTAAATATAATTACAAAATTACTTTTTATAAGATATAAATATATTTCCAACAATATTTGAAGGAAATTTAGATAAATTTTCATCAAATAACTAAAATACTTTTTATGCTTATTCTCTAGGTTAAAGTTAAACTTATGATTTCAATTTATCCTTTTTTGTTAAAGCTACTATATTTTATTATTAGAATAAGTATCTAGCAAAATATTTATAAAATAATGGTGATTCATCTGATTTATATGCTATTATATACATTTACTCTGATATAACATCTTCTTCCATTAAATGAATAAGAGTTTACATACCTGCTTGTTGGAGAATTTCCAATTTTTCATTTAGTGCAAATTTTAAAGAAATTTTAAGAATTTCATTTTTATGTTATTCAATTAAGAATTTTAAGACATTACATAGAAGTAAACGATAATCAGAGTTTTTAAGTAACTTCATTAAAGTAGTAGTAATGTCTTATGTTAGTGTATATGAGAATGATTGAATTTCATGTTTAGTTAGTTATATTAATGTAACAAGTAAAGTTAAAGCAATACTTTTTTATGATCCTTTCTTATTTATATATTACAATAAAATTTCTACAATTTATTTAATTTATTCATTTCCTGTTTTAGCAATTAATAAGGAGAAAGAATTACAAATCATCTAATATGTATGTATAGGGAATTAAAATTAAATGAGGATTTGTACTAATTGATTGAATTCTTAATTTTATTAATTTTTTGCATTTTCATTTAAAAGTTCAACTAATCTAGCAAAATGACTCATTTATAATTGTTTATCTGTTGGGACTTATTGCTTTAGTTTATCTTGTACACTAGTGATTAAATTCATTAAAAAAAGATTTTTATTTTAATTTAAAATGGTTATCAAGACAGATTTGTGCTCTTTTAGTGAATGGCGTATTTATCCTGGACATGGACGTAGATTTGTAGCTAAGGATGGTAGATTATTTTACTACTTGAATTAAAAGAGTAGAGCATTTTCTGCTAGAAAAGTACAATAAGAATTTTACATAAAAGATTAAAAGTTAAGAAATTTAATGGACTGTTGCATGGAGAAGATTAAATAAGAAAATTAAAACAGATGAGGGGGCAAAAAAAAGAAGAATTAGAAATCTTAAAGTCTAAAGAGCTATTGTTGGTATATCATTAGAAGAAATTAGAAGAAGAAGAAAAGAAGATGAAAGTATATTTATTATTATCTTTTAAATAGAAACAAGAAAAGCTTAAGCTGAATAGGCTGCAAGAGAAATTAAAGATAGAAAATAAAAATAAATTGAAATTTCAAAGTCACAAAAGAAAGGTGTAACAACAACTTAAAAAGCTGCTTAAAAAGCTGAAACTAAAGCAGCATAAAAGGCTGCAGCTAAAGGAGCAGGAAAACCAAAAGGAAAGAAATGATAAATTATTAAATGTACATTAATAATACAATATAAACTACCTCATTTTGGAAAATCTATAAGGAATTACAAAGAGATGTTTAACCTATCTTAAATAGTATATCTCCTCATTAAAGAATAAAAGCAAGGTCATTTGAACTTAATTCATCAAATATGTTAATCGATGAAGTTAAAATTCCATCAATAATAAAATCAAGAAAAATTATCAAATCACCTACCATTCTAACATAATTTGGAATTCCATACAAAAGAGTTTCAAAAGTAGAAAAGGCAGATATTTTAGAAATTCTTTCATAAAGAAGTCTTGGAATAGATGATTAATATGTTTAACCAAAGAGTTAAATTAGAAGAGTTACTTATCATGAATTCTAAGGATAAAAACAAAAACGATTAAATAATTTAGTACCTCATACTTAAGTTTATTAACATTCTCATGAAGCTGTGATTGTTAAGAAAAAGAAAATCAATCGATTGAAGAATTAATACAGTATAATATTATAAAATTAGAATTTTTATAGAGATCTAGATAACGAAAAACATTTGGAGAAAAAAAAAGTAAAAGTTGTCCACTTAGAATTTTACCTAAAATAACTCATAAGAGAGCCAAAACTATTCCAGATTAAATTTATTAAGGTCCACTTCTTCCTATTGATTTTGAACTCTAAAGAAAAATAGCTTTATTATGTTTTAAAAAAAGAAATACATTATTATTATTTAGAAGAAGAACATGCATTCAAGATCGTAAAACCTTTTTTGTTCCAAAAGATAAATTATTATTTTTTCAAGAAACACTATAATAACATTTTAAATAACAAGAAGATCCATATGAGACTTCAGGTGAATCTTCACCATTACCTAATAAAATATTATAATTTTAAAAAAAAACACTCAATTTAAAATCCAAAACATCAATTCATGAAAAACCATTTTTAACTCCAAGATACAATAATAATAATAATAATAATGAATATTCCATCTTTCATAGAAAGGCGTCTTTTAATATCATAAATAAGTATCTCTAAGAAAAATAAGTAAAAAATAAATTTTGCTTATCTCCTCAAAATAAATAATTCCCTTAAATACAATCACCAACTTTAAAAGAAATTAATTTATATTTTTTATCAACTAAAAGAAATACTTACAATACTTCAAAACAATCTTAATATACTTCAAAACAATCTTAATATACTTAATAAAGTCAATTAAGATCATAAATTTCCATTCATACTTCTAGATCTAATGGCATAAAAGAAGGGGATGATTTACAATTAAATATTACCAAAAGTTAATAAATAAGAAATTTGGATTTAAAAAAACTCTCTTAAAATACCTCTATTCACATAAAAACTTAACCATTTGAAAATAAAGGAACTAAAACCAAATAATTTTATTTATAAAAATTAAAACCATATTATTAGTGAAAAATAAAAATGTTTATATTTGATATCTATATCATCCTTCAATAATTTAAAGTTATCTAATCATTTCTCGCCCAAAACTCAGGTTAACTTATTAAATTCATAGCTTTTTCAATTGATAATAATTAATTATTATATTCTTAAGTTAATTTAGCCTTCCATTTTTCTTCAATTTAATTTCCATTAATTATATATTCTTTTTCCTTTTTATAAAACTCTTAATCTTTTTTATTAGATTCAATATCATCTTTAATTTATCTTATTTTTTCTTCTGTAACTGATAAATTGTATATTAATTCTGCAATATCCCTCTTAAATATTAATAGTTCTCCATCTAATTAATGTTTTTAATCTTCATATTCTTTTTATTATTCAGCATCATATGCAATATCAGAATTTTTGTGATCAATAAATTATTTTCTTAAATTATTAAAAGCTTCTAGAATCTAAAATTTATGATGAATTTATATTATATACATATTTTTGAACTCTTGTATCAGTGTATTTTGCCTATTCTGTTGTTTCTAATAACTCTTTCATATCAATTCCTCCTATCAACATAGTAGCAGCAAAGATCTACCTTGTAATAATTTTGATTCTATCGACTTAAATAAATTATTCATTAGCAAAAATTCCCTAAAGTAAAGCAATACACATATCAACTTGTGCTACCATATGTTCATATTAAGATACTAAAAAATTAATATTTTTATTTACAAGTATCTAAAAACTTTTCATTTTATTTTTATCTTGTGAATGTTAAATATTCTAGTTATTTTCTATTCTCTTTCACATTTGAATCTAAATTTTCCAATCTTTTATTAATATTTATTATTTAGTTTTGCATTTAAGAATCTAAATAATCTATATTTCTTGCAATAAATGTAACTGTTTCATCTATTCCTAAATCTAATTTTTCATTTTTGCTAAAATAAACATTAATTGCTTTATCACTAGCAAATTCATGATCATGTTTCAAATCCTTTACTTATTCTGTCTAATTAAATTTAATAACTATTTCAATACAACTGAATTTAAAACATCTGCTAACTCTTTTAAAGCTGAATCACCTGAAAATGCCAATTAACTTAAACTCCATGTAATCTTACCCCAACTTGTTTTCTTATCTATTTCATTATTATCTATTTACTTTTAGTTCCTCCACTCCATCTTATCTATTAATATTAACACAATTTATAGTCCATAGTAGCATTATAAGAACAAGTTCCGTTTTTTAGGTTTTCATAAAATATAATTATTCTTAACAAATTAATATTTATATTAAAATAATAATTAATAATATATATATTTCATTCATTATTCATATATATATATATTTATTAATCAACTCATAATAAAAAATTTGTTAAATAGCTATTTTTTATTAGTTTATTCCTATACAATTAATTTTCTTTTTCATTATATTTAACACACAAAACGATTCTCTTAATTATCATATATAATATTTTCAATTTTATAATTATTTCTTTTGAGAATCTGATTTTTAATTATTTAAAATTTACTAATAAATATAAAAAATTAAATTTGATACCAAAAATGTAAAATAAAAAAAATGACATACCATTTCATAAATAGTAATCATACCCCAATATTAATCCCAAAAATAATCAATAGGTATATTGATCTATAATAAATCAAAAGGAGGAAATCTATTTAGAAGAATTAATTACATATTCAAAAAAAGCAAATACAACTATATTTTTAAAAGAGTATTAATTGAATTAAGCAAAAAATATTTATTTCATAATTAGGATTTTATTAAAGGGGAAGGATGAATAAAAGTTATTTGAAACATATCCAGATTTAATCTTCTTATTAAGAAGAGGGCTTACTATATTATATTTGGATAATAATTACAGTATTTTGAGAAAAGGGCTTCCAAAATTTTATGATTTTTAGAGTGAAAAAGTAAAAAATGAAAATTAGTTTTTACGTAAAAACTAATTACATAAGGCATATTAGTCATTAAAATAAAAAATTCCTGTTACTATTGTTTAATAACAATAAGAAAATGGAGATAATTTTTAAATTTCTTTTTCTTCCATATTATAAACATGGGTTATTTCATCAAAAAATGACTCTATATTTTGTAAGAATTATGAAGACTATTTATAAAATTGTCCTAATAAGGATATAGATTACCAAGAAAATTTTCCTTGGTTGATTGCTAAAATTTGGTTTTCTTAAATGATTGATAAAAATGTAGAATAATTATAAAAAGATTTAACAGATTTTACATTTGTTGGAGAATTTGTTCATAATTCTTTTTTTATTCATATTATTGAATACTAATAACCTGCCTTAATATTTTTTGCATTAATAAATAATCATGTAATTTTGAATTATTTTTTTTGTAAAGAAATTTTTGTTGCCATACATAATAAGCAGAACATTTGGCGAATAAACATAATCTTCATTTTGTAAAAACAAAATATATACATGCAAATAAATAAACTATATTAGATAATCACCTATACAGAATATATGTGAATATTAAATAAAGTCCTATGTCTATATCAGGAGAAGGTGTAGTTCTTTATTTGTTTAATGAATTTGAATGCTTGTCAATTAGTAAAATAAAAACTATAGAATGTATTATTTGATAAATATACGTAAGATGAATAGCATTAATTATTTAGAACAAAATTGATAACATTAATTTAATAAAATTAAGAAACTAAATTAAGTTATGCAGATATTTATTAGTAAGAGGCCAATGATTTGAATTAATATAATGATAAAGAAATAACTAAATTTATTGAATTAAATACTTACATACTATTGAGTTTACAACAGTAAGATATTATTTATTTTAGTTATCTGATAAAAGTTAAATAGAAGGATATCTTTTATTAAGAATAAATATACAAATTTTGTTCAAAATATTATATGTAATTTTATACCCAAATAGTTGAACTAACAAATTCTCATAATGTAAAAAATTATGAATTAGACAATATATTCAATTACTTTGACTATTTGGGAAATCCTAATAAATGTCGACAAAAGGAGTAATAAAAAAAATCTCAAATGAAAATAGAGAGGAATTTAAAAGAATTAATATAATATTGATAGCAAGAGCTGTTCTTAATGGTTTTTTCACCCATATTATAATCAAACTCTAAATTGTTATTTTTCATAAATTTAATGATTTTTTTTATTATTTCTTCTTTCGACTAAATATAATTTCCTATTTTAAAAAATCGTTTATTGAATTAATAATAATAATAATAATAATAATGTGGGAAATAATACTAATTCTCAATTTAGGTACAGGTTAGAGATCCCGTCTTTCTATTACAGGGTAGAAAGTCCTTAAATATGTTTCTAAATTTTTTTCCTCTATTTTAAACACTATGATAAAGTAACAAATAAAAGAAATATTGAATTTTTTATTCGAATCAACTACTAATAAATTAATAACTAATTTTTTGAGTTTATCCGAATTTCTTTGAAATTGGTATTATCCCCTTAGAATTTTGAAACCTATTCCTTTAATGAGTATTAGTAAAAACTTTTTTTTAAAATACATCGAGCATATGTATGAAGGCATTCATTTGATAAAATACACCATACCCTTTACTCCATATGAAAAAATTGTGATTAAATTTTTTAGATAAAATCTAGTAGACTCATGGAATATAGTTCCAATAGATAGATATTTTAATTCCTTAGCAATTCCAAAATCCCTTAACCTATTTAATTATAGAATTTTATTTATATCTTTAAAAGTATTCATTGTATTGTAGTTTCAATCAAAAGTAAAACTTGTTTTTGATATGATAGAATAAATGGTATTCATGTTGTTAAAAATTAATGAAGAAACTAAGTTATTTAAATATGTAATAAAATAAATTTTAGTAAATCAATATTAACAATTCCCGTATTGTTGATGTTCACTCGATGTCTCACTATATTCTTAATAAAATTTTAGACTCTTGCGATCTATTAATATAGGATCATTATATAGTCAACTCAATTCCTGCATATACAGGGTTCACAATATTAGTACAATTAAACAACTTGATTAAACTTTATATTGATATTCCACAGGAAATGTAGGTTAGTCAAGATATTGAGCCTATTCCTTCATTTAAGGATAATTATTCAGGGACAATTCAAATTCATGATAAAAAAAAAGATATAGAAAATATTTGTGAGAACTAAATTACAAGATCAACTAAATTTTTAAGATAATCATCTTATAGATTTAAATCTAATTCAGTTAGTATCATTTTAATGAATAAGTCAACTTAAAAAAAAAATACTACTAAGAAATAAAGTATTGAAGTTGTTAAACTTCAAGAACCTGATTAATAAATTGATGAAAAGGAGCAATATTATAGATATCAACATGAAATAAAATGCAAAATGCTTGAATAAATAGCTAAGTAAATATATTTGTTGTATATTTAGAAATGAAAAAAAATAAGAAGAAGAAAGGATGAAATAGAAAAATCAAATAGATTTTATGAAAAAATAATAAAACTATAGTAATTGTGGATATGATTATGATGGATCGATTTTACCTTACAATAAACCATTTATGAAAGTTAAACTTTATCATTTGTAATCCAAAATTTTAAAAAAGAAATAGGAAAGGAAGAAAAAAAAAGATTTCAAAGATCAAATTGAAAGTGTATGTATTTAAAATTCAGCAAAAATTGATATTTAATAAAGTGGTTAATAGAAGTTTGATGATAATTTAAAGCAAAGCTAAATTTATAGAGTGGAACCTAATTTTGGTCGTAATTTAAATGGATTTAGTAAGATTGAGAAACTTGACATATTGAGAACTGATTATTCATTAAGAATGACTAAAAAATAGTATTAAGAAACATAAGACATTGGATTTACAAAATCTTATGTAAATCTGCATAAGTAACATACAATTTCTGAAAATTAGATTTCGTAAAATTATTAAATTGAAAATTTCAATAATTATCAAGTAAAGGTTGGATCTTAAAGAGAGGGAGAAATAAAATATCAATAATAATAAAATTATCAATTTCTTTTAACAGAGCCAGAGGTTGACAGGGAAATTAATTTAGAAAGTGACATAGAAGGTTAAAAAAAATTGATAAAAAAGAGTTAAAAGATATTATAAAATACTTAGCAATTAGTATCTTTTGTAAATGTTGAAGGAAAATTACCGACTCTAAGAAAATCTTTAAAAAATAGGAAAAGCGAGAAAATAGAAAGATCTCACACTCAACATAATTGAAAAAATTATTTTTATCATGTGATATTTATAATAATTCTGTATTTTATTTAGATGTTTATAAGTCTTAAATTGTTAAATAATAATTAAACAGTTTGAAATAATTATTTTTTAGTTAAAAAGTTGATGATTTGATTTTATCTGAATGATAAACCAATTTAGAGATTTTAAAATAATGTAAATTAATAATAATAATGGATTAATTAAATTCATGGGGTTATTGTAATCCAACAAATTGGGAAGATAAATTGCCAAAACCTTATAAGTATTTAAGTTTATGATTAAGATAGATTCATAAACAAAATCTTAAATACGATGATACTTAATGAAGTGTATAATAAAGTTTTTGAGATTGAAAAATATCGTTCAGATCCAAATTATGAAGGTCAATTAAGAACACTTCCTCCTTAGGGTGTTTTTGATATACCTTAATTAAGTTGCATAAGTCGAGATAGTTCAAGCAATTTAGTTGCAGCAGGAGATACTTAAGGAAATTTAATGATATTAGATTTGAGTAAGAAACTAAGGATAGCTAAGAAAGAAACAAATGGGAAAAGAATAATGAAAGTTTGTTTGAGTAGTAGAGATCAAGCGATAGATGATTATAAGAATGTTTGTGTGTAGAAAATAATAATAAATTTAGTATTGGAGTTGTTTAGCATAATGATCCAGTTGTATCTATATATAGATTCAGACCATTAGAAAATAAATTGTTGCTTCATTATACAATTACATTATCAAAGGAGAAGAATGCAATAGGTGAATATCCAGTTGATGTAGACATAAGTTAATTTTCTTAATATATAACTGTTACATAATATAATGGAAGTGTAAAAGTATTTAGGATTCCAGATATAAAAATAGATTAACAATCTAATTCAAGTTAAATATCAAGCAATAGTGTTGGAACTTAAAGTCCTAGACACTTATAGAGTTTATAGAGTCAATTTAAGCCATCTCCTATAAAAGGGAAAGAATAATCAATTGTGGCTCAGGTACAATAATAGTAAGTTTAAACATCACCTATGGATATTGTATGTTCTGAATTGACAGATATGATCTATTATGTTAAATTTGATGGAATAAAGAAAACTCTTGATTATAATGGAATAATAGCTAAAATTAAATAGGATTTGATAGCACCAAAAGAAGCTCCACCTGAAGAGAAGGTTGATCCAAAAAAGAAGGGTGCACCTGCTCCTAAAAAAGCAGTAGAAGTTGCACCTGTAGCAGTTGTAGAAGAAATACTATATGAAGAGAATGAAAATGGAACGACACCAAGTGATGAAGATTATCCAGAGTAAAAGTTTAGAGCAATGGTTGAATTTATTACTGAAAGATTTAGTATTCAAAATGGAAATAAAACATTTAATTCATATAAATAACATGAATGTATAACAGGAATTGTTGTTGGTTGGACTAATACAAAAAGACTTGAAATACATCGTTTTACAAGTGCTAAAAGATCTGCACTACCAGAATATTTAAGTGCTTCTTTTGGATTACCATCTTAATAATTATTAAAGTAATAACCCACTATTACTGAAGTTCAAATTATTTATCCTTTGAATTGCATAGCTATGTCAAAATCTTCAGTATATTTGGCTGCTGGTTTAGTATAAGGAAGTGTTTTTGTCTATGATTTGATTTTAGAATAAGAAAGATTTTATTTAGATAAACATATGTATAATTGTACTTAAATATAATTTTGTGATGATCATAGATTGGTTTCATCATCATATGATGGAGGGGTTAATATTTATGATTTAAAGGAAGGCAAATTGTTATGTAAGAGAACTCATCAATTTAGAAAAGGAACTAAAGTCAAAATGGAAGAATAAAAATAAGGATTATGGAGAATTATTGGAATGAGTGTAAGTCATACTGGAATAGCAGCTGCTTTAGATGCCTAGCAAGAAGTTAGAATCTATGATGTTTGGCATGGTGAAAAAATTGCTAAGCTCACTCCTTAATAAGTTATGGATGATAAATTAAGATAATGGGTTAACAATAAAGCTTTAGTTTCATGTTATAAAAATGAAATCTTAATCTCAGCTGACGTTCTCCAAGTTAATCAATATACAACTTTGCAAATTTTTAAAATATTTGATAATCTAGTTAATTTATTTCCTGGATTAGCCAATATTTATAGAAAAGGAATCGAAAAAGATAAAGTCATGAATCTTTTTGAAAAAATACCAAAAAATGAATTACAAAATCCATAATTTGATATTCCTAATCTTTAAGGAAATGGAAATAATTAATTAAAAATTCCTGGATAAGAACATCGCCCAAGTTAATAAAGAGGAAGTTAACAAAGAGGAAGTCAATTAAGAATTGGGTATATTTTATATTAATAATTTTAAGATCATAACATGGTTCTCATAAAAGTGCCAAATTACCTCCTGCTGCACCTTCAAGCATAAAGGGAGGTCCTATCTCTCTCATTAATTCATTACATAAATCTAATCATTCAGATTAATAAGTTGATTTTAATTCCTCTTTCAAAAGTTATTAAGCTTCTTCAATGTCTCATAGACTTTCCAAACAAAATTCAAAATAAGCTATACTTACTAAAGAAATGCTTCATCCTGAATAATTCTTACTAGAAAAAGATAAAACTTCCATGCCTCTTTTAATAAAAGATGACACTAGTATGGTTGAACATTGTAGAAGTAGAAATTCTGAAAGATTAGTGAGAATTGAGAAGGTTAATAGTATGATCTAAAAAGTTGGATAACAATTAGCTTAAGAAGAGGAAAAGAAGAAGCTTCAAGAGCGTCATCGTTAATTATCTTCTGCTAAATGATTAATTAATTATGTATTTGTTGTAATGAGCCCAAAAAATATAAATGTCCTAAATGCGAAATGCCTTATTGTAGTGCTCCATGCTTCAAGCTTCACAATTGCAAACCTATTCTAAAGAAACCATAAATATAAGATTAAGAACCATTTAAAAGTGACTATATTGATGAAGAATATAAATTATCTAAAGAGAAATTAGAAATACTCAGTATATAATATAAACCTATAATCAATAGAAAGAAGTACAAAAATCAGAAAATTTGTTTCTAACAAGCGTCTTTAAAAATTACTGATTCATATTGACAACAGCAAGTACAGATTTAAAGAATTAAACACTTGCATGTAAAATGATAAAGACTTTGAGGATTTTTGTACTTTAATGTTATCTGAAATGGGACATATTGATGAGAATGGGCAATTTAAATGATCAGCCATAAAATATATTATTATAAAAAAAACTCATATTATTTTATCACACTCTATAATAATTCCATTGGAATAATCTAGTTTATAAACAAAAGTTTAAGAAATTCTTAAATAAATAATAAAAACCATAATTTTTAGAGTCAAATGATTCATTTTGTCGAAGTTGCTTTAATATGGGCATTACCAGCCATTTTAATTAACAAACTGATTTTCTATTTAGTTTATAAGATTGGAGGAAATCATGAATGTATAGTAGATGTAGCATACTCTATAAGTCATTTAGTTGCAGGAGTAGTGTACTTTATATTTTCAACTATATCAGCTCCAGCAAAGATTGTAAAAATAATTTAAAATTTTAAGATCAATCTTGTTCTTGTTGCATTTTGGTCACTAAGACTTGGAGGATTCTTATGTGTGACAAGAGTAATAGCTGGATTTAAGGATGAAAGATATGATAATATTTTTAGTGAATACAATGCAGATAAATTCAAGAAAGATTTAATGGTTTTTGTGTAATTTATGTTCCAAGGATTAATTGTATTTGTCACTTCTATACCATTATATTTCTTGTTTCTAAATGATCTAACTTGGGAACCAGATAATTTTAATGGTTTGAATGTGATGAATTACATAGCCTTATCAATCATTCCTTTCAGTATTTGTTTAGAAGCTACTGCTGGTAAAAAAGTTAATAAATATTAAGATGTATAATTGGAGAGGTTTAAGAAATTAAAACAACAAGGTTTAATACCAAAAGAAGAATTAATGGAAACTGGACTTTGGAGAAAGAGTCGTCATCCAAATTTATTTTTTGATTTAGTTACTTGGTTCTGTTTTGCTTTAGGAGCAATTTGTGATGCAATAAGTGTTTGTGCATTAATAGGACCTATTGCTTTATTTTGTGTTATGGAATTTCTCACTACTCCATTAACAGAAGCTCATATGAAAAAGAAAAGAGGAGAAGCATATGAATAGTATGTTTCTCGAACAAATAAATACTTGGTTATGTGATGATCTTGATTTCTTGTATTATAATTATCAAAAAAAACTAAGTTAATCTTTAGGGAATGGGGTTTTAGTTGTTCTTATGATTTCACTTTTAGGATCTCCAGTTGTGATTGGATTTCTGGATAAATTATCTCTTGAATGAAGATCTGAAGTCTTTAATTATTGTTTGTAAACTAAATCTGAATTTTAACCTGGTTCAGCAACTTTGATACAATGAGGTTTGAAAACCTATTCTTTTCGATTTTCTGAGAACTAAATTTTAGTACAATAATTATTTACATCAAAGACACTTGTAGCTTAATTACTAAACTAAGTTGTTTTTACAGTAGGTTTATGAAGTGGAGGTCCATTAGTAATTAAACTAGTTACTTAAAATAGTGGTGTTGCTAATCTTTCATTTTATTTATTCGCGCATTTTTCTTTTGCTGCTTAATATAGCATAATATCATTTTCCTTAAGAGGTTTATCAACTTAGTTCACTTATTGATTATTAAAACTCTAAGGAGTAGAAGCTTTAAATTAATTCATTTTTTAAAAATTACTCTTATTATCCATTTTAGGTAGTTTGTTAATTAAATTATAAATAACTTCATATAAATATAAAAATATTATAATATACATGAAGTTATTATTACTATTTTTGTTGACATCTATTTTTGTAGTATAAAGTGAGACAACAAATATTAGTTTAAGTTCACCTTGTTCATGTACTTAACTTTTTGAATATGATTGCTACAGAAATTAAAATTGTGTTTGGAATAAGCTTTTACTAAGATGTGAAATTAAATCAACAACAGAAGACACTAACACAAACACAAATACTAAAATAAGTTCATATTGTACTAAATTTGGATCTGATAAATGCTGGTAAGAAGAAGGATGTGCTTACATTTTAAATGAATGTGTTTAATTTACATCATGTTCTAGTTATCCTTTTAGTGTTTAAGAACTTTGTTAGATGGTTTCGAGTAAATGTATCACAGATGGTGAAAAATGTGTTGAACTAGCTGATTGTTACTAATATTCAACTCCTACATCTTGTGTTAAAAATTCAAAAGGAAAGTATTGCTTTTGGGATTAATATTGTCTCGATGCAACAGATTGTATCAAACTTCCACTTTCATTCAAAACAGATGCTTAATGTCGTGAATAACTCCCTTATTGTACAATTAATCCAAGAGGTGGATGTCAGGTCAGTGGATACAATTGTGAAGATCAAGAGTTTGAGATGTAATGCTATTATAATCAAAAATTGGGATTATGTGCATGGGTTAATGGTAAATGTATGAATCGTTCATGTGAAACTGCTCCAAAATCTATAAGAACTGATGAAGCTTGTTAAGAATATTTTGAAGGCTGCACATTAATTGCAGAAGGAGGATGTAGACAAAGAACATAATGTAATGATGTGACAATTAAGGAATCTTGTACATATAGTGCTAATGGTTCTCTATGTTTTTGGAATGAAGGAAAGTGTTATGATAAAAAATGTGAAAATGCTCCTTAAAATATTATTTGTTCTAGTTTTTAAGAAAATTGTGTTCCAAAATCTGTAGGAGGTTGTATGAGTATCGGTGAGTGCTCAAAATATGATTTAGAAGAGAGTTGTAAGATAGATAAAGATAATAATAAATGTTTTTGGACAGGTAATTAATGTGTATCACATACATGTGAGAGTGCCCCTTTAGAATATGTAACTCATGAATAATGTGCAACTTATAAAGAAGATTGCACAGTAAATAATAGTACATTTAAAGGTTGTTCATAGAGAACTTGTGACAATGCTCCAACGACTGCAACCACATTTCTTAGAACAAATTATGAATGCAATAAATATAAAGAAGGTTGCATAACAAAATTAGGTGGAGGCTGTAAGTAATTAAATGAATGTAGTGATATTGATGTTGAAATAGGTTGTGTAGTTGATAAATATGGTAGAAATTGTTTTTTTTATAATGGTGAATGTGCATTAAGAATTTGTGAAAATGCTCCATTGTCTTTTAATAGTCATGAATAATGTTAGGAATTTAATATAGAATGTACAGTAGCACGGACAAAGATTGGATGTGTTAAGATGGCATGTTAAGTTTTAACTTCATAAAGTACTTGTAAGGTAGATTTAAATGGTAATCGATGTTTTTGGACAGGTCTTTGTTATACAAAGAGTTGTGCTAATGCTCCATTTGAATATGATTCAGATTTGAAATGCAAAAATTATCTTAGTTCATGTACGATAGCAAATAGTGGTCGTGGATGTATAATTAGACCGAGTCAATGCAATTAATTAGTTCTTGAAGATTAATGTTATATAACATCAACAGGTTAAATTTGTGGATGGTTTGAAGGAGCATGTTATGACAAAGCTTGTTTTACAGCACCTTATACTTCAGATTATGATACTTATGAAGAATGTGATAATTATTTAAGTGGATGCACTGTTGCAAGTGAAGGAAATGGAGGTTGTGTTCTTTTGGATTCATGCACAACTTATACAGCTTAAAGAAGTTGTCGATTTAATAATTTAAATTAACTTTGTGAATGGACTGGAAATGCTTGTTATGATAAAGCATGCACTACAGCTCCTTAAAATGCTGATCATGATTCAAATGAAGAATGTGATGCTTATTTAACTGGATGTATTGTTGCTCCTAGTGGATAAGGATGTGTTTTAAAACCAAGTAGTTGTGGAATGATGAGTACAAATACTTAATGTACAGAAACATCTACAAATTCACTTGGAGGACCATGTGTTTGGGTTGGAACATGTGTGAATAGAACTTGCAATAATGCCCCTGTTTCCACTAGTTATGATACTCATGAAGAATGCTACACATTTTTATCTTCTTGCACGGTAGTTGCAAGTGGAATTGGAGGTTGTATGACATAATTAAGTACTTGTGGCTAATATACAACATTTAGATCATGTTAATTAGCATCAAATGGATAGAAATGTGCTTGGCAATATAATTAATGTTAAAATAGAATATGTTCATATGCTCCTGATACAGATTAATTTGATTCTGATTCAGAATGTTCTACTTTCCTTAGTTCTTGTACAGTAGTCAGGAGAATAAGTAATTTAGGTTGTACATCTAGATTAAGCTAATGTTAAGATCTTACAGAATAATAATGTATCAGTGATAGTAGTAATAATCTATGTACTTGGGATACAACTCTTGCTACTCCTCATTGTAAAACTAGATCTTGTTCATTAATGATTGGATACACTTATACATAATCAAATTGTAAGAATTGGTTATAAGGTTGTGTTGTTGATAATGCTTCAACTCACATAAGTTGTATGGCCTAAAAAAACAGGTGCTATCAATATATTTATGAGGATAATTGTGAATATTCTACTTCAGATGGTTACTGTACTTGGGATGGCTCATCTTGTGTTTCTCGAGATTGTACTACAACACAAAATATATCAGATTTTAATCACACAAATTGTAATAATTGGTTATCTTAATGTACTGTTGCAGCTCCAACAAGTTGTATTTAAAAACCTACAAACTGTGCTGATTATGTTAATTATGATTAATGTTATAAGAATTACTCAAATCATCCTTGTGCTTGGGTAGATGATGCATGTATTGAGAAGACATGCATTAATCATGGCTATTCAGTTACTGTATTTAGTTAAACTAATTGCAAAAATTGGTTGTCTTCATGTTCTGCTAATCCAGGAAATACTGCTTGTGAAACTACAAGAACTTGTGCTAATTTTACAGGAAGTACATTTACTCATTCTGATTGCAATACATGGTTATCTGATTGTACAACTGATGGAAGTTAATGTATTAATAAAACATGTACTAATTATGGTTCAAATGTTACAACCTTCGATAATTCTACATGTTCAACTTGGTTCAGTGAATGCACAAATGATGGATCAACTGCTTGTAAGAGTGCTAGAACTTGTTCCAATTATGGAATCAAAGTTACTATATTTAATCATACTAATTGTACCACTTGGTTATCATCATGCACTAATACAAATTCAGCTTGTACAGCTAGAACTTGTACTAATTATGGATAAAATATTTTATTTTTTACTCATGATACTTGTAATACTTGGTTATCATCATGTACTGTCACTTGGGATAAATTAGGTTGTGAAACTAAAACATGCACAAATTATGGTCAATAAGTTACTACTTTTGATAATTCCAATTGTTCAACTTGGCTATCAGGATGTTAAGCTAATATAAATGCTACTGCTTGTGAATCAACCAATACTTGTCCTTCTGGAGCATTTACAACTGTTGCTAATTGTAATAATTATCTAGAATCTTGTACATTTGTAAGTGCTGTAAGCACATCTTAATGTACTAATAAAGTTTGCACATCAACATCAGGTATAACAACATTTAATCATAAAACTTGTTCGAATTTTTATAAAATGTGTACAAGCAATTCAGGTTCAACTAATTGTGAATGGAGAACGTGTTATAATCATAAAGGATTTATTTCTTATTTTTCTCATGTATCATGTGAAAATTGGTTGTTTTAATGCACAGCAAATAGTACAAATACAGGATGCACAGTAAAAACTTGTACTAATCATGGAGGTAATGTAACATCATTTACAAATACAGAATGTAACAAATGGCATCCTTCTTGTAATGGAACAGGTTCTGCATGTTAAGAAAGTAGGACATGTGCAAGTGCTCCAACAGGATATTAATATGAACATTCAAATTGTGAGGCATATTCTTTAAGTTGTACAAAAAATAATGCAACAACTTGTACTACTAAAACCTGCTCTAAAGCAAATTCAGTATTTTCCATTTTTAATCATGCTAATTGTTCAGAATGGTTAAGTAGTTGTACATCTGATGCAACTTATTCAGCCTGCACAGACAAAACTTGTACTAATTATAAAGATCAATTAAGTACAATAAGCCATGCAACATGTTCTGGTTGGTTATCAACTTGTACAAGCAACAAAGAAGGTACTGCTTGTGAAACAATATCTTGTTATAATCATGGATCTTAAGTTACTGTGATAGATAATACTAATTGTGGAAACTGGAAAAGTGGATGTGTTGGAGGAGGATCTACCTGCAGAAATACTACAAATACAGTTTGTGGGTCATATGTTGGAACTTTTAATCATCCAAATTGTACAAGTCATTTAAGTACATGTACTCATTCTGGAGGTACAAAATGCATAGTTAGAACATGTTAATTAGCATCTTAGGGCAACATTACAGTGTTCAATCATTAAAATTGTAGTGATTGGTATTTAGAATGTACAGCAAATTCAAATGGAAGTAGTTGTTAATATAGAACTTGTTATAATCATGGAGATTATATTGTTACATTTAATGCAAGTACTTGTTCTGGATGGCTTTATGGTTGCAATGTGAATTCAACGAATGATGGATGTATAAGTGAACGTACATGTAGTAATTATGGAGCTTATTTAACAGAATTCACTCATGAAACTTGTAGTAATTGGTTGAGTACATGTACAGTAGACTCTGGAAGTACAGCTTGCATAGATAGAACATGTACAAATTATGGAAGTAACGTGACTGTGTTTAATTATACTAATTGTAATGCTTGGTTAGATGGATGTACTGGAACAGGTAGTTTTTGTGAAGCTAGATCTTGTAGTAATTTTTCAACTGGAGCCATTCCTTACACTGAAGCTAATTGTTATAAATGGTATTCTTATTGTAAAGTTAATAATTCTCTTACTGCTTGTATAAGTACACGTACATGTACTAATTATGCTGGTAATATAACTACATTTGACCATTCAAATTGTAATAATTGGCTATCAGATTGCACTGTCGCATCAGATGGAAACAGTTGTGAAACTAAAACTTGTACTAATAGTAATATTACTTCAGGGAATTTCAATTTAACTAATTGTAATTCATGGTTATCAGGATGTATAGCTAATAGTTCCGCAGACAATTGTGAGACTGTAAAAACTTGCGAAAATGCAATATCTAATCTTACTACATTTGATCATTCAACTTGCTCAAGTTGGAAGAGTTCATGCACTTATGATAAAGCAGGAACTACTTCAACTGGAACAGCCTGTATTGAATTTATATGTTCTAATGCTTAATTGACTGCATTTAATCATTCTGATTGTTAAACCTACCATAGCAGTTGCACAGTAAATTCTACTGCTGATGGATGCGTTGAGTTCATATGTACAAATGCTGTCAATTCTATTTCTACATTTACAGACGATGATTGCAAAAGCTATAAAGTTACATGTACTGTAAATAGTTCTGATAATAATTGCGAAGATAAAACTTGTGCTAATGCATCACGTACTTTGTCAAATACTATTTCAGATGGTAATTACAATCATGATGATTGTAATAATTGGTTACCATCCTGCACCATTAATAATTCAAGAAATGGATGTGAAACTATGACTTGCGCCAATGCATCAAACTCTAATGGCATTACTATTACTATAGACTAAGATTTTAGTTGTACAAATAGTTGGATGTCTTCTTGTGATTTGCACACTTCAAATAGTTATTGTGTTGATAAGACATGTCTTACATTTAGGGATACATTATCAGCTTTAAATTGCGCTAGTTATTTATCTGGATGTACATATTATGGAAATTATGATAATACCACTTCTTGTACTTCTACAGTAAGAACATGTGCTAGTGCAGTTACAGCCCATGATAATGGTTATGACATTGTTAGTTAAGCTGGATGTAATTTATGGAAATCTGGCTGTGCTTATAGAGGCACAGGTAATTATGGCTGTGAAGAAAGAACATGTTCAAATTATGTAAGTGCAAATTAATCTAATCCAACATCTTATGCTTAATGTAATAGTTGGTTAGCTACTTGCACATATGATAATATTAATTAAATATGTGTAGAAAAAAACTGTTCTAACTTTTCTTAATCTTCACCATCCTAAAATAATTGTGTTGCTTGGAACCCTTAATGTACAATCAATTCAACATCAACAGGTTGTGAAAAAAAAAATTGCACCAACTTTTCATACGTCTCTTAGGTCTTTAATGACACTGATTGTGAACTCTGGTGGTTTAATTGTAAAGCAAATTCAGCCAAAACTGCTTGTGTAGCAAGTTGCACTACAACTACTGTTACTACATTTAACTTTGAAAATTGTTAAAATTGGGATACTATGTGCTCAGTTAATAGCGATAACAATAATTGTGAAAAAAGAAGTTGTTTAAACCCTTAGCTAGCATCCTACACTGATACTACATGTTCAGAGTGGTTATCAACTTGTACAAATAATGGAAATACAAGTTGTAAAGATAGAACGTGTTATAATTATTAAACAAATTTATTATTATTTTCATCAACCACTTGTGAAAATTGGTGGTCATTATGCACTAATTATAAAACTTAAGGTTGTATGCCTAAGAAATGTGAAAATTTTACAGGGACTGTTAATGATAGCAATTGTTAATCTTATCTATCCTATTGCATAGCAAATACAACAAAAACAAAATGTATAACTAAAAGAACATGTACAAATCATGGATCAGTAGTTACTACGTTTACGCATGTCAATTGTGAAAGCTGGAATAGTAATTGTACTAATAATAGTAATAATACCGCTTGCATTGAAAAAACTTGCAGTAATATAAATTTAAGTGCAGTAATTTAAATAAATTCATACACATGTAATGCTTGGAAAACTAGTTGTGCATTTATTAATGGAAGTTGCACAGATAAGACTTGTACTAATTCAGAATTGGTTGGCAGTGATGTAACATAAACAAATTGTAGTGATTGGTTGCCATATTGTACAGCAAATAATGCTATTTGGCCATAATATTGCGAATTAAAGACTTGCTAAAATCATTCATTAGTAACAATAAGTTAAGCTAATTGTTAAAATTGGCTTTCTTATTGTAGTGTGAATTCTGCAGGAACAGCATGCATGACTCATCGAACATGTAGTAATTATGGAATAAATATTTTAACATTCAATCATATTAATTGTGAAGCCTGGATGTATTATTGTACAGTGAATAATGCAAATGATGGATGTATGAACAAAACTTGTTTTAATACTAATTTGACTGTTTTTAATGATTAAACTTGTGGATAATGGTTGAATACCTGTAAAGCCAATTCATCAAACACAGGATGTGAAATAAGAACTTGCACAAATTATGGTAATTAGTTAACAAGTTTTACTTCAGCAACATGTTCTTATTGGTTGTATTAATGTACAAATGATACAACAGTTGGTTGTAAGACTACTAGAACATGCACAAGTTATAATAATGTAATATAAAATTTTTCATTGTAAACCTGCTCAGAATATTTAAGCACATGTGTTCCAGATCCAACAAAATCAACATGTTTAATAAGAACTTGTAGTAATGCTTAAGAATTACCTTCATATACACAATAAAATTGTTCAAATTGGTTGAATAGTTGCACTGTTAATTTAACTAATGATGGTTGTATAGATAGAACATGCTAGAATGCATCTCTTTCCTTTTATAATTTTAATAGTTGTTCTAGTTGGTTAAGTTCTTGTACTGTTAATACAACAAATGATGGTTGCACTGAAAAGACATGTAGTAACAGCACAGTTATTTAATTTACATAAACTAATTGCACAGCTTGGTTAAGTACATGTACAAATGGTACAAATACTTGTATTAATAAAACATGTTCAAATTATACTGGTACTATTAATCAAACAAATTGTATTGCTTGGTTACCTTATTGTTATGCTGATTCTACATCTTAAACTTAATGTTACAGTTTGAGAAATTGTTATAATCATAATTTAACTACATTTACTGTTGCTACATGTAGCTTATGGTCTCCATTATGTACTGTTAATACTACAAATAATGGATGTGTTGAAAAAACTTGTTATAATAATAATTTAACCAAATTTAGTCATGTCACTTGTTCAGATTGGTTATCAACATGTACTGTCAATATGGATGCGACTGGTTGTGAGATTAGATCATGTACAAATTATGGAAATAATATTGCAGTATTTAATAATACAAATTGTAAAGCATGGTAAAAATATTGTAAAGTAACAACTTTGGCAAATGCTTGTGAACCAGTTACTTGTTGGAAAAATTCTGAAAGTGTATTTAATCATACTAATTGTTATACTCACTTGGATTAATGTACTGTTGCAGATTCAACATCTTGTGGATCAACAAGAACTTGCACTAATCATGGTAGTGCAGTAACTATTTTTAATCATGCAAATTGTTAATTTTGGTTAACTAAATGTACTGTAAATTCTGCAGGAACAGCTTGTGAAGAAATGACCTGTACAAATCATGGGATTTAAGTAACTAAATTTACTCATGCAAATTGTTAAAATTGGATATTTGATTGTACTGTTAATTCAACTGGTACAGATTGTGAATTAAAAACATGTTCTAATTATGGTGCTAATGTAGTTGTTTACACTCATGCTAATTGTTTTGCTTGGTTATCAAATTGCACTGCAAATTCAACTAATAGTGCATGTATTAATAAAACATGTCTTAATACTACTGGAATTAGTACATGGACTTAGGCTAATTGTGAGTCATGGTTAAGTGTTTGTTAATTAAGTAAACCAACTACTTGTAAAACTAATGTTTCAAGTTGTTCATCAGCAACATATAATTAATGTGTGAAAGCTACAAATAATAATATATGTGTGTGGCATTAAAATTAATGTAAAAATAGGGCTTGTGATAATTTTATTGGAACAGCAAATCACACTAACTGTTAAAATTGGTTCAGTACTTGCACAGTCAATACTACTAATACAGGATGCACCACAAAACCAACTAACTGCACTAATGGGGGAGTGACTTAAGACTAATGTGTTCTAAGCAGTTCTAATGTTAAATGTGCTTGGATTGGAGGTACTTGTGTTAATAGAACATGTGCACAATATTCTGGTACATTCAATCACTCTAATTGTTACAATTGGTTAAATACTTGCACAGTTAATAGTGCTTCTAATGCTTGCGAAAGTTTATCAACTTAATGTACCTCATATGCTATCGAGGATTAATGTAATTTAACCAATTCAGGCACCATATGCTTTTGGGATGTCAATAAATGTGTTATTAGAACATGTGAACACGCTTCTCAAACTTCTGATTATAATGATCATACTAAATGTTTTACATTTTTGAATACATGCACAGTTGCTCGATTTGGAGGATGCACAGATAAATTGGCTGCTTGTTCTACATATAAATAATAATCTTAATGTTATTAAAGTTCATCTGGAGTTAAATGTTATTGGAATACTTTAACTTCTTTATGTACAGATGCTATTTGTACAAATGCAGTTTCAACTTTAACAACTCATTAAGATTGTTAAGATTTTTTGAATACTTGCACAGTGAATACTGCAGGAGGTTGTATTCCTTTGGTAGCATGTAATTTATACACTACTCCTTAATCATGTGTGAAATCTAACACTGGAGATACTTGTGAATGGTAAACTTAAACAAGTACTTGTAATATAAAATCTTGCACAACTGCTGCACTAGATAACACAAGAGATACTCATGAAGAATGTTAAGATTACCTTTCAAATTGTACAGTAACTGCTACAGGAGTAGGTGGTTGTGTTGCTTTGAATGATTGCAATAATTATGTTTCTGAGAGATAATGCAAAATAAATTTAAGCGGGTCTTTATGTGGATGGAATGGTTTAGTTTGTGCAAATCGTTCTTGTTAGACTGCTCCTCCAACAGTAACATATAGTAATGATAGTGCTTGTTAAAATTATATGGATGGATGTACAGTAGTTGAAACTGGATATGGTTGCATATCTAGAAAAGCAGATTGTTCAGATTATAAAATAAGTAAATAATGTGTAAAAACAATAACAAACTAATTATGTTATTGGAATATGGAATTACCTATAGCAGCTTGTGAGATTAGAACGTGCTTTAATGCACCTAGTGATTCACTTACACCTGAATTATGTGAATAACATTTAAATTTGTGTTATTCTAACATGCAGTATTGTAGATTAGAAGAATGTGAAGATCTCTCATTCTCAACAGATTTTGAATGTAAATATTACAATAGTAAATGCACAACAGATGGTACTAAATGTGTATTAAGAAAGAAATGTTCAGATGTATAAAATAGTGCTGGATGTGTGATGGATGATAAATTTAATGAATGTGAATGGTATAATTAAGAGTGTGTATTAAAAACTTGTTAGACTGCACCTGCTTTTAAAACTGAATTGGAATGCAATCTCTATAAAGAAGGTTGTACAACTAAATTATTTGGAGGTTGCAGAGAAAAGACTACTTGTACATAAGCTAATGTAGAATAAGCATGTACAACATCTAGTAATGGTGAAATATGTGTTTGGGAACAAGGTTTTTGTAGGGCATAAAAATGTGAAGATTTTTAAGGTAGTTATGATGAAATTTGTGATGATTAGAAGAAAGGATGTGTAAGCGATGGAATAAAATGTATTCTACCTAGATATTGTTCATAATTACTTACAAAAGATGAATGTATCAAAGGTGTAGATGGTCCATGTATTTGGTATGAATTTGGTTGTACACTATTTCTTTCTTGTTCTAGCATTTTAAGTAATCTAGATAGCACATGTAAATCTGCTAATAGTTTATGTACTACAGATGGTTTCAGATGTGTTGGATTAGATAAATGTTCTAATTATCGAATATAAGAAGCATGTAAAACTGGTTTAGATGGAAATTGTTTGTGGATTGAATCATAATAGAGGTGTCTTTTGTTTGCAAAGTGTTCTGATTTACCTTATTTAACTCACAATGATTGTTAAAATGCTTCATCAAAATGCACCACAGATACTTTAAATGGATGTATTGATTTAACAGATTGTTTCAATTACAAGTAGAAAGAATAATGCATAATAAGTTCTTAATCACAAAAATACTTAAATAATTAAGTAATATAAACAGGATACTGTGCATGGGTAAATAATAAATGTCGAGATCAATAGTGTGAAGATTTAAGTGGTGAAACCCATGAATCATGTGAATCAAAACTAAAAGGATGTACTTCTGATGGAACTAATTGTGTTTCAATGAAACTTTGTTCTAAGTATACTAATATTATCACCTGCAATCTTGCTTTAGGAACTGATGGAAAATGCTTTTTTTCTAATAATGGTTGCAGAATTCTTGAATGCTCGGATATTAAAAATGGAACTAATCATTTTACCTGTTAGAGTTTCAAATCTACTTGTATATCTAATGGAGAATAATGTATACCATAAGTAAAATGTGAGTTATATCCAAATTAATTTGCTTGCACTTATTTAGGATTGGATGGATAATGTGCTTGGAATGGATCTAAATGTGTTTTGATGAAATCTTGTGAAGATGCTCATATAGATATGATAGCTTGTCAAAGAATGAATGAATTCTGTAATTGGAAATCAGATGTTAATGGTACTTCAGAATGTCTTCCTCATACATGTTAAACTAAAGGTGTTCTGAATTAATGTAATTATATCAAAGATTTTAATGCTAAAACGATAACAACTTGTATATGGTCTAATGAATTTTGTCAATCTGTTGATCCTCGAAATCTATAAAGTAATGAATGCAATTTAAACACTTAAAATACATATCGATGGAATCCACTTAATAATACTTGTGAGTCTTGCTCTCTTTAATCAGTCAATTACACTAATACAACAGTTGTCAGCTATATTCATTTATTATCGATAATGATAATATATGCAATGTTATTTTGAAGATTTATTCAACATTAAATATATAATAATATTTATTTTTTGTATTTCAAAATTTATAACAGCAATATATTTACCAAAACTTTTATCTCATTACTTTCCCCTTCAATATCTCACTATCCCAGAATTACCTCAAAAGGAGTTTCCTAATTTGATTTACGACTGAAGATATATATAACAGAAATTAAATTTAAAATCAAGAGAAATAAGATTTCATCTAAGCCTAATAACAAATAACAAAAATGGAAAAAACTCTTTAAAATTACAACTAAATTATACATAAAGGGATAAATAAAATAATAATCAACAACATGAACCTCCCATTTCTGGAAGATTCAATTAAATCACTGATTAAGATATTAGGTTTGTCTCTCTTATAAGTTTTAGGAAGAAATTAAATTTAGAAAAAAAAATTGTGTAAATTAACAAGAAATTAAAACAATTCTAACCAAATCTATTATAATTATTTTTTATATTCACTTCTTATAATCATTATGAAATAATTGATCTAACAACTAAAAAATTGACCAATCTTATCAAGATGATATTAACATTTGGAATTTAGAATTGTTATGAACTACTTAAATAATTGAAATACTCCCAATCAATCAATTATAGTTAATTTCTATAATTAATTTTCCCCTATGCCAATTATGACTAAATTTGTAATCCGACAGATTTAAAATATCAATTGGATAACTCTACTTAAGAATAAATAGATATTTTTGTAGATTAGATTAAATTAAATGAAATTATAAATGATGTCTATTCTTTAATAATACAGATAAAATGCTTTATAAGATATTGATGAAAGAGAGAGGAAAAATTAATTTCAATTATTAAAAACCAAAATCTTTGGCTATATTTATATGATAATTCTATTAATTTTAATAATTAAAATTTATAATTTTTACATTTTAAAAAGATCTTTTCATATAAAAGAATAGATTACCTAATCATTCATGTTATGTATTTTAATTTGAAAGATCTCCATGCTAATTTATAAATTCTAAGATTTCTTAAAATGATCTTTATTCAGGTTAATATTTTGGAATGTCCTCTCTACTTGTATAAAGTCCTAATGGGGCAATTCTATTTGAATTCAATGGAATAAATTCATCATACTCCTTTCCCCATTCATTATAATGAATAAATAATTCCTTTTTACTAACTTATTTTATTGTTGCTACACACCATATAAATTATTAATCCATTATATCAACTTACTAATTGATTACAAAGTTATCTACTCTAATTTAGATATATTCTTATACTATTTAGATTTATTCCATTATTCTGTTTCTTGTTATCTATTTTTAAAATGTCCAATTTATGTTTGATCTCCATATTAATTAACTAAATCTATGATTCTATTATCAAAACTTTTACAATATTAGAAAGAGTGTGTTTTAATTTTCACTCTACAAACAGGACATTCCTATTATTAAAATAACTATTTACTGCCTTCCTCATTAAACTATCAAATATACACATTTCACAAAATGCATGCCCACATTAGGTTGTTGAAACTTTTTAAAAGATTTCTAGACATATTGGACAAATTAAATCTTCAAATTTAGGCCTTGCTTATTACTAAAGTTTAATTTCTAAGAGAAAATAATTCAAGTGATTTTACTTTTTCTCCTTTCATTATAAGCCAATTCATTATTTTCTCTTTTTCGTATCTTCTTTAAAAAACTATCTTTCAACTATTCTTTATTGATCAATTCCAAATTTACTACTTATTCAATATGTTCTTCACATGCACAAATCATTAGATTATTATAAAAATAATTAATATAATTTAATTATTGATTAATAAAAAATTTTGTATTTAGATTGCCACTCTATAGTGTATATATTTAATTTTTAATATCTCAAAAGATTATAGTTCTTGTATAATTTAAAAGGTCAAACTTTTTTATTCATTATTAATGTTCAATAATTCTGACTTGTTTTTTTCCTCTTACTATTTTTAGAAACTCTTAAATTTTATCATTCTCTTAATCAGAATCTTTAGAATCTTTGTGATTGAAATAAATATAGTTTGGTGTTTCTTATCTCAATTGTCTTTAGGTTTACTTTTAACTTGCACTAATATCAAATTATTAAAATTACGCTCTTGAAGTATGTATTGTTGGAATACGAAAAGCATCAGCAAATTAATCAAAATAATGACTCTCGTATTCCTTAATATCCTTTTGATAAATAAATTTTATCTTTTAAACTCTTGTTGGACTTTAAAATTTAATTCGAAAGCTAGGACTCATTCTTAAAGGTGTATAAGGCTATTGAAGTTTTTCATTGAGGTTGAATTGAAATTATTTTTATCTTTTCATATATATTTAATTTATAAAAAAAAGTCAAAACCTAATTTAAATATAAATAATTTATAAACTGTCTAACATTATAGATCATTTTTCTATGTATTATTAAAAACTTGGACATTCAGACTTTTCAAAATAGGGAAATTTATCAGAATTCCTTAAACAATTCGACCAAATTTATTTTGTTAATGTTTTAAATATCTCAAATTTATCAACTGTTATTTTAAAGATGATTTATTTTACCATCAAAGATCGTAAATCATGTGATTAAACTACTGATTTTAATTTTTGTTCATCAGTTGGATCCAAAGCCAATTTAAATAAATTTTCAAGCAATTTTGTTAAACTAATCAAAGGAACAAACTATTTAACAGAATCCTAATTGAAACTTTTCCATGAAGCAATATATTTATCATATTCAACTGAAGTCTTTTATGTTCTATCAGATTATATTTATTCCATTTATTATAAACTTTATATTTCTTCTTGCTAGAATTATTTTTATTATTTTTTTTAATTAGATAATTGCTATGATTAAGTAAATGATCTAACTTAAGACTCTCTAACATCTTAAACATCTTTTTAAAATTGCTGACTCTTAATGAAACTTTAATTTACAATTGGATTAGGAGTACCATGTTTACCCCACCAAACTTATAGTTTCTTTTATGAAATTTATAATTCATGAAAAAATTTAATGTTATCTTTAATTTTAATTACATTTTGAATGAGATCAAAATTATCATCAGGAAAAAAGTAGATGATTTAGGATACTGCTCCAATTAAATTCTATAAACTAATTAAAAACTTTGGAGATTTTAATAGAAAATCATAATTTGCCATTTGTTTAATTAAACTACAAATTATCTCAGAACTTTATAGATTCAGTTTTCCTATTTCTGATGATATATTGAATATTATTTGAGTTATTTCTGTTAATTTACTTTCTTTAATAGTTTATAATTCTTATAATAAGTTATTGCAAAGTGCTGTTACTAACAAATCTCCCCAAGAACCAACACTAATTGGAGCATCAGTAAAAGTCAAAGTAAACTCTTAATTCTCACATAATTACTTATTTAATTAAGGTTAAGCACTAAATAATTTGAGAATCTTTAAAGAAACTTTTTAAATATATTTTTTTGGATTAAAATAAGACAATAAAAAAACAACCATTATATTTGGTACTATTTTAATATTATAAAATACCATTATGTACTGTTCTTGATGATAAATAACTCATAAAAATGAAATTGCTTTCAAAATTTGATAATTATTTTTCAAATGTTCCTCTAATAAATTACTATTAAGATTTGTAATAAGAATAAAACTTTTATGTTAATTAAACAATTATTCCTTCTAGTAATGATTAAGGCAAATTAATAAATTAAGGAAATGGAATGTTGAATAGTTAAAAATGTTCTTTAGCTTTTACCATTTCTTCAAATTCTTTACCAAATGGTAAAACATCTTGATATACAAAACCTATGATAAATTATATAACATACCTTATCCACCTATTACAAGGGATGTTAGTTTTAAACAGACATTTTATAGATTCTCTTCCATTTAATTAGGCATATTTACAATACTTTTAAGAAATTCTTTAATTCTTTCAGTAGGAAAGATTGAAAATGCTATCATAGATACTAATAATTCAGGAAAAAATTTAATTTTTTATAAAACTAATAAGGCTGCATTAGGAGTTTAAACTAACCATTTTTAAGATTATTGTATTTTATTATTTTCATTACTATTTTAAGTTTTTTTCTCTTAAAATTATTCTTCTATTTCTTCTTATTCATTCGATTAGTTCTTCTCATCTGTTTTTGAATTTTAACTCCCCTTTTCTTAAGTAATTTCTTAAATTTCAAGTTCAAAAAAAAACTCTTACTAAAATAATGTAGAACTAACCAAGGCATATATACAAGATAAAATAAGATATCTATTTTCAAAATATTTAGCTATGTCATTTGGATATTTGCATTATATATTAAAACCTTTCCAAATATAACCAACTTGCAATTGATAGGAATTCCATATATTATGATAATATTACTTAAACAATTATAAGAGTGTATCATTCTGTATAACTGAATCCTTTAAATGTATAAATATAAATTAATACATTATATTCTAAAACATCTATTGTAAATCCAAAATGGAAACATAATTAAAATAGTCTACTAAGAAGTGAAATTATGAGAGGAGGATCTCGTTCTTAAATTTCTTCATTGGGCTTGGAAATTTTAGTATGCCATAAGATATCTTTCATTTATTCTTTAAATTATCCTTCATATAATACGGGAATGATTGTAGTTAATATTCTTAAACTGTTTTTCCATTATCTATATTAAATATGAGATGCTAAATCATTTTAATTATCGCAAAGAAATTTATGTAAAAAATGAATTACACCTAATATCCTTTTTGGTGATTGTTTTAATATATCCCGAATATCAGATGGATAAAAAGCATTAAGATAATCTTCTTAAGAAATATCAAGAAGTAGAATTGATTTCAATTCTTCTGCTAATGCATTTTCTTCATCTTATTTTAATAAATTGACAAACTTTGCCTTTGCATTGTTCTAATTTCCCATTTAATTTATTCTAATTAATTAATATGAATAAAATAAATTTATATATCATGATAATAAAGACTATTCAATCTTTTAACATGTCGATTCTAAAAGTTTTAATAAAGATTTTTCTTATTTCTCTCTTAAAAATTATTCTTACTAAAAATAATTCATAAATATATTTTACTTCTAAATCATTTTAAATTGATTAATCTAAGTCTTATAATAATCTTATTGTTGTTTCATAAGACTCTTCTGAGATTCTTTTTTCTTCACTTAATTATTCTTATAATCTAAGAATTTCTTCTCCAAATCCTCTTATCAATTTTTCAGCATTTTAATCCCTTATTTATTTTTCTTATTCAAAATAATATCTTAATTCTTCAAGCTCTTTTTCAATATTTTCAATTTGCTTTTCTTCATATTCTGTTCTTTGAACATTATCCTTTTTTAATTCTCCTTTCATTGCTTATATTTTATCATCAATTTCAGCAAAAATTTCTTATTCATTTACTTTTCGACTAGAATATTCTTCATTCAAAGAAAGTGAAAAATTCTTTTCAATTAAAGTTAATGATTTTAAACTTTTTTCACAAATTAACTAAAATAATCTTAAAAATCACCTATCTTTAATCTCTTTCGCTAAATAATGTTTCTTCCAATTTTTCATATTATTCATATAACAACTAAAATAATTAATATAGAAAAATACTCTAAATTTTTAATTATCATTAATCTCTCCTTTTTGAATTCTCTCTTCAAGTAATTTAATTTTTTGAAAATATAAATCTCTTCTGCTCTAAAATAATTATTAATTATCAATTACTTTGTCATCTTTAACATTAGTTGATAATCCTTGTAATACTCGGTTCAATTCATTGATACGATCTTGATTTTAACTAGGTGATGCATTTCTCTATCAATTTAAGATCGAAATTCTTACATTTGAATAGTCAGATTCATCATTTTTCTTTGTTGCAGTACCACTTTTGAACATTATTTTTAAATTTAATTTTAAGGTTAACTGTTTTAAATATGTAATATTTATTTTATATTAATGTAAGACGAAGAGAAAATTTTAGAATAATTAAAAGAACTTGATAAAGCTTAAGATAAAAATCCTGTAAAAATATAAATTTAATTTTCATTAGGTAACTTTAGCATCATTAAAAACTTTAAAATCTGCTATTTATAACAGAGATAACTGTAGTGAAATTAAGAACTTTAAATGAAACTACTTTAAAATCTGAAAACATCAAAATATATTTCTGTTCTCTCTGTGGTAAGAAGGCAATAGGAAAAAATATCGGATTAGATACTCTACCAACAAGAAGATCAGATATAGATATTTTTAAGAAGGGTTTTTTATTTTTATTTTTTCTAAATAATTTTATATAATATTAATAAATTTTTCATTAAGTTAAATTGTTTTATGATTTTTTATCGAAGTATTACAATTAATTTAAAATAAATCTTTGTACGATTATTCTTAAAATAGGAAGGTATAAAATATATTAAGTGATCAAATTCTAAAAAGAGTCTTATTTTTAAGCTGTGTACATGTAGCATATTAATGTGTAAGTTATGAAGAAGATGCAGAATTAATATAAGGTAATTTAAATATTTCATTATCAAATAAACCCTATTTGTTTGTACTTAATGATACCATTGTTTAAATTAATAATTTAATCAAGAAAAATAGTAAAATAAAAGATATATATTGATGGATATTTATCAAAAAACTTATTTTAATCTCATTCAAAATATTTAAAACTCAATTAGTAAACATTCGATAATAAAACCCCTAAAATGATTGGTAAAATAAATTTAAATAAGGAGGATCCTATTAATTAATAAAAAGAGAACCTTTCTTCAATTTAGAGATTTCAATTGTATTATAGATTTATTCTCTCTTTCTTTTTTCTTCTGCCTTGTATAAAATATATATTAATAAATACTAGTTCCAATTCAATTGATTTGAGTCTTTAAACACATTAAACTTAATTAGTTAATGGAGTTGGTTAAATCATTGATTGGAAAGCAGGCTAAGAATCTGTTCTACTGTTTGACTTTTAATATTTTAAAATAATTTGTATACAAGAACAGATGAATGACTGGAAGTTAAATTAGTACCATAAACAGCAATTTTTTTACCAAATTCTTCTTTCAATACACTTGTACATAATCTAATATTAAAACCAGTTTAAGATAGAAAGAGATTATCTATTTCAGCAATCTAAGATTATGATTGAATTTACTGATTTTTTTTCTTGAATGCTAATTACATAAATTTAGAATTTTTAATTCACTAAATGTTTTGGATCTAAATTCTTCCTATATTCTTATCAATTATTTACTTTAGCTCTATCTGTTGTACTGAACTCTACAATTTCTGATTAATGTGGTGAAATTAAGCCTCTACTTTATTTAACAGAAAATAATTCTGGTTTTGTGGATTTTATCTATCAAATATTGATTTTCTTAAACTTTATATGCTAAGTATTAAGATGTGACATTTTTTAAACTCAAGTTGTAAGGAATATAAATGTCATTTTTAAATTCAAAGTTAATCTCAGTTGATGAAACTTCAAGCATATATAAATTAAATAAAATATAAATATAATTTTCAGAATATGATAAAATAAGATTAAATTAAACTAAAGAACTAGAATAAAACTCATTTTTTTTTGGAATAAATATAATTCTGAATCTGATGATGATAATTTTTAAATCTATCAAAATGATGTTTTAAAACCTTAGTTTGAAATATATATATCTCACATATTAATTTATGAATTTTAAGAAAGAGACTTTAGAATTACTTGGATATGAAAACATATAGTGTTCAATTCCAAAAACATTACTTGATAACTTCACTGCTTTTTTTACTGCTTTATAACAAAATCCTCTAAAAAATGAATCTCAAGAAAGTATTTATTTCTATACAACTGACCTTAGATTTTGAAAATGGTTTAATATTTATGTCAGCAATAAGTTAGAGTAATACTCCATAGTTGTCATCTCAATAATTAAGGTCTGTTTAATCGAAAGGTTCTAAAGGAAAGATCAGAACTTTTTTTCCTTCAAGTAATAATCACCTTATTATTTAAATAGAATGGCCTGTTCAAAAAGCTAACATGAGTCCATTTTCTTTTTCAAAACATTCTCATTTTCAATCTTTGACAAGTCGATATTGGTACTATTTAGACAATAGTAATAATGTTTAAGGTAAGGTTCAAACCTTATCTAAAATTTTTAGGTCCATTTTCTTGTGTTGAAATGGATAACTGGTATCGAAAAAATCTCCTCAATCCTGATTTACTTATTAGCTATAAATCTCATGATCTAACTTCGTTTGTGAAAATCAAAGATATCTTAAAGGATTCAGAAAATCCAAAATGCGATAAAATTCTGCGTCAACTATATAAAAGAGCTACTAGTGCTAAAAGAATAAGTATATAACAACTTTTACAAATAGTTAATAAAAATTCAAGCACTTCCCCAATAAGTAAGGCATCAACAGAATTATCATCTAGCAATAACAATAGTTGTTAAAAATCTAGATAACCAATTTGGGGAGTAGATACCGATTATTTTTTAGGTTTCTGAAGTATTATCTAAAAAATTAAATATCAATTATCATTTTTTTAAAAAAACTAGAAGGAAAAAAAAAATATTTCCTTAATTTTAATTTTACAATTTAATAATTTTAATTAGGTTTGATGAACAAACTCTTATATATATAAATTAATATTATTGAATTGTTAATTATTCAATCAAGATAGTAACTTTCTCAGAATTCTTCTAAAGGGGGTCGTTCCAATGTCATTGACAAGTTATTCGTGGAATTCCTATAATTAATTTTAATTATTACGTCTAATGCTATACTTATCTGTTCAGATTATGAATGCTATTATTAGAATATCTCTGTATTTTATCCTTGGCATTCTCCAATTTCTTTTGAAATTATGGTGCGTGTACCAATGACTGGACTGAGATCATCAAACTCCTATTAATTTCTTTATTACTCGCTGTTTAAGAGATATATTTTCTATAATATATCTTTTTATTTTACCTAAAACTCATCTATTACTAAATTGGCTTTTCCTACACATGCTCCTGTTTAGATTGTTTCTAAACCAGAATATCCTAAAACTGTTTCTAATCTTGTAATGTTCCTTGCATGATCATCTTTAATAATTTAGTCGAAACTCCATCCCTAAGTCTCTAAGGTTGTTTTTTTTGTATCTCTACTGAATCTCCTTTGGAATTACTATCTAATGAAATCTTATTCCTAGAGCTTCTTATGTTACAATTACAGTTCTATTGTATCGATTTTCTTTTGCAATTTAATAATTTCTTCAGCTTAGGAATTTTTTTATTTTATAGCATTTTCCAATTATTATCTAGTTTATAATAATGAATTATGCATTTCATTCCTTTCTTGCATAAGTTATTTAACTGTGCATTCTAATTAGTATTCTCTGGAAAGCGGATTAAAAATTGAACTTTCTTATTGTTACAATATAAAAAATATGAATGATATAATACTATGATTTTTAAGTCTCTAATGTAAACATCAATTACTAATTAATTTAAGTAAGACACTATTATTATTTTTCAGAATCATTCTTGTATTTTTAGAATTCTATCGTTAAATCTTCCTATAAATTATCAATCAAATTTTTACTAATTATTTTTATAGACTCTGTTTCAGTTAAATCATTTCATTCTTTTTTTATGTATATGATAATTTCAATTTCTATAATTTTTCTCTTTCTTTTATTTGATACATTGAAAATTAATCTTTAACAGTAACCATAATTTAATATACTTCCTATACCTTCTCTTACTCAACTTAAAGTTATCTTCTCAATTTAGACATTACTTCTTAAATTTAATATAATGCTTATTGATCCTCCATTTTATCACCCAACATAGCCAATAATTTTTCAACATCAGAAATCTCTTCATTTTCTTAAGTTGATTTTATCAATGTTTATTCATTTTCATCAAATTTTATGTTTAATTCATCTTCATCTGTTTAAAAAGAGAAATTATCAATATCTAATAATTTATTTGATTTTGGTGAGGGAGGTTAAGAATCTATTTAAAATGATACATTTTTTTTTTTATTTTAAGGATTTATGAAATGAGGAATCACTTAATCTGAGTTGATTTCTTTTGTTAAAATTGAATCTAATTTAGTAAGTGTTTCTTAAAAATTAACAATACTCTAAAAGGTTCTTTCCTCAATTTCTCTATCATATTATTCTGTCATAAATATATCTTTTGTTGATTCTGAATCAGAAGGACAATAATTAAATTGATTCTTAAGATTAAGATTAGCAAGGAAGAAATCTAAATCTTATTTTGTTGAAGATAATGCTCTTCGAAAATCAAATAATTTTTATTCATTCTCTAAAATTTGAGTTTTCAACTATTCATTTTCAAAAATAAATTTTTAATTATTTTTTAAACATTCAGATAATTATTATTTTAAGAGTTCTTCATTTTATTTTAATTTTACAATTTTTTCTTATTATTCATCAATCCTACTCTAATAATTTATTTAAAGTGCTGCCATCTCTGTTTTTTTATATTCTAATTCTTCTTATAAATTTACCACTAATTTATGTTCTTTCAATAATTACAAAGAGGAGTGTTATTTAGATTATGTAATATTTTATTATGTTCCTTGATTTTAGTTTCCTTTATCTTATATGATTACTGTTCCATTTTCTACTTTTTCCATTAATTTATTGATTATATCATCCTATTCTAATATCTTTTATTCTGCAATATCCAACAATACTTACAATTCCTTTGCACTTTTTTCAGCATTAATAATAGGTTTATTTTTTATAGCTTTTGCTCTGGCTCCAAATCTTAATGTACTTATTGTTTCTTTATCATTGTATGAACACATAGAACAAGCAACTACTAATGTTGTCTTCGCATTTCCTCCAAGTGATTCACTTAATATTCTTGTTAATTTAGAGTCTCTATAAGGAATATGTTCTTTTTTATCAGAAGTTAAAGCATTTATTACCATACCTAAACAAGTTAATGATTTATTAATATTTTTAGCTTCTTCTAATTGTTAGCCGGAAACATTAGTTTTAGCTACTTTTTCTGATCCTGCTAAATCCACAAAGTATAATTTGCTAAGTTTACTGGAATCTGTTTTTAAATTTTTTTCACTCACTTAAATTTAAAACAATGAATGAGATCTAGATGATCTTTCATTCATTCTAGTTGCAGCTATAGTTCTATTATTAGATCCAGTTTACATAACCTATTTCATTTCTTCTGGAGATTCAACTTTAATTTCTGTAAGATTCTATACAAAAATGCCTCTAAGTCTATCTTCTTTAATTTTTAGGTTAGTTTTATTAGTATCCAATAAATCCATAATTTTTTCATTATATATTTCTAAAAAAGAGACCTTGACTATATATATTAAGTCATCTGATTTAGTATGTACAACATCAAATAATTCAGTCATTACTCTTGGTATTAATCCTTTAGTTCTTTCATTTGGATTATCAGGTCCCTAGATTATTCATCAATTAAATACTTCCATAGTAAATGTTTTTCCTGATGAAGTTTAACCATAAGCAAAAATGGTTCCATTATAGCCATTCATTACGCTATCTAAAATAGGTCTTCCTACTTCTTCAAATACATCTGCTTATTCTGAATCAGGTCCAAATATACGATCAAAAGTAAAATCCTATTTATCATTAGTGCCAACCTAAATAATTGATAGACTCAAATCTCATACTATAACAGTTATTTATTTTTCATTAAAAGTTACACAACATTCTCCTCCTTATTACATCTCAAGAGCATTAAGTGGTCTTAGTCTAGCTACTACTTTAATATTTTATCCTTCTTTCATGTAATAATATATTATTATATTTTAAATTGCCTTATTTTAACAATTAAAATTATACTTATTTCATCATTGATTGTGCAAAAAATTACTATTCACATTCTATATTATATATCAATAATATATTTATGATTAGGGATTTAATTCATATTGAAATATTTACACACTGAAAATAATGATTAATAATTGAATTTATTATTCAAATCTCATTAAGTTAAAAAAGGATTTTTAGAATTAAATTTATATTACAACTCATAAATTAAAAGTAGTTTATATTTAATTAGCATAGATTGGGAAAGAAAAAAGACTTTTGACTTAATTAAATATATTAATTAAATTTTATATAATGATGACATAATTGAAGTATTTAAGAATAAATAAATTTTAAATATTGAATATTATTATTTTATATTGATTTATTACCAACTCTTATAAGTATAAATTAAAGGAAAGAATAAGAATTAATTAAGGAGTTTAAATTTAAGTAGAGATGTTAATATTTAGATATGAAATATAAAATAGTTATTAGTTATGATAAATAATAAATTGTATACTACATGATTATTTGACAATAAAAATAAATATATATGATATAATCTTAATATAATTCTGAATTAACGAAAGTTTTTGTCATTTTTAAGTGGTAATTGATTATTATTGATCAAATAATAAAATATCTCAATACAAAATTGAAGATGGGTTGTGCTGCTGGAAAACCTGAGAAACCACTTAGTAAACAAAACTCTCCTTGTTCTCATACAATAGAGAATAAAAAATCAGTATCTCTAATGGTAGAAACTGAGAAAATTGACGCAGATTATATTTTTCATGCTTTGGATCCTTTAGTGAGTAAGCTCCTTATATAATAATTAAAATAGGTCGAAGAAATTATATAAAGAAGGCAGTTTCGAAGAGTAATAATGCTAGTCGAATAGTGAAGGTTTATAATTGTTTAAATTTGACAAATACTGAAAAATAAGAATTAGAAAGAATTGTAAATAGCTAATTGTAAATTGTAAAACTTATCATATATTTAAGAAACATCTAAACTTAGTCAATCTATAGTCTTATTATTACAATGATAATAAATTATATTTAGTAAGTGAATTTTGTGAAGGAGGAAATCTTTTATCTTGTTTAGATCATTTTAGCAAACTACAACAATATAAGATGATAGATTTGTTCTGTTAGATTATGGCAGGAGTTAGATATTTACATAATTATGGCATTGCACATGGGTATGTTAAGTTATGGTATTTTAGTAATATATAACTCGAAAGCATAGTATTTACAAATAGAAGCATGGATATTGCAAAGTTAATAGACTATGGTATACCTAGTTCTTTGAAATCTGCTTGTTTATAATGGAGATCTAATGGAGGAATTTAAGAAATTTCATTCAAGTCACCTGAAGCCTTAAAATAACCAGGACTTACAACTACTAAATCTGATATATGGTCATGTGGTTGTCTTTTGTATTTCTTTTTAACTTCTCATATGCCATTTTAATCAAGAGATGTTTAAGCATTAAAAACAGCTATTTAAAGAGGAATAGTTAGTTTTGATGGCACTGAATGGATGAATATTAATCCAGATATGAAATAACTTGTTAGTAAAATGCTTAGTTCCAATCCATAAATTAGACCTACAGCTGCTGAAGTTATCAATAATCCTATATTTTTGAATAGAGCAAAAATTATTACCAAACCCAATAAATAACTTTCTAAACATATGAAAGACTTTAAAGTATTTTTATTCATCACTACTTTTAGTAATAATCATAAATGCAAAATGCCATGTTGAATTATATTGCAGAAAATATGTTACAAGAACAAGATAAAAAAAAATTAATGGAAGAATTCTAAAAATTTGATTTAAATAAAGATGGATAACTTACTAAAGAAGAACTCTTAAAAGTTTACAATACTATGTATTCATCTGAATAAGCTACTCAAGAGGTTGAAGCCATATTCTCAAAAATTGATTAAAATGGAAGTGGTAGGATTGATTACTCAGGTATTTAAATCTCTTTATTCTTAGAATTTGTCATAGCTACTATAGATTAAAAAAAATATTTTAATAGAGAAAAATTGCTCATTCTATTTCAATAAATTGATAGAGATCATAGTGGATAATTAAGCAAATTAGAAGTTAAGAAACTATTAAGAGACATGTAAGTGCCTTAAGAAAAACTTGATAATTTATCCAAATAGCTAGATCAAGATGGTGATGGCTAAATAACTCAAGAAGAATTTTTATAAATTATGTTATCTATTGCATGAAATATGTGTATAAATTATTTATATAAATAAATTATTTATAAACTCTTTTTATTAGAAAGAATAATTAAACTCAAAAGCTCTTATGACAATATTTTTAAGTTTTATTCTATATACATTTTTTAATAAATTACTATATAATCTCATCATTTAGGCAATAATTTTTAATCAAATATTTTTGAATTTGTTATTAATACAAATAATATGTTTTACCTATTTAAAATTCAAAATATATAGATAATAGAAATAAGTATAAATTAAATTCTAGCTTCTCAACATTATAATATATGCGAATAATTTTAATATAATATTATTTTTAGAAAGAAATAAACATATAGAAATCAAATTTGTTGAGAAAGTTGCAATTATAGCTTGAATATGAATTTGAATTTTTTATATGATTTTATAAATCTTACTTAACATTATATAACAACATTATTGATAAATTGAATTATTGATGTACTCAATATTTATGTTTATCAAATAACTTTAATCAAAAATATAAACACGTTCTGTATCGAATGTTTCAGGACATTCTAACCTAAGATAATCTGTCATAACAAGTCCATAAAGCAATACAGTAAATGTGATTTGGGATATAAATTAAATTGGTCAAGAATTGGATTGCTAAGATGATCCGATTTTGAATGAAGCTTTAAAACTGATAAATAATCATTAAGTAAATCAGGCAATTTTAATATTAACCTAAAGTATGAGTATAAATTGAATTGTAGTGGTTTCGGAAGGAAAAAAATATTTGGGATAACAATCTCAAGTATAATTAGTAATGAAAGTTACATTATTGGTTGTATCAAGTGCAATGTCAATTTTAGAGAATGATCCAGCATCTGCATTACTTTTGCTACTTGGATGTGATTAAATGTTTAAAGGATTAACACCAAAATAATAAGGTTATTTAAGAGTTTAGATTCTTAATGGATTAGGCTGTTATTATAGAAGAGTAGGATAATTAGAAAAAGCTTTAAAAGAATTAGAATGTGCATTGGCAGTGATAAAAAAATATAGCTTGAAAGAGGTTGCAGTTACTCACTTGAATTTATCAGTAGTATTGTCTTTAGTGGAAGAGTATTATTGAAATTATATTAGAAATTAGACATGAAGGTGCTTTAGAAAATGCAAAGAAGGCAGTTACAGAAAGTCATAAAGAATATTAATACTATATTAAAAATCATGTGTCGATGTAAACATTCAAATTTCAACGTTGTGTAAGTTCTTTAGCAATCTCCTTTTATAATGTTGGAGTTTAGGAATAGCATTTTTAAAGATATTAATTTGCATTATAAGCATATGCGTCTGCATTTAAAGTTGCTGAAGATAATTTAGGAATACATAGTTATCTAACTATATAACTTAAAAATATTTATGAAGAATTTGCAAGATAATTAGCAATAGCAGAAGGTTAAAAGATTGCAATTACATCTTTACATCATAAGTTTTAAATAAGAGCAAATGTTACAAGTCAATATGCTTAAAGTCTTTTAAGAAGTTAACCTCAAGAGACTGTTAAAAAAGTTACTGAAAGGCTTTTTTAATCAGAAACTAAAAGATCAGGTCAATCTATTCGACCATAATCAGCATTAATTAGTCAAACCTAACCTCTAAAATTAAAATCATTTGATTTTACTAAAAGAGAAGGATATACTATTAAAAAATAATTATCTGCTACTAATCGTACTCTAAATCAATTTAGTGAAGAAAATCCCAGGTCTGAGATAGAAAAATTAGAAAAGACAAAGTCATTACAATAATGTATTTAAGATTTATAATCAGTACTTATTAATTATATAATTAGCAAGCTCTAAAAGAATAAGAGGAATTGAAAAAAATTTAGGATGAAAAATAAAAAGAATTATAAAAGTTAGAAGCTTTTCGTTATATTAATTCATAAATATAGGCAAAAAAATAAGCAAAAAACTCAAACTAAACTTCAAGAGATATGAAAGCATCTATAGATTAAATGAAATAAATATTTAATACAGATCCATAAATATAAGAAATCTTAGATGAAAGTGAACCATAACCTTTAGTTGCAGTCCAAGAATAAATTAGAGTTACTAAAACAGAAGAGGAAGAAAATGCATTTAATAATTAGATTAATTCAAATTAAAACAATTAAATTAAAGAAACATCCAAAGAAGAGGAACATAAAAGATAATCTTTTACAACAACTCTTGAATAAAAAGGGTTATAAGATGAAACAATTTAAAGTCTTACCAGAAAGTTAGAATTTGAATAGGATTCATCAATTAAAAATAATAATTTTTAATAAAATATGTCATGTAAACAGATTGAAGATTTAGAAGAGATAACTGAAGAAATTAATGAAGTTAATTAGTAAAAATAGAATCAATAAATTGTCGAAAATTAAGTTGATGAAATAATTTAAGAAAAAGCAAAATTACTTGAAGAATAAGAAAAATTTTAGAGATTATGCTATATTCAAAAATTTTTGAAATCAATATAAACTAAATTTAAATTAAGAATACAAAACTTATAGTCTAAATATTAAATGGTAACAGAAAAATAGAATTTAACAATTTAAGATATTCAAAACAATCATCATGATGGCATTCTTTTTCTTGGTACCTATCTGTAGGATAATCATTTAATAGATATTGTGTTTATTGATTTTTATATATTAAGGAAATCTCAAAGGAAATGTCTAAATATAAATGAAAAATTGGAACATATATTGACTTTATCCCTTTCCTCTTCTATTCCTATAACTAACGATTTACTAGAAACTCTTAAAAATAAATTAATATCAATTACTCTTATCAATAATTAGTAACTTATAGTTCATAGTAATGATTTAGAAATTGAACTTAAATCATTAGATAAATTATCTTCAATAAGATTAGATCTATAAAAATTAAAAATAAATGAATATAATACTTAATTTGTAGAAAACCATCAAAGTTTATAAGTTCCAACAACAATTGCTGATATTTAATAATTTAATACAGATTCTATTGTAGTATAAAAATCCGCTTAAATAAACTAAGAATTATTATAATTATAACATCCTTTTTTAGAAATACCTTTAGTTTAAGAATAAGTAGAATAATAAATTAATGTTGAAAAATAAGACAACAATCTTAAATAGGAACAACAATCTGGAGATTAAGAAAATCAATTTAGTGAATTTCAATAAGAAAGTAAAAATGGTAGCGATGAAATTGAAAAAAATAATCAGACTGGGTAATTTAATATTCATGTTTTTTCTTCTTAAAAATTGTAATCTTAATAGGATCTAGATAAAGCAGAAGAAGAACTTGAATATTAAAAATAAAAATAAAATCAACTTAAAGATAGTAACTAAAATTTAGATTTCACTCTTTAATACAATGAATTTAGTATCAATAATTCTATGATGGGCACTATGAACAATGCAGAAACAGAAAATTAATAACATTTATAAGTAGATAATAGCAATGTAAATAAAGAGAAAACTTCAGTAAATCAAACAATATTAGAAGAAGAGTAAGAAGATGATCCAAAAGAATAAGAAAATAATGCTAATACTAGTCATAATAGATAACAATAGCAATATTATGTAGAGAGTTAATCTTTTTATTCAAACTCAGACGATAATGATCAAGGATAATCAAAAGAGAATCTAGAGGAATTGACCAAATAAAATAGCTAATATTTTCCTGAAGAAAAAATTTAAATTAGTATTCTACAAGTGCCACCAGTTCAAGAGCATAAAAATATTAGTAAATAAACTAGTCTATAATTACCAAATTAAATGAAAGAAGAGATTGACGATAATTCTGATTAAGATAGTAATTATTTATTCTATTTATTTTTAGTATCTTAAAATAAACCTTATGGATACGAAAAGATTGGTTCAATAACTGGAATCAATAAAATAAATGGAGCTTTAATTTTGATAAATATTCTTTTCAACAAAGAATAATAATTATTTTAGGCAATTACTGATACTGATTTTAAAGTTATGCCAACTTAATTTAAAGTTGAAAATGTAGAAAAAACTATAAAAAAACCATAAAAAAATTTAAAAGGATATTTAGTGAATTGGAAAAGTGAAACTGTATTAAAAGTTTACACAAAAGCTCATGAAAAAGCTGTGCTTAAACTTTAAAGAAAATTTAAATTTGATCATTATAGAAGACATCTTACATTTAAATTAGCTAAAACTAATATTGAAGGTACATTATAGGTTGGTTCAAGAAAATAAGTTATATATTTAGCTATAGAAACCAAAATTACTTAATAGAGAAATTCTTATACATTTAAAAATGAAACTTATAGTCAATTTGTTAATAAAATATCATTTAGAGTTCTAAATAATCTTAAATTCTCTGAAGATAAAGGAATCTATTTACTTTAAGAACCATAACATAGAATTTTAGCATAAAATCTATAAGGTAAATTCAATTGTAATTTAAGCTAAAATTTTTAAATTGCTAAGACCATAAAATACCTATGAATTTATAGGTTTCGGGTTATTAAATGGGATTTATGATTCAGTGCATAAAAAATTAATTATTGCAAGTGACAACAGAAAGACTTAGCCTTCTTAAGTTGATGTTCCTAAATCAATTTAAGGAGAGAATCTATTATAATTTTCCCAAAATTTATTAAACAGAGTATTTATTAATTCAAGTTATATTTAGTCTTTTATTATTTAAAATAATAATGAAAATTGTGTAATTTATTATGAAGAAAAAGATGAAAATCATGTAAAACATATTTAAAATACAATTTTTAAATATCAAACAATAAGAATTTTAAAAATAGATTATTATCAAGTTTAGTAAAGGCAAATTATAAAAAAAGAAATTGTAATTGAACTTTAAAGAAAAATTAAAAGATTCTTTGGTTTAAAATGCTAGGATAGATTTTATCAAATTGGTAAATTAAATGATAAAGAGATAAAAAATTTGATTTTAAACTTTAAAAGAATAGTTAGTATATTCTTAATTTAAGAAAATGACTAAATTGAACTCGATATAAATTCTTTAAAGGAATTTATAAATTAAGAAGGTCATTTTGAAAAATTGTTGAGAATGGATTTAAAAAATAATGTTTATTAAATTTGAAACTCTATATATATATCACTTTAAATAATTGAGATTGAATATAAATATTTTTCTAATCTAGATGGTATATCGTTTTATATACATAAATAATATTTATTTATTAACATAGAACTATAATTATATTTCTCAGGTGTTAAAAATTTTAATCAATTCTTCTGAAACAGCAGAAGGAGTGAAAACTCCTAAATCTGTGAATAATAATGTTATTAAATCTGGAGGAGTATAATCACATAATGGATTGATTAGCTAAAATTTTATAAATTAAATTACATCCAAATTTTCAGGTAATTTCAATTTTTCTGAAAAAGATGGTTCTTCTTAGCTATATCTTATTGAATCACTTAAGTCTTTTTATGATAATGGAAATAGACGAGTGAACTTGAAACTTTCAGCTAAGACATAAAAAGGTTTCTTTTAGAATCTGGCACAAATAGCAGTAGTATAAGTTCCTACTCTATTTATTATACCTCCATTTTCAACAACCGCTTCTGCTCCTGTTAAAACCATATCTATATTTTCTATAACTTATCCAATAGCAGAATCAAATATTAATTTACAAGGATATCCAATTTCTGTTAATTATCTATATGTTTCTATTCCTTCTGATTTTGGTCTGCATTCAGGGATATATATTTGCATAACTATCCCAGCCTTAAATGCTTCTATCAAAGAATATAGTACTACATTTGAGTATCCTACTACCAATACTTTCTAAAATTAAAATTTTCATATACAAATCTATTATTAAAGAATTTTAAGCATTAGGTTTTGATGTTATCTTTAGATCGTACAATTATGTCAATTTGCTCTTATGAAATTTCTAAAAGTGATGACTTTAAGGCTTCCATACTATCAGCCCGTAATTGTTGTAAACCTTTACTTATATAATGTTGATATATAGTCTAAGTTGATCTTAATACTAATTCTGATCTGCCATGACCAGCTTGAGCATTATTAATTAAATATTCTCCTGCTGTCTTTATTTCATGAGTTAAACCTTACATTGTCATCTCTTTAAATGAAATATTAAATTACCTTTACTATTTGTAATCAAATTTATCATAACCTTTATCAAAATTACAGCATAATGCTCATTTGTCGTTTCATTTAATTACGTAAATTCTTCAAGAACTTTATAATAATATTGATACCAAACCTTTTTTCAAAGTAGATGACATAGAATCAGATTTTGATGAGAAACCCAAACTCATTAAATTTATATATTTATTCTTTTTTATAAACAATTATTTATGAATTATAAAATCACTCCTAAAACATTGTTTAATAAAAATTATCTTTTTCATACTATTAAAAATATCTTGTCTCTTGCTTCTTGTATTTAAAAACAACCCATTGTTATAAAACTAAATTTTGAATATTCAAATTATTCGAAGTTTAAAAATTTATATAATATCAAGATAAATAAACTTTCATTTTTAATAATACCCTTATTTTTAGTTTATTTTATATTAGGACACCTTTTTTATAATAATCTTTTTCAAAAATTCAGAATTTTATTCAATATTTTTTTTGATTTATCAACAAATGGGCTATTAGAAAGCTTTTTTTTAGTCGAAAATGTTTCATCAATAATTGATAGGTTATTTTCTATTTGATGATATTAATTTTTATATGAAATAAAAATAATTTTAACACAGAAGTTCCCTTTCCTCCTGTTTTTCAAATCTTAGACTTAGAACTTAAGTCTTAATTTTATAGATGATATATCTTGTAATCATAACAACATGCCTTATTTGTCTAACCTTAATAATTTAAAAATATATTAATAACACCTTAGCTTCAGATTCTTATTAAGTTTTAACTTAAAAAGAAATGAATCGAATTTCTTAGAATTATTTATAGTAATTTATTTCATAGATAAATAATGGATTTTTTTACAGGAGTCAATCATTAAATGCTATAAACTTATTGTATTTAGTAGCTTAGGATAAAGAATTGAAATTTTTATAAAATTTAGATATTTGCTAATCGTTTGCTAAAAATTCAGAACTTATGGAAAAAATTAGAAAATCATATTGTTTTTGTTATGGTATTGCTGGAGATTTCAATTATGAATATAATGATAAGCTTAGATTGAGTAATATTCTTGCTATTACATCTACAATATAATCAAATTATTCATAATTATATTATTCATCAAATACTGATGACTAATTTTACTCATTTAAACCTTGCTAAAATGTTGAATCAGCATGGATTCCTAAATAACGGCCATGGTATATTTAACATAATTAAACCAACTTATAAATTTAATATACTTCTGCCTACATTGATTATGAAGGAGGTGTTTGCATAACTTAAACTAAATCATTAATAAATCAATAAAATCATTCGATTGGTATTATTGCAAATGATATAACTACCGCTGAATTATCAATATTAAATTAAAATTAAATCGCTGATATACTTTTAATCGATTTAAAAGGCGAAATTTTACTCAGTAATCATTATGTAACTGGTTAAGAAATTGTTGATTATTTTTAAAATGTATCAAAAACAGGTTTTAATGAATCTGATTTTGAAATCCTCTTAAAATACCAATAAAATGGTTCTTATAATAATCTATGTTAAATTCCTATCAATAATACCTTTTGTTTATTTGATAAATTAAAATAAAAACTGTTTTATTTTAAATTAGGTCTAATCATGAATAATAAATACATAGTAGTTGCTAAATTTGATCCTTTTCTATATTCTAGTGCAATGGACTCTTTATTAGAAGAAATTAACTCAAAAAATTAATAAATTGTTACTCTTTTAATTTTTATCATAATTATAGCCTTATGCATCTTTTTTATCTCATTTTTAATAACTACTTTAGTTTTACAGCGTCCTATTGAATAATTAATGTATTACTCTAATCAATAAAATAAATAAGGTAAAAATCTTTTAGCAGATATTCCTAAAATTAAAATTGGAAATGATATTGGTGAACTAAATCTAGCTTTTTTTAATTTGTTAAATTAATAAAATCGTAATAAAAAAGATTCTTAAGAATAGAACAAGTAGTTATTTTCTGGTACAAACTAATATTAAGAAAATGTTGATTGTATATATCTAAATATAAACGATAAACTATTATAAAATTTAATAGTAATTAATGATTTGAATATAATAGAATTTAAATTATCCATTACCATCAAACTGTTAAAATAAATTGCTATTAAGGCCTGAGCAAATTGTTTTATTTCACTAAATTCAGATGATTAACTATTAAATGAATCGTTATGAGGATCACAACACTATAAATAATAAGAGTAAATACTGAGTCATTTTACTAAACAACACAAGAAAACAAGATGAAATGATAATTTATATAAAATTTAATGAAAATTGAAAATTTTACTTTAATAAAAAAATTTATTATACACTGTTTAAAGATTGAAGTATTAAAAACCTTATAGATGATTTATTATAATTAAAACAAATAAAGAAAAATAGTAAAATTAATTAATGTATTGGTCAGCCATTCTTCTAAAGTAAGATATGTCGATTAGGAAAGCCTTTCTGGTTAATTCTCAGAGATTTTCAGAATTTTTTAATTTTATATTGTTTTTTTTGTTACTAATTTTATTAAAATTAAAATCTCTTAGAATTTTAATTAAATTTATTTTAAGCATTTGAGAATATTCAGAGTAACATCAAGTGATTTTAATAATATATAAAATATTATTATTATTATAAATCTCTCTTTATAAGCAATCCAACAATTGCTATTTTAAGTATTCAAATCTTTATTGTTAGCATTTGGAACGTATAGCACAAAAATTAGTCACTCATTTGTTTTAATAAATTTCTCTATGTAATCCAAGATACTATTATTACTGTGATTGAGTTTGGTTCTTTGCTTATGTATAGAGATCAACTTTTTTGTTGATTTTTGATAAATGGTGCATTTTTAAATTTCTTTTTCTCTATTCTGTAAGTATCTACTCTTATAACTTTTAATATGTATCCAGAACTCATAGCTGAACATTGTAAATGATATAATAATTTACTTTAATAGTAATTTGAAAATTTTAATTTAACTTATTCTTTACTATAAAAAACACATAAAATCATTCATCTAATAATTCATGGGAAGTTATTTTATTTTCTAAATTTTAATTTAAAAGTCCTTATTCGAGTCTAAAAAAATGGCCTTTTATGCTGAGTAAATAATTATAATTGCCTTATTCAATAATTTAACCTTTATCAAATACATATATTATTTTACAATTCTAAAATAAAATATATGATTACTTTAATAGTAGACATCCGATGAGCAATAATAATAGAAGTTTTATCCTTTAAGCATTGTTCTAACTATTACTATACTAAAGATTCAACATTTGAATCTAAAGCACTGGTAGATTCATCAAACAAATATATTTTAGAATTTCTTAATAAAGCTCTAGAAATAGCAATCCTTTACTTTTAACCTCCAGATATTAAAGTACCTTTCGTTCCAACTTTTTTATTAAATCCTGAATTTGTTTAATCTTCACATTATTCTTACATTATAAATTCATAAGCTAGTGATTATTTTGACACTTAAATAATATCATTTTGATTAATATTTTTTAAATTATATCTTATATTGTATGCAATCGACTCATTAAATAATTAAGGTTCTTAAGAAACAATAGAGATTTATTATCTAAGAAATTTAAGGTCATAATCATAAATTGATAAACCATCTAATATAATATCTCCAGAATTAATATCATAAAGTCTAAAAAGGAGTTAAAAAA